TTGAGTTATACATGTAATCAGAAAGATCAGTAAAAGTTACATTATCGGGATCAGTTAAAGTTATATTAAATCTAGCACTACCTGCCCTATTCACATAAGACATTGACATAAATACGGGCTTATCAGCTGTGAGATACAATGTTACTTCAGAAGTATCATCTGGAGAACCAGTGTATTCTATGATTGACGAGTAGTTCTTAAAAATCCCCAAAACTAATGCAAGTCTATTATCTCCAGGGTTCGATATATTATTACAACAGTAGAAATCATATGAATCCATTAAGGAAACCATAGCAGCATCGTTGGCACTGATTTTAAAAGTATGATAACCAGTAATTTTTGCATAAAATGTAGTAAAAGAATATAAAGTAAAATTCGAAACGTTTATACTATGACCGAATAAAGTTCCAATGTTATCTGAACCGTCATTTGAAACATCGATTTCGAAACTTGGATCAGCTGTCGCACGAAATGCCTTATTATTGAAGCCTGTATCTACATTTGTTGCATATTGAAGAAGATAGTCGTACGTATTTACCAATTCAAGTTGATTTTCATTTTCATATAGAAGGCATGTAAATCCATTAGATTTTTGTGATTCAGTTAAAGTTAAAGTGGAGCATGTGTGAGCATGGCAGAACTGTGATATTTCAATTGTGATAAACAGTAATATCTGTATTATACTTTTTAAAAGTTTCATGATTAATTATATTTTTATTTAATTGTTATTCAAAGTTTGGTTGCTCCTTCGAAATGACAAAACAACACTTGAGAGTTCACCTCAGTTGTGTGTTTTTCTACATTTCCAATTCTAATATTTCTCACGACTTATATAGCAAATAATTTTCATCTCAAGATTGCAAAAGAATGAAGAAGCAGATAATGTTCTTGTCTATTCATATGGTCAAATACCTCACCGAATATAGTTTAAGCCAACCAAAGCTCAGCTTAAATATAGTTCCTGGGTCAACTCCTCTGTGAAAATCTTTTCTGTATAAAGTCTGCACCTTTCTGTATGATTTCTGCACTTTTCATTAGAATTTTAGTCTTTTTATATTTTTTTCCCTTAAGATTAAACTACCCCGTTCGCTTAGACACATCCCGAGTCAAAAGAAGTAGGGCCAAATAATTTCATTTTTTTTGGATTTTCCTCTTACACGAAGTAACTAATCATCTGCAGATCTGTCTAACCGATAAGTGGGTGGAATGAAGAGGACAGTGAGATATTTAACTCAACTGTGAATCAACACAGTGCTCACAATGATTGCCCGGGACCCCATTTTGATAATCCTTAAATATATAGAGAGAGTTTGCCATTCTAGGACAACGAACATCGAAAGAACTGATCATTTAAAAACATACAGACAAACAGAGGAAGAACTGGTATGCAGTAAAGTGATATGTCGTTATTATTTTTTCATCAATTCCTATGCTTCGAGTTAATCGTAATTAGGTGTATATGGGGCAAAATAGGGAAATTTGGGAAATTTGAGGGACCAGAAATGAGGGCCCATCTTATTTTTTCAAATGAATTATTATAATTATTTGAGATTTCATTGACCCTCCAAAAACCAGCTTCAGAAAAAGAGTATTCACAACAAATTTAAGAAACAGTCAATACTTATATATCATGCCCGGAACTTAATATTCTTAAGATGCTCTACCATTATCTGCTTGTTAAGTAACTACTTGGTGAAATTGTTTAAGTTAGTTCATAATTTTGGAAAAAATAATATTTAAAGGGTAAACTACTATACCTGTTATTTTGCAGTTTTGTATAATATAATCGATCAGGTTGAATTATCAATATGCTATACTAAGCAACTTTTTTATTTAGTTCCCACACAACTAGGATGATATCCTCACTCCTGGTGTGACCCTATCTTTTTGTAAAAACTAAAAGTTTTGAATAAGGGTTGTGATTCAAATTCTGACAGAATATCTCTCTCTAAAATTGAATCAGAAACGCTAATAATATTGAATAATGCAAAAATAATATGATCGATCAATCGATATCTGTGATTTCGTACAACTTTATCAATTTCGAAAATGACAAATCTGCATTTACTAATGTAGCTGCAAAAGAGAATAAATAATTTATAACTATGGGGATATATAAATGGGAATTCAATAAACCCTGATATTTTTTGGTGTTACCCTATATAATTGCAACATATCTACGTATACTGCCATTCTAAGTAGAAAAATGTCAAGATCGCTAAGTTTGGTAGATTTACCATCATATATATATATATATTCTGCAATAGCCAGTTCCACCTTGCTCCTCCTGTAGATGAATCACAATAAGTTTCATCTTAAGTTCAACCAAATGTATATGATCTACTCTAAATGAGAAGTAGTAGTCGTCAAGTCCAAATAGCAACATTTGTGTAATTGTCTTTCTTAATTTACTACCAAAATTATTGGCGTTGATGGTACCATCATCATTACAGTTTCAACTTTTTCCTGGCTTATAAGAGTCGATATTATTTTATTTTTTTTTGAAATTACCAATATTTACTATTATATTTACGACTGCATCTATAGTCTGGTAAATTTCACCAAAGTACCTTTCGCCAGGATGTGCGTGGTCATAAATTCCTCAAACTAATCATTTTTAGTTTTTCGACATCTATTTACTATTATTTAACAATATCATTTTATTAATATTGATAGCATGGTTATCAACAGAACGGTTATCAATAGAATTGTTTTTTACACCAACACTTGAATTAGGGGAGTTGTTGTTGAAAGATATCTGTCTCTTTCTCCTGACACATTCTATCATATCTGTTACACCATCCAGCGTTCTTTTATTAGACTTCTTCCTCTACTTGAATTTGTTCAATTTTCATTTGTTAGCAACATTCATTTTTAGTGTCACACCCCATATTAGCATTAATAGCACACAGTTATCCTTATGAACAGTTCTTGTTTTCATAGATTTAATTATTATTTGAAGTTCTTTCATAAATCTTCAAATTTTCAAATTCAGTCAATAAATAATAAAAAAAAGAGCAATATTGGTTTCAATTTTGAGCCCAAACACAGTCGTAATGTTATTAAACAAGGGTTTTGAAATGGAACTCTAAGTCATTTTGGAGAAACAAGTTATCGCCCCATGGGGGTTACATAGACGTCCTGGGGGAGGGGGAATTTTGAAAGGACGCCTTAACTAATGGAGCGACATTTTCAAACCTCGCTCGCCCATGGTTGCCCCGAATGATCGTCGTTTTTTCCTATTTAGGTTAGCTAAGTTAATAACCAAAACATGGAAATGACAAATATTGAATGGATTGGATTGTCCAGCATTGACGTCAACGGAATTCGAGAGCTCGATACAAATAACCGTTTTCCCACATATGATTTACCTTTTTTCCCCTTGAATTCCTTCCTCAAAATGAATGGGTACACATCTTTGTCATATGATAAATCCTATATATTCCATTATATCTAAGTCGCTCGGGTTTTATCGGTAACTAATGACGTTTTACTACCAGTGTATTTGTGTAAATCCTTAAAGAAATATATATGGAAATAACATTCAATATAGAAATGAGGGTCTTCTTTCTATCTCTGTTGTAGAAGTTAGAATTATTGGAGGTGGTATGATAAATAAACGGAATATTTTATTATAATTAAATATTTGATGATTCATATTAGTGGTGACGAGACTAGTGTAATGGGTCATGGTATATGTATTTTTCCTTTATTACATGGTCTAAATAGAATATCTTCCCAGTGATCCATAGTATTAGAATCTTTAAAAAAATTTCGGACGGACTATATTAATTTTGATTTGTATATTAGTTATTTACACTGTTCAACTTTTTTATTGCTCATCTCCATTATTCTACCTATAAAATTTTGTGTAACAGTAATATTAGTAACCTTAAGATATGAACCTTTTTTGCTTTGTTGATACTCCTCTTGTAATGTCAATCATATACGAGTCTATCTCGTAAATTAGAGTGCTAAGCAACTCTTCTTTTAATAGATCTTGAAGATTATAATCCTATTAAAATAGAGATCAAAATCAGTTAATCACTTTCTAAATGATTTTGTATTAGTAGAACTTAGATATTGTATCCATATAATATATATATATAAGTAGAGAGAAAAATATTTAGCAATTGGTGAAAATTATCAAGATATAGAAATGGTCATTTATGAACGTAAGTGTTTGGCATTGATGAAGGTGAAAACTGACTTCTCAGAGCCTATTACATGCTACTACAAAAAATAAAAACCCGATATACACAACTATAATGATAACATATATTCTTACTAATTAGGAAATGCATCGTTAAATTATCGCTTAAATTCCATCATGGTCCATTTCTCGAGAGTATTTTATAGAAACCTCCAAGCTTCAACCACGCCACTGAGAACTTGTCAGGACCATTTTAATATAACAATTCCATTATAAGAATATAATTCTTACTACTATATCGAAGGAGTTCCAACGAGATAACGAGAATGCTAACTACAATATTTATAGATATTCCCAAAGTGGAAGAAACAGAGGTACTTAGGCTTCAGATACTTACAAGGTTCTATTGATTATTTGTTAGTAATATATCTAACTGTATAAATGCCCCTATTTATCAACATTGAGATAAATAGTAAACATGTTAATGATTCTGATCTTATGATGTATTATATTGTAGGGTTGTTTATTTGGGTATTAGTAGCAGTTTTTGATTCATTGACTGTCGATACAGCCGTCATAAATGGATGGAAGCCTTCAATGGAACAATCCTACCTTCAAAAAATAAAAAATATATTATCGTATTAGTGGTATATAAGTCTATAATGGTTATATATTGATATATGATGCTTCTCATATGTTTATAACACAATTGAAAAGGGTCGATAGTTGTATCTTGAAGAACATAGAGAAACAGAAAAGGTCTCGGTGATATTACATTAAGTTTTTCTCAGTTTGTCAGATCATATATGAAAATGATAATGAATATCGAAAGCTCATAAACTCAAAATCATAGAAGTAACAAGGCAGCACCTAGGATAATAGCACTTAAACCGGTAGTTCTCTTTAGAGCACCGTTCTCAGACTGAATGGAAATACCATGAGAGGACCCTGTATTGCTACTTTGAGTGACTTGAGCAACAACTGGAGCAGAAGTATATTTAGTGTTTACTGAGGTAACCTTAACAGAAGAGTTTGGACCATTGGTAGCTTTCACTTGGGCATTAACAGAAGCAAAAGAAGATCTAGATGAATGACATGCTTCATCACAAGTAGTGACAGTGGTGGTAGTTAACTTATTGACTTGAGCAACAGCAGAAGCAGAAGCAGCTGATTTAGCTGAGTGACATTTTTCATTACAAACAGTGGCAACAGTAGTGGTTAGGGAAGTGATAGTAACTGGATGAGCAGCGTCCATGGCTTGTTCAGTACCAATACAAGTAGTGATAGTGTCTCTTTCAGTTTGACTGTCGGTGACGGTCTTCTTAGTTTTATCAGATTCAGTACAAGTAGTGACAGTATCCGTTTCAGTTCCGTATCTGGTGTTGGTAACGGTTTCCTTGGTACATACACCTTTCGAACATGATGTAATGGTGGCAATTTCAGTAGCAATGACAGAATTGGTTTTAATAACAACAGTTTTATTGTTAATGACGGTAGAATGTTCGGTAACAATATTGTTGGAAGTTATTAAAGAGGAAGTAGAAGGGGCAACAGAGTCCGCAGAGGAACCAACACTTGTAATATCAGAAGTAGAAGCAGATGAAAAAACTGAAGACTGAGAAGTGATTTCAGTAGCAGAGGAGGTTGGGTCAACGGCAGATGTAGATTCAACGGAAGAAGTAGATTCGGCAATAGAAGTAGGTTGGGCAGCAGAAGTAGATTCAATGGAAGAAGTAGACTCAGCATCGACAGAAGAAGCTCCAATCGTAGTTGGAGTAGCAGCAACAGATGAGGAGGAGGAGGAACTTGTGAACTCACTACTGCTTTGTTGAACAGAAGATGAATATTTGATTTCGACAGAGCTAGAGGTTTCATCTACTGGCATACTGGCAGAAATGCTTTGTGGCTCGATATTTTGAGTTGTAGAAGATGTAGATGGAACAGAGGAAGTTGGTGGAACAATAGAAGAGGTTGATGGAATAGCAGATGAAGTTGTTGGAACAACAGAGGAGGAGCTTGAAGGAGTAGTGGAAGAAGTTGTTGGAACAACTGATGAGGTTGTGGATGTTGTGGATGATGTTGTTGGAACAACTGATGAGGTTGTGGATGTTGTGGATGATGTTGTTGGAACAACTGATGAGGTTGTGGATGTTGTGGATGAGGTTGTTGGTGGATATAGCGAAGCATCAACACTGGAAATAGCAGAGGCAATATCAGCAGACAAGTAAGATGAATACCATGGAACAGCAGTAGCCATAGCAAGTAGTCCGTCCATATCTAAACCAGTGAACATGGTTGTGTAAGAAAGGTCACCAGCTTTAGCATTGTGGACGGCAAAATAAGCAGGGATGATACCATTTGGAATGGCTCTACCAGATGACAAAAACCAGGAAGTATAAGAACCAAAGTTGGCGTTGACATCATTCAATAGGACAACTAACTCAGCAGTTTGTTCTGGAGTTGGATTGGAAGCTTGAACAGCTAAAGCAGAAACCAACAAAAGGGTAGCAGAAGAAAGTTTCATTTTATTATGTGTTGTTTTCTATAATACTTGTCGTTATTAGTTGAATAGATATTACTACGACAATCAAACTCTAAAAGAATAATGAAATAGAGTGTCACTTGGAGGATGTCATATTTCATGTCTATTTATATATGTAAGATAGAACACAATTTGCGGTATAATCATTTAGAAGAAATTGTATAGTCGTCACTACATAAAAGTTGAATGTAACAATTGCAGAAAATAACATCTACAAGATGATACCATAATTTGAAAAAAAGAAAAAAGAAGACTGGAAAACATCGGCGATGGAGATGCGGTTACGATAGTCCAGTTATGATTGTTAGTATATTTCATAAACGATATGTCTAAATTTACCTAGGAATGTGTGGAGTACTTAGAGCATCTTAAGGTTAAAGTGGACGTAATTGCAATCTAAACTTGGGGACACACAAAATAACTCCAATATATGATAAAGAAAAAAAATAGTAACGGAATATATCCAGATTGGGTAAAAATATTCAAAAACAAAGAAAACATTTGATATTATTACTTTTTTCTTTTTATTTTTATTCTGTATATGTTTGTTTGTTGAAGGACATCTTAAAATTATTGATATTTCAAGATGTGTCATTACTTCTACGAAGAGATCTCAATAAAAAACAAACCGGATGTAATGATAAATAAACTGGTTAGTAATAATTTTTAATTGGAACCTATATCCTGAGAGAAATGAAAAAAAATACCTATACGACCAGTCAAGTACAGTTTATATGTTAGAACATTCTGTCTGGAGGATTAAAGGTTATGATCAGCGGTGACAACCAAAAGAATAACTGTATCAATTGGTAGTTGGACCTGCGATGGTGTATCATAGTCGGGAGATATATTTCCATATTCATACAACGGTCTGTGTATCCTGTACGACGTGGGGAAAATAACCCACGTCACAAACGATTACCACCCATGTTCTGTAGTCGTCTTTCTGTGGAAACATACTTATAGGAACCCATATGATGGGTTCTGGTTGCATAATCGTTCGTTCCTGTTGACACCACAGAAATCTCAGTACCATCGCTCTGTAATCCTATACATAGATCCGTAGAAAGAAAAATAAATCGGAAAGAAGAAAAAACTTCATTTCTCGAAGGTGCCAAAAATAAAGAGCAATGAGCAGAAAAACACAGCAACGATCAGGAGAGAAGAAATGAGGGTACATTTCATCTGATGAGGTAGATTTTGTATCTCAGATCCAGGAAGCTTAAGAGATTGGAATTGTTGCTCTTTTCTTTTGGTTAGTTCTTTGAGGGTTCCGGTTTCGTATTACCTGAAGTATCTTCACAATTTTTTTTTGGTGTTGTAAATATTACGAACAAAAAAATGGTGGTGGGGCTCGTATGGGATATTTCTTCCACGAATCCTCTATGCTATGGGTGTTCTATTTTTCTTTACTAATACAAATCAAGTGTAAACAATTCGATTTTTCAGGTACGAAGTATTATGTCTAAGACGATTTTGCATATCTGCCATTTGAGATAACCACGTCCACTTAGGTACTAAAGATACTGACGTTTGACAGATCGTATGGGTATTGCACGTTGCCCAGCTTCGTTGATCTATTTTATAGATGGCGCAGTTTCCCATTTAATAAATGGTGGGGAGAAGATATTAAATACTCTATAGTATTTGTCTATATAAATGTTGTTTTTTGTTCTATTTGAAGGACGTACGTAACAGTATTTATTTTGAGACGAAGGAAGATACATTATTCACTCACAAAGTAAACAATATTTACAAATGTCATTATTCTCAATAAACAAACGATAGCTGTTATACGCTACGTTTGATGTTTGACAGTCATTTCAAGAAATGATAAAGAAATTGTGTTTTCTTCTCTATAAAACTGTAAAAGTAAATAAACTTTTGTAGGTTACTTATCCTTGATCGATATATGATGAAAATTTAGGGTAAAGCAATAACATTCAATAAAAATAAAAGATGCTTATAATTCAAGGAATGTTCCTAGTTTCTACGAAAGTTTTTGCTCTCTTTCTTCGATATTTTGTTAGAGTGTTTGATCTCATAATATACCCCTCCCAACTATTAACTGCAGATATATATATCAAATGCATGACGTGTGTTGTTGGTCATGTATCCGAATCTACTCGTAAAAATCAATTTTAGTACATTTTAGTTATTTGAGTTGTTATTAATCTTACAACAACATATTTCCTATTGTTCGAACTCTATAACCTGATAAAAGTGGAGAAACCCTAGCATTAATTTTAAAAAGTTGCTATATCTGTTCTGTGAGAACTTGTTTACGTTCTCTGGTTATTTTTCATACTCCACCAAGCAAAGAGATAATGGTGTGGTAACCGATTGAATTGTCGTTATGAAGATAGCTACATGATATAACAGTGTTTACATAAAGAATGCAATAGTTGAACTTCATAAAAGGTATTCTTCAATTAAAACTATGATGTTAGGCAAGATTAATATCTAATAATATGCATTACCCAAACATGAAAATTGAGATAGTTACGAATTAGAATAATCTTAATATTATCCAAAATCTTGAGAATTGTACAAATCAATTCAGGTATGAACATATCATAACTTGTACTGATCCAATTTACTCAATTGCATTGAAATATTCTGACGTAAAACTACAGACAAGTCAGATCGCTATTGTTCCAGCAATTATTTGTAATTGTTTATCATCTTAAACTGCTCAAATTAATCAACTTTCATCGAATGTTTATTATGTCACCTATGATTAGAAGTGCTCTTTTAAGGTCATGATCAGATATATATATATATATGCATACCTCTAAAATGTATTAGGTAATGAAACACCGCCTTATCCCTCTAATTTTTAGACTAATTTCTGAGTGAGACACATTATTTTTTGCTTATCTCATCTCTAACGAGCGCAAAAAACTGAAAAATCTGGAAAAATTTATTGCACCGATGAGCTTCACAAGGGGATCCGCCTTTAATTAGTGTGCTTTCTTTTAACCCCTTCCAAATAGCAACCATTTTATCTTCTATCAGAAGTAATATAAATAAGATCGCATAAATTCATATGTTTATTAGAATTCAGAAATCATAATATTTATTTTAAAAGACACAATTATTTAACAGTATAAGACTAATTGAAAGCTTATTCCCTTGTAGAAAGAAAATACAATAAACTTCAAAAAACTTCAAAAATGTTGCAATATCCTGAAAAGATCGATGCCATCGGTATTACTGACCAAGCCGACTGGAAACACCCCAAGAGGGTTGCATTTCAACCACGTAAGTTCGGTGAAACCGATATTGATGTGAAGATTGAATGTTGTGGTGTGTGTGGATCTGATATACATACTGCTGCTGGTAACTGGGGTGATTTGCCAAAACCAGTTGTCGTTGGTCATGAAATCATCGGTACTGTTGTGAAAAAGGGTCCTAAATGTACCTCTGAATTTAAAATAGGCCAACGTGTTGGGGTTGGTGCACAATGTCACTCCTGTTTGAAATGTCATCGTTGTGAAAACAATAATGAATCTTATTGTGACAAATTGGTCACCACTTATGGACAATTCTTTGAAGATGGTTATTGTTCTAAAGGTGGTTACGCATCCCACATTAGAGTGCAAGAACATTTTGTCATTCCAATCCCAGACAATATCCCATCCGAGTATGCAGGTCCATTGCTATGTGGTGGTAACACTGTCTTCTCCCCATTAATCCGTAACGGTTGTGGTCCAGGTAAGAAAGTCGGAATCTTAGGTATTGGTGGTATTGGTCATATGGGTCTGATATTTGCCAAAGCACTAGGTGCAGAAGTATATGCCATTTCTCGTAATTCTAAGAAGAAGGAAGACGCATTCAAACTAGGTGCTGATCACTTTATTGCTACTAATGAAGAGCCCGACTGGGCTGAAAAGTATTACGATACTTTGGATTTGGTCATCGTTTGTGCAGGTTCATTGAAGGATGTCAATTTTGAAAAGCTACCAAAGATCATGCAAGTTGGTGGTCGTATTGTCTCTATCTCTGTTCCAGAACAATCAGAAAAAATCGTGTTGAATCCATTTGGTCTTATGGGTGTTTCTATCTCAAACAGTCATTTGGGTTCTATTGAAGAGATTAAACAATTATTAAAATTGGTTTCCGAAAAGAACTTAAGAATATGGATCGAAAAATACCCAATTAATGAAGCCAATGTTAACGAAGTATTCGAACGTATGGAAAAAGGTGATGTTAGATACAGATATGTATTCACAGATTATGATAAAGAATTTAACTAACTAGATAATATTTATTATATAGAAGAATAATTATTAAACGTTTTTTATTTTTACTTGAGACTTTTTTATGTAAAAGTTTTCGGCCGAATTGTAATGAATTCACACGTTAAATTTGAAGCAAATTCGGCCGAATACAGAGGGGGATTTACCCAATTTGTTTTTATTCCGATCCGAAGAATATCGAAAAAAAATTATTAGGTAATCATATTATTTTTCATTCTCAACTAAGAACAAACTTGCAGTAGAAGCAAAGGGTTTTTTATATTACTTTTTATTCTTTGGAACTTCCATCGGTTTTCCAATTGAAAACTTTCCGAAGGGTTCCTAATCATATAGTAAAACAATGAATTTTCCATCAGTCACTGTTGTTTTTTTCCATAATATCTGGATGACATTTATATAAAAGGTTCGCAAATATATTATATAATTTGAAAAAGTTTTATTCTAAAAGCTTTAAGTGATTCATAAATACTTACTCTATTTTCAGAGAAGTTCCATAAAACAATAGTAAATTAACTAAAAAAACTATTAAAAGAATATAAACATGTCCGTCTTCGTCTCTGGTGCAACTGGTTTCATTGCCCAACACATTGTTGGTCAATTATTAGATCAAAATTATAAGGTTATCGGTTCTGCTAGATCTCAAGCTAAAATAGATGAATTGCAAAAGAAGTTTGGTAGCAACCCAAATCTTTCCATGGTCATTGTTCCAGATATTAGTAAGTTGGATGCCTTCGATGAAACATTCAAGATTCATGGTAAAGATATTAAGTATGTTCTACACACTGCTTCACCATTCAAATTCGATGTCACCGATTTTGAAAAGGATCTATTGATTCCAGCAAGAAACGGTACTTTGGGTATCTTAGAAGCTATTAAGGAATATGCAGCTGATACAGTTGAAAGGTTTGTTATTACCTCAAGTTTCGCTGCTATCTTTGATTTGGCCCGTCTTGATGATGATAACCTTACTTTCACTGAAGATTCATGGAATCCTGATGATTGGAATAGTTGTCAAAGAGATGGTGGATCTGCCTACTGTGGTTCTAAGAAAATTGCTGAAGAAACTGCATGGAATTTCTACAATGAAAACAAGGATAAAGTGAAGTTTAAGATGACTGCTGTTAACCCTGTCTACGTATTTGGCCCTCAAAGATTTGACGCTGATGTTAGCAAAACTTTAAATACATCTTGTGAATTTATCAATTCAGCATTACATTCTACTCCAGACAAGCTACCACAACCTTTTGCTGGTGGTTACATTGATGTTCGTGACGTTGCTAAAGCTCATTTATATGCTTTCCAAAAGGAAAACACAATTGGTCAAAGATTGATCATGTCCGAAGGTAGATTTAGCACCCAAGATATTTTGAATTACTTAAATGCTGATTTCCCTGTTTTGAAAGGTTCTATCCCAGTTGGTAACCCAAGTGAGGCTTTGGAAAATAGTACAGCTGGTGCCAAGACTGATAACCATAAGACTAAGGAAATTTTAGGTTACAAGTTTATCGGTTTAAAGCAAACTATTGATGAGACAGCAGCTCAAATTCTAAAACAAGAAGGTAGATCGTAAGTAAATGTATAATTTTTAAAGTATATGTTAACAAAGTTATTGAAAGAATGATTAATAAGTAGTTAAGTCAGCAAATATTGTTTTGTTTACGAAATTTATTCACTGATAATAGGAATATTTTAGGAATTTTTAAGTTTAGTGTTTAATTACTCACTTATATTACGGTACTGAACAAAAACAATTTTTTTTAGAAAGAGTTAATACCAAACTTTATCAAAAATAATCACAATTAAGGTAACAAACTTAATTATGTTACTCAATACAAGAAAAACATATACGTAAGCAAAAGCTAAACGTCTAACTCACACAATTTGTGAGATTTTCTTCATATTTCCTTTATTGGTGTGCTTTTGTAGTTACCATTCTTATGAAACATCTCTTCAATCTAAATAAAGTTCGAAGCAAAGTAGATTGCGTTGGTCCATCATATTTTTGTTAATATCGACGTAGATTACTTCTAACTATATTACTATAGTCTTCCCCTAAGAATTGGAAAGTTAAATGATCTGTTTAATGTCTTTTCGGATAGGGATGCTTTCAGAGAGTGAAAAAAAATGAATAAAGAACAGCAAATTAGTGAAGCGAGTCAAAAATTCCAAATACCGTTGAACAAGGAAACAGTTTCAACATGATATAGCAATCAAGTCATATTTTCAAAGCACCAAGATACCAACTTTATCACATTTTACACTCTGTTCTGGATATATCTCATTGTAAGTTTATTTGAAATACCTAGTTTACACACCACCTTAGTAGGTAACATATCTGCAAAAATGACAAAGCAGCAAAGAAGTAATAATAATAATGAGACAGATAACTCTTCTGCCCTTGAATTTTATAGGAAAGCGCTCAACTTTAATGTTATTGGACGATATGATCCTAAGATAAAACAACTACTGTTTCATACACCTCATGCTTCCATATACAAATGGGATTTTCAAAAAGATGAATGGACAAAATTGGAATACCAAGGTGTATTGGCCATTTACTTAAGGGACATAAGTGATAATGAACCATTACTACATTTGGATTACAACACAGACTCTCAGTTTAATAATAACAAAAATAACAACATATTTGAAAGTAGTAGAAGCAATATATCTGAAATGTCAAACTCAAGTGCATTGGATGGTTCTACAAAATCTCAAAGGACAGACGTTTATTCCAGTAACAACACGGCCGGACCGAACTCGTCAAGCACAATCCTTTGTGGCAAAGACATATATAACTATGGTCTTATAATTCTTAATAGAATGAATCCGGATAATTTCTCTATGGGGATAGCTCCAAACAGCGTCATTAACAAGCGTAAAGTGTTTGATGTAATAGAAAATAAAGCCAATCCACTAGAATGCATGGGCGTGGAGGTTAAAGATGATTTGGTGATAATCAAGAATTTAAAGCACGAAGTGTTTGGTATATGGATTCATACCATTGCCGATAGACAAAACATTTATCAACTAATCAAATACCTACTGGAGAGCGAACCAAAGGAATCTTTTGCGTAAAAAATATACAATATATATATATATATTGTATAGCTGTATCTATAATTCGTATCATCGTATTTTACTCTACCATTGATTTTATTGTTATGCATCAAACAATTTTCAAAGTAGCTTAAATTAAAGAATATATATCTGGTCTTAGTTTATCATTCTAATTATTGAAAAAGAAGTATATATAAAACGCTATTTAGGTGTTGCTGTAGTGGGCGAACCAGCAGACTTAACACTAGAAGGTGTACCAGTCAAATAACCTATATCATTCCCAGCTGGCGTACTCACCGTACTTGCAGCAGCTGTAGACGCAGCGGTACCTTTCTTCTTCGTCACACGTTTCTTCTTAGGGGTTTCACCATTAGCAGCGGTCTTCTTAGGTTTACGAGGTCTCTTCGTTTTGGGTTTATCTGAATTACTACCACGTTTATTTGTTCCTTTACCTTTTGCTTGCCCACCAGTATCCTTCTTACCTCCTTGGCCCTTTTGTTTCTGAGGCGCTAAATTGGAATCTGAGCCAGTCATTGCCATAGATATCTTCATATTGAATGGAAGAGCAACACCGTTCCCACCACCATTTCCATTAACCATGTTTAATGCTTGTTGCTGTTTTCTCTTCTCCTTATTGACACGGTATTGTTCAATGAATTTCAATCTACTAAATTGATTATTCTCATTACTAACACTTGATGCAGCTGCGGCCGCATTTGCAGCAGCGATAGAAGATTGACCACCATCTGAAGCCGAAGAACTACCCGTGTTCCTGCCACCACCAGATATACCTTTTGAACCACTAGAACCAGATTTGGAAGTTTTTGTCTCTGTAGCATGTCTTGCTAAAGCTGCGGCAAATGCTGAATTTGTTGTTGTCGTGGTCCTTTCACCCATGATTAACATCATCTGCTCATATGTAGAGTTATGTTGTGGTAATTCCTCATGTTGACTTATATGACCTGCTCCACCCTTAGTCTTTTCATCTACGGATAACTTTCTATGTGGAAAATGTACTCTTTGCGTTTCTTCGTCCCATTTTGGTATAGTAAAATCTAATTCATTTATTTTTTCTTGGTGCTCATATGGGTTCAATTTCACAACAAGATCGATATTACGTTTGGTGAGGATCAACAATTCTGATTCTAATTGATTATAGATAGTATCAGAAAATCTTGCTTGATCTGCGTAAGTCATCATATCATAGTAACTTGACAAATCTGTAGGCCTTAAGAGCGTTCTATATACTCTTGGTCTTCTAAATGATGTTTTGACAACATTGGCTCTTTCTGAAGAGCTACTTGAATTCCCGTTATTACTATCATGAGCTTCTCTCTTAATATTATTATTATTTGAATTCTGCAAGTTATTGTTTTGTGATTCCGGATCAGCTTTTACATCTTGCTGTGGTTCTTGTCCCTGCGGTACAGGATTTGGGATAGTACCTGGTTTTGGTAAATCCTTCGGTATTATATCGACGGTGTTTGTATGATCATATACTTGTAACACAATATTTCCTTCATATAATTGTAAATTACAATCTCTAAGGACTTCCATTAATGCCTCTGGCATAGTACCTCTTGCGACATATTCTAAAAAATCTTTCAAAATTTCGTTGTTTTTATTTAACACAAGACCCTCATTTGAAATCTCAGGTGATTTCTGTTGCTGTTGTACCCTTGTATTCGCTGGCGCACATATTTTGTAATTATTTTCATATATATGGAATTCAAAACTAGGTCTATATTGTTCGTATTTCTTAAGAATTGAGTCTGTATCTTCAACGAAATTATAAATTCTCTTTGGTTTCTTATTGATCGTCATCAACAATTGATAGAATTGTGTTTCGAAATTATGCATTGCTTGCTGCTGTCTTTGTTGTTGCATTGCTCTTTGTTGCATCATCATTTTCTGTTTCTGTTGTTGTTGTTGCTGTGGAGTACCAGCTTGTAATTTATGCTGTTGCTGTTGTAATAATTGTAATTGAGCCTGAGTGAGCCTCGAATTAGTTGGAGGAGATCCTGCCGACACATTCATGGGCATTCCTCCAGGTGTATTTATAGGACTACTCATTTGCAAACCTGTATGTATACCTGCACCCGTAGGTGAACCATGAGTAAAACCATTAGTTAGACTTCCGTTACTACTGGCATTACTATTATTTCTATTAGCCATACTGAGGTTCACGGCTACACCTTGGGGACTGAGTCCTCCTCCTGGTGTGTTAACAGGGATTCCAACATTTTGCCCATCGTTGTTTGGTGAATTAACTGCACTCATTGAAATGATATTCAAAAACAAAAATCAATATAACGCAAAATAGCTTATGGAATAATATTTCAGTATCAGTTGTTGTTGATACTTTTTAACCGTTGAATTATGAGAGTTCAACCTTATTTCCTTCTATGATAATGTGATTAAAAGCTCTTTCAAATATTGTTTACAATAAGCCTTTTTCATTAAATTTCCAAATTTTCTTAAAAATTCAAAAAATCATCGTTAAAAGCACAGCATGAAAAGAGCGTTACCCTGAAGGGCAATTAAATATTATTATCAATACATTATAAGAACAATAACGATCACACACGTACACAGGCACACACATATATAGAACTTGTATAGACTAGTATATACACTCCGAAACATACCTGTAGATAAAAATCAATTTGAGAATATTTATTAATTTGTCTTAGTGGCCTTCCACATATCGCTGAGTCCTAGCATTGAGGTCACCACACCTGCAAGAGCCACATATTGTTCACGATTAGCCAAATAGCCTAGATTGTTCAATACAATAAACATATCTGTAGAATCCCATAGCAATCTTCTGGTAGCCATGAATCTTTCCCTGTGTGTGGCTTTGACCAAGTCGATGCGTTGTTTATCGGTGATTTCTTCCTTAGAGTCGTTAACTTCTTTTAATTTAACATCAGAGATTTGAATATTACGTAGATCCAATAATAAACCAGAGACTAAACCGAAAAGCCAAAACCAATTGGTCCAACGAGGTACTTTTTTACTTGAAAATGTAGTCATAGGAACCAATTTAAACATTCTTAATAAATTAATTTGATCTAAGGTCAAATATCCTGCGTAACATAAATTCTTAATAATATTCAATACACGTACAATCGAATCCCCAATCAATTTTTGATCGTAAACTTTGGAGGCAGCTTGTATATGATTCAATGGTTTTAAAAATCTCAATACTTTCCTAACTATTGTAAATTGTGCTTGCAATTGTCTAGACAACGCAGATCCTTGTTGTACAGCCAAGAATCTACATAGATATTGTAACAAACGTAAAAGCTTCTCTCTACCAGCAGTAGTGTCTAAAAACTTGACTAATTTAGTCACCAAGGGGTGATAGACCAATGTATCGTAGACCATAATTTCAACAATTTGTTTTGCAATAGATACTTCTAAGATACAAGAAGAGAATGCAATATTAAATGGAAAAGACCTGAACTTATTGGTTTAAATATCTTCTAAATTTTCAAACCCTTTTTTATATATTAATCAAATCCTTTAATCGCAATAAAGGAAATGACTGATTCGTCTTTAAGAGTTGACTTTTACCCCAACAGCAATAACAAATCCGCCGTGCCGAGATATGTTGTAAGAGACGCGTTTAATATATTTATCACCGATCTAGCGAATGCACCAATTGTAGTATAAGAGACACGAAAATTTTAACCAACGAACAACAACAAGAAACCACACCCAAAGGGAAGATAAAGGACCTTCAAACGTTGATGAATAGATACTGCAATTAATGGGATACTACGATATAGATGATATGCTTACCGAAGGGAGCGAGATTCCATGCAAGTTTCTTCAAGATATACCGGGACTCGGATATCTGGAAAATAATCCTGGGAAACCTATTAAAGCTAATGCTAAACTAATGTTACCTTACTGGTTAGCCCATATCCTTGCAGCTATTGATAATATACCTCTCTCTGAGGATTCCATGACTGTTGATGATGAGGAAGAACCTGTGCCGTTTCTTGAAATGTCGACTCCTGAAAGTTTTTCCCAAAGAGTCATTAATGCTATAAAGACAGACCCCAAATCATTAGATCTACATTCAATAAATCCACATTTTTATGAACTAGCCATTAAATGGTGTGCAATATATTCAGTAAAAGATTTAGCAAAAGTAGTCTCTGAGTTGTTATTACAAAGATCTCAAGATATTAATAACTTCGCTTACTCAATGTCAACACAAACTAAAAATATTGATTCTATAGGGACAATGTCAAATATTACAGAGTCAAAACCAAATAACTTATTAGCATCTTCATCTTTTTTAATGACTTTAGATGAATTAGAAAAATATGTGTATAGGACTTCACATGAATCTTACAAGAATTCGAAAAGATGGATGTACCAAAATAAATAATCAAAATATAAAATTAACAAATGCATATATATATACATAATTGAAAACGAGCACATAATAACATATGAAGGGTAATAACTATTATTACTATTACTTTACGTATTATATTACAAAACAAAAAAAATACATATACATATATATATATATCAATTAGAAAAGGTCACCGTCGTCACTACCATCATCGTTATTTTTAGTATCTTCCTTGTCGGAACCTTCATCATAAACAGGTTCTTCTCCACTTTCATCACTATCAGCAATAAATTCGTCTGATAATGTAGATTTTTTCCCTCTGTGCTTGGTTTTGCTTGGCTTAATTACATCGTCGTCATCGTCATCGTCGTTGTCATTTCCAGAACCACTAGTGTGCTTCCTTTTCTTATCACTAGAAGGTTCCTTTGAACTTTTACTTCTTTTTCTTTTCTTCTTTTGACCATCGCTATCATAAGAAGCATCCGAATCAGCACCTGCATTATTTTCATCAACAAGCATACTTTCACGTTCCAACATATATTGTTGTGCCTCATCTTGTAATTTCTTATATTCGTCTGCTTGTTTTTCTAGCTTGATACGCTTTTCTTCATCTTCCTTTTCTTGTCTTCTCCTGCTTTCAAGTTCTTGTTGTTCTAACGCTTTACGAGCATCCTCTAACTTAACATCGTTTTGTTTGTCAAATACTTCTTGCTCCGATATACAACGCTGAAGAGATGTCTTCATTGTAGTCTCTCCTAATTGAATTCTTTGTTCTAATTCTTCCTTTGAAACAATAACAAATGATTCATCATCTTTCAATTCTTGCAACAGAACTAAACCATTTTGTAAACCAACAAGTGCTTCCTTTAGATCAGCGGAGGTACGGTTGGTACCTGACGCTCTTCTCAAAGTTTCAGCGATTTGGAACTCCAACAAAGCCAAATTATATTTCAAAGTATTGATATATTTATTAGATTTGTTTATTTCTTTCTCATTACCTTCCACTAAAGCTTCATCACCTTGAGTTTCAATTGAAGATTTTACACTTTCCTTAGACTTTTTCAAATATTCAACGGATTTTTCTCTCATACCTCTAAAATACCATGCCTTACCTAACATATTATAGATATACGGTTTATTTTTCAAATTACTGAACGTTCTAATCAATAATTCATAAATTTCAATGGACTTGACGTATTCATTCATCTCCAATAAACAATTAGCAAGATTAATATGAATATCTTCATTCTTAATAGAGTCTCTAACTTTTCTTAACACTTCTAATGCTGGACCCATTCTTTTGTTTTCAGCAAATACAATAGCAATACCTTGAGCTGCAAAAATGTTTAATGGATCAATTTGTAGAACTTTTTGGTATAATTGAATAGCCTTTAAGTAAGATTGTTTAGATTTCTCCATATCTTTACTAGAACCAGTTTTTTTACTTTCTTTGGCAATAGCACAATACAAATTAGCCAAAGAAACAAGTGCATATAAATCATGGGAATCATATTTGACTAAAGTTTCTTTATTACTTTCGGTAGCCAAATCACTACTATTATGCACAGTATTTAGATACCAACTGTAGAACGAACGAATCTCCAAATTCGATTCATTTTTGGATAATAAGGCCTTCATAATATCATCTTCTTTCTCGATATTATGAGTTGTCGATGAAATATATTTACAGTATAACTCCCTTATCTTTGCTGATAGATATGATGGATGCTCTTGAAGGATATTCCCATAGACTGCTTCAGATGCTTCAATATTAGTACACTCATCCGATCTTGCTACATTAAAGTCTATCGTAATAGCGACACTCTTATCATGATTCAATTCTTGAGCAGATTTGAAATATTTATTGGCAGCCTCGACTTCACCATTAATGAAATAGAAACAACCCATATTGTTGTAAATCTCTAATGGAACACTATCCTCATTTATAAAAGTCAATTCATCGACAACTTTACTCAATAGTTCCAATGATTGTTTGTAATGGTTTCTAATTTCATATAATTGAGATAATAATAGGTAGGCACGAGGTGTTACCAATTGATTTTTTTTGGCCGTAGTTAAATTAACATATTTTTCCAAAAATTGAATTGCTTTATTTGATGTACTCTTTAATGCTTTTGCGGATAAACTTTTCCTACTATTAGAATCTAAACATTTACTGGAGTATAGAAGACCTAGAATATAATTCAATTCTTGTATCGATTCATGGGTTTTCAAAAGATTTTCAAAAGTCAAGATACTTTCTTCAATCAAATTAGTCTTAATTTGTGCTTGACCAATTCCAAATTTAGCTAAAAGATTTTCCTCATTCTTTCTTAAACTTTCTTGAAACATCGCAAATGCTTTACGATATTCACCAAGAGCATATTGTGCTCTACCACACCAGAATGTGGCATCTGATAGAACAGTATTCGATAATAATTCCTTTCTTGGAGCTAATTTATTTTCATAAATCTCTAAAATTTTAGTATAGTTACCTTTGAAATAATAATAACTCTGTAATAAGATTAGAAGAACTGGATTTTCTTTATCTGCACTCAATTGAGAATCTAAATCCTTTAAAGCACTTGTGAAATTCTCTTCAAATTGAGTATCGTTATTGGATTCTGTCAAAGCTTTATAAAATTCTGTCAATAATACCAAAGTGGATGGGCCTTTATTATTTGGGTCCAATTGGGCAGCTCTTTTCCAAGATTTGATGGCCATTTGATGATCTTTTAATTGCCAGAAGCACATACCTATACCAATTCTAGGGTCTGGTTTAATCATAGGGTTAATGACTAACAATTCTTGGAATGATTTCAAACTAGCCTTGTAATTCTTGTTATGGTATAAAAGTTTAGCCCTTAAGAACAAAAACATAGAATTTGGTTTTAGTGGTTTCCCAGATCTTCTCTCTTCGGCTTCAATACCTTTTATAAATAAGTCTGCAGTCTCAAGAGCCTTTTCGTAATGACCTCTTTGATAGTATAAATCTAAAGTAGCCAAGATATTTGCGATCCAAGTTGGATTAAACGCAATTGCATCCTTCAAATTATTTTCTGCGTTTTGTAAAGCTTCTTCTCTCTTAGCTACGTCAATATTATTCATCTTAGCCATCTTAAGGTAAGCCCATGTCAAAAATGTATAAAGACTGGCTTTATCGTAATCAGAAAATATGTCCAAAGCTATCTGAATCAATTTGATACCACCCTCCAACATACCATGATTACAATATGCAATTGCAATCATTAACCAATGTTCTTTGTCAGAATTTTCTTCAACTAACAAAGTTCTCAAATCGTTTGGATCATCTGGTAAATCTGTATCTAAATCGATACTGACCAGTTCTTCAGAGGCTTTTAAAGGGATATCTAGGGAAGTAGGCCAATCCATTGAAGGATAATTGGCAAGATCGATCACAGATGCATCTTTGGTAGGAGAACTCATGATTTTATGTTCCTATTTCTTCTGCTTGTTTGTTATTATCTCTCGAACAGCACTTATGAAAAAGCTAAAACGACCTTATCAATCAAACCTAAGAAAACCGTAGCAACAGGAATAGCTAGTAATAACAAATATCCCGTTTAATTTAGGATTATTCGAGCACAAGGAATTTTCTTTTGTTGTCCCTTGATACAGAACTGGTTAAAACCCAACTTTTTCACCTATCTTCAACTATTTTTGCCTTGAAAATTGTTCCCACTGCATAGAAATTCAATTTCTTGCTCTATTTGGTTCTTTCTCGGTGAGGACAGCTTCAACAGTTTTCAACGCTATTTTTTTATATTTGAAAAAGAGAGTGAGGGTAACTAGCTTATAAAAGTAAACTATTAGAGTAATACCAAAGCAAACATCAAACATTACACTAGTCATATGTAGGCTCTCTTTACTTGAAAGGTATACCGATGATAAGAGTTAATATCATTAATTCTGAGTCGATACACTATTGATTCTATGGTACATTCAAAATTATATTCTCAAACCGTTCAAGTCCACCAATCTGAAATAAAACAGAATAAGATTATATTAAACTGTAGTAATATTAGTTAGCCTCTCAAATTTCCATGTACTAATGGTACGGACATGAAAACTCCAACATGAGCTGAATGAAGGTAAAATATCGCCTTCAATTATGTCATCCGTATGGAATGACCGGCAGCGTTCCGGCTTCACCGTCTTATATAATGAGTTAGGAATGGTAAAAGGGAATAAGTGTCAATAAAATATATTAAATATATATCCGACCCAATTTAGTTTGGAAATAGTAATGTTATAATAATGCAAAATACTCTACTTCGTTTCAATTAGCTGTCACATCAGTACCAAAATGCAAATGTTGACTAGGCGGCACGTGACTGAAAAGTTTTTTCTTTACAAATTTTCTCTAAGATCGATGAGATGAGTTACGAATAATAGACTTTTTATAAAAGATAACAAGAACTGGAACCGTTGATATAGATATTGTGAAATATTTTATGTCTTTGACACAATCTCTTTAGTAGATCTACGATAGATAAAAACAGAGCAATGAGTACCGTGCAAAAAAGAGTTTTTGTTGGTAATGTGTTGAATAACCAAGATGAATGTTTTGAGGATTTGTATAGACGTTTCCAAACATTTGGGGAAGTGAGTGATGAGACTAAAGGATTTGATATTCATGGAACTTTCGGTTACTTAAATATAAAATTTTCTGATGAACAAGGTTTTCAGAAACTGAGGAAGAATTTTAACAAAATCAACTTCAAAGGTAATATGTTAGCAGTAGATCTGGCAAAACCAAGTTTCCAAGAATCATGGAAAAATCAACACGAAAAAGATTTAGTAGAAAACGGTTTGATAGAGAAGAGAAACTCAAAGAGAAATTGGGAACAGTATAAGAAATTAGAAAACATTCAAATGTCCTGGCTAGATCATAAAGAAGTCATGAAGGGGAGAATGAGAAAGACACCAAGAAAGAAAAGAGATCTATCAAATGTAACGTTTAGAATTGATGTTAATGGATCTTTGAAAGTTTACAAATGTTACAAGACTAAACTATGGGGTTATGAAAGACACAAAGAACTGGGTGACCTTGTTTACAAATTTGTCGGGAACAAATGGCGTAATGGGTTTGATCATATTGTAGATCGTCTAAATTATGCTAGATCAAAGCAATCCATACATTTCAATAACCCAACCGATGGATCATCATTGACAATTTCACATGACCCAAGTTCTGTGCCAACTGCAGATGATGAACATATTTCTGAAGAAGAGAAATTAAAGAATAATAATGTATTGTCAAACTTACTAAGCGGTTTTGATTTTAATGAAGTGACAAATGCAGTAGATTCAGATGAGGCTGAAGAATTCGGATTTAACGCTAAGGAACAACAGGAAGAAAATTACGGACAATATAATAACGACAATAATTATAATGATGAGGAATATTACAATGAAAATGGTGACGATTATAATTATAATAACAACAACTACAAAGAGGAAAAAGATTATTATAATGAGGAACCTGTCAAGTCTCACAAACAAGATAATAACAAAAATCATACCTACGAAGAAGAAGAAATACAGGAGGAAGAACCTATTCCAATTTTCACTGACAAACCTGTTAACAATGTCATGACGGGTACTGTTAGTAACACCGAAACATTAAGATCTCTATTTAACCCAGAAAGTGAATCAAAATCAACTGGATTTACTTTAATGGCTGGAATAGGAGAAGATATCGCTGATGATCAAAACATACCAGAGGATGCCGAAGAACATATATCCAGTGTTGTTGGAAAGGACTTCTCTGTACATGATCAATTGAAGGAAAAGAACCATTTATTCTTTGCCCATTTCAAATCCCCCTTCTTGTTAGGTCAAACCCAATTAACTAAAATTTCTAGTGGTGGAAATAATGAACTGTTAAATAACTGGGACCAAGAATTCTGGGATAATAGAGGTACATGGACCAGAGAGATGAAGAATAAAAAGAGAGATGCTCTAAGGCAACTCCACAAGAAAAAAGCTAAAGAATCAAATCATATATTGATATAACCAATGGGAAATAGAAACAAAAACTTCAATCACTCTAATTTAAAAAATAAAAAATCTTTCTTTTCATTATGCATTAACTTCAACTAACCAATAAAAATCAAACACCATCTGGGAGGTATGTAAATATATATATATATATATACATTAATATTTATCTAAGTACTTACCATTAAATACCTGTATCATAAGTCAATAATTTTAAGCGTCTGGTCCAAACTTCACGGCCATTTCAGCTGCACAGGCACCCCAATCTTCCCCGTGGTTATGCATTGTATGATGTTCATCAATACCAGCTCTTGCAAGAGCTTGTTCTTCAGTCATACATGTCAGAAGACCAAAGATAACTGGTAAATGAATTTTATCTTGAAGATTCATCAATGCATGTGTAACAGAGTCAGATATGTATTCAAAGTGCATAGTACTACCTTTAATCAAGACACCAATTGGGATAACAGCATCAAGAGGTTGACCTGCCTTCTTTTGCTTTTCAACAAATCTCTTTGTACCGTATGGCAATTCATAGGAACCTGGAACAGTTTCAACAATAATGTTTTCTTCTTTAACACCTAGAGACTTCATTCTCTCAATAGCTCCATTCACTAAAGCGTCAATTACTGATCTATTCCAACGAGCATGAATAATACCAATTCTTAATTTAGAACCATCGTATTGTTGGTCAATCTTACCTAAACCCTTAACAGCCATTCTTTAAATATATCTATGTGTGTGAGTGTATGAAATGTTATAACTAGTATATAATAAAACGATTTGATTATCAATTTATTATCTTAGTTGGCTCTTCTGTAGAAGGTAAGAAAGTTAGACGAAACCAAAGTGATGGATGATACTCCCCTTGCTACTTACCGCTGCCTTCCTTTTATATCGAAACTTCCCTTTAAATCACAATCGAAATTTTTCACTCGCGGAACACGGAAAAAGTGGACGACGAAACGGAACTTCGTTAAACACCGTCAAAGATAACTACTGATTTATTGATTAGTAATACCTGAATAAGCAAATCATAATTGCTCAGGGTGCAAGATACAGAGTGCTTATTAATCCAAGACATTTTTTAAAATGACTAGTAGTTCATAGTTACTGATTTACATTTGTTGTTATTTATTACATATTTATCCAATTGTTGATTTATTCTACATAGACTCACTCAGCCTCGATCCTCCGATGACAAACAAGACTCTCCTCAAAAGATGGCATTTATTCAATAGAATTCATTTTCCTTCTCAATTATTTGATCTCTAGCGAACTGAGACCCACCCTTTGTATCCATGGCTTCTGCCGTATCTTCCTCTTCATCACCTTTATCCTCGGGGTCACGTGGAACATTGTTCAATTGAACACTCGGAGCATATTTCGTGTTTTCTAAATTGCTGAAGATGGAGGTCATAATATTATCAAGGTACTCTGGTGAGTTGACATTAAACATATTTGAAGGTCTTACTTGTAATTTATAATCTGGCCCGTAATATTCATAGTAATCATTATAAGGTAGTTCTTCATCCAACACGACATTGTTCAACAGACCAGTTTCAAAACACCACGTCCTTGCAACATTTCTCATTGTATAACCACCACCACCGACAACCATCATTGGAATGTTGAACGATTTAACAAAATTCACACAGTTAGCATGTCCTTGCATAGATAAATTGAAACATCCTAGACGATCACCAGATAAAGAATCACCACCACATTGCAATACCACAGCAGATGGCTGATACCATTCCATAATTTTACTCACTACAGGTTCAAAGACAGCCCTATATGTAGCATCATCAATACCATCTCTCAATGGAACATTCACTGCGTAATTTTTACCCTTACCGACCCCAGTATCTCTTAATTCACCAGTACCTGGGAAAAACTCACCATACTTATGGAAGGAACATGTCATTACACGGTCAGTAGTATAGAATGCTTCTTCAACACCATCACCATGATGAACGTCAATATCAATATAAAGAACTCTTGGGTGGTATCTTAACAACTCGATAATCCCAAGAACAATATCATTTAAATAACAAAACCCTGAGGCTTCTGATTTTTTCGCATGATGTAACCCACCAGCATAATTGATGGCAACATCACATTTACCTCTATTTAATCTTGCGGCACCTTCCATGGACCCACCTCCTGATATACTGCAATATTCGTATAACCCATCAAACACAGGACAATCATCACCTACATTAAATTTCACACTCTCTTTCTTAAACATTTCTAAGTTATCTGGTGTAACTCTTGATAAAAAATCGATATATTCATCTGTATGGAATTGACACATTTCTTGTTTGGTGGCAGGTTTGGCTCTGTAAATTTCCATCTTCTTGTACAGACCATAGTTCATAATTAAGGAATGTGCCATTCTTATTCTGTGAGGTTTCATGGGGTGACCAGCACCATAGGCATAGTTCCCTACATCTGCATCATAAAAGTAAGCTACCCTTTTCTTTTCGTTGGGTTTAACGGTAATCGGATCGAATGGTTTAGCTTCGTATACCATCTTATTCTCCGACCTATATTCAGTTTTCTACTCTTTAATAACTTTTTCCTTTGATCAAGTAAATCACCGAACAAATTGTTACAACTTTGCAACTTTAATATTTCAAATTGGTTTGATTCATAAGGAAGTATACAGGGTTTAACATATTTCATTTATCAATTAAGTAATGATTATTTTTGTTTAGAAGTTCTCATTTTTGCCTCTCCCTTGTCTCTCTCTCAATTTTCTAAGAAAACACGGAAAGATAAAAGGGCAGAGACACCGATCTATAAGATCCGCTGCAAAGAATATCATTTCTGACGGATTTGAATGCATTAATTGTAAGTTATTCATTTCTGAATATATAGCAAGTCACATTTAAATAGATATATATTTACAATCACGACCTACTAGCCTTCAAAATCCCTCTTGACCTTGAGGTAATGATCTAATTCATCCTGTGATACACTTGCCGTTAACTCTTTATGAGCTTTGATGAAATCTTCCATTCTGACAGTCACGGATGTATCATTATCTGTAGCAACCTGATCGAACCAGTAATTAAGAGAAACAGCCTTTTCTTGGTTATCATTTCTTATTTGGTTATACTCTGTTAATTTACTATCTACAGTGTGAGCAATATTTATCATTGCATTTAACATAGCATCTGAGCACAGAGCATAAAAATCTGCCCCCGTATAATTGAATGGACAGTTTTCGGCAACTTGCATTAGATCCACATCTTCATGAAATGTGAATTTACGAGTTAATGCCTTTAAAATATTTAATTGTTTTTCATTTGTATCTGGTATACCTAAGTATAATAGTTTATCAAATCTACCTGGTCTCAAAAGAGCTTCATCTAGTAAATCTGGTCTATTGGTGGCCCCAATGACAAAAATTCCATCGCTCCCTGTTCCATCCTCGGAACCAGAACTCATCCCATCCAATTCAGCTAATAGTTGGGAAACAATACGGTCCATTACCCCACCAGAATCACCTTGGTTACCTCTCTTAGGCGCTACGGAGTCGATTTCATCAAAGAAAATGACGCATGGTTTTGCCTCTCGAGCCCTTTGAAAGATTCTCCTAACATTAGCTTCCGATTCACCTATATACATATTTAATAGTTCAGGACCTTTGACACTGAAAAAATTCAACGAAAAGTTAGTGGCAATAGCTTTTGCCATTAGAGTCTTACCTGTACCAGGAGGCCCGTAAAATAATAATCCACTTCTCTTCTTTAGACCAGATAAAAATAATTCTGGGTGCTTCAATGGCATGTCAATAGTATCCATTATTTCACCCTTTATTTGATCAACACCACCAATATCATCCCATGTAACATTTGGAATCTTTGGAGCACCAATAGATACCGAATATTCATCTCTTGCAGCAGATATTGCATTTTCTAATGTGGCCATATTTAATTCTATATTGCAGTTATGTTCCGATTTGTTGGAGTTTTCGATACATTCTTCAGTTGCATTACTGACAATAGAACGTATATCTATAGGTGTCAACCCAGCAGAATGAAGAGCTAAATGTTGTATATCCACATCCTCTCCTAAAACGAACTTTTGATTGTTCACTATTAAATCACAACTATGATTTAGTCGTTTAGAAGATAAGTACCATTCAAAGATTGATCGTCTTTGTTCTTCAGTTGGGACGGGTACACTAACTTCGAATTTAAAAAAGGCCCTGGCTGTACTTGGTAAATTATCTATTTCATTAACAGAAGCCAAAAATATTACATTTTTATATTTCTTCATCGTTGCCATAATAGTATTAAGTAATCCTAATTCCAATGTTCTTGCTATCTTGGTTGTATTTTGATCCTGGTTAGGATCGATAGGTGGGAATAAGACGTCCAAATGAGACATGTATAAAATGGTGGACTCGACATATGGTAGAACACCCTCAAGTTTTGCGTTGAGGAAGCCAATAACCTTAGTTATAGAGTCTAAAGAACCTTCACTCACAGAAAAGGTAATACAATCAAAATCTATAAGATTAATTTGAAACTCTGTTGCAATGCTTTTAACTAACGTTGTTTTTCCCACGTTACTGCTTGTAGAATGAAGCAATATAAGGGTCTCTACAGGAATTCCTCGTTTTAGACATTCAATTGACGAGTTGATGATGTTTGAGATATCATTATAGTATGGAAAAGTGTCTGAGAGGTATTTAACCGACGTTGGGAGATTATAGAATGCGTTGAAATCATCATTAATTGTAGCCTCTGGGGATTCGCGTACTATTTTACTTGTACTAAGTTTGGTTTTCACTGGATCTATTATAAATTCGTCCTCAAAAATATTTGAGGAGATATCACCATCATAATTAGTTGTTTTGACATCAGCATAGCTAATTTTAAACCAGACTAATGTGTCATATCCATCTGTTATCTCATTGACACATTGGTCGTCCCATGAAATATTAGTATCCTTAGAAGTTAGAGACGATAGAGATTTATCAAAGGTAATGGGTATAAGGTCACCAACTTTGGATAATCTATTCTTGCTAGCAAAAAAGGTTTTAAGTCTTTGTAAAATAATATCCTGATAGATCTTTTGAGTTTGAATCCAATCACCTACTCTTGAAATAATAACGTTAGAGGCAATTGGTAAAGTGTCTTCTATAATAATTTTTTGAATTTGGATATTTTCCTGACTTGGATATAAACTTTTCACTCTGGGATGCAAATATATGGTGTTCTTGTTGAAATTATTTGGTCGAAAGAGCACAAAAAGTCTTAGTCGAGTTGATTTATTCTTAAGCGAAATCCGCACCAATGATCCACTACTAATTTTAAGCTTTTCAAAGACATCATGATTCGCATATGCAAAAAGTGTATCATCATGATTTTTTTGGTAGATATCTGGAGTTATTAGGTCCAATGGTAAAGGATATGGAAGACATTTAACTTTGATATCGGATAAGTTCATATGTGAGTTTACATCATGGTCATCATTGTTTTCTTTACCTTTCATAAGGATAACTTTTGTCTTAGTAAAATCAATTACTCCGAATGGATGAGGTTTGCAATATGTTATATTACACAATCCCTGACGTAACCATTGTTTCTTATATATAACCGATTGTTTATTTCGAATATCAAACTTCGTTGTTAAAAAGCTTAATTTGTCATTGTTTGAAGGTAATAGTGATATTTTATCGTAGAGTACATTATCTAAAGTGATTCCAACAATATTCAAAGATGAGATATATTCTTTCGAATTGTCACCTAGAGGGTTGAACTCGCAAAAATCAAATGTTGGATTGTATCTTTCTATATGATAATGATCAGTAGGGATATTGACAGTTTCATAAGGTAAAGATGTGTCTAAACAATACCAATATATGAAAGTGTTTTGTAATTCTCTAGAGTAACACGGTAATGTAATTTCTGCGAAGGAGGAAAATTCATCGATAACAGAGGAGTACAGATCTGAAGATACTTTGATTTGACCTGGAGATCCATATGGGTCGAATTGTAGGTTAACCTTCATATTAATATCTAAGTAAAGAACGAATCAATAAGGTTTGTAGGTGTTACACTTACTATTGATATATATATATATATATATATATAGGGAAATATGATTGAGTTAAAACTCCATTTGTAGTCATCGGTTTCTTTCTCGATATTTTTATGCGAAATCTCAAAATATTTTCTTAAAAGAAACTGCTACGTGATGAACTAAGAGGTAACAAAATATATATATATAGAGAGAGAAAGAGAGAAATCTAAGACTACTGCTTATTGATCGTTATTGTTAGTGTTTATATAATAATGTATGTGCCTTTTATTTAAATATTATCAGTTATAGAATATGAAATTGGTACGAAATGTTTATATTTTATATTTTCTTTTTCACTGAATTAGTATCCCTTCACCAATGGTGATTTCAATATAATTTCTCTGGCTTCATTTATCTTGGCAGTAATAAATGGAGACCCACCTTTATCAGGATGATTTCTAAGTATAGCGTTCCGATGTTTACTTTTCACTAGTTGTGCATTCAAATTTTTAATTTCATTGGCTGATATATCTAATATAAGTAATGCTTCCGCTTCTGTCATTCTAGAGAAAAATCCACCTATAATTTGTTGTTCTAAATTCGATTTCATCTTACTATTAAGCCTATTGCTATCAAAACGTAAATCATTATGGAACTTATGTCGGTATGATGATTCGTCATCCAACCTAATATTATTCAACCTTGCAATCATCATTGGTGTTAATGTCTTGTATACTGACCATGCTCTAAAACCTGACCTTGCAGATACTGCGAGGAGAGTCACGCCTACGCCTATTATCAGTGGTAAAACCATTTTCTGGACAAAGAACCAACTATTTTGATAAAGTTAGGTTATTGTCAGTTCCTCTCTATGCTGCCATATTATCGATCATATGAACTCGATGCAGTGATCATTAATAAATATCAACTTTAACAAGCTATTTTTTTTTTTAAAAAAACAATCAATTTTTTTCTTTCTTTCTTGATTATGGAAATATGTTCTGTCAGTAATGTGATCACTGGAAAGATAATCGACAAAGATACAAAGAAGTATACATATTTTACTTTTTCTATGTAATGTTCCTTACTTTAGAATTCTTATTTATTTCTTTTATTACGTGTTTATTTTTTGTTTTTGTTTACGATCACAATTAAAGCTTAGGGAAGCATTTTTCCAAGAAAAAATCTTATTAGATAACCAAAATTCTACCCACAATGTATTATTATTGATTGACTGTACCAAGCTTTCGAAATATATTCAATACAAAGAAGCACGCAATTATATGTAAGAATGTTCCTGGTGACTTCATCGAATGGCCTACTATCAATACTTAATTTCTAATGCATATCGTACTAGAATTATCTATAATTTTATTCAAATGAAAATGAAATACTAAGGCAAAAAAAAACTACGTAAAGTATTACAATTTGTACTCAGCAAACTACTAATCAAGTTTTATCACTACGGCAACCCCATCGAAACACGTACCAAGAACCCAGCAATTACGACATCCACGCTTAGCATCTAATTATAGACATATCCTGTATTTTCCCATTCTTATATCAAATTACATCATAATCAATCCCTATCATTAGATAAAACTATTACAATCATCTCTCTGTATTCATATTATATGATATTAGTATGGCTTGCTTTCAAAATTCCGGGTTTTCTCTCGCATTGCTGAGCAGACACAGCCATCCATTCGGGTTTCGTGCGTGCCCCTGTTCGCCCCGCCATTCGAATATTCATACAAAGAGAGACAGACGGAGATGGGGTCCGTTGATTTGATGTCAGCTATGATTAGATAATTCTAAATCACCAGTACTAAAAGTAGACGATGAAGGAGACCTTGGTAGATACCATCGGTTTTGCTGAATGGCTTGTTGGTAAGGTTCTACTCTTATTCAATATCATACTTGTACTAAATGATACTTACTCCTATATACAACTCAACAGACCAGAAGAAAAAAACTGCGCATTTCTGATTTTATAATTGTAATCATGGTGAACTGTTCCGTGGAGACCTACATTAATGATTTAAACAATACCCTGATGATTCAAAAGAACAAGCCAGTCTTTTCTCAAGTAAACTTAGTGGACTGAAGTTAGACCAATTTGCAACTTTTTTTGTTTAATTGCTGGGATTTTTAAGACTAGGGATAGTAAACGCTAAGAGTAAAGACGACAAACCTTAAAAGTATAATTTTAAAGGTCGTAATACCTTACTAGGTCACAGGTATTTATATATTTTGCTACGCAAAAAAAAAACAAATACACCATTAGAACAGTAATAACTAAGAGCAATAAAGTTAATGTAATTATGTTTATCGTTCGATTTGAAACTCGAATGAAGTAAATCATTAGAGGGGTGGTTCTTTTTTCTTTCTGATTTGCTGTTTATTAAATTGTATATAAAGGTCGAAAATGATAAACGGTTTTAAACTTCTCTTCTGATTATTATTTATTCTTGTTGAATTATTTCTTTTATTACTATTATTTTTCTCGCAAAACCAACTAACTAGTCACTCTACTAATCGAATTACTACAAAACAAACAAAAAAAATCCTATTTATAATCATTATTTATGATATCATTTAGAAAATATACTTTATTTGCAATTACATTGCTACTCTCAACCATAACTACAGCTTTAGCATCAGGAGTTCCATATTTCTCAGATGTTAAAATTTTGGATAGTTATACAAAGAGTTCAGATTGTACAGATTTAAATCATTGGTTCATAATACAACCTAAAATCACTATTCCTGCTGAAAGTGAAACTTCTGATATTCAAATCACAATACCTTTGGCTTTCGGTTCCTATTCTTCAGGTTCTTTCGATTTATTATACGGTTCAACTACTATCGGTACTGTCAATATTGTCGATGGTTCAAACACTTTCACTGTTTCATTTAATTCTTATGTTGCTAGTTTACAAAATGAGATTACTGTTGATTTCAACGTCTTAGCTAAATTCTCAGACAGTGCCAAAGAATTAGTCAATAAACCAATGTCTTTATCCTACGCAGTTAATGCCACTGGTGACAAATCGTTCACCCCAACTATTGATTTTATCGGAACAGACTTGACTACCATCACCACTGATGGTGGTGTTTACGACTCTAACAACACTGCTTGGTTCGTCATCAACATTCCAGTTTCTTTATTGGACGGTGCTGTTTCCATCGACGTTGCTCCAAGTGGTTCCAATTCCTTCTACTACGATTATCCAGACACTACTTTTGAAGTCGTTACAGCTGTAGATTCCTTCAATAACCCAGTATCTTCAGTTCCATTCACTGCCTTTAAAGATGAATCAACTACTGCTGCTTTATTCTTTAATATTACTTCTAATGTTAGTGGTGGTAAATATCTACGTATTGCTTACTCAACAGGTCCATTAATCTATGATGATATCACCAATGAAGTCACTATTAATGGTAAGACAATCATTGACTCCACCGTCTATACCGATTCCATGACCAACGTCGAATTAAATAATGCCTCAGGAGAATCTGCTTTCGATATTGGTCTAATTAGTTCCAATAGAACCACTTCTGCAATGGTTGATAACTCTGTTTCCTCGCAAAATAGTAAAACAACTACCTCCGAGACTACACAAGCTACCTCTGACTCCAATCTTGATGATATTTCTCTATTATCTCCAGATACAGAATCTGAAAGTCTGGATTCTTTGACTGAAGAAGAATTAACTAACAACAATAATAACAGTACTTCTTCCTTTATCATCTCTACTATCTCAACCGATTTAGCTTCTGTTTCAACTAGTGTCGAAACTGCTTCTTTAGTTTTTGACACTACATCAAATTCAATTGCTGCTACTTCCTCTGTCAGTGATATAGTATCTGATATTTCCAACACAACACCTTTGGAAACCACTAGTATATCTACAGTCACCCCTGTCATCGAGGAAGCTGCTTCTAACAATACTTTGATTTCATCTTCTATTTCAAATCAAGAGGTCTCAACCACTAGTTCATTAGAATACAGTTCCAATATGACAGCATCCACAACTTACAACAATGCAACTGCTACTACTTCTGGTAATGATACTTACGAAACATACACAGTACTAATGTCTACCAGTCCAGCGGATGTCACTGAGATCACTAAATTGATCCCTGTTGCTACTTTATCCGGTTCTACCATTTCATCAGAGGTTGTTATTACATCAACAATTTCCGCTGAAGCTATTGATGATGAAAGTAGATTTATTAACTCGACTTCCACTGTAAACGCATTCGCCAATGTTACTTCAGTCACCTCTACAAAGCTATCGACCAAGGTTATAACTACTACATCATGTTCCAACAACCTATGTGTCTTAGCTACTAGTACTGTAGTCAGTGAAGGTTTTGTCGTTACTACTGAATCATATGCCGAAGAGGCCACTGTTTTAAGCAATTTAGTTCCTGTCTCCACTTTACCATGTTCAACTTGCGTCAAATCCGAAACTGTTAAGAGTCAAGGTTATGTCGTTAACACCGAATCCTTAGGTGCAGAAGCCATTACAAACACTAAATTAGTCCCTGTTGCTACTTTATCCAGTTCTTTCCCATATGCTCCTATTAATCATAAAACCACCACATTAACTGCCTCCGTCGATGAAACTATTGTTTCATATACTACCGAATCTTGTAGTACTACAACTCTAACTCCAGAAGTTTCCGCCGAAGCAGGTTTTATTGAAAGTACAGAAACCCAAAGTGCCTCTGTCACATCTTACTTGGATTTCTTAGGTGCTTCTTCCATCACAAAATCAATTCCAACTACTTCCACTCTTCAAGTATTAGTACAAAATACTACATCCTCAGCTCACTCCTCTACTTTTGAAATTTCATACTACGAGGATGGTTCTACACATCTAACCATTGGTTTAGGTGGTTTTGTTATTGGTTTTATTACTTTATTCGTTTAGAAATGGTTCCATTCGTGAATCTTCTAAATATAAAAAACAAGCATAATTAAGGACATACATTTAAACACATCATTCTGCATCACAATTTTTTTTAAAAATGGGTAACTTTCATCTACTAACCATCCCTTATACAATATTATATTATTACTATTCTTAGCACAACAAAACGAAATTTATGGTTCTCTTTTTTTTATAATCCAATTTGTAAGCATCTAGTTCTTACTTACTTACCCCTTATATATTTATATAAATTATAAAAGTTTTTAAAAAATAAAATTAAAATTAATTAAAATATTTATGTGTTTATCAATGTGTATAATATTTTATGTTGACATTTATTTTATAATTATGATCAATAATGATCTATATCTATAGAAGATCTTGGTGTAACTCTTCTCATCAATTGATCCTGTAGATGCGAGTCATCTAGTAAAGATTGGGTAGCAAGTGAATTATTTACATTAAAGTATAAGCCGTGATCATCCAAACTATACCTACTTCTTTGGCTTTGAAATGTCTTTATTGGTAATATCCATTCAATAATGGAATTACCCATCACATCTTTCCAGTTTGATGAACTTGAACCCAAATCAAACACATTAATTTCACTTGATGGAGACATACCATGCCTGATTTCAAATTCTCTTCTATACCTACGTTGACCATACATTTCAATAGTTGTTTGATTCTTTAATAGCTGTCTTATAGTAAACCAGGAGAAGACAAACATCGATGTTGTTACTGCAATAGCCAATAGCCATATCTGTAGCACTCTGATATCAATATATTCTTCTGAATATTTGCCTGAGTGAAACCATCTAAATAATTGAATTGAGGTTATAATTAACACAAAAGTGGAATAAACTGTACTATAAAGCAAAAATTGGATAAAGAACTTTTGATTTTCGAATCCAATGCATTCAGCGAACCAAGGACAATGATGATCCATTTTCAAAATGCATCGTTCACACGACGAACAATGGTGACAACGATCGGGTTTCCAGTATTTACAAGTGTGGCAAACTCGGAATCTACCATCATGTTTTATCGTTACTGATTTTCGTGTTAAATATTCTGGGGGTAATTCTACTCCAATTTCTACATTATGTAGATCTCTAATGGCCAAATCTTGGAAATCTATAGGAGAGCCAGGACCAACGTTAATCACCTTAAAATATGTGTAGAGGGCCACTATTGCAAGTAAGCTAACCACTGAAAATACAAATTTATATGGAAATACTGTCACCCTTGTTACTGTAACATAGTAGGTCCATATATATAGCCCAGTTGTAAGCACTTTTGGAAAAAGTGAAGTTATTGAAAGGAGGTCAGTATTCATTATATCAACTATGCATTGTAGACAAAAGTCCTATCTTTTCTTATATGGGTGTGCTACAGTTCTGAAATGTGTTTTATACTAATTGAGTACGGATATATATAGGTGTATAGATCTTGGTTAATGATGTCTTTATGTGACATATTTTGAAATGGTTCTCATATAATTGCTGTTTTCGACTGTGCCGATTTACTATTCCATCAATTGCACTGAAATTTTTGGATTGTACCCAAAGCCGAAGAACTTACGGAACATGTCTCTCCTTCATGAAGATGTCAGTTAATATTAGGATACATAGTATTTGTTTTTCAATGTAATTAGAGTATATATGTGTGGGTATAAAATTCATATATTATTTCCTATTTAGTTATTTCGATGTTATTATCTTAGATTTTCTGTACTACTCACTCTTATCTTCATGATTTTATTCAGTGATAAACCTCACGTTTATTGATAAGTTGCTTGAACGAGGCCTACTATTTCCCGTCTTAAACGTCTTACTATATGTCTCAACAGGAACAAATAATAATACCGTTTAAAATAGTAAATATTAGCTCCTCCTCAATTAAGCTTGTTATTTTATATCCTGAGCTTCATTTGAAAAGAATCTTAGTATCAAATGAGAAACCTATATTAGTATTGAATATATATATATATATATAAGGGAGTCATAACGAATAACATTATATGTACTAACAAGCACATGAGACTACTATATAATATGCTATACAGAGCATTGTTTCTTCACTTAAAGCAAGGACACAGTGAATTATATCCAGAGTTTATACCTATACATAACAATCAATACTTGATAACCTAATCATGATTTCTAGTATTAATAATATGACAATCTTCAGGAAGGAGAAAACAAATTCATATTTTCTTCGAGTAGGAGCTTGTTTTAACATTACACAAATAAATGCCAAAGTATGCAAGCTGAACCATAGGTGAGAACCGTGAAAATATTCTCACAGGTTTTATGTGGTTTGGATGAGGAAGATCAACACTACAACAGATTGTTTGATTCAAATCTGAATTTCTTATCTCATCGATACTAATCAGATAATAGTACTTCATCACGACTGTTTGTAACGTCTTTGTAAAGTAGCAAGTCATCCTTATCTACAGAAATTGTAGAAAAATCGGTATACTGAGTATAATCACTAGATGAAAAAAAGACAGAATCATGCATCCCTTGATAAAATTCTTTATCGAAAGATACATTCTGGAAAAATTCTCGAGTTTTCAAACTACTCACATAACTCGGTTCTATGTCCTTCGAAGAAAATATAAATGTTTCAGTTGAATCATCCGGAATACTAGCAACAGTAGAAGTATTCCATGGACGGATATTTAGAGTATCCATTTCATCTTGCATAAAAGTTTTAGTTGCAAGATGTCCTTTTTTACCATGCAAGGTTTGATCGAAACTTTCGTAAACGTCACTCTGTGATTGGACTACATCCTGTAGATATTTAGCTGTAAAGTTTAATAAATTAGAATTTCTTAGTCGAACTGCCTCTTTAGAATTATACATATCAATGTAATTATCTTCTTTGGTAGATTTTTCGGAGTTGTGCACATACAAATTTGAAATGATACTTTTATCTTCTGTTTCTAGAACGGTTTTTAGGTGTTTATTCAACCAACTTTGTTTCCTTGATACGAATGGGGACAACTCGTTGCCCAGTTTCTTAGTTTCCTGATATCTTCTTGTTGAATTCATTGTAAATTCAAATAATTCATCGAGCCAGGTATATGTTCTCAGAGTATAGTATTCGTTCCAATAATTATCAACTGCACCTGGGTATCCCCGAATATTTTGTTTGATCCTAGTTAGTGTAATATCATTGTCTGTGTCTATAACCTCATGTTTAATCAGTTGTCTTGAACTTTCGATATGATAGTTATTCCACCAATGAGTATAACTTCTCCTGGGTCCATTATTCGTATAAGTATTATGTAAATAAAAATCTGTATTCATTTCCCACAATGATGGATAACCCTCCTTCCACACATAGTGGCCTAAAAACAAATTGATGGCATCCTGTCTTTGGGAATCAATGAAGGAGTTACTATAGAATCTTTTAATACTCTCAATCATATCCCTGGAGTGTGAACTCCATTGGTTAATCTTTCTATATGTTTCCATCGTATTTACTAAGTGGGACCCTCCATATTGTAATGCAATTGTATCTCCGAGATCATGAAATAATTCTGTTAGTATATTTACAATATCAGAATCATACTCAAGGAATGGGTCATTTATAACTCCAAGACTTTTCAGTTGTTCACCTAAAGCTCTCTTTCCGATAACAAACTGGGCAGCATTTGTTCTATCCAAACAATCAATACAGTTCGTACGACAAATACCTTCTTGAATTCTAGTACCTTTAAAATCAAATGTGTTGTGGAAAATTCCAGTTTCTTCAACTGTTTGTAATGCGTATTTTTCTAGAAATTCAATAACACCTTGACCATCTTGTTTTGAAGCTCTGCTCATATCCCATGATTTGTAAACAAGTTTTTTCTCCTCTGGTAGAAAAATGTTTAAATAGTTTACACATTCTTCAAATTCCTTCAACAATTTAGTTTCTCTAGGGTTTTTTTCTTTTGTTTTGATTAAGTTTAGGATATGAATTATACCACCATCGTATCGTTGAAATAATTTATCAAAATGTAATGCAGCAGGTGAGAAATATGGATCTATTACATTAATCTCGATTGGAGGTTTTGCGGTTAGATTAGATGCAGCTTGTGTCCAATACAAAGGTATCGAACCTCTATGTTGAACAAATGACGTATATCGATCACTATCAAAATATCCAGATCCAGATTTATGAAACGAGGTTAATAACATATCAGTAACTATTTGTTCTGTTTCTACTTCATTAGCTACAAACCCTTGATTGTTAACACCTCTCTTTAAAAATCTTGCGCCTGCAAAATGATGTGATCTTCTAGCAATTAAAGTAATATAGATGTTTTTACCAAATAGAGATATACTAACCTGATCTATAAATCCGTGAATAATACATTGAAACCAATCATACACTGTTTCTATGCAACTGAAAATAGGTTTCAGAAGAAATATATTCCATATATACATCTCATTGAAATCATGTATACCCCTCGGTATAGTAATATCATTACGATTTACAGCCTTTAATTTTTCTCTTAATATATTTGTTTGTAATGTGTTCGTGATATCATAGGTGTAACTGAAATAAAATGTTTTAGTTAAGTCAAGGCCTTGAAAAGTTGCCATCAGTTTGGCCTCAATGGAATATTTATCAGGTTTCTTGTAGTTGTTAGATATAGGCACCATCTCTGTACCATCAATATGAAATACCGAGTGACCTCCGATTGTTGCTACTTGACTAAATTGGGTGATTGTTATTAGGTAATAACAAGTTGTAAATCGTATGAAACCTAGCAAACCGAATACAGTTAATTTTTTCTCGATACCACCTTCTGCAGTTTCTTCTAATTTAGATAAAATACTCATGATTTCATTTCTAGTAAAAAATACGTTATCTTCCAAAACATTCAACTCATCGTCAGGAAGTGTAAGATCTATTTCCAGGATTCTAAACATTGTCTCCCTTTTGTTTGAGCCCACGATGTACATTCTATCTTTAGTCGTGTATATTGTGTATTTACTTAGAATAAATTTTCTAGTCTTTAATTGTTTACCTATTCCAATCGTAGGTGTATCCCTAGGAAACGACATTGGAGGTATATCATTGATCTCATTAAAATGTGACGAATCCATACTGTATTCAGTAATATATACGATTCAAACGGTTGATGTATAGACTTTACAGTTTATTTATTAAAGCTATGCTTATTGATTTCTTATACCTGTACCTTTGACATATTTTGTTTATTCTATATTTCGCTATATACATAATATAAGGCGATGTCCGATGTAGTATAAGACAGCCAAAAGTAAACAAAAAAATTAATACCGTTTATGACGTAGATGTATATTTTTTTAAGTTGATACTTCAAGTATTTAGTTCTAATTACATATATATGTAGATATATAGATATAGATACAGATACATGAGTTTTCCTGTGAATGTTAAGACCTGTTATTGTATGTGAGTGTGTTTGTTTTTGCTTGAGAATGATGTTAAAATAGATTAAAAAAAATGTTTAAGAAAATTGAGGAGGGCAAAAAAAGGAGCAATATATGTATATAGTGCAATTCTTTATGTTACGTTTTCTCTTCGAATTACTTAAATTAAACATGAAATGAATAATGTGAATATACCAAACAAAGTGGTGAATCCAGGATTCAAAGATGAATCGGCATTATTTTTGATTGTAGTTTTCATGTTAGTCTTAATAACACCAATATTGCCTGTTAGTGAACCAAGCCCAATAGAACCCGAGGAAGGTACAGCAACATCTATGTATTGACTACTAAATCTTTGTGCAAATGTAGTCGAACGAACAATAGTTTGACCATTAATTACCACAGTAGCATAAATAGTAGTTCGAGCTCTTAAAGATGTATAAGTCTTTGTAGTACCTTGAGTAACAGTATAGAAAGAATCCAAGGATAAAGTAGACACTGCAGTCAGAGGGAAAGGAGTGATTGAAGTGGAAGGATCCGATCTACCATTATTAACGTAACTTCCAGTTTTAGTAGTAGATGATTTGGAACTTGATAAAGAACCAGTAGCCGTTTTTGCAGAATTCAAAGCATAAGTAGTAGTTCTAGTCAAAGTGACACCATTTGGATCAGTACTAGTGTAAACACTAGTTGTCATTCCAGAAGCAAGAGTATTAGTACCTGTGGCAGTGGCAGTGGCAGTATTTGTTGTTGATGAGGCAGTAACAGTAGATGAACTTGTTAAAGCAGCGGCGGCAGCATTTAATGTAGTAGTTCTTGTCATTACAACCCCATTCAAGTCAGTACTAGTATAAACTTTAGTAGTCATACCAGTTGCTGTATTTGCAACATCAGTATCGGCAGCGGCAGTGGCAGCAGCATTGGTACCAGTAGTAGTAACAGTTCTAATTATACCGTTCGCATCAGTTGTGGTATAAACCAAAGTTGATGCAGCAGTAGCTGCAGCTGCAGCTGCATTATCATATATGGAAGTTCTAGTAATAATTACACCAGCAATATTAGTAGTCACTACTAACTGCGTAGTGATAGCCGCCAGGGTGAAAGGTAAGAGCAATAAAGATAATGATAGTTTTGAGATCAACATTGTTTTATAATATTAGACTATGTGAAGTTTATTATTATTATTATTTTTGTTTCTTTGTTATTGTGAAAAGAAAAAAGGATTTAGTATATAGCAAACAGAGATAACACAGAAATAAAATAAAAGGAAGTAAAAGCGAAGGTGGGATATGATAACGATCTGTTACTGTTGTTATATGTATATTCCTAGTTCAATACGTCGAGTTCTTGATCTAGTAGTTCTATCTTCGTTGTGGTAATAAAATGATATCACGAATGTAACGTAAATAATTACTACAGGCATAAAATATTTTAATATCATATCTAATTTAATTTTTACATTTTTTTCCTTGGTTTAAAATGTATGTGCATCACATCATACTACTAAAAGGAAACGCGGGTTGGTGGCTCCGCCTATTTTTACTTTGTGAAAACGCGAATTCACTTCTTTTACGGCGAGAAAAAAAAAGAAAAGAATTCGCGGGATGTGAGGGTAACGGCAGCACGTGATCTGGAGGGTATCCGCATCACGTGGGTGTATGTTACGTCAGTTAGATGTGCTTCGTGTATGTATATATATATACACATACAGTTAAGAGCAATTGTTATTTGTTGGTGGGAAAACTGTTTTGTGTGTGTGGTTGGCGGCTACGTCCATGTTGGGGTCTGGCGGGAGCGGGGGATAACTGCCGAGTCGTCCCCCCAAAAAAAAATATTTATATATATATATAAGATGATTAAAAGGACTGGAATTAGTTTCCACTTCTTTCATTCTCTCGATCTCTTATTTAATTATTATAATAATGAGTTTCACGAAAGTAACATCATATTTGTATGTACTGCAAATCAGATATATAACTCACATGATATTTATTAAGAATAGTTAATTATTAAATACATATGTTTGTTAGGTTATTTTAATGTTTTTTGCATGTGTGAAGCCCAACCCTCTTCTACAATAGAGTGTGTTAAGGGTTTGAGTTTCTCTATCAATTTACCTCAAACCACTTTTTTATTATATTTAGTTTTTTGCTTTGGTAAACATTCCGCGATGAATCCCATTGTTTGTTTACTTTTCAAGAGAAACGAGTAAAAATAAGCAAGGGGGAAGAAACTATAAATATATAAATGTATAAGTATGTTAACAGATCATCAACATTTTTATATATTTAAATAGACACATTTACATATATATATATCTATATCTAGGTGGTGGTAAGTGTGAGTAGTTTATTATATCGGCAGTTCAAACTTTCACAAAATAAGTAGAAATGTCTAGGGATATTCCGACTTCTGCACATGATCATACTGTTCATAGAGTGTTTAGTGTGGACGATGATCCAAATGAAGTAGAAAATGATGTTAGATATTTAGAAGGTCTTCATGATGGCTTGAAATATGCTTTACATGGTAACAAGGCTTCGCCAAATCCAACAAAATCATTTTCACCTTCAACAAATCATATTGATTCAAATTTTATTTCAGGTTCAGATATTTCACTACCTGGCAATACATCAAGACCAAAGATAAACATAGAGTCTCAAAATGATAATACAATACCTTCAAATACTTCCACGGACCAAGAAAGGTTCATTATACATCATCCTGCAACAGATTCTGGTCATGATCTTTTAATAGAAGAACTAGGACCACATGGTATTAGTGGTGATGTTCGTGATATTGATGTCGATAATGATGAAGAATATGAAGAAGATAATGAGTTTTCGGATAGACACTCAAGGGCATCATCTATGGAGTCTCTTACTTTGAAAGAAAGACAAGATGCAATTAATAAAACACATCCCTTCGGTATAAGGATTTGGAAACCTGCTTTATATAAAAAACAAAGATCAGTTCAAAAAGCTGCTGATGAAGATATTCATGAAACTAAATTTAAGACTATTACTCTCGGTGTTCACCTCACTAACATTATATGGTCAATGACATGTGGTCTAATGCTATGTATCATTTGTTATTTAGCTGCATTTTTAGTAATGATCATCGGATTGGGCACAAAATCAACAAGAGATTATGCAGGTGTCTTTTGCAAATTAGGTATTTATCTATTATGGCCCTTTGGTAAAGTGGTTTATTTAAATCCTGATGAACATTATTTACAAGAAGATAAAGATGAAGGGATCAGTGTACAACAATTCTATGGTTGGGTCACATCCTATAGCAATAAATTATTTTTTCATAAGAATCAATCTATGGAATCAAATCATTTAAATCCACCTCAGAACAATACGAATGGTAATGACCAAAATATACAACCAGTGAATTCTCTTAGTTACCCCTCATATGGTTCCATTCAAACATATATTAATAGTCAAAATCAAGTGTCTGGTAGTAATATAGACCAAAATACAAGTAGTGTTCATCATAATCCTCTGGGAGAAAGTTCCCCTGCTACTGAAGGTCCAAATATGGGTGACTCCACTAACTTTTCTAGTAATCCAAATCAAAGAAGATACTTTGGTAGAGGTGAATGGACTCTAGGGAGAATCTTATTCTATGCATTGTTCCATTTGATATTTGAACCAATTACCCTTATATTATGTCTTCTTACCTGGTTATGTGTATTTACTATTCCTATGAGTAGTATTTTGTGGAATCTTTTATACCATTGTAGAAAGCATCCGTTGGCTTTAGGTTTCAAATATATTAAAACATCCTCAGACCAAACGAGACCAATGATCATGAAAAGTAACAATCATTTACCAACAGTTCGGACATTGCGTAATGAGTTGAATAATCATTTAGCAACAGGAACGTCATCAGCAAGATATATCAACCAACAACAATACCAAGGTAACGAAGACGATTATGATAACAGAAATATTTTATTGTGTACTTTCCGTTGTGCAGGCTGGCATTATTACAAATATACAGTTGATGGTACTAACATTATTGTGGTCAATTTGATATCTTTAGTGTTTTTCACTATCTTTGATTTTTATTTCATGAAGGAATCATGGAATCTTAACTTCTGGTTCACTAATGAATCATCAATTTTTATTCTTTGTCTTGCATCAATTATACCATTAGCATTTTATATAGGTCAAGCTGTTGCTTCCATATCTGCCCAGACCTCTATGGGTGTTGGTGCTGTAATTAATGCTTTCTTCTCAACAATTGTCGAAATTTTCCTATATTGTGTTGCCTTGAAAGGTCATAAAGGACAATTGGTTGAAGGTTCTATGATTGGTTCGATCCTTGGTGCTGTATTGTTATTACCAGGTTTATCTATGTGTGGAGGGGCTCTTAACAGAAAGACTCAAAGATATAATCCTGCAAGTGCAGGTGTCTCTTCCGCATTATTAATTTTTTCTATGATCGTGATGTTCGTTCCAACTATGTTATATGAAATATATGGGAGTTATACAGTTATATGTCGCGATAAGGATAGTAATGTTCTATCTGAGGACTCGATTTCTATGAAGACCATTACAATGGCTGTTACTCTGTCACAATGTTATTTTACCCGTCCACCTTTGAAATACAATAAGATGTTTAGAAATGTCATTCAGCCAATGTCTGTTTCATGTGCTATTATCCTGTTCCTTGCTTATGCTATTGGTTTGTGGTTCACTTTGAGAACACATGCTAAGATGATTTGGCAATTACCAATTTCTGATCCTCCAAAGGAACAGCATTTGGAAGAAGCATTACCTTTAACATCTACTCAATCAAATATTAAAACTAAGGCAGCGGTTGGTAATGACGATCAAGGTAGTCACGAAGCACCAAATTGGTCAAGATCCAAGTCAACATGGATTTTATTGATAGCTACATTATTATATGCTGTCATTGCAGAAATTTTAGTTTCATGTGTTGATGCAGTCCTTAAGGATTTCCCTGGTTTAGATCCTAAATTCCTTGGTTTAACCATTTTTGCTCTGGTTCCTAACACCACAGAATTTTTGAACGCTATCTCGTTTGCTATGCATGGTAATGTCGCATTATCAATGGAAATTGGCAGTGCATATGCTTTACAAGTATGTCTATTACAAATACCTGCTTTAGTTTTATATTCAATCATGTATACATGGAATATTGATCAAGCTGCAATTAATATTAGAGAACAAATGTTCCCGTTAGTCTTCCCTAAATGGGATTTGATTGGATCAATGGCAAGTGTCTTCATGTTCACATATTTATATGCCGAAGGTAAGTCTAACTATTTTAAAGGGTCGATGTTAATATTACTATATATTATTATTGTTTTTGGTTTTTGGTTCCAAGGCGTTATTGAAGAGTTTAGAACGTATGAATGAAATTCCTAACTTTTAAGGAGAATACTCCTAACTTATGACAAAAAATGTACAATACTCAAATCAAAATAAAAAATAATACCATGATCTCATACTTTTATATATTTTGCATGTAAACGTTTACATATATTTAATGAAATAATTTGAATGACTTTGACCCTCCTGTCACCATAGCGGTTCAATCACTGACATTTTAAGTCCTCGCTTCTTTTTAGATCAAATTATATAAGGAGAAAAATATGTGTAGGAGGATATAATAAGAAGAAGCTCTCTTAAAACAGATAAAGAAAGAAGTCAAGGAAAAGGGTAATTGTTAAGTGATCTAAGTGTAACTTTCAGTCTAAAGATTGATTTGCGTAAGGATTTTCTCATATACCATGTTTGGGAAATTTTCAAGAATATTGTTCGGTGGGTTATTTACTATATCGACCCTTGCTGTAGGGTCTCTATACTTGTTCCAAAATAAGTTGGTGTATCCTTCATGGGCACAAGGAGCTAGAAATCATGTGGACACACCAGATACCAGAGGACTTCCATATAAGCGTATTAAGCTAACAACTAGAGATGGTATGAAGCTTGATGCCTTTGATCTTCGGAAGGAGGAGTCCACAACTACAGTTGTAATATTGTGCCCAAACGCTGGTAACATTGGTTATTTCATCCCAATTATGGAGATGTTCTATCGTCAGTTTAATATGAGTGTTTTTATTTACTCCTATAGAGGTTATGGAAAATCGGATGGTTCTCCTTCAGAAATCGGATTAAAGATCGATGCGGATAGTGCGATGTCTTACCTTGCTACTGATGAATTTCATAGGCAAAGGAAATTAGTATTATACGGGCGTTCTATTGGTGGAGCAAATGCAATCTATATTGCTTCAAGGTTTGGTAATATGATTGATGCTGTTATATTAGAAAATACCTTTTTGAGTATCACGAAGGTTATACCGTATATTTTTCCTTATTTGGCAAAATTTGCATTCTTATGTCATGAAGTGTGGAATTCAGAAGAAGAAATTACCAAGATTCCATCTGAAATATCCTTTTTATTTCTACGAGGTTTAAAGGATGAGATAGTTCCGCCTCCTCATATGACTGAATTATATTCTCTGTGTCCTAGTAAAGATAAAGAGATGTACGAATTTCCGTTAGGTCATCATAATGACACGATTTTACAAGATGGGTATTGGAATATAATAGGTGAATATTTAATGAAAAGAAAGCTTATTAGTAAATAATATTACATGAAGGGAAATATATTAATATGAATATGAAATATAATTTTAAATAGCAAATATATATATGTATGCATGTTTACATTAAAAGAAATTATAAATCAAATTAATACTTGGATTTACACAATTAGAGTTAATTGGAATCTTGAACAACTCCTTGTAAGTTTTTTAGGGATGATATAGTGGCGTCTCTTTTTTTCGATTTTTTGTAACTTCTATTGTTGTTAATGATTAATCTTGGGTTTAGGTATCATCAAATATCGATGAAAATAAAAACGACATAAATCCTGTATAATAAATAATATTGAAGTCAACAATAATATATTTCGAAGGTGGTTTAGGAAATATCAATAGTCTCATTATATTGAATACTAATCGGCAAAATATGTATAGATAGATCGTTGAGCGACTGTCCATTGATTTCCAATGATCCACGTAACATACAAAACTTGTTAAAATCACAAGAAAGCAAACAAAATAGGATATTTTAGAAGATTTATTATAGAGTATCTCTTGTACAACTGATGGATCATTTAACTTTTGTCTATAATTGTATATCATACCAATAGAGACACATAATATGTTTTTACCATATCTATACAGGACGCTCCTATCAAACTTATGACGAATAAGAATCATTACCAATTTAACAGAAACATACAAACACCAAGTATTACTGTAATTTATAGTAAAAGTAAATTTTTCACTGTCTTCTATTTTTTTTCTTACAGTATCATATATGCCATAAAGGCTCATCAAAATGAATATCTCAAATTCTATTAAGTTAACCATATTGAATAATGTCTTTATTGTTATTGGTTTTTTGTCTATTTCTAATCTGTTCATATTGTTCATGAATCCTGGTTTCATATTTTTAAATTTACGTGTTTTTATGAACAAGTAGCATTTAGTTATTAAGTAATTGATGATCAAGCCAGTATGAGATAAAATATCAGGATATAGGTCGATGTTAGTTGGTTTTATCAATTCTTGATTTGGCGTACAATTGAAAATATAAAAAAGAAACATAAGATATGATTGTTTCAATAAAGTTTTATTTTGAAATTGTTTATCATAGTTTCCATTAATAGGTGAAACTTTTTTCCCAAATTTGTCACATATTACCGCACCCAATAGTATACCTTCCACGAGAAGAATATACACTAAGATCAGTATATCTCGTGCATTTTTAACAGAAAATCGTTTAAAAATTTGTGACAATAGGTGTGTTGTTCTAAGTCCATGTACACAAGCACAAATAAATTTTCCAACCATAATATTTATAATGCTATTTGGATTCAAATATTGAATGAATATTCCAATACTGGTAACTTGTAATGCCCAATATATTGAAGCTAAAGAAGATATTATTTTAAAAGAACCTAGGTTTCTCCTGTATACACAACCAGATATTATACCCCCGACAAATACAGTCCCCATGATAGTATTAATTGTAGTAAAGTTCCATAACTTCTTCACAGTTCTTTGTTCTACCAAAGACATGGTTGTTGAATTTAATCTATTTGCAAGTTCTTTAGAATCATCTAATTCCATACCCAGCAGAATACACATTAGTAACATATGTGTCGCTAATTTCATATTTTCTAAAAAGGTGAATGTTTGTTTCTCAGATTTCGTAGGTTTTTCAGAAGGATTAGAAGCAGTGTCACGATCAGTAGCAGCTGTATTTGTATTGTGTATATGTAAGTCAAAAACTCCTATAAATGTTCTGTTTTGAGTTGTAATTTCATTATTGTTACTATTATTCCCCCCAGTTAGAACATCATCTTCAAAGTTTAATATTTGAACTAATGGTGTCGTATCTAAAGGTTCGAATCGAGGAAACCTCTCCTTGAACTCTAGTTCACGTCCAATATTTGGTGGCATATTGTTACTATTGGTTTTTATTAGCTTTGCCAGGAAAATGTTCAACTATGAAATCAAAAATTAAGATCAGCCAACATACCCTGAAAGATATCAGTAGTTTCAGTTCCTTTCCAACTTTTATATAGACTCTTGGCCGATGACCTTGTCGTTTTAGTGGGTCTCAGATCGATTTTATTCACTTATATGGAAGAGATGCCACAGCCGCATCACCGCCATTGTAAGGGGAAAAAAGCACGGAGCATTGTGTCATACAACAAGAGAGAGGGGAGAGGAGAGGAGACCAATAAGAAGACATTTGAACAAATTTTCTGGAAGTTGTGTACATACCTTTGCTATAACTTCATATATAGTGTTTCCGTATAGATTCTGTATGCGAGACAGGTGGGGAGTGTTTTATATATACGGCTGGGAGCACGTTATTCTTCATTGGTAGTACCTTTCGTTTCTTGGGAAAGAACCCCATAGACACCACTTGACACATCTGTCGTTAATCTCTTCGTAGAAAGTTTTGATATCAGCAATTTGAGGATCTGAATCGTATTCTATATAAAAGATGTATTGCCACTTTCTTCCGTCCTTCCCACTGTTGTAAGGTCTCGAACTAATGGAAGACATGTTTAACGAATATTCCTTCAACACGTTCAAGACATCTACTAAAGAACCAGGATCATCTAATTCCAAAGTAAACATTAGTAAGTTCACATGCATTTTACTCACATTTGGAGGTTGAGGAGGATACTGTTTATCGGCCAGTTTCTTTAGAATTAAGAATCTTGTTGTATTCCCCAATCTGTCATTAATAGATTCATCTATAATATGTGCATCATATAGATGTGCAGCAGTTTCTCCAGCAATGGCAATATTTAATATTTCAGTTGTTTGAGGTATTTGATCTGTCTTTTGTTTCTCAATGGCTTTTAGTACAGCATCTGAAGTTGAATTAGTATCTATAGTTTCAAATTTTGTATCTGGGAATTGTTTCTTCAATTTACTCATATATTGAGCGACTTGACCCCAAACTTGAGGATGACTGAATATTCTAACTAGTTTGAAATTTTTGATATCCTCAAGGTTGATATTGGCAATTGGAGAAATTAAACAGTGAGTAATTGAAACATACTGTTCCCCAATAACTTCTAATTGAGGAATTATACGATGTCCATCGATGGCACATGAGTCATCGAGCATTATATCTCTTAGAAGATCATAGGAGTAAACAACTTGTCCGTTTGTGGAGTTCTCCAATGGAACCGCAGCATATGATACGGCTGGGTTGTTTTCTAATTGATTGAAACATTCTGGGATAGTGCTCGTTGGTGTATATATAATTGTATCCAAATGACTGAATTGTTGAATGGCCGCTTGATGAGAATACGTCCCTTTAGGTCCTAGAAAGACAACTGTTTTCTTTTCTGTAGGTGCACTAGACATTTCGTTATAAATCACTTTTTAGTTGTATGACTGTATCCGTGTAGATATCTAGAATGGAAGTGGATTTCTCTGTTTTGCTTGTTGTTCTTATATAGGCAGAGTCATTGAAAGACATGATGAGCTGAAATTTTTATTTTATTTTCATTTTCTATTTTGACTGTTCGCTGCTCCTTTCCGTGTACGTTTAAAACTGTGTAAAGCACTAAAACAATGAGATGATCAGACTCTATTGAGGTCTTTTCTGCTCATGTATATATAGATGTGTTGATTATTTGAATATGTAGATGTTAAATTTGGAAGGCAGGATATTTATATTTATAATTATTTACAAAAAGATGGTAGGTACAGATCGCTGATCTACATGGTAGAACTAGATAATGTTTCAATTTTCCAAAGATTGGGCCAATTCGATTAGAGTATCAACATTAAAGTCAGGAGACCCTTTGGTGAACCCATTTAATAGCTTGATTCTTTTCTTTGCAATGTCCGTGTCTTCTCCAAGAGCTCCATAGAATCGTTGTATATTTAATAATAACAGTTGAGCATCATGTGGTTTGATATTTGAATTTGGTTCAATAGTACCCTTCATTAACACGATGTTTTTGTCCTTGGAGAGATCTGTGAAAAATTCCAAAGTTGTGTGAGGTCTGGCGTATTGATTATGTAATTTAAACTCTTCTAATGAAGTTAATATACAATGGACAGTGGTGGGTCCAACAAATTGCCATTGAATATAATGAAGTTCCATTCCATCCTTCTTGATGGAGTTGTCATTGGCGACTTCTACTTCAGGTTCTAATTGTCTAGGTAAAGGTAATACAAAAATAGGGTTAGTTCTGATATGTTTGTACATTCTGTCATATATTTCATTACTTACTACAGCTGACATAACGTTTTCGTTGGAACCCCATTTAGCTCTCCATAAAAATTCAATTTCTTCTGCAGATAGAGTTTTTACTTTGTTCAAATTCAAAAATGAATCAAGGGTCTTATATGGGGCTTGTTTCAAATTGGGATCAATGGCAGGTTGTGGTTTGGTTATCTTTCCCATAGTACCCTCTTGAGACGCTTCATATTCTTCAAGTTCTTTCAGAGGATCAATCTTGTTCAATTGTCGTTTTTTCTCGTCAATAGTATCCTTCAAGTGTTCCTTCAATTCTTCAACAGATTGAAAGCCAAGTCTCTTAGCATTATTCAGTAATTTATCTCTATATTTTTGTTCCACGTCCGATGCATAGTAACGAATCCCATGGAAAAGTAGGTTCTTTTGAGCAAACACTCGTAGAGGGTTGTAACCTATAACCCCACGTCTAACGACAAGCCTTACTAACGACATTCTCACTCCTCAAGCTTAATTTTGTTAATTACAGATCTGCTTATCAGTTTTTCGACGGATTAGATCACTTAACTGACAGTAATATGTATCTATCTTGCTAACTTTCTATCGCTTTTGTTGGGTTTTGAGTAGTTCATGTTCCTCTTCTCTGTATGTGTGTTTTTTTAAATCTGTTAAGGTCATTTTTACTAAAAGTGCAAAAAACCCTAACGTTTACAACGGTCCGATATAGTCCTAAACACACAAATTTGTATGCAATAGAGGAGTTAGGGTTTTATCTACTGATAAGGAACCGTTTGGCTGAAGAGACGGAGAGAGTCATCTCTAAACTGTAATCAGATATAAAGTGATGAGTTGCTTCGAAAACGTTTACTTCAAACAGAGAATAGCTAATAATCGGCGAATTGGTATATCAATTATAATAATTATAATCTGGATATTGTGTAGGTTTTTTTGAAATCTGGGGAGATGTCATTTAAGAGTTCAAAGTCTATGGAGTCCATTGATCTGCTTGTGGAATTGTTGGAGGCGCATAAACCACACTTGAAGCCATACTCTGAAAGGTTGAAAAGTTGGATAGATTTGTTAGAAGAATATAATGACGTCGCTGGTACACATTATAAGCAGTCTAGGACTTTGAAGAAAAGGTTTGAAAGAGTTGTCGACGCGTATCGAGTGGATAAAAGTCTACCAACATGTCAAAATGTAGATTTATTGTCTAAATTGATCGATGAGTATAATAAGCCTTATAGGTTGTTACAGAAGTCAGATTATGGACAAACTAATGTGAGTAATCATCCTCATCAAAATATACAAGTGGATCCATCGTTATACATTACACAAATAAGTACAGAAGAAAATGAAAATGAAAATATAGATTCACAACATGATAATGGGAAAATCAATTCAAGTACGTTTATTCAATCACAGTATGATAACCCAATGCAAACAATCCGTGAAGAAGAGAATGAACCAATTCGTAATGTTAATGGAAATCAACCTCATACAATTAGAAAGAAATTGAAACAAGCAAAAGGCAGGGTAGAAAAGATTTCAGAGATCACAACTGATGGAACAAGATCTCGTACAATTAATGATATCAATAATTTTAATATGGATGATTTATTACGATCTGAAGAACAGAGCAAAGAATCGTCAACACAACCTTTACCCTTAGATACAATTGCATTAGGGATGCCAAGAACATACGAAGAGTCTGATGACAAAGGTTGTTCATCAGATAGTGCTGTAACGCCTGCTGTCATGACAAGGCCTGCGCGGTATAATCCGACTTCCTCTAATAGTACAAATAAATCAAGGCCAACGTATTATCAGAGTATTAAAACGAATCCCCCAAAATCTATTTTTATTATTGATCAAAACAATAAATTGGTAGAATTGACTTCTTTAAATAGTTCCAATATTGTTACGACCAGCACGACGTCAGAACCGGAACAGACACGTTCAAAAGTAAATGATTACAATGGAACGAATAATTTTATAACTCACAATGAGTTACCAGCAACCATATCATTGGGTGCAAATTCATTGATGCAGTCAACAAGACAAGGAAAAGTATCCTCTTCGAAGCGACACGATAAGTCTTTGAATCCGTTGAAGTTCGCATCTTCATCCACATCATCATCATCATCATCATCACATTCACAAGAATCTCAGTTTCTGACAGAATTGAACGGTATTAGAAAGGAACAACAGAATTTCCAGAATATGATTACAGCAAGGCTAGATACAATTACAGATTTGCTTTTAAAAGTAATGCATAAGGCGAAACCAATAGCAACGAGCAGTAAAACTCCAGCCAGAACAAAAAATATACACCAATCGCATAGATGACATATCTTCATTTGCTATCACATCATTAAATATCTAACTAGCTATTACGAGCACTTCTTATTGACCTAGTAATATCCCTCCAACCAATGCAATCTTCGATGTTTTGTTTCAATTAAAATGGAGTTTCCCTTATTGAAAAGAAAGATCGCCGCATGTTTCTTCCGCTTAACTAAGGGCGGAGGAAGAGGTTTGAGGATAGTGCAAAACAAAGGAAGTTTCTGAACCAATAACCTCCAAATGGTGGTTACTGAAATTTGGGGAAAGGTTTTCCTTTGCCATGTAGTTTCAACCGTAACATATAACTATCAACTTCTCCTTTGTTGGTTTGGTGACAAATAGAATAATTGTAATCGTTATTGACATATAGTTACTTACACGTATATATCTAGTTTATCATATTCAGTTGAAGAAATACACACAGCTACATCAAAGGACCTGCATACAACAGGGTTTAACATTTGGCTAATTTTTAATGTTATTATTTTGTGTATTGAATAACTAAACAAACTATTAAACTAATTATCTTTTATCCTATAACTATCAGAAGTTAAGATTATTTGATTCTACAACTATGACTATGACTACAAGTAATTCTTCTGAGAAAACATCGACGTCTAATCCCAGTTCTAGTAACTCTAGTGGTGGAACAAAAGTCCCTGGAAGTAAGACTTATGGCAAATATATGCAAGTGGTGACAAGTGCGTTTAATGAAGCTATTATTGATTCACCCACATTTAGAGCTTCTGTCAATTATTATGATTCAAAAGTGAATGAACTACAAGAATGGTTGGGGAATACCTTGGATTATATCGAGTATAAATATACTAAACCAAAGACTGAAATTCAAAAGGTTCAGGGGGTTCTTTTACAAAGTATTCTGCCGAGTCCAACCTTATTAAGCAATGGTTTGGTCTCAAGTCAATCTCAGGCACCAACTGTAGCGGAAGAGTTCGGAAAGAATTATTCAGAATTTATTAGTACTTTGGAAGGTATTGCACTATTAGAAGAGAAGAGTTATTCAGAGACTTTGTTAGGTTTACAAGTTGGAGCCATTGAACCATATTTGGCAAAACGTAAGGACTTTGAGGAATGTCAAGAGAAATATGATAATATGATTAATCAAACTCTATCTAAACCAGGATCCAATTCAAATACTAAAGCGTCTTATTTAAAGGATGAAGAAGAGAAGTTGTTTGTATTAAGGAAAGAATATGTTGAGGCATCATTTTCATTGGTATGGGCAATTGTCACGTTGAGACTTGGGATGGATAAATTTATGGTAGAAATTATAGGTCAGTTTAATAAAAAAAACGTTTACACTTTCAAAGAAGATGGGAAACAAGTTAATTTATCACCTATTATTAATCATCGTTTCCATAGTTATTTCAAATGGGTTAAATATTCCATGTCCTCATTCAACAGTCTTCATGAAAACATGTCTCAAGGAAAAGAGAGAGTATACAAGAAATTGATAAAGGATATCACACCTTCAACAGATCAAAAGGATTACATATTAGCAAGTTTGGATGGATTTAGAGATATATCTCCAACTACTTACCTAAGTAAACCAGTGATGAAAAATGGTTGGCTTTTAATGAAGACTAGTGTGGGCCCCTCTGCTCTTACACTTTGGGTTAAAAGATGGTGTTCTGTGGATGAATTTATGTTTGGAATGTTCCTATTATCAGCAAATAAGTCTTATGTTGAAGAGACGGACAAATTTGGGATTTCTTTGATTACTCTACATTATCCAATCGAGTCTAGCAGACGATTTTGTTTTAACTTGGAAATTACAAGGAGAAATAGTAAAGCAAACCCAATGATTATCACTTTTCAAGCAAAAAATGTGTCACAATTGAGAGAGTGGATACTTGCATTCACCAAGTCCAAATTAAAATTCGAAACATTTATGAAGGATAAATCAAAGAAGGATGAAACAGATTGTGGTCTTAGACGCTATTCCCCTAGGTTTGTAGAGTTTGCATCATCAGCCAATACTTATTATGATCAAATCCTTACGACGAAGGATTCAAGTACGATATCGCTAATTGAGTCCTTGAAAGGAATATTGAAACCTGAGCAAATTACAGATACCATCGAACAAAAAACGCAGGCACATAAAGCTATTTCTACTCCCTCACAAACGCAATTAACCCCATTGGCGCTTCTAGCTGGCCCATTTAGAGAAAAATCCTATAGAATGTTAGATGCTATCCAAGCAAATATTTGGGGGTTGAATCCCTTAAACCAAAATGGTGCTGTGTCTGTTAATGAGAGTGATCCAATCCCTATGTCTCATCATACAAAACCAAAGAAACTTATTTTCCCCAAAAATTACACTGATGAGCTCAAATTAGAATATATTCAATTTAAAACACTTTATGAATCAATTAATTATAATTTCTCAAAGAAATATTTAAGCGATGTGAACGAATATGTTCTTCTAAAATTTACTAACGTTTGGTCACTTGACGGTAGGCAAATGTTTATGGGTATTTGTTATCTTACTAAGAAACACATGTATAACTACCTCTCAGCTGGTGGTTTATTCCATCTATCAAGATTACAATTAAATAGATTCGAAGGAGCGGAATTTAATGAGAAGAACAAAAATTTAGTGTATGTACGTCAAAAAGGAGGAGTTACAATCAAACTTAATGTGACACTTTGTAATTACAGAGCGGTAGCTTCGAAAATTCAATATTTAATCGAACTGAATGCTTCAAAAATCGATAAATCTGTGGACGATATATTAGCAAAATTTAATAGTATTGATCGAGTTTACAATGAAATTGCGCAGAAGGAAGAACTTATTAATGACTCTGGGACTAATAATTTAATTAAAACGGAATATAACCTGGGAAAAACATTTTGGAACATGGATCCATCAGAAGAAGAAATTAAAGAAAAAATATATGAAATTCAAAATAATTTTGGAAGGACTTATACCAGAAGTTATGATATTCCCAGTAAAGCTTTATTGCACATAATGTTTGGTGATCACTCGAATGTGTTTCCCAACTCATTATTTTTAGCTGATAAGGAAAGTAACTACAACAAGTCAAAGTATTGGAAACAAGTTCAAGATTCCAATGGAAAAATAGAATTAGAAAGAATTGTTCAGTTTAGACAAAATAGAACAAATAATTTCGTCACTGACAAAGAAAAGTTTGTCTCACTAAAGCAACGTATTACAGAAATGGTGGAGAATAGATATTATGAAATTGAACAAGAGCCAATAATATTGGATATTTCTTTTTGTAGGCCTTTAAAATTAACAGTTTTATACAATATTACTGAATCTCAAAATGCAGAAAACCGTGCTGCCTCAAAACTCAATCTATCGAGTAACGGATGTCGTCTGTATGTTCATTATAAATTAGAGTTTTTGAATGCAGATGATATTTGCTTCTTTGAGAAATATACTCAAAATCTTGTTTTCCGCATAACAGAAATGGAATTCAGTTTTGTCAGAAGATCAATACATTATTATTTGGAAAAAATTGGATCTCATGGACATGTTACAAAAGCAATAAAACTTTGTGGTTTATTGGGTGTGACTATGGATGAAAAAATACAATATGAAAAGAATGAGAGTATACCTAGTGCTGACGATTTTCAGCTTCCGGGCCAACTAAGCGGTGATGAATCCGAGACTGCGAGGAATGACTCTACAGATAATGCTCCAACCGGAATGATTGGTCTTAAAAATACGAACAGCAATAAGACTGGAGGTAAAAATGTTTTGAATTCAAAGTATGAGAGTTTACCGGTTATAAGGTATGATTGGAACTTGCTAACAAGAATTTCCTTCACACTTTTGATTTACAAAGTGATTAATGTGGTTTTTATTTCTCTAAGATTTATTCTACTGGGGATATCGTTTGGTATAAAATGTATAAAATGCATTAATTATGTTTTGTTATGTGGGTTAATCATTTCTATTCTATTAAACGTAACTTTAACAGCAAGATCGACGATATCATATTGGTCTGTCCGCAAGGCGAACCATATATTTGACGATGTCTTAAAAGGGAAAGATAATTCATCCATGGCAAAGAGTATTTCATTGAAAGATTTGGATATTTTAACTGATTATTTAAGTGGTTCTAACAGCGATGTTGTGTTTAAAAAATATAAAGAGCAATCTGCATCTAAGGAAAATAAATACAGAAATACAAGATCCGAAATTGGTGCAAGGAGAAATGATCTGTTAATCGAACTTAGAATATTAAAGGGTATGGAAAAAGAATTAGTTCAAGGTGATTATAGATCTTTTTTAATGGGAGAAATCGAAAATTGTAAGAGGGTTACAGTAGAATTTCCATTGATTTGGGAGGATGATGAGCAGTTGCAAAACTATTGTAACATTTGCTATGAAGAGTATGAAAATTTAAATATTGAAATTCTGTGAATGTTATAATTGGTATCCAATTACAAATGTTTATTTTGTAATTTGTAATTAAATGGTATTGGATTATATAAATATTATGTAAAGAAGACACAAACAATAACGTATTCATATTACGAAAAATCTAAACATGAAATGTGTATCCAATTTTCAAATTTGTCATCATCATTTTTGAATTTTACCAATACTTTCCCCTTAAAATAGCTTCTATTCCAATTCTTCATCTCTGTTGTTGAATAGCTTTCATGTACAACATCTAGATTTTTCATCCATTTGAAGCACCACAATTTATTCTGTGGGTCATCTGGAGGTAACTCGGATAATGATTCTTCTTTTATTAATCTTGATATATCCTCCCTTGTGAGCTGGTATATGTTTTCAAAGTTTTTTTGTTCAAGAATAGTAATTAGATCAGTAACAAAACTGATGCCATTGGAAATATAATTTTTATCGATTTCATCCTTAGTTGTCTTTCTGATTTTATTTAAATCACCTAATGTAGTTAATATAGTCCCTTTATTTTTAATAAAATATTTCAGATGAACTAAGGCATCTTCAGCCATGTAATGCCTCGTCCGTTTTCTTAACTCTCGAGTTTGTTTCTTAGTATATGCAGATTGTTTCTCTTTTGATAGTTGAACTTCGTGTACATCTGAGGTGCTATCAATCCATTTGTCTTGTTCATGTGAAGAATCATTTTCGGAATCATTTTTCCTTATGAAATATCCATCTTTATCAAAATTTCCATTTTCGATATCGTTATCAAGATTAAAAGCTTCAATTTCAATTCCATCATCGTTAGTCATTATGTTTTCAGTTTGGTTATCAGAGTCTTCTTGTCGAAGATCATTTAATTCATTGCTTTGGTTGAATTTTTCTATATCCATCAATAATGAGTTGCTTGGGTATGTGACATCCGTTTTCGAGTCTGCCATTTCTTTATTTGTCTTATCTTCATTAGAATTATTATCAGATGCAAACATGTCACTCTCTTCATCATCATTATCAGATTGTCCTTTGTTTTGATTAGCTATGTTTACTTGCTGATTAGTTGTATTGTCATCGCTTGAATCTACCTCAACATCAGGATCCGAATCCGAGTCATAAGAAGAAAGTAACTTTAAGCTGCCCTTAGACTTGACTTTTTTTGTAAAACCAGCTTCCTCATTTATGTCATTTTCTTTTGTTAATTGCCTTTTTCTTGAGTATTTGTTGGACATCTTACATTTATTTCTTAGATAATGATCAGATAGTTATTAGAATAGTATGGCCCAGTTGCATAATTCTGTTTAGAATCTTCTACAATCTTTGTAGTACTTGTTTAAGCTAATGTATCCTTTTTGTCGAAGATTAGTTTCTATCAGAAAGGGAATTTAAAGCTTGTTAATTGTTGTAATCATTCTTTCTCTTCAAAGATTCTTGTTTACATAGAATATGTTTACGCGAGCAAGTAACGTTCCACATTTTCATATGAATATTAAACTAAACTAAACATAAAAAATTGTTTTAGGATATTGGAAAATATCCTAAAACAGATAAAATTAAATATAGACATAATTTTATAAATGACAATTACATACGTTTTATATGCGTGATGGTGTTACAATATTAGAGTTGCTTTTCTTCCTTTGTTCTATGGTGGACAAACCATATGAGTACAGCACATAGCCGTCCCTTTCTCTCACTTCAATCGGCACTCTAACGTTTAATACTGGTTTTAGTAATAACTCCCAGTCATATCTTGTCCGTGGAGTACAGAAAAGCCATTTACGCAACAATTGTATCTTCACCGATTTAAACTTGGATAATTGCTTTAAGAAACAATACAAGTTTATATTTGGAATATCCATGAAATTTTGATAATTCTGGAAATTATTAAAGATATTGTCAATATCCAAGTTATCTATAAAACTTTCCATATCAAGGTCCGTATGTTCTGGTTTTTTCTTAAGCTGAATTAGACATTCCTTTAAGCAACTTACAACCGATTCGTCCCATTGATAATTTGTATTTGGTAATGATTCATTATTGGTATTATGTAATTCATCTTCATGGATGTCATTTTGATGATATGCAATCAAGGTTTCCTGATCGTTGGAGAGAATTTTATTTAATACTTTTTCCCAATAATCTAATGGTGATAATGGGAAAACATTGGTGAAAGGAATATTTATGACGTTAATATTTACATTACGGGAAGGAATTCTTTCAAAGAGTTTTTTGAAATAATGATAACAATAATGGAAACTTGGGATCCTTGTCATATGAAAAAATTCACTTTGAGATTGAGTAATCATTGAAGGTTTCTTTGCAGTCATTGCTGAACTTTTATCGATTGTTGTCCTTGAAATATAGTTAAGGTTTAATGACAACACCACAGCTGTAGTAGGTGGTGGGACTTGTAAAATATGTCGCACTGGTTTATCTAATAAAGTTTCTGCCACCGATGCCGTATCGTCTTCATCAAACGCTTGGTCATTAATTTCTTTGTAATAATAATCATCATTTACCAAAGAAGTGTGTGTAAAACATCTACTATTACAATCTATTGTCAAATCTTTCAATGCAGGGAAACAATTACAAAGTAAGAGATCAAATTTACTTGTAAGGCTTAATAAACTTACATTTGTAACACTTTGGAAATAGCTATGGAACAGTCTTAAGATACCATTTCCTGGCACTATGTGACATTTTCTCAGAGTTAGTGTATTGTAAGTAGAATGCAAATCATAGATATCCTTTTGTGAAGAAGATTTTTGTTCTTTTCTTATATATAACGGAAGAAATTCCATAGGTGTGTCTAATGACTCTGTGTCTATAATTACGTTATCTAATATCAATTCATTAATAATACCAAAACAACAAAGCATGTTAAACCTCAATGGGACAATCGGAACATTTCTTTTAGTCGAATCAGATATGGCTTGGATCTCCAAAGTTTTAAACCTTTGCAAAGAATAAAATTTTCTTTCATAATCGTTTAAGAATTCAGGTGATATTTGGAATGATCGTAAGTCGTTATTATTTAAAGATTGTTGTCCCTTTATAATTTTCCTGAAGAAATCCTTTGAGCCATCATTGAATGCTGAATACCACAATGGAATTTTGAAGCTTGGTTCTACTTTACTTAATATAATATGTGATAAATTTGGCAAATAGTCTATTATATCTAGCATCAATTCAATATACGTGTAATGGGAATATTTGTATTCGAGTTTATTCAAGGTTTCCAAAAATTCCAAAGTTCGTTTATTTAATTTTGTACTATCATTAGATAAGAATGGAGAATGTGTACTTAATCTTTCATTGGTATATTGTGATGTATCATGTGAATTGTTTATGACTGATTTTTTATTATCTGTATTTGTTGATCTAACTTTTGGAGATGAGGTAATTGGGTTAGCTGTGTATGAGTAAGATCCTCCAATAACAGAATGATCTGCACCCTTTTTGCTATGATATTTGCTATATTTTAGTAAAGAATCCTGACATTGAGGATTAATAAAATCAATAGTTTGTGTTAAAAACCTTGCGTTTTGAGATCCACTTGTAACAGATGATATTGAATTTATAGTATGAAACTCCGAATGTATTAATGCATTAAATCTCAAAAGAGATAATTTGGATGTTAATTTAACCACTTTATAAAGACAATTATCCGAAATGATTCGATAAAGGAATGAATTTACTAAACAAAGTGTTGTAAGCGTTTTATTATCTAGATCTTCAAGGATCATGAGTAATATCTTTTCAGGTAAGCTTAGAAGACCCGACACATCTACTAATTTCAAATTTGAATCAACATTAGTATCAGTATGATCTTCAAAGCATCGTTGTTCTTCTGGAGGTTCGGTTTGACTCAAATCTCTATATTTTGTAGAATTCTTTAGAAAGTTCTTGGATTTACCTAGCAACTGCAATCGCCGCATCTAATCTGTAATGATATTATTGTATATTTAAGGGTATCTGTTATAAATCGATGTTGTGACGTTTATTCTTAAAATATGAGAGGTACCAGTAGGCAACTCGATGTTTTCTTTATTTTATCCTAGCACAATAGCGCCCTTTTATTTATCTGTCTATTTAATTCTTGGTCAATAACAAAAAAAGAGTAAAATAAAATAGGATTATCGACAGTAAAGTATATCGTATCATTGATTACGTACTTTTCAGCACATAAAATATTCTTTTGAAGAGCTTTGGCTCTTCTGTCAAAAGTTATCTTATATTATAAATTAGAATATTATAATCAATGACTGTTCTCTATTCGACCCTCTTTGTATTTACAGTACGGCAACGCAGGGCAAAATAAGAAAATTCATAATGAGTCACGTGTAATTTGACTCTTTACTGTGGATGTCCACATTAAATCAGCTTATCCAATCCAAGGCTTTATCGTTTTTTTGGCCGTTGCTATATACTTCTATATATATATATATATCTGTCTTGTCTATTTTGTGTTGTTCTTGTTCTTATCAGGAGTCTCCAAGGATGGCGCTGGTAGTCGATGTATATCTTTATTATTCAATTTATTCTCCTTTAAATCATTTGGAGCATCCTTAGCGTAATGTCCTATTAAGCTCTTTAAAGAATCAGGTATGTCATCAAATACAAGATCGTCGGTAGATTGAGAGACAGTCTCGCCCTTTGCTTTCATTATATCCTCGATCGTGATATGATTATCATTGAAGATCTTCAAATGATCAGCTATCAGATGTCTATTGTTACATTTGGGGCACTTCACCATCACTGTACCATGATGGTATGCCTGTTTCGAAATTGTATGCGAGGACCTGTGATCACATTTCTTACAAGTAAACGCTAGCATATATTGAGGCTTTTCTACTTTGAAACTTCCGATATGATGTGGATCCTCATTAGATTTATTGCTATTATTTGATTGCCAGATGTATGGGGCGCCATGAAACCCTCGCGTTTTTAATATAGATGATACGTATGGTATCCCTGTTGAACTAATAGCTTTGACATGTGTACTCTCCAGTAACAACGGTCTCAATTGTCGAGTCACTGAACGTGCTACTCCATTACGACCTAACCTAAACATTTTATAATTTTTTCTTTTCACGTAGTCCTACCCAGGTAAAATTCAAAACAGCAACGCCCTCCTCACCTTACTCTAATATACCTAGTTGAACCTACCTTTCCCAGATTTTATAAGTCTAATTATATAGGATATCTTTCAAATGAAATCAATGGTTTCCCTCCCAACTGAAAGAAAGTCAAAAAACGAACAAATTGAAAAATGCACCTGACGTGATTTGAACGGAGGGCTCTGAGATGAAGCCCTAACTTCAGTTTGTATGTGGGATTGCCCTCATAGGCTGGAAACACGTAGTTAGGGTACGTCGTGTCATGTGATGATATATTATAAATTTCCCCTTTTGGGACACCCAGTTCCACTTCGGTTTCCTGATTAGGAAATTTAATCATTTAAATAGGTAAAGAAGAAAAAAAATTAAATATTTTGGCGAATCCTTCACGATAACTGAATTCAATATTATATATATATGTGTATAGTATTATAAGTAAAAACTAGAATTAGGCACAATTCCAAATTATTTAGCAACAAAGTTTCTATTTGTGTTTATTTTAACGTCAAGTATCGAACTACTAACTTACTACAAACATACTTTATATTTAATTTAATTTTTCGGTTCATATATGACAGAAATGGCTGAAGACAATAGCAATGATCTGGCTTCTAGGATCCTACAGAGAGCTCAAATGGCTCAAATGACGCGTCAATTGAAATTGGGATTGAGTCAAATACCAAAGAATCAAATTAATGATGATACACCTCATGCAACATCTACTAGCAACAATAACAATAACAAGAGAGCTGGTGATAATTTTCTATTAAAGAAGGAAACTTCACCTTTGAAGAAACAATCAACTGAAACCAGTATTAGTACTACTAATAATAATAATCCGAAGAATCTTAATATTAATAAAGAAAAATTTAATAAAAATGAAAATAAGATTATTGGACCTTCTTCACCAAGTTCAAATTCTCCAATGAAAGTTATGCCATCTACTCCAGGAAGGTCAACAAATACAAATAATCATAGATTTCTTACTACACCAAATCAAAAAACGTTTAAGAAAAATAATAATGGTGATAATAGCAGCAATTCTGCAGGTGATGATACAGGTGCAGATTTATTAATGTATTTGGCAACAAGTCCATACACCAAGCCATCCACTTCATCTTCAATAAATCAACATAAATTAAATAATTTCATGAAAATTCCAACAACTCCATCTTCATCGTCCTATTCAAATCATCACAACCCAAATGATGAGGCTATACGATTATCGAATATGAAACCTTCACTTTCTTCGCCACAATCTACTTTCAAAGTTCCTCATTTAGTGGCTCATAATGGAACTTCGTCATTAGCATATCAGGACGTCCTAATGGATTCATCTTCACTTTATATGAATTCTATGCATACATCAAATAATGGAATGAGTCCTCAAAAGAAAAAGATGAGTCCTCAGCAATCTCAGGTACCAACGGCAATACCGACAACACCATCTCGTGAATCAGCTACTACAACTAAATCTGGGAATATAATAAATGGATCAACTAATAATCAAAGAGATCAATTAGGGTTACCAGCAGGAAATAATTCACAATCTAATAATAATAATTCAGGAACTATATTTAATAATTTGAATTTGCTAAAAACACCTAATTTTAATATGGGAGATTATATTCACAATTTATTTAGTCCCTCTCCAAATGTATCAACCAGTCAAGCTAGCCAGTTCAATAATGTAGCTGTAGGCTTGAATAAAACTGGCATGGTGAATGAATCGGCAAGTGATGCATTTAATGGATTATTAGCAGCGTCTTCAAATAAACAACAACAGTCCATTACGACTTCAACATCCACATCAGCATTGGTGGATAAGACTAATAATGACTTATGAAAAATAAGATATTTAAAATTCTGATTTTTCTGGATCTTTTTTGGCTAGTATCTAACACATCATTTAAGAAAGAACTTTAGCAACACAATATAAGTTCTATTTGTTGATCGAATATCTGATTATCATAGTTGTTAGATTCTTTTTTTTTAAAAAAAAATATGTATGGTACAAAGTTGATTTACTGTTTGTTTTATGTAGGTACGTATCTAATTTTTTTTGTCTGTATTCTTAAAATCTAATGGCAATATCTAATTACAGATAACGTAACTGGAATATGTTCAAAAAAACAGAACTAAGATAGTAATTGATATGTTAACGATAATTCCCCAGGTGTAACTGGGTCTTATGATAGATATAAATCAATATATCTATTTCTTATGACTTTTATGTTTCTTATCTTTCCTATGGTGAGAATGATGATCATCGTGTGATCTTTTCTTGTTATGCTTTGGTTTATCTGTATATACTGGGATATCTTCATTAGCTTCACCATCTTCTCTTAATTGTATTCCTGCTTCGTTATTGAATACTTTTTTTCTCCAGTCTCTTAATCTCTTGGACTTTGTGACTTTTCTTCTATCTTTGGCAATTAATTCTTTGGCTCTATATGGTGCAAATTTCTTCAAACTGATAAAATCGTTTAGATCAGCATCATCTGCAGCAAATATCTCTCTGTGCGTTAAACCAAAACTCTCTGGTGATACTTCACGATAACGAAATTTCACATCATCTTCTACATTTTTAGATCTACCTCTTTCCTCTTGTTCCTTTTCAACCTCTTCAACAATAGCTAATTTATTTTGTTCAATGGCTTTTTCTACCATCTCATCTAGCTTCTTCTTTTCAGTCTTTCCCTTTTGTTTTAATTCTTTTTTACTTTTCTTATTTTTCTTTGGTGTCTCATCTTCGTCATTTCCTTCTTCTTTAGCGTCTTCTGTCTCATTTACGTCTATATCTTCATTATCATTCTCTTCTCCATCATAGACATCTTCATGCATTAAATCGTCATCCCATTCAGGTTTTTCTTTATCGTTATAGAATTCTTCGTTAAATAATTCTGTGACGACGTTATCCCAATCATTTTCAGAATAATCACTAGTCAAAAGGGTCTTACTAATTTTCTTGACAAGTGTTTCATCTATTTCAGCACCAAATTCTTTTTTCAACTGATTTAATACATCGGTTAATTTATTAGCTTTCTTAGTCTTCTTCTTTTGAACAGCAGTCTCTTTTTCTTGTTTTTCAGTTTCTTTCTCTTGTCTGTCATCTTCTCTCTTTCTTCTACGAGAATTAGTAGCAGATCTTCTTAAAGTTGCTTGGTTACGTGCATACGATACAATTTCTGCAGAATTTGGATCTTCATAACGGAAATTATAAGCGTTTTCAAAATTTTCAGCAGCCTTATCAAATTCATCATCATCTTCGTTGTTTAAATCAAGATTAATGACTTTATCACCTTTCTTAGGCAACCATGCTTGTTGACCCATAAATTCATTCAAAAATTCATCTTCATTAGCTGGATCTGGTAGAGCGATATTAATGTCTTCATGGTCATTGGTGGGAGTTTTGTTTTCTTTCTTTTTCAAGAATCCATCATCATCGTCATCATCATCATTATCGTCATCATCATTATCATTATCACTATCCTCAGACTTAGTAGTCCCAAATGCATCATTAATTTCGGTCAACAGTTGGTTTCTTTCATCTCTTTGCATAGCAACAAATGATGGTTTACCGTCGATCGTCTTCAAATCCTTACCTTCACCGGTAGCCATCTCATCTTCCTCTTCTTCTTCATCGCTTCCAACATGACCTGACAGTAAGTTCATTCTATGATAATCCTTTAAATAAATTGGTTTATCAGTTTTTGTGGTTGTAGTATTGATAACTGCTTCTTCAGGATTTCCAAAAAATTTGACTTCAGGATTTAACAATTTATCGGTATCATTGTTTCTAATAGCATTTAAAACTTCGTTGATACCTTGTTCGACATCTTCAGTGACTAAATCACCTAAATCATCTTCTTCTTCGGAGGAAGACGATTCCCCTGATTCTTCCGAGGAATCAACTTCTGGAACTGGCTTAGATTTGCTTTTCAATTGCTTTTTAGAAGAAGAACCTTTTGTTTTGATAGTATTGACTGATTTCTCTTGTTCATCAACCTTATTAAGTTGGCGAGCAGCCTCTCTGGCTTTCTTGGTAGCAGACTTTTTTCTAGCCATTTTTATATTATAAGTAAGTGGTTTCTTGGTTTATGTATCTAAAACTATCACCAAATATACAAATTTCGACTTATTATGACAAAATATATTTAATAATTACTTACATATTATCTTATAACATTGCTCATCTCATCGCATCGCATCTCCTTTCAGGTATTAGAATGGAAAGGTTGAATTTGAAAAATTTTGAAAGATTCAAATGGTCATGTGCCATATCATTTTTCACGATCCTCATGCATTATCTCTCCGAGGGAAACACGCCGAATTTTAGTGGATATTGATTGATAATACCATTGAAAAGGGAAGTTATAGTCCCTTATTGAAAAAGTTATAAATATATGACATAAAAGAGAGAGAATAATTAAATAGCATAGACGGTTTATAAGAGTCGTTGCATTATCTGGTTTGTAAATAGAGTTACATTTTCTTTGTTTTTTTGTGAGTGTGTTGATCAATAACAGAGATAGATGTTTCGTTTCAACATTTTAAAAGGTATCTCTCGTAGATGTGAATCCACGATATCATTTGGTAAAAAGGATGCCACTGGTACCATTTTAAGCAATGTGATTAAACCTAGTGCTTTGGGTAGTAAGAGAACAGATAGGAAATCTAATGAAAAGAATGAAATTGTTAAGAAATATGTATTGCATTGTAATTTCACTAAAAATAATACACATTTCACATATTGCGCAGTAATGGAAGATTTAAATTTCCTTCAAAATAACGCACAGCTATCATACAACGACAAACTGTTATATTATATGAAATTACCATCAAAGGTCAGATTAAAGTTATCCACTGGTTGTTTGGGTTTTAGAAAAGCTGCAAGAGGTGAATATGAAGCTGGTTTCCAAACAGCAAACAAGATCTTTCAAATGATTCAAGAAAAGAATGTTTTGAATAAAGATATTGAGATTGTCATGAAGGATTTCGGTAAAGGTAGGGCTGCATTCATAGCGGCTTTGAATGGTAAAGAAGGTACAGCTATTAGAAAATACGTCAAGAGTGTTAGTGATGCTACACCATTAAAGTTTGGTGGTGTAAGATCTCCAAGAATCAGAAGATTATGATTGCCATCATTGACCTCAACTCACAGAACATATACAGCTGCATTTCACCCTGTCTATATATATATATCTATATAAATATTCTCTATAACATATACTTGTAAAAAGTCATTTCGCCCAGTAGTTTACATTATAAAACGGAGTCGCTAATTTATCATTTCATATTTTGATGTGACTACTTTCAGGACGTATTATTGTGTGGTGCAGGGATGGTCTCTCCAACGCGCGGTGTATGGGTTGCTCCACGTCCAAAATTCCATTAATTTCAGAAAACTTTAGAAAAGAAATATTTTTTACAAAAAAACCGATTTGATTCTGAAAAAAACAAAAATTTTAGAAATTTCGAAATTCTCACTTTTTGCAGCGTGAAGCGGGCCTCATCTCACAAGACAAGCCTCTGAAATCTTTTTTATCTACTATGCTGAGATAGAGATGGGATAGTTGCATTAACATACTAGATAGAATTAAAGAGGCATACATAATAAGAGAGACTTATAAGAGTATAAGCCAAATATTATTTTCATTTTACTGTTTAATTGAACATTAGATCATAAAATCGAATAACTATAAGACAAAATGGCTCCATCTAGTATGTACTAACGATGAAACAAAACTAGCAGTTTTAACGAGAGAGGAAACAAGCGATGATGAGAGAAGAAAGAATAGTATTGATGATATATATTTAATAGTGGCTATCCAGAATAAATATGAATCAGCGATCACCCATTACTTATGTGATTAGAATATAACACAGAATGTTTATGTTTCTGTTCTGTTTTTTATTTTCATTTGTTTTTTAATTTGGTTATGACCAGTTGTAAATTGGTTTATGATTGAAATGGAAAAGAAAGATATTAAAAAAGAAAGTTCAAGCTAGATTAATAAGAAATGCCCTTTTCCGAATACATTAAATTTTACCTCATTTGGTTCGACTTTAATCGATTAAAATAAACTAGCTATACTCCCAACTCCTAATATGTTCTCATTTTACTAACAATTATAAATTATTGCTATGTTATGTTCTATCCTAATTTCATAACTGAACCAATTTTTGCAAAAACATTTTATACAGCTAAAGCTACTGCTGCTAAGAAGGCTGTTGTTAAAGGTACCAACGGTAAGAAATCCCTAAAGGTTAGAACCTCTTCTACCTTCAGACTACCAAAGACCCTAAAGCTTGCTAGATCTCCAAAGTACGCTTCCAAGAGTGTTCCACATTACAACAGACTAGACTCTTACAAGGTCATTGAACAACCAATCACCTCTGAAACCGCCATGAAGAAGGTCGAAGATGGTAACATTTTGGTTTTCCAAGTCTCTCTAAAGTCCAACAAGCACCAAATTAAGCAAGCTGTTAAGGAACTATACGACGTCGACGTTATGTCCGTTAACACTTTGGTTAGACCAAACGGTACTAAGAAGGCTTTCATCAGATTGACTGCTGAGTACGATGCTTTGGACATTGCTAACAGAATCGGTTACATCTAATCTATTTCGTCATATTACTTTTACAAAACATGTGTTTTTTTAACAAAGGAATTAAGGAAATTTTAAATTCAAATCGATCTTTTAAACAATGAAAGAGACCCTAGTATATATATATAGACACATATTCATATATATTATTATTTGTTATATATATTAGAAAATTTTAAAACCATAAAGATTTAATATTAAAAAATTATGCTCTGGGATAATTAGAACCATATAATTATTCTTTTTATTTTTACATTATATTGTTTAATGAACTATGTCACTACATATATAACTACTAATTATCGTCACTACTGTTGTTCAATATTCTTAAAATGGATAGGAATAAATTAATAATATCTAAATATGACATCATTGCACATTTAATCTCTTCATCTGGATAAACTTTTCTAAAGATTAATTGAGTATCGATGAACAAATAGACAGTGAACACAATAGCTCCTAACCAACCATAAAACAAATTCATCTTACTACCTAGTCCAAAGAACATGGATGAAATACCAATACCAATAAGTAATAATAAAGCCCAGTTAAGCCAATAGTAGATAGAAGTAGCAGAGTTCAATACATTTGCAAATCTTGGTGATAAAGCCATCAAGGATACACCAATAACAATCACGGCTGTGATTAATAAGGCACGTAACACAACATCTGGGTCATAAACTAGGGTAACGACCGACAAAGTATAAGCTTCACAAAGTGTGAAAATCGATAATAAAGCTAGTTTCCCCGAACGACCTAAAACGTACCAAGGTAATGTTTGAGGGTCATCGTTATCAATACCATCATTTAACAAAGATGTACTGTATTCAACTTCTTCTGCACGTGGCGCAAAAGATAACCAAATGCATGTCACTACCGATGCAACCATAGCGATCCACCATAGAGCCATATGACTAAACATAAATGTTTGTAAACCATTATTACGAGCAACTGCGTAAGAGAATGCAAATGTAAATAGTAATTGTGATGAAAGTAAAGAATAAACTTTCATCATGAAATTTTGTCTCACCTGAGGTTCACATGAACTAACTTTAGTAGAATACATGAAGTCATCGGGGATATATGGTCCGTCACCATTCTGTTGCTCCAAATCAGCCATCCTAGATAATATATTGTTGTTGAGATATGTATATGCTCAGCTTTTTGATTGTTCTTGTGATTACTATTCTGTTCTTTGTTTTAAACTCTCTTGTTATGTGTTCCTGTATATATTTGTTATTATCCATCCCTGAAACTTCTCCCATATCGACCTTTCAGCGATGAGTGGCGCCGCGATGCCGATACCGATGATATTATTAAGAGCAATAAGAAATAAATAAATATAAACCAAAGATGTCACACTTTGCTTTAAGGTGAGGACGTATATTGATATAAGATAAGTGGTTATCCTAGTAGGTGTACCTAGTGAAGTAGTTTTATTCTTGTCTTGGTGAGGAATGTGTATGCTTTAAACTGTATTTCGATACAGACAAGAATATTCATAATCTGACTGTTTATTATATTATTTTCATTATTTTAAGTTATTAAAGAGAACATATCTATGTAATCAAATATATATCTACCAGATTATAATAGGGGAATAAATAAATAAATAATGGAGTAGGAGTATCAATTCAAATAAATATTAAAATGTCAAAAAAATGGAGGGGAAATGGAGATGGGAATGAACAGAGACGATATTACGTCGGTTATCAGGCTCCCGTTAAGATGTATCTAATTAATGTTAAGATCCAGATCACCACTTGTATCAATAATAATGCGCCAACGAACCCCATGCAAACCATTGAACTGATGGAATAGCATAGCATAAAGAAGAAAGTACCTTTAACAAAAGTGATAATTGAATCCATCAAATATTTTTCATCTTCAGCTGGACCCATTGAATTGAATTTCTCGTCTTCTACAATCTTAAATTCAACTAGTGATTGTTTGACAAATTTGAGCAAATCTATTAATTTACTTTTGGTCACCAGTTTTATAGTGTCCTCCTGAGCCTGAAGAGCAAACAAAGTTTTATTTAATCTTATGTTAATATCAACGTCATTATGTAAATGATGTTTGATGTAAGTCATGACAAACTTCTTTAATATAATTGAATTCAATTGATGTGTTTTACTTTGCTCAGCGATAAGTCCAGAGACACGGTAGTTAGCTACAACGATGTTTTCGATGTTTTCCTTACATAGTTTGTCACATTGTTTGGTATAGTTTAGAGTTTGTAAATGGTCCATAAATTGATAGTGATTAATTTTAGTAGCGTTGTGAAATATCTCAACTGTTTCATAAAAGATATCCTTTGGGGTCTCTGTAGCAACAATACAATCTGTGAGAACAAATGATAGTGCGATTGGTTTAAATAACTTCATAGTTTAGTTTCAGATGATTATAAGGTCTTTATTTTGTTAGTATTAGTTTGAAGAAAGTGAAGAAAAAGAAATAAATTGAAGCAGGAGTTTCTAAAACATGTCTCGTCATTATATATGTATGATTATGAGGAGTAATGGGTTTGGTTATTTGGGTAGAACAACCATTAAACAGTTGTTTTACCCACAGACACAATTCATTAATAGATTTTGGTACCTGGCACTACTTATCAAATATCTAATATAATACATATTCCTACCTCTTTACCTTTTTTACCCAAAATGTCGTTGTTTTCTTTATTTATTCGATCTCTGACATTTTTTGGAAAGGTAAAATTTAGTGTGACACCCTCAGATTTCCAGTAAACTAAAGAAAGGACGTTTGTACACACAGTACCTCTCCCCCAACAAAACTATACCCATTTTGATCTACAATTACCAGATTACCCATACAAGATTATGATAATCATATTGCACCAGTCATGAATGTAGTGGTACGAGATCTTATTTTCCGAGTAGCAACCGCAACACAATCTAGGTGCCTCACATACAACACACAACTGTATCATTTATATATTCCCTACAACAGATGAGGCTCATTAAATAGCTAACAACCTCCTTCGATTCACCCATTGGAGTCAAGATCCCGATGATGTTAAGGGTGATGGCAGTCGATATACCCGTTATAAGCAGCCTCATGGTATTGTGTGTGTGAGAGTAAATGGGCCACACTGGAGAGCGACATTAAAACGCGAAGAAATTGCTGGACGGCGACGCGTTTGGCTTTCGATGTGGAAGAAATCAGACACTTATTGGAATGACAGCTATACAACAATATCCGTATGGAAGGCTATAGAAGGAATGGGATGGGACGCTGTCATATGTTGGCTATATCTTCCTTGTCATTAATTGTTTGAATTAGTCAGTGGGTATAAAGAAGAGTTGTCAACGAAATCATGTCAGACGCACGGAAGCGGTACTCGTTGAACTTCCCACCAATGATGGCATCGCAAACTAGATCTGCTGGGTCTCCGACACTTGTTAGAAGAAGTCTTAGTGGTAACATTAGAGACACTACATCTTCGTTCCAGAAATGGAGGGAACGGCCTTTTACTGCCATGGGAGTTAGCTCGGCGGTTGGTTCCACTGTTCCTGCAGATATAGATCCTTCTTCTATATCAAATTGTAAGATACTTTTAATAGGCGATTCTAATGTAGGGAAAACTGCAGCAATCTTAGGTTATTGCGATGAATTAATGACTAGATCGCAATGGCAACGACAACGACAACGACAGACATTGATGAAGCATTCTAATTATAGTCAACCGAATATTGATACGAATCAATCACAGGTAAGTCCCATATCACCAACCAGTAAATCGCCGATAAATGCTTCAACAAGTAGTACTGGTAGCAATTCATTGGGACTAATTCAAAGGAAACAAAAATTATTATCTAGACAAAATACTAGTTCTAATAAGAAACGTTACAGTTTAAATGATTTTGAAGAATTGGCTAAAAGAAGATCAATCTTGTTTCAAAGGGACGGTTCGTTGCTATCGCCGAAACAGCCCTCTATGGAGACATTCCTACCCACAGAAGAATCACGCCCTACTAAAGAAGCGCTAGATGAAGATGATGATTATGACGATTATGATAGTATCGACTCCAATGGTGACAACGAATTGATGATCGATACACGAGCCACCATCGGAGTCGATATCAAGACCAGGCTACTAAATATCGATAATCGTTATTTCAATTGTATTATGTGGGATACAGCGGGTCAAGAAAGATTCCAAAACGCAATTATTCCATCGCTATACAAGAACTGTAATGGTGTATTACTCACATATGATATCTGCGATTTTGTATCTTTCAAACATTGTTTTACAAGATGGCTCCCCGAGGCTCTACAGAATATGACCTCTAAGGATCTTATTGGGGCACGTTTCTATTTATTAGGTAACAAGATCGATCTCTACAAGGATCGTCAAGTAAAACATGACGATGTGCTTCGTTATATCGCCCATGCGGAATCTCAACATCGGATCACCATATTTGGAAACTTTGAAGTAAGCTGTAAATGGCCTCAATCCATAGACTCGACTTTCAATAATATTATTTTAAACCTCATAGAGAACAATTGTTATGAGGACAACCAACCAACACAGCCACCAGCATCATCATCGCATTCACTCACACCTCAACAATTGCAGCCACAACCATTGATGATAAACGTTCAAGAGGAAGTATCGTCATCAGATGATGATGCATCCGTTTACTCGGCTAGCAGTCATCGTAGTAATGATAGCAATAGAACTTTACGCCAACGCAACCCCAAACAGACAATAGACTTAACCAACCCATTACCAGCACAGTTGCCGGAGGTTCCCGCATCTGGTTGCTGCACATAGCATTTAACCACTATATGTAAACATAAGTGTATATAAATATAACATTCATATCATTCCAAATCGTTGTATCAGTTCTAAGTGCCATAGGTGAAAAGTGTTCTAAACGGCGTTACCCAGCTCTGTCACTTAGTACGAATCTCATCACTTCAATCAAAGCAAAGAGAGAAAAAAATTCTAAATAGACAAATAAAAAAGACTGAGCTCTTACCCAAGTCAATATTTGTTGGTAATATCAATAAGAGAGAAAAGTTAAAGAGAGCACGAATAGAAATCATATATTTGTATACGTATATTCAGTAGTTTGAGAATTAGTTTTATTTTTATAGCGACTGCAGTGTAACACGGTATATATTAAGACAGATAGATATAGTTATATAGCCCAGAAAGGACGTTATAACCACCCGCCCCTTCATCACATAAAGAAAACATAGATATATACATATATCCAGAATGAGTTCAGACGAAGAAGAGTTCAACGATATTTACGGCGATGAGCCAGAAACTAAACAGGAACAAACTGCCGCAGTCGTTCCTGAGAAGAAAGAAGAAAATATAGAGAAGAAGTCAGAAGTAAAAGAGGAAACTAAACCATCTCCTACAAAGATAGATTCTTCTGCTAATGAACAATTAGCTGCTTTACAAGCTCTAACCTCTTCTATAAACCAGGCTCAAACCAGCTCATCAACTCAAAGTGTACCACCTGTTGTAAATGAACCAACTGAAACTTCCAGAGAATCATCTTCTTATGATAATGGTAGCTATAACGCTCCACAAACCAGTAATGCACCATCTCAAGGTGGAAGGATGAAGGCAGATTTGTCCAAGGAAAGCTCAAAACTATTCATTGGTGGGTTAAACTGGGAAACTGATGAAGAAAAATTAAAGAAGTATTTCTCAAAATATGGTAATGTTGTTGATTTAAAGATTATGAGAGATAATGCCACTGGTAGATCTAGAGGTTTTGGTTTCTTGACCTTTGCTGAGCCACATAGTGTTGATGAAGTAGTCAAGACGCAGCATATTCTTGACGGTAAAGTTATTGATCCAAAGAGAGCAATTCCAAAGGATGAACAAGATAAAACTGGTAAGATATTCGTCGGTGGTATTGGTGCTGATGTAAGACCAAAAGAATTTGAACAATTCTTTTCTCAATGGGGTAACATCATTGATGCACAATTGATGTTGGATAAGGACACAGGTAGATCCAGAGGTTATGGTTTTATTACTTATGATACACCAGAGGCTGTCGATAGAGTATGTCAAAATAAATATATCGACTTTAAAGGTAAAAGGATAGAAATCAAGAGAGCTGCTCCAAGACATTTACAAAAAGGTGGATCCAATCCAAGAAATAACAATTCATCATCATATGGTGGACATAATGATTCAGGTAGAGATAACTGGGGCAGTCATGCAGGTACAGGTGCCAACGCTACTCCAACAGGTCCTGGTCCAAATGCCAACAATAATAATAACATGTATGGCAATTCAAATATGATGAATATGAACCCAATGTTCAATCCACAAATGATGCAAGAGTACTATCAAAAAATGCAAGAATATTATACACAATTCCAAAATGGTGCGTACCAACAACAACCAGGTGGTGCTAATGGGCAACAGCCGCAAATTCCAGGTATGCCAATGATGATGCCAGGTATGCCAAATGCTCCAAACATGCCAAATGCTCCAAACATGCCAAATGCTCCAAACATGCCAAATGCTCCAAATATGCCATCTCAACCATCTCAATCGTCATCTCACGAATCTAGTGCAGATAACGCTGGTGGTAGAAATAGAGACAGTTCTTCTTCCCGTCAAGGCCATAGGACACATCCAAGAAGACAACAAGATAATCATGGATATCATCCATACAATAAATGATTGATAGTTTTGTTTACTCTTATTATTACGTATTAAATTGTTATACATGCTATTAATTCGGTGTTTTACATTGTTGTCTTGAATTTGCGTCAGGGAGGTTGCAAATTGAGTATTATCCATTCATTTTATATAAATAAATTATGTATATTGTGCAAAAATTATTCAAAGAGAGAAAGTCTAATGCGGCTCACCTATATAGAATCATCTCGAGTATTTAAATGGTAGAACGAGTATCTGTAAATACTTATATAATTAGGTTAGTATTTCAGTACTAACCTAATCTGTTTGTAATAATACATTGTTAATTTCTTATCAAAATATTTTAATATTTAGATGTACACATCAAGAATGAAATATGATCTCACTGATTTTGATTCAATAAAGATTTAAAATACTTCAGATTTATTTATTATATATTTTTTTAAATAACTAATAAATGAGTTATATATGGTTATGAATAGTTTAACTTAAGATGAAAAGTAAAGGATAAATGTGGGGTCAATATAGAAATATATGTATAATAATTGTCTGTATGAGTTGTTACATTTATTCTTCGTCTTCTTCCAAAGTTTGAGCGGCAATACGATCCAAATCTCTTTGACCATTTTCAGAGATTCTTCTACCACCCTTTGGAGAGATTTCTAGAACACCAATCTTTTCTAGAGCTTGTAGGACTCTTCTGTTGACAGAACCGGAAGCATCGACGTGCTTGGAAGGTCTAGTACCTCTGGACTTAGCATTACCGTATAGCTTGTTTAGAGCACCGACACCGACTTGCTTTCTTAGGTAGATGTGTCTGGCGACGGAGGCGGCACGCTTGTAGAACCAACCTTCAGAGTCTTGTGGTGGCATTTCGTTACCAGCGGAGGTCTTGACAATGTCAACATAACCTGGAACTTCTAGCTTACCTTGTCTTTGCAAGAAAGAAGCATAAGCGTTAATGAAATCTTGAGCAGCAACGTCTCTGAATCAATGGAGATACATTAGTTATTCATATCTTTTTTTTATAAGATGAGTATAAGAACTATGCCCAAATTGGAAAGATAAAATAATAAGATGTATACTTTTTGTTAGTAAATTTTGTTATTAAGGTGGCGGTATCTATTATATTAAGATAATTGTTAAAGATTCAATAAATCTGTTTTCGTTAAACGTGTAAATGTGTCGATATAACTTTATCAAAATTTCTTCCTTTATAATTATAATCATTTTCGTTCACATATTCAGTTGTGTTTTGTCCTGGTAGTTGTTCATAGCAAAACTTTTATAATATTCAACTCCCTCGTTGTTCCATTTTATTAAACTAATATCTTATAAATGCATGTCGGTCCATATCTTATTTTCATTCTTTCTCTTCTAATCTCTTTACATATTAAAATCTATTCACGATAATAGTTTGGTAAAAGATGGTTTGAACTTATAATAGAGGGCAATTTCATCATGTTTCAAATAACTTTATTGATTCATTTTCTGATTTTTTCTTCTTGGTACATCTAATGCAATCATGGATCATGTATCATTTCTAATAAGATATGTGTATATTCAACATTGCTAATTATTCTTCTTGGACGTTCCCATCAACTTCATCAATCAAAGACAATATATCTTCCTATAATTCAAATATTTCGACGAGTAACATACCTAACGGAAACACCTGGCATTTTTAATTAATTCTTTACTGTAGTCGTTCTATTTCAAGCTAAAATGAAAAGAAAATATCTTGTACTTCAAGGTCTACTTCTTTTGAACTAACTACTCTTCAAGATTTGATATATTTCAATCATTCATTCGTTACCTTACGGTTCAGTCAGAGGGTTTCGTGCAGTAAGGTCTCTCTATTACGCAGTATTTTCCACAATGTGGTGAAGTTTCACCAATGAGGCTCTCCCTCACACTCTCATACACATATTCTCTCTATCTATCCATCTCTCTGTAGTACCTATTAGGTCCGCCGCATTTTGCAGTCGAGTGCTCTGTTCAAACTGAAAATTATTGTATTGATGAGGATGGAAATGTCATGGAGAGAGAAAGAGTTGGGATCTTCCCGGCAGAGCGATTGAATTACAGGCTGGTGGTGGGCGGAGGAGTCTTAGACAGATCTCTGTCCCTGTAGGTTGGAAAGAGGGGAGTTTAGCTCGGCTTGATCTTGTGTGGATGCAGACAGATGAATATCATTGTTGCTGCCAGAGCAAGCAACGTCTGTCTAATTTCTCTGCCCACTTAAAAAAAAGCCTTTGTCGGGGCCAGCAACTAATTTGTTTTTTATTTTTAAAAATAGCGGTCATGTTGTAAATATATCAGATATATTTTTTGAACTTTTAATGTGTGGTGTTCAGATGTACCCCAACATGTATGGGTGTTAGCTACTTGCTGAACAGTCACTTATTTCTGACTATAATAAGACTTATGAATGTATAATAATAACAACCAAATTTGAGACACTATGACTAAAATGTGAGTCTATTCCCTGATGAACGAAAGATCAGGGATTAATAAGATATAAGATTTTCGTAAGTGCGACGTGCTTGTGTTTGTTTTAATGTACAAAAGTTTTGTATATAAGGATATATCTAAATATATAAATTAAAATAGCATGTCCTATATACGGTATTAAATGATGATTAACTATAAGTTTTTCGTTAGGAAACTGCTTACACCTTGAAGGCCTTAGAGTTTCTTCTACCTCTAGCTCTTTCAAACTTTCTACCCTTGGATAGAATTCTTGGAGCCTTGTTCTTGTGTGGACCCATACCGAAGTGTCTAACAGCTTCTCTGGAGTTTCTTGGACCTCTTAGAATCAAAGTGTTTTGACCCTTTGGAGCTCTGACAGCCAATTGATCTAGGGTGATACATTCACCACCAGCCTTGGTAATTCTAGCTCTGGCACCAGCAGTGAATCTTAGAGCAGCAACGGTAGTCTTTGGCAGTTCGAAAACTCTAGCATCATCAGTAACAGTACCGACAACAACGATGGTCTTAGCGGAAGCACCGTCTTGCTTTAGAGCTCTAGCAATTCTAGAGATAGACACAGGTGGTCTGTTGATCTTGGATAAGAACAAAGACTTTAGGACAACCTTGTTAAATGGAGCATCAGTACGACCTATTTGAAAAAGAAAAAAAATTTAAAAAAAATTATTCTTGTTAGTAAATTAAAGGATTTGAATATCAAGAGACGGTTTATCCTCGTAGTGTAAATAGTAACCAAGGGAGGGTTACTAGTTTCACATATTGAAGATGACGACGTCAAAGAAAGTAAAGCATTATATTTTAAAAATGTAATGCCAGAATTCTGCTCGTAATAATATCTATTTGAGGTTCGCGCATACAATTATTACTATTCTATACAGTTACATGTATTTAATCTTTAAAAAATTAAAAACTTGTAATATGTACTAAAGAACGAATAGTAAAATTAGTCGGCACTCGCAGAATATTGCAGTTTAACAAAATAGAACTTCAGAAACGATGTTCACCTTAAGTTAAACGCGATATGATTGAATTCTAGTATGAAAACAGTAATGAAATTAATCATTACACCATACACACTTAAACAAAAATCATAATATTATTTCCAATTGCATACACAGACTGTCAACACTTAAAATGGAGTGTCGACAGTATAATACATTCAAAAGAAAATTCGAAATTGTTAGAACAGAATCCCTAAAAGTATTCATAATTTTTCACATACGAGCTAAGAAAGAGTATAGCTTAACTAATTGCTTTAAGTAGACGTTGTCAGACTTTGGAGCGGTTCTGTGACCGGATCTTTCGTGTTGTTTAGAAGTGTGATCGATACCCATTGTTAATAATTTGTTTGGTTGGTTAGTTAGTTGTATACTGCCATAAGAAAGAATTAAAATAAATGTTAAATAGGCATGAAATCAACTGGGAAAAAAAAGTAGAATTGAAATTTCAGTTTCTTTCGGTTTATATATATTCAAAGAGAGCGAATTGCATGTTTCGGCCAGGAAAACTGAAAAAAATATATGTTGCGTCGGTTGCGTCGTTCTGATGTTGCGAGTTCTGTGCAGTCGTGAACAGTGATGTTAAATTAACATAGGGTTAAATAAGAATTAATTATTAAAAAGTGATCTACAAGGGCAGCTAACTAGTTCTATACTTGCAATAATGTTTGTTAATAAAGCCTACAATATATATATCTTGTGTTTTTGAAAAAAGGGTTTTTAAATTTTTGTTTACCTAAACCTGTCAACTTAGAGCGTTTAGTCTCGCTGTTGAAGTGAATAATTTATAATAATTTTATAAAATTTATGTTTACTAAGGAATTTTTCATTTTAAGTCAGCATAAAATTTATAAAATATTACAAATAGAGCAATAAATGTTTATAATTCCAAGAATTAGTAAATCAAAGGAGCTTAAGTTTCTTAACAATACTCTTTAACCCTATGAGTTGTCATTTTGCTATTTAGAACTTGTACGACCTGAAACACTCTAATAAGGTCATCTAATTTTTATAACCTAAAGAGAAGCGATGAGCGAAAAAATTTCCTCTCTTTCTATTTCATATAAACAACTTTATTTATAAATATATATATAAATAAGATGCCATTATATTTTTATCAAATATATCCAAGAACATTACTTCAATTTTCAGGGATAATATCTGCTCAGATAAGTACAAGGGTACTTCAATTCTAAATAGTAGTTATTATTACTTTTTTTGTTATTTACAAGTTTGACAGGTATGAGAAAGAAAGGTCCAAGAAGAGTTGGAAAGAAGCCCTTCAAAAGAATGAGAAAATCATCATTCAACAAGATACAAAAGAAATTTGATGTGTTTCATGAAGAAATAGACCATTTTAATAACTATGAGAGTTTGACTTTAGATATAAGTGACCCTGAAATTGTTACAATTTCTGACGATGAATCATCGGAGGATGAACAAACCTTTAAAGTGGATGTTGATAAGATAAATCATAAAAATATACCTGAAGTGGTTCACCATACCGAGGATAAAATAAATAAAAACGATAGTGAGACCACAGAAGATCATTTAGAATTAAATAACGATTTTATTGCATTTTCTGAGAGTGATAGTGAAGAAGATGAAAAAAAAGAAATCGATGATGGTGATGATGATAACAAGGCGATTCTTTCAGTTACTACTGAACAGTTGCCATCGAATATCAATATCCGTGCAAAAAAGACAACCAACGACGAATTTCCATGGTTATTGAATCATGATCATTCCACACAGAGAGATATATCCAAATGGATAACATTAGAGATGAAAGATTTCATATCATATATTTCACCAAGCAGACAAGAGATCGAGACCCGTAACAAAACGATTCAAAAATTACGTAAAGTTGTTAGAAGAGTGTGGCCCGATTCTACGTTACATGTATTTGGATCCTATGCGACTGATTTATATTTACCAGGGTCTGACATTGACTGTGTTATCACGAGTAAGACTGGGAACAAAGAACACAGAAGCTATCTCTATGAACTAGCTAGATATCTGAAAAGTAACGGGATAGGGAAACAAATTGAAGTAATTGCGAAAGCCAGGGTACCGATTATTAAATTTGTAGATGTCGGCTCTGATCTACATATAGATGTTTCATTTGAGAGATTAAATGGTATCGAGATTGCCAAAATAATACGAACATGGTTAGATGATACTCCAGGTCTTCGAGAATTGGTATTAGTCATAAAACAATTTTTAAAATCGAGAAGATTGAATGAGGTTCACACTGGTGGTCTTGGTGGTCTAAGTATCGTGTGTTTGGTGTACTCATTTTTACATCTTCATCCAAGGTTGCGTACTGAGGATATCGATGCCCGTGACAATCTTGGCGTTCTATTAATGGATTTCTTCGAGTTATATGGGAAAAACTTCTCGTATGAGAAAGTAGCATTATCCTTTCAAGATGACATTCCTACTTACCTGCCGAAATCTCATTGGCGAGCATTGCCACCAAGTAGAAGTTCACTAACACTAGCTATTCAAGATCCGCTCGATATTTCAAACAACATCAGTAGGTCATCTTATAATGTTACTGGTATAAAGAAAGCCTTTTCAGGAGCCTTTAATATCATATCGAATAAATGTTATGAGTTGAATCAAGCGACTTTCAAAGACCGTGTTGGTAAAAGTATTCTTGGAAACATTATCAAATATAAAGGGGATACAAGACATTTCAAGGATGAAAGAGAATTAGTTCAAAACAGGGCCATTGTAGAGAATGAAGTATATCACCTGAAACGCAGCAGGTCTGTAATAGATTTAGATAATAGAGAAGATATGTTTTTGAATCCTAGTGACGACGAATTATTGACCGGAGGTCAAGATGAACGGGATATGTACCGAGTTTCAGAACCTCCTAGGAAGAAACAAAAGAAGATATCCACCGAAACAATTACAATACCTAAGAAAAAGAAGATAAAGAAGAAGAAGAGACCTGTAAACGTTACGAAGTTAATCTCAAAGAGAGCACCGTCTAAGAAAATTGATGAATTAATGGGTATTGAGGATGACAACGATGATATAAACGACAACGATACAATAATGCTCAAAGAAAATGACAATTCGGCAGACGATACTAAGGAATCTACTTTACAGACTATGAGGGTAGATGCGCAAACAAGGAGAGATTACTGGCTTTCGAAGGGTCAGACATTGGCAAGTGTAAGTATTTCGAAAAAGAACACATAGATATATAGATATAGATATTTTAACGATAAAGAGGCTTTTTCTACGTAAAAACCAAACCGTCATTATACTGAAGGGTACATCTCAGAACCAATACACTAAAAATAAGATAAAAAATAGTTCGAATATTCTTCGTTGAATAAGTTTGTATAGAAAAAATGTCCAACTTTATATCTTTTTTTATTTGCCTCTCTGAGAAAACATGATCTTCCCTGCTGCCCCCAACCAAGGAAAACAAACATATCCCAAGATATATATCTACTCACACATTTAAAAATGACACTACAACCTTGAAAATACCTAACATAGTCACAACCTCCGGCAGCCTAGTCAAAAATAACTGAAATAACATTATTACATGTTACAACCTAAGTGTCAGTTAAATATGATAATGGTGTTTCGTGCACGTGATCCGCGACGCGTAAAATTTTTCTTAGAGGTTTCACAACAAAGCAAACACACAGCGGAGAAGATCGTTTCTCGATCGTTTCTCAGTAATTTCATTAAACTTCACCTAATGTTGATAAGGAAAGGAAGTAGTCTGGGGTATACAGGAAGCCACGTTATCCATTCTATTGATTTTTCTTCATTCATTACTTGTTATCTTCTTTAATTTGTTGAAGTACGACTATCAACTATTCTTTCATTATACTTGAGGATACCCACTATTTGATCCAATTGAATTGAACAACTGAAAAGAATTTTGATCCGTTGCAAAATTAAGACCTGTTCTATTTTTAGAGGAAAACGTTTGGTGATCTGATAGAAACTCAACAATTAGAAGAAATCAGGTTAGTTAAATTACTTTTTGGTACTAGATATACATAAGTTATAACCTCATATATCAAGTAATTCTGTGAAAAAATTGTGGTAAGAACTGATATCATCGGAAACTTCACTTATTCTACAAAGTAGTGAAAAATAGATACGAAACAAACAATCAAAAATTATCTTATTCTATGTCACTGTCAGCAGCTGCAAATAATATATCAGATAAGGATTTCCAAAATATTGGACCTGCACCTTTACCTCCAAGTGCAGGCAAATCAACCGCCAGTACGGCTGCCTTTAATCAAACTCAACCAATCTCTAAAATGATGAATGGACTAGATATCAACCACAGGACATCAATACCAGTAGGAAACCAGCGAGTTGGTCCTCATTCGTTATCCACAGTGAGAAGAAAAACTGGTTGGGTCTCTTACAAAGATGATGGTCTTTTATCATTTCTTTGGCAAAAAAGATTTTTAGTATTGAATGATTCATATTTGGCTCTATACAAAAATGACAAATCCCAGGATGATCCTTCATTATTAATATCTCTGACAAGTATCGTTAGTGTCAGTAGAACTCAATTGAAACAGAATTGTTTTGAATTAGTACGTAGCAGCGAAAGAAACTCTTTTACAAATTCTAGCAATAATTCTTTGTCATCCTCAAATTCCTCTTCTGATTCTTCCAAGAAGGCTATTTATGTTGCTGCAAAGACAGAACATGAATTACATAATTGGTTAGATGCGATTTTTGCCAAATGCCCTTTATTAGGTGGTGTTTCATCACCGACAAATTTTACTCATAAAGTACATGTCGGCTTTGATCCAGAGACTGGTAGTTTTGTTGGTATGCCAACCAATTGGGAAAAATTATTGAAACATTCACGAATTACTGGTGAAGATTGGAATAATGACTCTGCTGCTGTCATTCAAGTACTTCAATTTTATCAAGAATACAATGGCATCAATCCCAATAACAATAATGCAACTACTAAAGCAAATGTAGGTATCAAAGGAAGTATACCATCTAAACCTCAACAAACAAAATCACAACCATCCGTCAGTAAATTACCAAAGTCATCCCTCGATCTTACACAACAAAATTATCAAAAAAATGTTCTTCAAAATAATAATATTCAACAACACGAGGAATTTCAACCAAGAAGACATGCTCCTATGGCTCCGAAAGCAAGTACTCCAACTGGTTCTCAGAAGACTCCAACGCAACATAATCTTCAAAACAGATTAGACCCACAGTATTCTGCAAATCATAGCGTTCCTCCGCCAAGAGCTCCAGGACGTCAATCACCTTTCAAACTACCAACTGCATCTCAAAATTACCAATCATCATCTCAACTTCAGCCTCAAACGCACAGTCAACAAAATACTTATAAACCTTATCACAATAATACAAATCCTTACTCAAAATCCGAAATATCACCAATTAGAGATAACGTAGCTCCTCGTATCCCCCAAATCTCAACTGCAAAATTGCAAAATAAATATACTCCACAAAGAAGCCCTATTTCACCTTTTGGTGAGAAATCAAAGGCCAATCCAAATGATATGAGCGTCAAGGCTGCTGCGATGTCAATGAAACAAGATTTACACCCAACAAGAGCTGCTCCTAAGAAACCTACAGTAGCACAGTCCGAACCTAAGAAAGATGTTGCCGTTACTAAACAGAGAAAACCATCTAAACCTACCATGTCTAATGCTGAGATAATGAGCAAGTTGAAAAATGTCACGTTCAATACTGATCCTTCACCATACTTTAAAATGATCGAAAAAGCGGGACAAGGTGCATCAGGATCTGTATATTTAGCCGAACGTGTGTATCTACCACCAAATATCAATAATCGTTTAAGCAGATATCAAAATGGTGATCCTACAAATGTTAGCATTGGTGACAAAGTAGCTATTAAGCAAATGATTCTTTCGAAACAACCCAGAAAAGAACTTATCGTTAACGAAATCCTGGTAATGAAGGATTCGCGCCATAAGAATATTGTTAATTTCTTGGAAGCATATCTAAAGACTGAAGATGATCTGTGGGTCGTCATGGAATATATGGAAGGTGGATCTTTAACAGATATTATTGAAAATTGCCAGGCTAACACAACATCTCACTCGCCATTAATGGAACCACAAATTGCATACATTGTTCGTGAAACTTGTCAAGGTTTAAAATTTTTGCATGATAAGCATATTATCCATAGAGATATAAAATCTGATAATGTTTTAATGGATACACAGGCGCGTGTAAAGATTACTGATTTTGGGTTCTGTGCTAAATTAACGGATAAAAGGAGTAAGAGAGCCACTATGGTAGGTACACCATACTGGATGGCTCCAGAAGTTGTAAAACAGCGTGAGTACGATGAAAAAGTGGACGTCTGGTCATTGGGTATTATGACTATTGAAATGTTAGAAGGTGAACCTCCATACTTAAATGAAGATCCATTGAAGGCATTATATTTGATTGCTACTAACGGAACCCCAAAATTAAAATATCCAGAGACATTATCTCTTGACATCAAAAGATTCTTGAGTGTCTGTTTATGTGTGGATGTTAGATATAGAGCTTCGACAGAGGAACTACTTCATCATAATTTTTTCAACATGGCCTGCCAACCTGAAGAACTTGTATCGTTATTGGAATGGAAAAAATGATAAGGTAGAACTAAAGTTACAAACCTTATATTTGGTAAATTTTATACATAGACTCTAAATAACTTTTTCATTTTTGAGAAAATATATATTTAAATATCACCAAAAATTGCATATAATTACATTTTTACTACAGAAATATCTGTTGACTTGAAAAATCTCATTAATGTAAACGATACCTGATACATTATACCTCATAGAATTCATTGAGATATTATTTTTGTAAATACTAAGGACATCTTGAGAACTCTATCTTGTAGGCCATCAACTTTGTGTGATATAGGAATTGCCCTCAAAACCAATGGTGCGAGTAGAAGAATATTTTTAAATGTTATTGAAGTTGCATCTACATTCTCCGGATCAGGATATTCATCAATAATATCACATAATCCCCTTAAGAGACATAATAGTTCGATCCTTCTTAAGCTTGGAATTGGTGCCTTGTTTATTAAACTCTCATCCAGAATAAATCTTCTCAAAACAAAAGCACTCCTACACACCAAATAAGGAACAGTAATATCCCTTAACTTTTGATAAGCATTGCCTTGAATCTTCACAAAACGTACTAAATCCTGGAGGCAGACCATAGAAATTTCAAGTTTATCGTAGTGTGGAGGTTCGACAATCGATCCAAATATCTCACCAAAATCTGTTGTGGATAACTCCTCAGTAACTTCTGTAAATGTAGGTTTCGAATCTACAAGAATTTCTTCAATTTCATCCAAATGATATATCAAAGAGTTCTTCCAAACAACGGATATAAAATACTTAAGCTGTTCTTCTGTCAACGAAGAAATTACCTCTGGTTTTAGGAAAATTTCACGATAATGGTAGTATTCATTTATATCTTCTTCCCTTAAGAATTCCTGCATACTTCCATTATCCTTATCTATAGTATTGGTTATTGCCTCAATAAAAATCTCATGGAACTCATCCATAAAAGATGAGGAAGTGTTATCTTCTCTGAAGTTATTGAATATGTTAATAACTAGTATTCTAAATGAATAAGAAGCTAATATCCATATTGGAGGTTTTTCGTTTGGTGTCATACCAATCATCGATTTCCTTCTAATAATATCTGATAAGTTCCTTAGAATTTTTATAACATATTTTTCCTTTCCTAATGGCATTTTTTCACCGCCATTTGTATCCTGAAGACGCTTTAACAACAAATTACAAGCATCATAACTAATAATCTCAAATGTTGGTACACGATTCGAGGCTTCTGTTCCAAATTTAGCACCAAGTTTTGCCTCGATTTTTTCTCTTGTATCAAATGTAAGCGTACATATTCTAGTAATTTGGAACAACAGTAATAATTCTATATTACTTGATTGATTTTTATCAAATAAATTCAATGCGTCATAAATGGATTTCTGTAGACTAGATAGTCTTTTATTGTCATTACTATGTTCTGGTAGTAGAGGATATCTAGAAGCGGTATTAAAAACATTTAATGATTCCTCTACAAAGGCCTCAGTAACCAAGTCTCTATCAACCATTAATTTGTAAAGAAGTGGAAATGCGTTTATTAGCTCTAAAACACAATCATATTCAGATTTACTGTTGAATGGGTCTCCTAGTTGGGTATCCCCGTACACAATTTTATAATTTACCCAAATCTTGTAAGCCTTTTCAAGAAGTTCTTGGGGTATACATTCGATAGTTGCCATTACCCTTAACAGTTCAGCATAATATTTAATTGACACATACTTTATAGACACCACATGTGATGAAAATAGAGCTTTCAGGAATTGTTCTAATGCCAGCCAAGCTCTTGACTGGTTATTCGGATTTTTAAAGGTCTTAAAATATAATGGGAAAAGTTTCAATAAACCTTTCATTGCAATATCATAAAACTCCATGTAATTTCCAGCATTTTCAAGAGTTTCATTTCTAAGCAATAATGGTTCCAAAACTTCATCAAATATAATATCCCATGGTGGAAGGCAGTTGGTATGCGAATCTACAATTCTAAAAAATGTCTGTATAGAACCATTTTTCACATCTGTTCTGTTGTCATCAGTACACTTCATCAAATTTTTTAATAAGTATATCCATAATCCGTTATAGATTAATGGTAAGGGTTGATCATTAGAAGTTATAACTTTGGTCAAATCGCCTGATGATAATAATTTCATAAAATCTGTAGTACTGCTGTCCGATAACTGACACTCTGTTGTTTTTCTACTTCTTAAATAGTCACCGACTAACCAAAATTGACTAATCGAGGAAAACGAGATGTTTAAATTCCTATCCTGGCCTACAAAATTTACCAATGTATTAATAACATATTTGATGATTTCGAGAGGGAGAGATTGCAGGAAATCATCAGAGATTAATTTGAAAACATCGTACGAGATTTGAATCATTTCCAGTTGCTTTTGGAAAATTGCATTAATTAAGGAAGACTCTTCTGCATCATCTTTATTCATACTCATAGTATCATAACTTAAGACCTCAAATGGTGAGTTGATTACCTTAAAGATCGTAAACCAAGAATGAGTTAGAGCTTCCCCAAATTCATTTAATATATCCTTCAATGTAGATAGAATCTGTAACAATATTTCTGACTCAACATTTAATATACCTTTGTAAATTTCAGTTTTTGTAATTGTCAGCTTACTTAAGGCATCAATAGTATCCATCAGTGCACACATAACGAAATCTTCTAACACACTAAATTTCTTACTGTCCTTTTCTTCTTCCGCTGCTCGACTAACATCTTCTGTCGCATTCTTCAAGATATCTGTAAATACTCTTGCAATGTATAATCTTAAGGAGGAACTTTCAACTGATCTATTTGCGATCAAAGATATAAAATAATTAATTACTAAATTCCATGCATCTTTACCTTTTGTACCAGTGAGAAATCTGTCGTAATTATATGTCGATATTTCACCAATCTGGGTAATGTAGAATCCTTTATTGTAAATACACTCAATAATTTGCTTATCAGAGTCAATAGGGTGGTAATTCTCGGGTATGTTATCCATGACTAAAACTTCATCCGATTGTTTAATTAGACATTTTAGTAATGTCTGCAAGGATAATGATGAGTAGGTAGATGTACTCTCAAATAATTTTAAGACTCCAGTTTCAATGCTGGATGTGTCGTTCTTCGAAATTATAGGTGCTGACGGAATATCTTCAGAATATGAACTTTCCATAAAATCTATGGATGGCCCATAGATATAGTATGAAACCCATTGCCATGTAAGGAATACATATTCCCAGTGTGTTGATTTTAGGTTTGATCCTAATGATATAGATAATGAAATTAATGCACGGAAAAGACTGATATGCTTCGAATTAAATGATCTCTTGTGCAATTTCTTTTTCTCAGCTTCTTCATCTTTTATTGGTTCCTCAGTGTTGGTCCCAATAAGTGTCTCACTAATAGCATTCAAGTAGCCTGATGTATTTCCTGCCTGAGTAGTATCCTGATCATCTTTAAACTCAGGAGTTCCTTCTTCCACAACACTCGCAACGTTATTTACAATTGCAAAAGCAAACGTCTCATAACACTTATCTAATGGTTCCGATAAACTCAAAATTCCTGCACTATACCCAAGTTTTTGAAATGCCCTTACTATAGAATGAAATAGATGCGAATCAATAGCAGTAGAATAAAGTGATATTTTGAAAATTTTGAATAATTCTGGGAAGATACCATTATAAAATGGCACCATCTCATCATTATTAGTCCCTTGTTGTTTAATGCTTTGGTCAATAAGTAAAGAATTGATTCCTTCTGACCAACTACATGTAAAACTCATTATCAACCAAATTATATAACCATGATTTGTGGATGGAGCATTATTTTTATCTAAAAGTTGGAGATATTTAGGTTTGGAACTCATTTCCTCATTGGAAATATGTGTCATATCCATCTTCTCTATTACAGGAGATTCACTTAAATATGCAATGCATTCATCTGAACGCAAAAGTTTATAACATTCTTGTAATAAATTAGACAAAACATGCTTTTTATCAGGAAAATTATCATATGAAAAGAAAATTGCAGATATTACTTCGATATCCTTTGAAACTTCATTAAAAATTTCCAGTACTAAAATTCTTTGCCAATTAGTTAATTGAGATGCCAATGAAAGATTATGAATTAACAGTGACAATATGACCTCTAGTTCTATTTCAAGGATTGGAAGGTATTCCTTCTTCAATAGTAATCTTATACAACGACAACTTCTTACTACTATTGCAAAACTTTTCGAGTTAGACACCGATCTTAATAATAATGGGATGGCTTTAATCTTCAAGATAAATTGTAAATCTTCATATTTCACAAAAGTTTCAGAATTATTAGCCAAAATCGATTCTAAAATCTCTAAACCATACCCAAGTGGTAATTCATTTACATTTAGGTATGAGCTAATATCTTTTGAATTATTATTATTATCACTATTTTTGGGTTCTAAGGAATGAAATAATGCTGCAAATAATCTGTTTGCATCGTATCTATAAGTATTGACCTTGATAGTTTCAGAGTTATTTATAAGGACTTCAAACTCTTGTTGTGGTGAAATAGATCTTTTACTATCTGTCGACTCTAACAAGAGTGCCTCATCCGAAAGTCGGTCAAAAATTTCATTAATTAATTGTTGTAAAGTAGCACTGGCAGTTCCTGCGACAATCGAAGATTTATGCGGTGTTTGTAATAGACTAGCACAACATTGTAATAATTTCGAACATAGTTCACCTGTTACATATCTCGCATAGGTCTTGAAAAAAATGGGGGCAACTTGTAAGACTTTTAATTGGATTTCCATTGCCAGATTTGTAGATTCCATAAATCCATCAAGGACTTCAGAGAGTCTAGACTTTGGAATACATTCTGACGACGATAAACCTTGTAAACATTGAATTGCAATAGATGTTAATTTAGCATTTCTCGACGAACTCGCCAAAATAAATGGAACAACGAAGTCTGGATGTCTTAGTAGATCCTCAGTATTATGAACTGTCTTCAAAATCTTAATGGATTTGTCACTAGCACTCTTAATTTGTGGATTTCTTCTTTTAGATTCTGAAGACAATGAATGCAATTCCGAATCTAATTGTTTCTGTAAAACAGAGAATCGATTGGTAACCACGCTCATCTTTAAAGAAAAATATATGTAATATACTGTACTGTTCGAAAAAATGTAAACTTCTCCTAGTGCACTTCTACCAGCCTATAATGGTTAAAACTTGTTTAAAATGAGAGTTCACTAGATAAAAGGGTGAGAACCTTCAAAATTGGATATAAAGGAAATAATGTCTAAAAATATTCTTGCACTTGTACTTATACACAATTAGAATATCTAGATATCCTTTTACAAATGCTATTGATAAACCTTGAAGTCAATTGCGTCTCTCAATTACTTTATTCCCTTTATCTTAAGTCATCATTTCTCGTATATTGATGATGTGTACCATTTGTTTCATGAAGCTGCTGAAAGTGTGGCGGGTGTTTTTACGCACAGTTAAAGTTATCGCGCTCGTGGGAAACGATGCTTCCCATGTACCCGTTATCTTCACCACTTTTGCCCTTTTTGTTGAAACATCTCATTATGAATAACTGTTCAACCTTAGGAAATGGTCATAACAGGAAGGGACTAAGACTCTACCGGTTCTGCGAAATCATAACAATCCATTATATATCGACCTATTTTATCTAACTCTTCCTCAAACTATCTATAAAAATTATTGTCCTGTGAAACCAGCTTAATACAACCTTCTTTATCACATCTCTATCGTTGCAACACTAACCTTAAAATACATTTTCGGTAAGATTCGCCATAGATAACCAATAAAAAGGGTGAAGGGGAGCAGAAAGATTATTCTTACTACCTATCCTACAGCTACGATGAATATACTTACTAATTTTAGATTGACCTCACCATGTATTGGGAACCCAATCAATATACATAAGAATAAAGTAGTCTTTTCGATATCGTTAATGAATAAAAGGTTTATATCAACGTTGAAAGGAAAACAACAAGATAAAATCAACGAAAACTGCAATAAAGCTGCAGAACAATCCACTTCAAATGCAACAATAGCGAATAATATATCGAATACTAACAAAATAATGGTTAAAAATCGCATAACAAATAACTTAGCATCAAAAGAGAACAAAAAATACACATTAGTACCCAAAGTACCTACCACAGAATATATATCCATATCCGACATTGAGACGGAAGGTTTATTTGCAGGATATAGGCCATTATTTCTAGGAAAATCTACATTACAAGGATCTGAATACTTTTCAAAATATGATACAAATTCTATGTCATCTTCTTTGGCAAATTCTAAATTGGTGGATATAATAACTTCTTCATTGAAGAATCCCGAAAAAGCTTCTCAATTATATCAACTTTTATCGGAGATTAAAGATAACGATTATGATGAATCAGATGAAAAGGAAATCAGCCACTCTGCAAGAAAGACCCCTATAGTTCCTTGGGATGCATCCATAGGAGGTATGTTATACACAGACGACCCATTTAGAAATGTTCCAAAAATGATCGTATCGAAATTAAAACCCTTTGAACCATTAACAGAAGATAATGTCAAACAGGAGACTACTGATGCAACAAATTCTATGATAGTGATGAAAGTTCATAATCCAAGAATAAATGACGATTTAGAGATGGTAAATTTATTTGATAAAGATTCAACTGATAAAAAATTGTTTTATCGGAAATATAATAACGATGGAACAAACTCGAGCACATCGAGATTAGATATTAAAAAGATTGCTAAGCAGAGGAAAATCTTTAATACCGAACACAAAAAAATGGCTTATGACCAAAAATTTATCAATGATGACCAACATATATTGAGGGCAGAGATAAAATCCTTATTGAACTATTTATCCAATGTCTTTTACGAACAAAGTGGTCTAACCGTCTATGCTGACTCAAAGCCATGCTTACTCCCTCTTAACACTTACGTTCAATTAACAAAGTCTTCCGGAAGAACCAACAGATTGTTCCTGAGAAAGACGATTATTGATCAAATCTTCCCAATTTATAATACCATCTTAGCTTCTCATGAATCAGCAGCAGATATCGCCAAGTTTAAAACATTAATAATGTCAAAAATCAATACAATTGTTAAAAAATTGACGCAAACAATACCGTCTATATGTTTCACGGATTCAACTAAATCGATTGATTGCCTAATTAGATTAAGTCCAGTACCTGGTTTTAAAAGAATGTACTGGTTGAAACCAACCAAGAGACATTACACCTTCTGGGGTCATAATTCGGATAAACAATATTCACTTAGATTGAAGAACAATGAATATATTACTCGAAACGGTGTTAAACATATGAAATACCCAAATTATATAAATTGGCGAACTGTTGGTGATGCCTTTGATAATTGGGATTATTTTACAAGATTATAAAAACTGGTCAAGTTTCTCTTTCCCATCGCGCACATAATACATAATAATATTCTTCTTGTCTATAACATTTTTAAAAGTCATTTTCTTTCTGTCACAATTATCCTTTATATTTTTCATATCATTATCTAAGATTTAATAATAAATATATTCCATAAGTATAGAAAGAAAGTCAGAATTAAGTAATTACGAATATTTAAAAAATGTGTATTGTATGTATATGAATCCATCTATAGAGGAATGCATTATTGCAGAAAATTCTATTCCTAAGTTTCTTCATCATTCTCGAGATCAGAATCAAATTCGACATCCTTGGTTGAATAAACATAAACTTTACTTGTCATATCCAATCCAATTCTTCTCTTGACTTCATTTTTTTCGTTCTTTGAATTCGAGGAACTCTTGGAACTAGTATGAAGTGAATATGAACCTATTGTTTTACCAATCTTATCTGAGAAATACACAACATTGTTAACTGTATTATCAAAAGTTGCATGTGCAATATCCCTATAACTTCTCTCTGTATTGAAGTGAACTTGGTTAATACTTTGAATATCACGAGCATCGTCAGGTAACAATGTTAAAGGATTGTTTCCCTCATCTTCATCTTCATCTTCCAGTTCCGATGTTGATGCTGTTTGAATATGTATAGTCTTTGCCGCCGTGTGAAATAATTTATTCATATAGCTTTCGCCACTCTTATCACTTCTGGGATAATCATTAACGTTTGAAGATTTTGTCATGCTATCAGAACCCAATGAGGAAACAGTTTCTTTCCTGGTAAGTGCATCTTGAACTTTTAAAGTATATTTAGCAAAAGTATAATTCTGTTGTTCATCTTCATATATTGCTCTTCCTAGGATACTTTGAGCCTGTTCTCTCTTCTGAACGATTGATAACCTTTCTATCCATTCCCAAACCACAAACGTACAACTAACGTAACAAGTCGTATTAAAAAGTTCACTAAGTTCATAGATCCAAAAACTAGCCAAATCTGCAATGAAAAACCCAGGTAACAAAAGTACCACTAGAATTGTTAATATTGTCAGTAAAGTTAACTGAGCAGTCTTAAAACATTGATGACGTTTTGTAATAATAAAATTGATGATAAGGCAAGCATAAGATGCTGCAATAATGATTTTGAACATATAAACAAATGGTGGCAGTAACTCCCAATTATTATTTTCATCTTTAATACTAATTCCATGGGCAATCTCATGATATCTTGGAACTGCCCATAGTAAATTCGATACAACAGCTAGAGTGACCCCCACGAAGAAAATAATTTTTTGTTCTTTCTTACGTTCAAATATTCTCATAAGAATAAAAGTTTGGCAACATTGCAATATAAATGTCGAGAGAAAATCTAATGTGACAAAAGTAGCATTTAATTCAAAAAATTGTACCATATAAAATTTACCTAATATACCATATTTTTCATATTGATGCTTTAATAATTTTATCAAATTTGTAAGTGATATTGCTAAATTAATTGTTGATATAATGGAACCTATCTTCATTAAACGGGATGCATAAATATAGGGTTTATCATTCATCGATAGAAATATTAATACTGTCAAAGTAAAGGTTATAATGAAATTTGTTGTGAATGATATAATCATTGGGAAAATTCCGAATCTGAAGGATCCAGAACATGAATTCTTAAGGGAAAGAAACATATTCCAATCTGTCATTACAGACTCTAAATAAGTGGCAGGAAGATCATACAATGTACCAGACATATATGCAGGACTATCCTTGTAACAAAAACTTTGAAAATATATATCATCTGCAAACATCACAGGCGCAGGAAGTGATTTACCAATCAACAAACCTGCTCCTTCATAGTTTACATCACAACTAGGATACTGTATATTAGCAGCGTTATCAGATGCTCTCCATAAATTTCCATCCATATTAATTGCAAATAATAGCAACAAGCTTATCTTATACCTTTGTGCTGTGGAAGTTTAACAAAATTGGATTCTGATTGCACCTAAAAGGTAATAATACCTCGCTCTATTTCACTCTGGCTTCTATAGCCAAACCACACGCAAATATCAGTCTGTTCAATCTAAAATAACTGATGAACGAACCAAATTGCTGCAACACCTCTGAATGAGAAGCTATCAACAAACCATTCCTTTGTCCTTTTACATATATATGTATCTAGTGTTTGTTTGCACATTCCCATCCTTCTCATCACCAAAATTCTTTCTGGTTTCTCGCAGAAAGTAATTCAGTACGGACAGCGAAACAAAAAATATTAGAAATGTCATCATTGACATCGTCATCGTTCTGCCTCGTTTGATCTTATTGTAGGTAAAATTAACGAAGGGGGAAGGAATTTCGATGCTCCCCATGGAGAGATACGCAAAGATCCGATGATTGAAGACCTGATTGGGGACCTATTTGATACATAAGTACTGTCATATGGGTTATTGTTCAATATTTATAAAGAAAGAAGCATTTCAATCCCCGCACCCCTCTCTCCTGTAGCATATTAAGCTAGAATTGTTTAAAAAACCTTCACAATCATTCGTTAAAAATTGCTCCAGGACTATCTGGTAATACCCAAGGTAATTGCATTAACCAATAATAGAAACCTTAATGCAGAAGGAACAAAGTAGAGTATCATATGGTGGGAATAAGAATGGTGGGTTAGAAAAACCACCAAACTTTGGACCAAGAAACATACCGAGATCACCATCTGTACCATCGTTATATGCTGAAAAATCATTCAATACACTCAATATGAGTGATCAGATGTTAAATAGACCAATGTATGAAGATCAAACAAAATTAATACCAGGCAGCAAGACGCGATTGGAACCTGATTTTAATCCATCTCCAATACAGAGATCTCCTTCTACTATCGGAGGTAATTCTAATTTAAGTGTCATTGATATGTATGGTGATGATACTGAATCTCAAATGGCTTCCGATGAATCTGATGATTCTCAACCTACTGATAGCAATACTCCAACCAATGGAATATCTAATAATAACAATAATAATAATAATAATAGTTGTGTAGAAAATAACAAGGTCAATATGTTAGATGATAAAAATATACCCAAATTAATGCACAGACTTTCGCTCTCGGATAATAATAAATATAAAACAACTCATGATAATGATGATGACGATGAAGAGTACCAGACACAACCAATTCCTAAATCCCCAAGGGTGAACATATCAAGTAAAGATGCCGAAAATTTCGATCGTTATGGGTTTAAGAAACAAACGTCATATATAACAGAACAAGAATATGATATATGGTGGAGGGAATACTATTCGTATTGCAACAGAAGGAAAAACAAATGGATACAATTAATGGAAAAATATGATCTCTCAGCAAATGATGAATCTATTAGGAGGTTCCCTCCAAAAAGTGAAAAATTGAAAAGATACGTAAGAAAAGGTATACCTGCGGAGTGGCGAGGAAATGCTTGGTGGTACTTTGCTAACGGTCAACAATTGCTAGATGAAAATCCCAGCACGTATCCTCAATTACTATTAAAAATAGATCACATCAATACATTACCCGATAAAGAAACCAGATATCCTGACTTGGAAATTATAGAACGAGATTTAAACAGAACATTCCCTGATAATATTCACTTCCAAAAGGAATCTTACCAGAATACAGAACCTGAAATGATTAAATCCTTAAGAAGAGTCCTCGTAGCATTTTCATTATATAATACCAAAATTGGCTATTGCCAATCTATGAATTTCTTGGCTGGTCTCCTTTTACTATTTTTAGACGAAGAAAAGTCCTTTTGGATGCTTGTATTGCTTACATCGAAATACCTTCCTGGTGTTCACAATGTCAATTTAGAAGGAGTAAACATCGACCAAGGTGTATTGATGCTTTGTGTACAAGAATATTTGCCAGAAATATGGGAATATGTGGTACCTTCACAAAAGAGTACTAATAATAAATCCAATTTAAATAAATTGATGAATTCTGGATTTAATCCCAATCATACTAATAACAAAGATTCTAAGAATGAATTTTTGTTTAAATTACCTCCAGTTACATTATGTACTGCAAGTTGGTTTATGAGTTGTTTTGTAGGGGTACTACCTATAGAGGTAACCTTAAGGATATGGGATTGTTTATTTTATGAGGGTTCTCATTTCTTATTCAAAGTATCCTTAGGAATTCTTAAATTAAGTGAAGGAGAATTACTAAAAGGGAAACATCATAATTCTCTGACCCATTATAGTTTGAATGGAAATCAAAATAAAAACAAACCCAATAACGCTGAAGAAAATGAAATAGAATTATTTCAAATTGTTCAAAGTTTCCCCAAGAAATTGTTGAACCCTAATGACATCTTTGAAAAGATTATATTTAAGAAAAGGATAACGTTTAATAACCTAGATCAAGATGAGATTGATAGATGTCGAAAATATGTAACGGACCAAAGACAAAAACATCTTCCTCTTACGGACAACAAGAAATCTTCAAGTCATACAAACATAAATGATAATTTGAACTCCGAGGGATCCTTATTGTCTGAAACAGGAGACACTGGATTCAAAGCCTTAAATATTCAGAAAGCAAGAACAATGAAGCAAAATCATAAATCAGATGAACAACTATCTGAAACTCAAAGCGAGGGCTACGGCTTCAAGAGAAGTATTACATCTGTGAACTGGAATAGTGGTCTAAAAGAGAGAGTACGTCAAATCCGGGGAAAAAAAGATTAATTTCTAAAGGTTACTATATAAGTTATAAAAAGAACTTTACTCCCTTCACATTATTACGATTTTCATGAAAGTATATAGTTTAATATGTATTTATAGAATATTAATTGGCATTTTCTTTATCTAATTGCCTTCTTATAAGAGATCCATCGAAAAATTCGGCCATCACAGGCCATCGCGGAAACTCAAATTTTTTTCATTGAGAGTAGTCATATAAAATACTCTCGAACTCAAACAATAAGAATGAATTTAATTTGATTATTATATGCATATATTGTTACCATCTAACAGTTGTGATCACATTTACCGAATCTGATCAATATCAGTTAATAAAAGGAACGAATCAAATACAAATCACTTCCTCAAAATGAACGGTATTTTTGCTATTGAGAAACCAAGCGGAATCACTTCTAATCAATTTATGATGAAAGTGCAACGGTTGCTCAATAACAGTCAAGTATTCTCCAGGGAGATTGCTAGAGCAACTGCAGAAAGAATACAACAATATCAACAACAGACTGGTAAGAAAGCAAGTAAAAGAAAGCTGAGAAAGGTCTCGAAGGTGAAGATGGGCCATGGTGGTACCTTGGATCCATTGGCATCTGGTGTACTTGTTATTGGTATTGGTTCAGGTACAAAGCAACTATCAAATTATCTAGGAGGAACAGTTAAAGTATATGAAAGTGAGGCACTATTTGGTGTTTCTACAACCTCAGGTGATGTAGAAGGTGAAATTCTAGCTGAGAATTCTGTAAAGCACTTAAATAAAGAGGACCTATTAGGTTTGAAAGAGAAATTCGAAGGTTCTTTGAAGCAAACTCCTCCAATTTTTGCTGCATTAAAAATGGACGGGAAACCGTTACACCAATATGCTAGAGAAGGGATACCTTTACCAAGAGCAATCGAACCCAGACAGGTGACAATTTATGACATGACGTTTTTCCCAGATTGTTTAACAACGGAACATAGCTATCCACTATTGAGACCTCCAACTGCTGATGCCAAAGAAACCATTAACCTATTAAATGCGAATCTAAAAGAAGATAAACTATATTTTTCAAAAGAATATTGTGACAAACAAGGATGGGATACTCAAGATGCTAGGGTCGAGGAACCTCTACCGCTAACAGATGAGGAACTGAAAATAATCGAAGAACAAGCTGATACCTACCGTGCTCCTTTGTTACATTTTAGGGCAAAGGTATCTTCGGGTACATACATTCGCTCCTTGATTAGCGATATCGGTAAAGCTATGAGAAGTTCTTCTTATATGGTTAAACTGATCCGTCTACAACAAGAGAAATGGTCACTTGAAGAAGGTAACGTATTTAAATTTGAAGATTTCAACGAAAGGGATGAGAAAGTATGGAGCAAAGTTTTACAAAAAGTCATCGACCTAGGACCTGAGGTTAAGATTGTTGACGAAATAGCACAAGCACAAGCTGCGTTTGACTTAGAGAAGAAATCTAATGAAGACTCGTACACCAATGATGTTACGGAATCTATTGAAACCGCCAAAGAAGGAGGAAGAAAGGAAACTGAAGAAGGAGAAAGCAAGGAAACCGAAGAGGCACAAAACTCTAAAAAGAGATCTGTAGACGAATTATAATTATATATATATATATACGTATCAATCAAAGTAAAAAATAAAAAATAGTATATGCAAAATTAATACGTTGAATTGCTATCTATTCAGATTAAAATAACGATACATACACAAATATAAAGTATAATTCCAAAATGGTTTCCATTTACCACATCTAAAAGTGACACTGAAGCTGAAAACGTCTCTAGAAATTTACAGTCTCTGTATCATTACCCATTAAGTTACAAGAAACGAAATCCCGATTACCATTATAAAAATTGTAACTATTAAACAGCAAATCCGGTGTCGTATCAACGTCAGGACATGAAAACCCAAAGTCACTTGGACAATCTCTTACAATTGCATAACACATGTCAATACATGGTAAAATCTCAAAATAATTTCTTAATGGTTTGATATTATCATCAATGTATGAATTTCTGTTTTCGTTCTTATTTCTAAACATGTAGTACGAAGAGGTCCCCGTCGTACATCTTGGAATTGACACAGAACATATCCAATTCCTATATGATTCTGCACAATCATCGCATGTTCTTAAAGGTGAATATCTTGCATCAGATTCAGTATCACAAGGGATCAATTGTAAGGCTTTGCTGAAATTAGCATAAAGAGACCGTGATATATTCTCATAAGCCTCTGCAAGTAAAGTTTTATTCCCTAGATATAAACTAGAAGTTGGGACAGAATATGCAACATCACTACAGAAGCCTAACGAATGAATCAAGGAACATGTATTATCATCTTTTGTTTGGAATGAGACATGTTCAAATATAATCCCTCCCACGTCTGACAAATTTCCACTCTTGCCTATTTTTTTAGTTAAATATGCCACATAAGATGTTGAATGATTTAACCCTGTCACATAAAAATATTCATTGGTACTGTTTGCCCCATCTTTAACAATTTTCTGAACAAATAAGTCTTTTTTATCTAATTGAATATCACTTGAGGCAACATTACCATTTGAAGATACCAAATAATTCCCATTTTTTATGGCACAAACTGATCTATTAAATTGTCCATCTATGATTAAAGAATCATTATATGAATAAACATAAATATCATATATGGATGTATCATGAATAGTGAAATTGTAGGCCACATTAGATTCTGCACCGGTAATTAATAAAGCAGAGTTTTCATCTGTATCCAATATATCCAACCACGTTCTATAATCCCATTGATATACCAAATCATTTTCAGAAATAGAAAGGTGATATTCCCACCGAGTACCTGGATAATCATCAGTGCTTAAAGATTGACCTGTTGTCTTATTACGAGGCTCCACTGCCACGTATAAATATGAATAAAGAGATGTAATATTTGAAGAAGTATCAGTTTGAATGGGACTCACTGTAAGACTTTCCAGATAACCATATGAAAAAGATACTGAAATCCCACTTGATGGATCCTCAGTTATAGTGTCATTGAAAGCATATGTCACATATAATTCTACATCTTCCGGAAGATCTTGGACATTACATAGATTACCACTTAAGAAAATTAAAATTTCATATGTTGGTGAAAATCCATTTGAGGTACTACCTGTATTGACCGTGAAAACATATAAATCCTTCTGACCAGCAGTTAGATTTGATGCAATGGGTGTCCATTCGGCTATATTATCTGAATCAATTATGGAGTTTTGGATATGCATTTGACCTTCTTCATCATATATATGATTAGTTTCTCTTTTCACATAGTTTGGCATAATCAATGGATCGAAAATGTCTCTACCATCCATTAGGGAAGAACCATGTTTTATATGTTCATTGTATTCCCAAGTATAACTTAAACGTAGAAATGTAAAAACAACGAGCAATAGTTGCACCAAAAGCATTACCGCAAACTTGAATGGTGTTAGGGATAGTGTTAACTGAGTTTTATAAAACCAAATATGACCCAAAAGTAGTTCTTATCTAATCCTTAACGTTACTCATCATTCATTTAATCTATTTACAGATAAAATTTCGACGGCCCATCGATGTTAGGGCTAAGGAAAAGGGCTACTTGAAGCTATTTTGGCCTGAATCGCGTAATAATAAATTTCAAGTGAAAAAAACGATCGATTTTGAATGAAAATAGTAAGTTTCTGGGTACACATCCTAGCGTGCCATCACTAATCAGATACATTTGCATCTGGTGAGTAAATCAAAAGACAATAAAAAAAGAATATCTAGGATTTATATTTTACTAACTGTACCACATTTAGTACCACCAATTTATATATAGAAAATAAAATACTTGAAGAGAACAATAAAAAACCCAACATGAGCACACAGGAGGATAAGAAACGTGAAAATTTACCATGGGTTGAAAAATATAGACCTCAAACATTAGATGATGTGTATGGTCAAACATCGATTGTAACCACAGTTCGTAAATTTATCGAGGAGGGGAAATTGCCTCACTTATTATTTTATGGTCCTCCTGGTACAGGTAAGACTTCTACAATTGTTGCTCTAGCTAGAGAGTTATATGGGAAGAATTATTCCAATATGGTGTTAGAATTGAATGCTTCTGATGATAGAGGTATTGATGTGGTACGTAACCAAATCAAGGATTTTGCGTCCACCAGACAAATATTTTCTCGTGGATTCAAGTTAATTATTCTTGATGAAGCTGATGCAATGACAAATGCAGCTCAAAATGCTTTGAGAAGAATAATTGAAAAATATACCAAAAATACTAGATTCTGTATCCTTGCCAATTATGCTCATAAATTGACCCCTGCACTGTTAAGTAGATGCACAAGATTTAGATTCCAACCTTTACCAAGCGATGCCATTGAACGTCGTATTGCTAATGTCTTAGTTCATGAACATATCAAATTAAGTGATCAGGCTAGAGCCGCATTATTGAAACTATCAAAGGGTGATATGAGACGTGTATTGAATGTATTACAAGCAAGTAAAGCTACATTAGATAATCCAGATAAAGATGAGATAACGGATGAAACGATATATGAATGTTGTGGTGCACCAAGACCTGCTGATGTCACTGCAATTTTAAAATCTATTTTGGAGGACGATTGGAGTTCGGCATATTACACATTAAATACGATCCGTCAAACAAATGGTCTAGCATTAATCGATCTAATCGAAGGCATGATTGAGATACTGGAAGAATATGAATTACAAAATGAAACTACCAGGATTGAACTTCTTACAAAATTAGGAGATATAGAATATTCTATCTCAAAAGGTGGTAACGATCGTATACAATCTAGTGCAGTAATCGGCGCCATCAAGACCAGTTTTGAGAATGAAGTCCAGACCAACTAGTAGCATCCATCACTATTGTATAGAATATATAAATATATATATATCTATTTTCTCTAAAAATAGTAACTCATTTGGAATTAATGAAAAAAAAAAATGTAAAAGAAGATACCAACTAGTAAAAGCTATTCCTCACGAAATAATTAGAATTATGTGTATACATTGTATAGGAACATAGGGAGACAGATAGCGTCGATCATTATTCTGGAAAGTAAGTTCAAACAACAACAGTAATAATCATGAAGCATATTTAAAAAAAAACTGAATGTAATTCTGATCCACACGCCAAAAGATTCAATCCTTCGGATTATTATTTAGTGGGTATCACCATATGTAGTTGGTTGTTGCATTTCGCGTATCCTTCTTTTTGCTAAAAGAGCGTCGCGAATTGTCTGTCACCTTAACGCGAAAAGCTTGATGGGGTCCGGTACGCTGATTTCTGTTATGTCATATTCAGAAGTTGAAGAAGTTATTAAGCCAGTATTATTATGATTCTTTAAGAGAGAAAGAGGATATTAGATCATGATCAACTACTTACAAGGGCTAAAGGAGATCATAATGCAAAAAAAACATGGGAAAGTCCAGTGGCACGATTTTTGATTTTATTGTATTATTCTGTTCGGAGCTCTAATGACCATGACATTCCCATATGTGGAGTAATCACGAAAAAACTCCCAAATTTGATGCAATAAAGAAATCAATACAGGCAAAAGTTAAGAAGGATGATAATAATTCTTGCTACAATATTAGTTAAAACAATTCGGAGAATTTTGTTGCTGCACTTTAGCAATTATCGTGATTATATATATAGATGACAGAAAGTAAAACATTTTTATTCTAAGTATCGTTGTCGTTATACATTTTAACACTTCTTGTTTCCTTTCATTCCTTTTCAAATAGTAACTCATATGTACAACTAATATATAAAACAACCACACTCACCACATACACATATTTCAAAATGTCAAATGAAAAAAGAGCATTATACTCATTAATGAGAAGTGATGTCACTGAACAAATGATAATATTTCTTAGTGACTGCACGTCACAAGTGATCAAGACTGTCACTGAAGTGAAATACCCAAGTCCGCCAAATTCTCCAATGGGATCCAAACGTCACACTGAATTACCAAGCTTATTTCAATTCATCAAAAATTTGGTACAACATACCAATGTATACACATCGACTTTATTAACTACTGCGGTATATTTGGGTCGGTTAAGAGCTGTACTACCAAAGGATGCTACAGGCGTTCCCTCTACTACACATAGAATGTTTCTATCGTGTCTAATATTAAGTGCGAAGAATCATAATGATTCATCGCCATTAAATAAACATTGGACTAAATATACTGAGGGCCTATTTACTTTAGAAGATGTCAATCTTATGGAGAGACAATTATTACAACTATTGAATTGGAATATGGTAGTGAAAGAAGACGAATTGATTGAATCCCTAGAGTCCTTAATCACTCCATTGATTGTTAAACAACCAGTTCAACAACCACGTTTGAGGTTCACTCCACCTACACCAACAGAAAAAACAAATGTATCTAATATATACAAACTACCAAGAAATGAGTCGTATTCATCACAGATCAGTTCTTCTAGCACATTGATAGGCAGCCAGACCGACCTAAGAAGACTCAAACAACAGCAGCAGCAGCAGCAGCAGCAGCAGCAGCAACAACAACATAGGCCCGTCCAAGAAGGATCTGGTTGGAGCCTCGAGCAAGTAATGAGCAGGTACGGCTTCTAGAAACAGACAATTCAATACATATACACCTTATATACATTCAATTAACCCACCCTAATTAATAATACATTTAAATATCTAATATGCAGATTGAAAAATAAAATAACGAGCTAATTGGTAGAAACCCTAACAAAAAAAACACGAACTTTTTGAGCGTTCAGCGCAGCGACAGACAGAAAGAAAAACTGGAAAACTGGCAAACTGGAAAAGTATATAAGGCGAGGAAATCTTTCCCAATTTTAAAAATTAAATATACTTCTTTCAGTTGTTAAACTTCTCATATAGAACACAACAACAATAAGCAAAACAATATGACCGAAGTTTCCGCTACTGTCATTCTTCTCTTTTTCGAGAGGATGATATACGTGCATGTTGTTGTTGTTGTTAGCGGTACACATCTCAATCAATACTTCGGTTGATGTATGGAGGTATAAACGAAATACCTTTTCTCTTTGAGGGAGAGTACCAATATATATATTCATATATCTCTAAGAGGTACCATGAGAACTGTATTTTATGTGATGATAAAAACGCTGTGCACCAGTCTGATAGGAGCCTAACTTTATTGTACTCAGGCTCCTCTGAAGCATTAAGTATACCCAAATTTCTGATCTTTACAGTTTTCTCATAGTTTTTTGTATTGTATTGTATTGTTTGTAGTCTTGTCCATATCTTATAATTTGCATTGTTTCTTACGTTTAGTTTACTATCGCTATTTGATTGAAACCGTTTCATCGCATTTTCACTCAATATGATAAGTCCATCAGATAATTCAAAACCTTGTGGAGTTACCCTGCCTCTTTACATGTATTATCACGAGACACGATGCGGTATTGTCTCTGAATCTTCTATTTATTTTTTCCATCTCGCACCAACAAAGGAAAGAACAGTGCAGAGGGACAAGGGTTGCCACTGCCAGTGGGAAAGAGAGAAACTTACAATAAAGCCCAATCACACATTCAGTTGTAGGGTGGGGGAAGCGAATGACTTTGACATATATTTATTCAGATACTCCAGGAATCATTAATAACTTTTGGTTATTTGGTAGAAACGAAAGAACACATAACAACATATATACGATTCAGAAAGGATATTTTTCATTATCGTTTTCCAATAGAAAACGCATTCCAGAATTGTTTTTTGTTTATTTAGTTAGAAAATAAGGTTTCCATAATCAACTAATTCCATTTCTCTCTGTTTTCTACATATTTAAATTGTCATTTATAGACTTTAGAAAGAAAGAATATAACTATAGTACGAATTAAATCAATAATTTTTTTTCTTTTTGTTTTTGCATAACAATCATTCATTACTTTGACATAAACACGCTCACACACACACATATATATATATAGGGTTTTCGATATGATGAATAATAGAGGAAATACAACCACCAGCACAGGAGTTGCAATTGCTAAACCAACAGCAACAGCAGTTTCCAATAATATACCTGGTATTCTACCTAACATGCATTTGGCACCACCTCCGGGCGTAGCAGCTCCTCTTCCATCTTCAACACCTCCACCGAATGGAACTCAAGCGAACTCACAATCAATTCATGCCTTGGAGGATCCTAATGTTTATCACTGGATTTGTCAACTTACTTATGGTCCTCAGAAGGAACAAGCATTGTTGGAACTGGGACGTAAACGGGAACAATTCGATGATTTAGCTATTGTTCTATGGTCTTCCTTCGGTGTAATGACCTCTTTATTGAATGAAATTGTATCTGTATATCCAATGTTGGAACCTACCAAATTATCAAATCAATTATCAAATCGTGTTTGTAACGCATTAGTATTATTACAATGTGTTGCATCCCATCCAGAGACAAAACATCTTTTCTTACAGGCTCATATTCCATTGTTTTTATTCCCCTTTCTGAATACCACGTCCAGACAAAGAACGTTTGAATATTTGAGATTAACATCTCTGGGTGTAGTAGGCGCATTAGTGAAAAATGACTCTCAGGATGTTATCAGTTTCTTATTAAGAACAGATATCGTTCCATTGTGTCTAAGGATTATGGAATCTTCCTCAGAATTATCAAAGACTGTTGCGATTTTCATCCTACAAAAGATTTTATTAGATGATATAGGTTTACAATATATTTGTGCCACGGTCGAAAGATTCTACGCTGTTACAAACGTATTAAAGGAAATGGTAGAACATTTAGTAGTGTCGGCACCACCAGGAAGACTTTTAAAACATATTATTAGATGTTATCTCAGACTTAGTGATGACCTGGAGGCACGTAGATTATTAAAAATGGTCTTACCGGCTAAATTAAGAGATAACACATTTACCGAAGTCCTTAGGGATGACCTGGGTTCCAAGAGATGTTTGGCTCAACTATTGCTTACTTTAAATGAAGATACTCAACAGCAACCTCAACAGCAGCAGCAGCAGCAGCAGCAACCTGTATTACAACAACAATAAGAATGAGTTTTTATTTTTTTATATTTGTGGTTACCTCATAATAAAGCAGTTCAACCTGGGATACATTATAAATGAATATCGCTGATTCTTTTTGTCTTAATAAATTACGAACACTCACACAAATTCATAAACACATCCACGCATCCACAGAGATATCTCATCGTGCTTCATTTTTTCTTTGTTATCGTCTTTTAATGACAATTGTGCTATACACTGTCCGCCTGTTTAACCGTTGTAACAAGTCTACTATGCTTACAGTCAATTACTATATATATACATATATATACAAATGAGAAGCAGCCGTTGTCTCGTCCCTGTCTGCTTCCTCACTTCCCTCCTTCCCATAATTATTTTCGCATTAGTCATTTTATTTACTCACCACCACAGTGAGGGCCTACCATCCAAAGACTCTTCACATTTATAATTAATCACATTACACATTTCAATTCTTTAACAATATAGAATCCAAGGTTAAATTTATAGTTGTATTATGTCAACAATCTTGAACTGAATTTCGAACTAAACATCACGTTGAACGAGTTCCTTACACGTAAATTTATTCACAACGAACCGCAGCGAAAGGAAGGGAAAAGCAAAAAATCCAAAGTTTAAACAAACGAACAGCAAGCAAATTGAAGAACAAGCAGGCAGGGAATGAATGTATTAGGAACTGCAAATCTCGATAATATATATATCTACTTATATACAGTAATTATCAATTGGAAAGAGACGATTAACGCTTAATAAATCAATTATTTATTTTTTTGTTCCAAGATAATAGCTCGTTTTAAATAAAGAATCAAGGAACTAGTAGATCTATTTTTATTCTACCGATTATTATTTGTTGATAAGTGATCTCGATCTGAACCATCTTACGATTAAAGAAAACCAAAAAGGTCTGTTTGTAATCTCAATAATTATCACATTTTTGGAATATTAAACTTACAGAAGACAATAAAAAAGATCAAATAAAGAAATATGTCCACCAAAACCTACAAGAAGTTCGAGAATGCAGGTTCAGGGGATCTTCCTGATAAGATGACCGTCTACCAGGATTGTATGAACACATTCAACGAATCCCCAGTCAACCCAAAGAGATGTCGTATCCTGATCTCCAGATTATTAAGACTATTGTCTAACGGTGTTGCATTCCCAGAGAATGAAGCTACAGCTCTGTTTTTCTCTATTTCAAAATTGTTTCAACATCAAAATGATGCCTTAAGACAAGTTGTTTATCTTGCAATCAAAGAATTGAGTGAAATGTCAGAAGATGTTCTTATGGCTACTTCCTCCATTATGAAGGATGTTCAAAATGGTTCTGATTTGGTTAAACCAAATGCTATTAGAGCTCTGACCTATGTCCTTGATGAATCAACCGCGTTCTCTGCTGAAAGACTTTTGAAGAGTGCAGTGGTAAGTAAACATCCAGCCATCTCTTCTGCAGCTCTATGTACTTCCTATAATTTATTACCAATTTCCGAAGTCACAATTAAGAGATTTGCCAACGAAGCCCAAGAAGGTATTAGCGATTTAAAACAATTCCCAAATATCCCATACGATGAACACAGTCTCTTAGTTGGTGAATTTTATCCAAATTCTAGCTATATGGCACAATATCATGCTATTGGTCTAATCTATCAATTGAAGAAAAACGATAAGATGGCTATCTTGAAACTAGCTTCTCAACTAGCTGATAGTAACACTCTGAAGAATCAACTTGCAAAAGTTCAAGTGGTAAAACTAATTAATGATTTAATTAATAGAGATCCACAATTATTCAACGAATTCCAAGAAGTGTTATTCTCTTGGTTGACTAACAAATTCGAAGCCGTTCAAATTGAAGTTGCTAAGGTTATCTCTTCCTTTGCTTTACGTAACCAACGTCTAGTTGCACCAGATAGTTTTGCATATGTTATTGCAACTTTGCAAGGTTTGTTAGCCGTTCCAAGGGTCTCTACTAGATTCGCTGTTTTAAGAATACTTAACAAAATTGCCATGGTTGCTCCGGAAAAGATTGCGTCATGTAACCCTGAATTGGAAACATTAATCAATGATCCAAATAGAAATATATCTACCTATGCTATTACCATTCTTCTGAAGACTGGTAATGCCAGCAACATTGCTTCCTTGATTTCTAGAATTTCTCGTTTCTTCCATGACGTTTCTGATGACTTCAAGATTATTATTATTGATGCAGTTCGTACTCTTTCTTTAAGTTTTCCTCAAGAATGGAAGAGCATTGTCAAATTCTTGATGGATGTCTTGAAGAACAGTGAAGGTGGTTTGAAATTCAAAAGCACCGTGGTCGAAGCTATCGTTGACATTGTTTCTTTCATTCCAGAATCTAAGGAACTAATTTTAGAGAACTTATGTGATTTCATTGAAGATTGTGAATTTAATGAAATTTTAGTGAGAATTTTACATTTGTTGGGTAAGGAAGGTCCATACACCTCTAAACCATCTCTCTATGTTAGACATATTTACAACAGAGTTGTACTAGAGAATTCAATTATCAGATCTGCTGCAGTTGTTGCTCTGGCTAAGTTTGCTTTGACAAAGAATGACCCAACATTAAAGGAATCTATAGTAAGTTTACTAGTTAGAATTGCTAACGATCAAGATGATGAAGTCAGAGACAGAGCTACCATTGCTCTAAGATTGATCAAGTCTGCAGATGATGATAACACTACTGTTGCTACTGAATTGATTGAACCAAAATACTTCTATGATTTACCATCACTAGAATCTAAACTAAGCAGCTATCTAACTACCAACAATGATTCCTTCAAAACTCCATTTGATTCTTCTAATATCCGTAGATTTACTGAAGACGAAGTAAAGGCCATTGAATTAAAGAGAAAGCAAGAGCAATCATTGAGTACGTCTCCTGAATCACCTCTTGAATCTGGTACCAAAAAATCTAAATCGAACAACAATACAGACAATAATGCATTTCCAGGTTCCAGTGTCGGTGAAGATGAACAAGAACTACTAAATACTAAATATAACGAGGAGTTGTTAGCAATTGACCAATTTAAAGATTATGGTAAATTAATTAATAGTTCAAAGTCTGTTTCTCTAACCGAGACTGAGGCTGAATTTATTGTAAACGGTGTTAAACATATCTTCCAAGATAACATCGTCTTACAATTTAATATCGCTAATACCTTACCTAATATTGCTCTAACAAATGTTTCTGTCAGTTGTACACAGGAAGATCCAGAAACTTCTCAATTAGAGGAATTGTTTAGTATCGCTATAGATAGACTATTACCAACAGAAGAAGGGGCATGCTATGTTGCTTTCCAAAAGACTGATGAATTGGTTGTGGAAGGTTTCTTGAACAGCTTAGTCTTCACAACTGTTGATATCAATCCAGACACAAATGAGCCTTACGAAGGTGAAGAGGGATTCCAGGATGAATATGAAATCGATTCTCTATACATTAACGCTGGTGACTATGTGACCGGTTCATTTATTGGTAACTTTGATAAAGCATTCGAAGAGTTACCTGCTGAAGAAATTGCAGTTTTCAATATTCAAGAGAATTTATCCTTACAAGAAGTTATTGATAAGATCATTACAAATTCTAACTGTCTACCGCTAAATAATACACAATTTGCTCCAAGCGATTCTAATTCACATGTTTTGAAATTGTTTGGTAAGAGTGTCCTTAGCGGATCAAAGGTTGCATTACTAATTAAAATGATTCACAGTTCGAAGGGTATCGCTCTAAAAGTTCAAGGTAAAGGTGAAAATGCTACCTTGTGTTCTGATCTTGTCAATGGTTTGATGTAGATTTGTTCAACTAAGTTTGCCATAATACTCCTTTGACAATTTTATATATTAGACAATAAGATACACCTAGTGAATTCTGCAAGAAGTTATCGTATATATATTTACGTAATTTTATTAATATGAAAAAATGAGAAAAGCAGTTTAGATATCAAAGAAGTATTTGTATAGATGATGTTAATGCGTACCTTGGTGTCTTCATTTTTGTTATCGATGAAAGTGTTCATCACATTAACAACACTTAGCGAAATTTTCAACGATATAGAAATACAATTTGATAATTCATCGAAGATATCATCTCTAAGGCGATGATCTCGATTTGAGCATTACAAGTTCATTATACCATAGGAAAATGATGGACACTGTAAATGATGAATTGGAATTACAAGAGACATTAAAAGAGAACAAGAAAAAGGAGATTCATAAAAGAAAATTGGAAATTGAAGAACAGAAACAACATCAGATAGAAGAGCGGAAGGCGAATAATACATCTGTTTATATATCAAACATAGATGTATCTGGTTTAGGCACAGATGATAAAGTATTTGAAGTACAAGAACAATTAATCAAAGAGTTTTCAAAGTTTGGAATTATTCGAAAAAATACAGATGGACTTAGGAAATGCAACATGTATAGAGATGAAAATGGGAAATTTAAGGGAGATGCATTGATTGTTTATGCTAAGCCTGAATCAGTACCGTTTGCAATAGAAATAATGGATGGTTTTGAATTTAAAGGAAAAACATTACGTGTTCAAAAAGCAGTATTTGAACCGTTGGAACAATCCATTTCTGGCTGTATTGATGCCAAAATTTGTCATTTAACAAAGAAATTGAAAACAAATAGACAGAATAGTCTATCATCTGATGAAAAGATTGGAGATAAAACTGTTGTTCTCGATAATATTATCGACATATATGCTGATTTTGATGTCGATGAACTTGATGATATAAAGGAAGATATTAAAGAAGGTTGTCAACAGTTTGGTGAAATAATTTCTTATTACCTTGATCAGGATAAGGGTAAAGCTACCCTAACGTTTACTTTAGAAAATTCTGCTCAAGAATGTCAAAAATATATGGATGGTAGATTTTTCGATGGAAGGGAGGTACTTGCTTTTATAGGTTCTAAAGAAAATATTGAACCAAAAAGTGAGGAGGGGTCGGATATTTCAGAGATAAAATATGAGGATATTGAGGATAATGGCGCTATATTTATTCAAAATTATTCTTAAATGTCGATTTTGAACACCAAGTTGTGATAATAAATTAAAAAAAGCGTAACGCAAACTATTTATCATAATACAATTATCAATTGGAAATAAAAATATTATTGAATGATATAGATTGTAAATATTAATATATGATCTAAGAGGTGACACATAATTATTATATCTTATATGACGCTATATAAACCTGACGAGGTGCAGTCGATGTACTTAGTTTATTGTTTGAATATGAAAACTACGAGCTCATTCGTCGCTATGTTGCCAAATGTATTATTTATTTATTTTTAATTGAGGACATCAGTATAGCCTCCAATTTTAATCAAGGTGTCATATGCCCTCAGACTATGAGTATATAAAGTACCCCAGATAATTAATTGTCGTGGAACCTATTCCTCAAATGTATACCTTATGAAGAGGATATAGAAGTTATTTGTTTAGACAAAAATATAATATGTTTTTCAAGAAGTACCCCTGTTTGTAGAATAATAAATCCGTAGGTTGAAAAATGTTAACTCTCCCCAATCAGTATTGTTCAGTATACCTTATTCTAAAAGAATCAGGAGCCAGAGTCGTTCAATGGGAGTTCCATAGTATCAATCAAATTATCAGTAATTATGTGTGATAGATACTGTCACAAGGGAAGATGATAGGATCAGAATGATTATCATCTCATAAAAAAATAAGAGATGCGAGAGACGCAAGAAGAGAGAACAACTCCCATTGAATACCTATAAGAGGAGTTGCCTTATTAACTTAGATTGCAGACAAAAAAAATGCGACATTAGAATAACGAAGCACATAATCGATATACTATAATCAACTATCAACATCTATTACATATAAATTACTCTAACTGACATTAGAATATCGTGATATGAGATTCATATATAGTAAGTAGCCTTCCATTGAAGATTACCGACACCTGGAGAACATTAACATTAGGAGATGTATAGAACACATATGCCACATTACACAATAATGTAAAAAATAAATGAGCGGTACGAGAATCGAACCCGTGTCCCCACCTTGGAAGGGTGGGATGATAACCACTACACTAACCGCCCAGAAAACATAATGCATATATAATCTGAGCAATAAATAGTACATCACTTATCCGGGTAATAATAATATTAATTTATCGAGCTTACAACTGTATTATTTTGAAACTAGTCAGTGTCTGGAATATATTATTATCAGAAATTAAGGGTAATATGCACAACACTTAATTTCAATAAGTAAAGAAATACCTTTTGACATAAATTATGTGGGATCAATATATCTCGAATGTGTTATGAAGCGCGTTATAGTATGAAACAAATATTACGTAATGATTAGGTAATAGGAGAAACCGATTGTCGAGAAAAATAAATAATATATAAAGACAGAGAATTCTGAACTTACATTCTGAGTTAGATTCTATTCGTTCTATAAATTATATATAATAAACAATCACTTACAGATATAAGAGAAATATAACAATTATATTTTGTTTACCTAACATTAAAACTTAAGCTACACCATTCACCTCTATACCTAACACCTTTAATAATGAACGAATATAAGTCTAACCACAGTATGTCTGCTTCAGCTCACCTTTAAGCACAGTTATTGGGAAGAGTCAAAAATAGATAAGAGTCAACAATTGACAGAAATTATGTGGAAACAAGATATCTCAAATGTTTTATGAAGCGTGTTAAAATATGAAACAAAACATAATTCGAACCTCAATTGAGATTAGAATAAAAAATATGTAAAGATAAAGAATTCTGAACTTACATTCTAAGTTAGATTCTTTTCGTTCTATAAATTATATACAATATAAAAAATCACTTACAAATATAAAAGAAAAGTATAACATATACACTTTGCTTTCTTAACACATGTTATCAAGCTAATACCTATATCTCTCTACCTGCCACTATATAATATGAACGAATCAAGATCTAACCACACCTATATCTGCTTCAGCTCAATATTAAGAGCTTCTTTTTATATCAATGAGTGAATGTGAATAAAGGAATTATATTACCCTTAATTTCTAATGGCATTACCCTTAATTTCTGACTGTTTGATTATTAGATTGAAATTGATTCAACAAAGCTTTCATATCGTAGCCTCACTACTTTCTCCTCGAAATGTGGGGAAAATATATCATTACACAGTCTCAATTTGACAAATTGAAATCTACTTACATCCAAGTTTAAGGAATTAAGTTATCAGAGTTATTCCAATACGTCTCTGTATTTGTTTCGTCTTTTTACATGATGTAGATGAATAAATTAAATCAATGATTAGTTACATATATAGATATATACAAGTAATGAGACAGACTTTTCTTTTACTGCCTGTAACTTTTTTTCCTCCTAAAAACCCCTTCACTTCGATGTTCCATGAAACAAGAACTTAATTTGGTGTCCTATTGGGAGCCTGTTTGTTGTTCGAACTGATCAAACGTAAGAATATCTGATTTGGTTTCATAAACAACATTTGTTGTGGATGGATCCAACTTGTCCAATTGTTTCTCAAGTTCACTTTTCTTAACACGATTCTTGGAGATATTTTTAATACCGCTACTCTTGGCTTCTTGTAGTTTTTGATAGAAAGGATCATTCTCAACAACTAGATATCCTCTCTTTTCTGGATCACTATAAAATCTGATATCTCTTCTTTTTATAGGTCTTGGTGGTAATGGTAATCTACCTCTCTTTTCCAAGAAATATCCGGGATTAAGGTGAGCCTTCAGACTTAAATCAGTGAAATATTTTGCCACAAATGAACCGCCAGCCTTTTCAATAGCTCTAATAGCTTTTTCTGATGCAGCACTTGCTTCAATTTTTAATGGTACTTCCATATCAAACTGACCTTTGGCCAATATTTTTACCCCATTTTTGATAGACCCTGTAATCACTCCAGCATCCTTCATTTTCCTCATTGTCAATACCTCGCCTTCATCTAGATTCAATCTTCCCTTCCTGTGGAACCATATAATTCTCTCAAGATTAATTGGAATTAGAGGTCTAGCATGGACATTCTTGAATCCTAATTTGGGGAAGAGCTTGTATATTGGTGTTTGACCACCTTCGAACCATGGTTTCACGGAGCTTCTAGCTTTCTGACCTTTCTGACCACGCCCAGATGTCTTACCTTTATTACTGGATGGACCACGACCGAGTCTTTTGAATGTCTTTGTGGAACCAGAAGACGGTTGCAAAGTCCCTAAGATAGAAATATGTTTTGTAAATTTTGGAAAGTGCGGTTTCAGTCCAATTTTGGAAAGAAGCATTTCTAACTAAACTATAAAGGTGTGTGTTGGAATGTTTACTTTGGATTCGTTATCTAACCTGATTTTAATTAAATATTCTTTAGTTTCTTTCGTACAGACTCTTCTTATCTCCCTTTAGGTTCTTCAATTTTCAAAATCTCTATTAAAGTGAACCATCATTGAAGCGAATTAAAGAAAGAACGCTCCGAGGATAAATAACGTTTGTTCCGTGTAAAATGATAAACTTTACCAAGAGTTTTAATATCGGTACACTCAGGGTAACCTCAACAAATAAGCGAAAAGTTTATATAAGAGACTAATATAAGCTAACGGTATATCTTCCCATTATTTTATTTTTAGTTATTTATTTATCTACTTATATTTAGACCTATGCCTCAATTAATTTTGAGACAATTGATCCCTATTATTTCCTTGGATCTTGCATGTAGGTATTGACAAATTAAGTCTATAATAATATTTATGATTATGTATATAAGATTGTATGAAAAATTAAAATATGTTTAAATGTTTTGGGTCACCAATTGGTATTATTAAACCTACAATTTAATGACAGTAATATGATGATAGAAATCCCATCTTGAAGAAGTTATGATTAGAAATTATGCTAAACCTTTAGCACAAGAAGAAGAAAGAGTTTGTAGATACTTTTGCCCCTTGTATGTGCAACTTAACGGTGACAAAAAATAAGAATGAATGGAATGTAGATATTAGTATTAGCTTGTTTCTATTATAAGAGATCTGTGATTGTGTTCTTTCAAAGAACCTCCTTTATAGATGACAAATAATGATTGTGATGCAATTTAATTCATAACAATGTACAGATGATTTTTTTCAACTATTTTCAGATATTTTCTCATTATATGAATGATCATCTGAAGATCTAGATAGATCGACATAACTATCATCTAAGTTGAAGTTATTGTTATTATTACTAATAAATTGTTCCAATTTATTGGTTTCATGTTTAACGAGGGGATTGTTGTTATCAGGATTAACAATTCTTAAAGGTGCTCTTTCTTCCATCATATCAGGAAGTGATGAGGTACTAAATCTTTGATTACCTGCATCAACGAACGGTATTGGTTCTTCAAACACTGTCGATGGATGCTTGATTTTTGGAGTTAAGTTTTGCATGGATGTTCTATTCATTGTAGAGTTAGAAGTAGAGTCTAATACGTCAGTACCATTTTTCAAAGGCATCGAGAAATTACTAAATGATGAATTAGTATTACTATGACTATTTGTATTTGTAGTATTATGTCTTGAGGGAATTCTCCAATTTGATGTTGATGAAGAAGGTGGTAAAATAATCGGCGTAGCATTTTCATCACCGAACGAATAAGGTTGATAATGTTTAGTTTCTTCCAAATCAGCGTCATTATCTTTTCTATTACGTTTATGAAAGAAAAAGAAATATATGGCTAGAATTAAGAACAAAGTACCGAAGACAACGCCAATGACAATACCGGCAATTGCACCACCACTCAGGCTTGAACCCTTGGAGTTGGAACTATTTTTACTGTTTAATGATTCGACTGTCGGAGCAACTGTTTGAACCAAAGATGTTGTTGTGACGTATATTGTAGCAGGGGTTTGATCAGACGCAGAGATCACTGATTGTGTAACGACCATTGTGGTATATTCTAGCGAGGTCATGACCGTAGTTGGAGACTTTGTAGATGACGAAGATGACGACTTCTTAGAAGACGAAGTGGATGAAGTTCCTGAGCTAGAGCTGCTGCTATCATCATCAGTGGATGTAGAGGACATGATTGAACTGGATGATTTGCTCTTGCTACTACTGCTGCTGCTGGTGCTAGAGCTACTGCTACTACTAGAGCTACTCTTTGAACTAGTACTAGAACTGGACATAGAGTGAGTCGATGAAGTAAATTCTGATGATGATGATGACAATGATGATGATGATGAGTCGGTGTCAGATGCAATTAAAGCAGCGTCGTCCCCATAGACATCCATTGCACTTGGTCCACCACATTTATCGTCTGGCCAACCATTACAATTTGTTGAACATTCACTGGTGTCGACTGTAGATAATTTCAATAGTTTTGACAACGACTTACCACAATAGCAATCGCCACCATCCGATAAAGCATAGAATTCATAACTTGAACATAGTCCCTGACAGTAAGAAGGTGATTGATAAGAGTATGACCCTTGGGATTCTAAAGATAGGGAATTCATATCTGATTGAGAATAGCATCCTTTAAAAGAGAATACTTCCTGTGCCATTGATAATCGGAGTGTTAGCAACAAAAGCAGCAATATATGTGAGAGTTTGTTCATTGTTGTTAATATGGGAAGCATGGTATTTAGAAATATAATAAAAAGGTATGTGTTGATGTTGATATTGGTGTTGATGTCAATTAAATTGAATTGAATTAAATTGAATTGAATTGAATTGAATTGAATTGAATTGAATTGAATTGAACAGAAAGCAAAAAAATGTAAAGAAACTAAAATGTTTAATAACGTTGGAAGAAGGAATAAAAGGAGATAAAACTTTGTTGAAGTTGAAGAAGATAAAAAAAGGCAGTAAGGTTGCTACTGATCCATTAAAAACAATTAATAAATTAAAATCTTATAGTGAATAATAATAGTACTAGTAATGATGGTCGTGTTATTGCAATTCAGTAGTAGTAATGCAATATTAAGGGTTGTTGATACTGTTTGTTATAATGGTATAATTAAAAAGTAGTTGATTTCCTCTTATTGTTTGTTTGTTTTTTGCTTTAAAATCCTGGTCACCCTATCAACAGAAGAAAATATAGGAAAATGTAATATAATTAAACAAGGAATCTATATTTGTTTTGTTTGATGTTTCCAGGTTGCTTATGAAGACAAACAATATTTACAACAAAGCAAAGCAAAACAAAGCAAAAATCTACAGATTGAGTTTTTACAACAAGACCGACTTATTCGTAGAACCAGCGAACGTTGTTACAAGCCGTAACTTCTAGGCTCTCTCTCTTTCTCTCTCTCTCTAGCTGAACAATTTCTGCAGCACAGGATGGGTAAGTGCTTATAGCTTCCATGCGCAGTCACCATTTGGTTTCATCAAGTTGCAGCTTGTCATAACGAAAGCCTGTCAATGTTCGTTCTTCAAAACCTTTAAAGTTTGTTGTTGTTGTTTCTTTGTTTTGGTTTTGGTTCTTGTTTGAAATTTGTCGCAACGTGACGTTATATTATGTTTCTACGATCATTTCACTGTAGAGGAGGGGGATGCGCGAAAAACAAGAGAGACAAAATGTTTAAAGTCCAAAAAGGCAAAAATTTTATTATTTTGCCCGAAGGAGAACAATGAATAGAAGGAAGAACTCATTTTCCGGTCGCTCAAAGAGGAAACTTACGTGTTTGTCCGGCTGCTTTTTATAGGGCACGGGCACAGAAACGGGTGCAGCACAGCGATATAGAATACTTGAGATGCAAGACGAGATATATTTCGCGCTAGGGCTTCCGTGGACAGTGACAGAGGAAGTTAGGGTTGGGCATCGCGTGGATTGCATAATTTTTCAGTTTTTCGTTTGTTGGTGGGGAGAGACACACTGCCCCCAAGGGGAATAAGCACTGGAAACCTGGAAAGCTAGAAATATTCTTCAGTTGTTTAAGAGATGGGTCCATACAGAAGACAACTACTTTTGTAAATGTATATATATATATTGAAGGAGAGATAGGTATGGTATATAGTGAGCATGAGTTCTTTGAAGGCTATTGATAAGAGAATTGCTAAACGTAGACAAGTGTACAAAGCTGTGTTGTCTAATCCGTTCGTGAATGAGGAACAGATATGGCCACATGTCAAGAATCAACAGTTGGTTCAAGAATTGTTACAAAAACATGTGTTGAACAAAGTACAGCATTTGCAACAGATGAAGGTGGCCAAGGAAGAATGGCCATTCGATTTGATTACAGATTTCAACAAAATATACGCATATTTAGAACAAAATGAACCAGAACAAGCAAAAGAGGCTTTATTGTTTGTCTGTAATAAAGATCAAGATGTGCCTCTTGTTATGTTACAACAAATCCCATTGATGTCATATATATCCAGCACCCAAACCACACTGGTGCAATTACCGAAGGGATCTCTGGGAAATATCCAAAAATTTATAGACTTGCCCTATGGAATCTTATTATTACCTGCAGAGCATTTGGACCCTGTCTTCTTGCAACAGATTCATGAACAAGTAGCAAAACAGATTGTTCCTTGGTTAGCTCCATTGAAATATAAATCGACAGACGTTAAATTAGCCAAATCATCGGCTCCCTTAAAATAACAATAATAATTGCAACCTCTCTCATTCAAATCGAAGATTATCACTCCAATTACTCTGTGTTACAGCAAGAGGATCGAAACAGGTTTTCTTTCAGCCTGGAAAATTTTCGTCTGAAAGAAAATTCTAGAAAGGCATCCTTTGCTCGGGTTACTTGTTAGGCTATCACCCTTCCACTGCTTGAGGGAGAATGACGAACGAAGCGAGGCCGAAAAAATATTCAATATTTCAAGCTGCTTAAGTAAGAAGAATTAGGAAACTTACATAAGCTTACCTTATTTTCAAGTTTCATATCGGTTCTGACATACAGATCAGTTGGCTATACAGAACAACAACTGGAACTGTCCATAAACCGTTGGAACGTGTGTGTGTATTTTTGCATGTTGGAGTGTGTGTTGCTGTTTTTTGCTTTTCTGTTATAAACTTACAAAATAAAAAAGGTGTGAAATTTCAACATGGCAGTATTGAATCCAAATAACTGGCACTGGGTCGACAAGAATACCCTTCCATGGACTAAAAGTTACTTCGATGACAAAATCAAAGGGTTTGAGGTCAAGAAGGATAGTGCAGCTGGCTCGGGATACAGGATTGTCGAGATCAATAAGATTACAGGTGATTCCAACGTATCGCAACGTAAAGGGAAACCAATATGTTATTTCGATTTGAACATTGAATTGAAATTAGAGGTCTTTGAATCTTCCAGTGAGGAAGAGGACGAGGACGAGGATAATGATTTGAATGGGACTGTAATCCTTCCAGAATTTGCGCATGACGACACAGATTTTGAAATAAAAATCAGTGGTTTGTCCAACGATATCACTAAACAAGTGAACCAAGATTTTATTCCTGATTTAAGAACTGTTCTTCTACAATATCAAAAAGATTTATTAGAGACTCATTCGCAGGATCTAAGAGAATCTTAAATATATATATATATATATTACATATAGAATCGATAATTTGATTTTTTCTCTTAGTAAATATATGGGATAATCTTATAAGGAACCTTCTTTTGATAGGTAACCCAATCATCACCATATTTCTCACTACATTTCTCTTCATCTCTCTTTTGTCTATGCAATAATAGAATGGCGAAATAGACAGAATAATGATAAGTCAATGGAGTAACAAACCATGTAGTTAAACACCAACTTAAAGAAATTAACCAATCTCCCATATAATTTATATGTTGTGACATCCCCCACCAACTATCACATAATAATTTGGTACCACGTTGTGTTTGAATACTCTTTAAATTTGGTAATTTACCTTGTTTGAAATCAGATTTTTGTTTATTAGCTGAATGGAAAATATAATAACCTAAAGTCATCAAAGAAGTAATAAATATAACTTTATTTTGACCTAAATCGTTAGCATTAACACTTAGGAATCTTGCTTGCAAACAAAAAGTAAATGGAACAAATGTTAAATCACCAAAGGATAGCATGAATCCAAACCCATCTGTGGCAATATCCATCATTGTTAATAACCCTTCTTCATTCAGGACACCATCAAAGATGTAGAATCCTTGTAAGATGTTGATTAATAACAATGCATCATTGACTGAATTGAATTGGTTCACAACAACATAATTATGGTGAAGACAACTTAAATTGATTAATAACCATAATAACATACCAGGTCTTAACTCACAAAATAATTTGATATCAAAACAACCAATTCTTGGATTTAATTCTCTGCCAATAAACCAATCATAGATAACATTACCAGCATTACCACCTAAAGCCAAAATTGGTTCTTTACCAAAATAGACAAAACTCTTTAAATAGCAATATGTAGCCAAATAAAAAGCAAATAATATACTAATAATATTCAATTCAATATGATGTTCATAAAGGAACACTAATTCAGGCATGGCACCTTCGGTGATTTGCCATCTTAAACCTAAGATCAAAATCAAAAGAAAGGAGTTACTGATACCATTGATCTTATATTTCAACTTTGTATCATCTCTCAATAGAGTACCGAACATAGTCTTACCTGGTAAAATGATATCAAATACAGCCAGAACACCAAACCAACATAGATATGGGATCCAAACTTCTGATGAACGGCATGGATTTAAATAATACAATGGATCTGTAGAAAATTTGGCATCTGGAGTTAATTGAAGGTTAATAAAAACAGTGAAAACTGGTAGAAACAAAGATAAGAACAAAGCCCCCAAGCATCCACCAAATTCAAACTTTGTAGTCTTAGGATTCAAAGGTTGTTCCTTTTCTACTTCGGCTCTAGTCATCGAGTTTTTGTAATAAGTAGTTTAGTTAATTGTTGCAATTGAGTATTGAATAAAGATAATATAGTGCTAACCATAATTTTCTCAAGAAAGTAAGAAAAAGTTATTTCAAATCAAGAATAGTCTTAAATATTTATACTCTTCTCTCCTTTCCGAAAGGTTTCCTGAGCAACTTCATGCGAGTCCTCATCGTTTAATTAAAATATTTCATAGGAACGAGAGAGTCCTTCGCAGCTTCCCGGTAAGAGCGACTAACTCAGAGTTCTCTAAGCTTTAGACGTAGTGGACAACATACAAAGCAGACACTACAAATAAAGAATACTTCGCCTCTAAGCTGTCTATACCGTACTAACAGCGTCATTTTCATATCATTATACATGTGCATGTATCTGTGATATATTCTCTCCATGTGTCCTAGTATAGAGAGGATCATCAATGGTTCTTGAATGGTAGTCGAAGGATTCGGTAATTGATATCACGTTGTACGTGTTTCTGTAACTATGAATTGCGTAAAACGAAATTAGGAAGAAACGCCATACTTTCAAACTTATAAACCATATAAAGACAATAAACAAAAGGAACCGGACTATCTTGGTATTAGGAGAAGCATTTGACATTATCCAACTGGCCAAAACAACGATATAGGTCAAAAATATTCTGAGTTTTCAGAGAAAAGGTAGCAATATGATGCAATATGTGGAAGAATTAGAGCAACTGAAGATCAGAATGTTGGATGAGCTAAGCAAACTAAGTGAGGATTCTTTGAGCGATAATGCTTCAGAAAATGACAGTCAGGATATAAACGCGGAGTGTACTAAGCTTGTAATGCAATTTGAGTCTAAACTTAGATCAGCTATTGTTGTAATAAACCAAAGTAATAAAACTATCAAACTTACCTACATTCAAAGTCGGTCGTTAGACACGTTAGATACATTGAAAGTTGTAGGAGATCTACAGCAATGTAAAAATGAAACTTGCGGATTGATTCAAGATATTATTATGTTAACTAATTGGAATTATGAATATAAGGAGAGAATGAGGAAAATGATAAAGGCTAACTATTATCAAAAATTAAATGAAATGGATCAATTGAGAAATGAGGCCATTAATGCTCACACTGAATCAAAGATATCAACCGAGAAACATCGTGATACACCTACAGTGGACGTTCAGGGAACATCTACAAAAGCTCAAGTATTAACCCAAACAAAGAAGTTAAGTAATAACTTGATTAAAGGTAATCAAATTTTGCAATCTAGTATTTTACAAAGTAGTTTGAATCTAGATGAACTTAAACAACAGACCAGCTCTTTACAGACAGTAGACGACAAATACGATCAATTTCAACTGGTAGTGAACAAGACTTCATCACTAGTAAAATCATTAGAAAAGGCTTCTAACCAAGAAAAGAGAGATGTATACCTAGCATTGTTTTTCTTAATTGCATGTATATCATGGGTTGTTTGGAGGCGTATATTGAAAATGCCAGTGAAACTATTCCTATGGATGTGTTTCAAATTCTTTAAGAGCATTTTGGTGGCTATTGGGATGGTTCAATCAACTATTAGCACAACTACTACAATGAAACGGGAAGATATAACGAGTAGCCACTCATCCATCATAAAGGAGGCAACGCAATCGCTCGAGCAATTTGTAGATGAGGCCATGGATAGAATACTTTCTTCACATGACGAGTTATAAAACGAAGCAGGTTATAAATGAATGAATACAAATGTTTAATAGAGCTCCGCATCAAATAGTTTGTATAGTTGTCACTCTTTTACTGCAAAAATTTCATCATCCTTAACGGCGCCTTCTGACTTTTGGGTGAAAAATTTTTCGATGAGCCCGATGAGCATACAATTCAACCGATGAGGAAACCTTTGCAAAGGATATATAGATTCATTCAGTGGTAATCATTATTAAAGAGTTGCACGTCTGAGTATATGTTTTAATATATTTTAAGTAATAGTTAGGTAGATATTTAGCGTGACAGACAATATAACAATACTAGTAATGGCTCCAACTACTAAGAAAAACAACAAGCGTTCTGCATCTCAGACATCTAAACCAGCTGCTAAAAAGGCTAAAATTCCAGTTGAATCATCTTCAGAAGATGATGAACTTGACAACAACAGCTCTTCTGATGTCGATGATTTGGATGAAATTGTATCCGATGATAGTGATGATCAATCTATGTCTGAACAAGAAGATGGTAGTGACGAAGAAACATCTACTGAACCAAAAGGAGAAGGTGAAGGATCCGATAACCATACAGAACAAAGAAAGCTTCTAAAGGAGAGAAAATTGCAAAGAAGATCTGGTTCTGAAATTCAACAGATTAAAAATGTTTGGGAAAGATTACGTGTAAAGTCTCCACCCCTACCAAAAGAAATCCGTGAGAAGTTGTGTAATGAAATATGGGAACTTTCCAAAGAACATTTCAGTGATTTGATTCTAAAGCACGATGCTTCACGTATCGTTCAAACTTTGATCAAATATTCTTCGAAGGAACGTCGTGAAGAGATTATTAATGCCTTGGTAGGAAAATACTATGTTTTGGCAACTTCATCCTATGGTAAATATCTTTTGGTTAAATTATTACATTATGGTACTAAGAACTCTAGACAGGTAATAATTAATGAATTGCATGGTAACTTGAGAAAATTGATGAGACACAGAGAAGGTGCTTATGTGGTGGAGGATTTATATGTTCTATACGCTACCAACGAACAAAGAAATCAAATGATCAGAGAATTTTGGGGTTCTGAATATGCTGTATTCAGAGATGATCATAAAGATTTAAAGATTGAAGATATTTGTAATAGTAGTGTTGAAAAAAGAAATATCATCTCTAAGAATCTTTTGGGTACCATTACTGCATCTGTTGAAAAAGGTTCTACTGGTTTCCAAATTTTGCATGCAGCTATGAGAGAATTTGTTAAGATCGCTGATGGTCCTCAAATAAGTGAAATGATTGAATTATTACATGAACAATTTGCTGAATTGGTTCACACACCAGAAGGTGCCGATGTTGCATGTACATTGATTTCAAAGGCTTCCGCTAAAGAAAGAAAGTTAATTCTAAGATCATTAAAGGAGCACGCTGACAAATTGATTCCAAACGAACATGGTCACATGGTCTTTATTAACATTTTGATGGTTGTTGATGATACTGTTCTAGTTTTCAAGACTTTTGGTGCTGCCATCAAGGATGCTTTTGCTGATTTTGCAACAGACAAATACGGTAGAAGACCATTGATCTACTTATTAATGGGCCTAAGCGGTAGATATTTCTCCCCAATTATTAAAAAGGAATTGGAACGTTACTTTGAAATGGCTTCTAAGACTTCAAAGAAGGATCCTGTTGTTAGAAAACAAGAATTGGTTGAAAAATTCTCTAATATCTTACTAAATGGTGTAGGTACTAAATATGCCACTATTCTGCCAGATAATCTAGGTTCTCAATTCTTCTCAGAGTTGTTAACTTGTGATGAATTTTACGGTCAATTGGACGAAAAAAATGTTGTTAAATTTGAAGAAATCCTAAATAGTGTTACTGTCTACTTCAAAGGTGACGTTACAGAGGAGAAACATCCAATACACGATGCGTTCTCTACTAGATTTTTAAAGAGTTTAATCAGCGGTGGTAAATGGAACAATAAGGAAAAGAAAATCATCCCATTCGAACATATTAAAGAGTTAGGTGTACCTTTTGCTATTAAATTTTACGATGAAATAATCGACTCTACTAATCTTCTTGTGTGGATCAATGAGAAAGATTGCTCCTTCACAATTGTTGCATTATATGAAACTTTGAACGGCACTGAAGAAGGTAAGCAATTTGTAAAGGATTTGAAGTCTGTTAAGAAGAACATTACTACTGAGGCTTCTAACAAAGGTGCTCAACTGTTACTAAAACTGATGAAATGATCTGGGACGGACTTCCACCCTTGTAGTAAACTTGCATTTAATTAGATTCCTCTAACGTTCGAAATACTCTCAAACATGTATGTATAGATAGGTACAGGTATATATAGTTGTATATGCCAGAGTTTCGATCATAAATTTGTATATTAATTTCTCATATCTCTTTTGAAATTTATTTATTTTATATTAGATTGTTCTTACAATATGCGGGAATACACTAATTTAGCCGAAGGTTGAAAACTTCACAATTCATAGAGGCACATATGGCAGGAGCATTACAAAATTTAATTGAAAAGGGGACTATATTGCAACAATTGATAGACTCTGAAATGGAGTACCAAGCAGATTGTATGCGTAATTTCCAGTTTGTATAACATTAAGTTTAGGTTGGGTAGTATATAATCTACGTGAATCGGCTCGATAGTATATATTCGACAAAGGAAATTATGAGCATAGAGAAATCAGATCAAAAAGAAGCTGACCAAGAACAAGAAAAACAAGAAAATGCTTCAACTTTGATTCATAATATGAGTGGACCATGGTATAATTTTCCTATAATTAGTAATCTTCCAGACGATATTGAAATAAGTGTCATTGAATCATACGATGAACATGTATATATTGGAACGACTTCCGGTGAGATAATACATTTTTTTGAGATAGAGTTTGGTAACTATTTACTAGTCTCTAGAACTAATTTTGATGATTCTATCAATAAAAGACATCCTGCTGTTAATAAAATAATAATACTCCCGAAAATTGAAAAAGCCTGTATCCTCAGTGACTCTGAGGTGATACTATTTTTATTGCCTGAGATGGCCCCTGCTCCAAATGTTGAAAGGCTGAGAGGTATAAATGATATAGTATTAAAGGATTATCCCAAAAGGAATGATAATAAATTTAAAAATAAATATGAATTGTTGTTATTTAGAGATGATAACATTGCCAATCTAGTAATCACTGAAAGTGAATTTAAACAAAATACAATTTTTGACTACAAGTTCATCCAGAGTGGCAAGTGTCACGACTCGATGGTTATGAGTGCAAAATTGAATAACTACGAACTTTTAAATTTAAAATATAATCAAGTGATTCCATTGTTTCGTATTAGTGAATTGTCTGATGAAAAAGATGAAGTTGAATTGAAACCAATTATACGACATTTTAATAATGATAGTTTTCTGGTTTGTTCTGGAGGTGCATCATACAACGATAATGCAATGATACTTGTTGTCAACCATCATGGGGATATTACTGGTATGGCAATGGAACTTGAACATTATCCAATAGATTTAATTGTGAGTTACCCATATCTTTTGGTTCAATATAAAGATGACCAAATCCAAATTTATAAATTTTCAGATGACAAAAAATTGGCGATTCAGAAAATTGAGATTCCAAACTCCAGATTAAGGTTATTTAAGACTCATAATACATTCAAACCTTGTATATTACCAAACTCCAAGGATGCTGAAGTGTATTCAAATTTGCAAAAAAAGATGGTCGACAAACTGATGATGGTACCCATTGGTAAGAACCTTAACTCGACAACATTTGACCTCAAATATAAAAAGCAAGAATTAGAAGCTATATGTGATATTTCTTCTTCAATTCTGATAGGAGACTCCTCCTCAATATATTCATTTATTCCAACACCATTATTTCTAACAATAGAAAATTTTGAGATATCGCAAATTGATTTGATACTTGACTATTTAAAAAATTGCGAAGAATTAAATTTGAAAAGCAAAATATCCTCCTTCGAAAGAAAATATTTGAATTTATTAAATTTGTTATTAAATATGCTTCATTGTGATAAAATTGATACTCATTTGGTCGATTTATGGGGCGATCACATTAAGAGTATCGACATACGGCTATTCTTAGATCTTTTGGGGTTTGATACATATGGGAAACCCTGTATTTATAATGGATTAAAATCAATTTATGAAAATTTAAAGTCGTTAAACCTTCGTAATAAAACTGAAAATACTTCTGATGAGTTTATTAAATTTTTTGAAATTATTAAAAAAAGGTTGAACAACCTCATCGAAAGACAACGGAATAGTATTCAGGACTTCGAAAATATAATTATCACGATTGATATCCTGTTATTCAGGATAATATACCTGGATGGTGATCAACAGAATACCAAGTTTAATATTAATGAATATAGCAAGCTAAGTCACAATGAAATTATTAGAATAGTAAAAGAAGATATTATCCCCAATAATACTTCTTACAATAAATTATTGATTCAAATATATGAACAAAAGAAATTATTTGCAGATGCATTATCTATAATGAGATCTAATGTAAATAGTAAAGACCGAACGAGTATAGAACTTTTTTTCATGTTCATTAAATCTCATATAATGGAGTTATCAAAAGTATATCATTCAACAGAACTGATGAACGACTTGGCAATGATATTGGAGAATCTGAGTATAATAGATCATAAAGAAGATTTTCATAACGTTGTTAGGGAAACACTCGATATAATTAAGGAGGTAAAAACTGATGTTCATGTTTTATTACAAGCTGTCGAAATGTTTGAAAATGGTATATTTATAAAAGTTATAATTCTTGAGGAAATACGATTAGGAAAAGATGAAATGGGTAGTGCTGAAGATAATGAGTTTTTAGTTAGATATTATATTGAAAAGATGCATTCAGATATTCTAACCAGTAATTTATGGAGTACTTTCAAGTCATTTCAAATTGAGTATAGAAAAGATCACAATTATAACAAATTAACAATAAATGAATATTTATTAACTAAAATAAAATTTGATTCCAGTTGTAATTTATTTCTAAAGATGTTTGAGAAGATATTGAGAATAATTGAAAACATTCCAAGTACTTTGGTGCTGCTCAAGAGTGAAATTACAAAGTTTGACGAAGATCATATATTATTCATATTATTTTTCTTCTCCAAAATATATTATGATACCATTAATGAGGAAGAGAAGTTAAACATCCTTATAGAAAATAATGCATTTCTTGAGATTCAAACACTTGTAAATCCCAAAAATATTGTTCGCCTATTCGATCGTTATTGTAAAGAATTAGATGACATAGATTTGGCAATAGAACTTTTAAAAAGGAATAAAAGAATTCTAGAAGAAAATACCGAAAATTATATTACAATTCTAGAAAGTATTCCAAAAAACTCAACATTTTATAAATCAGGACCTTTAATATTAAGTTTTTTGATAAGCAAACAAACCAAATTAGAAGAATTAGAGATGAAAAAATCGTTGTTGAAGAACGAAGTCTCTATTTACAATGATATATTGAAGAAGTTAGATACATGAATAAATAAAATAATATATATATAGATTTTTAATGACTTACATTTTTATGAAATAGAGAAATGGTTGGAAACTATTTCTATTCCATTATTTGTTTAATTCAGAAAGTGGTTTTAGACCGGAGCAAACTTCAAAGATTAAGTTAAATCTTTTTGGATCTCTATTCATATCTACATTATTTTGTAATGCAAGTCCTACAGCTTTGCTGTTTTGTAAAAGGCTTTCTTGAGTTGTTTTGTTTGAAGAAATGGATTCGAAATCTTTTGAAGTTAAGGATAATAATGGGTTGTATTTACCTTTAACTGCCATTGCAAATTTTAAATTATCACTTTCTACAGCATGGTTCTTTAATTGAGCTTCTTGTTGTAAAATTAAAGAATGAGCAGGCATATATTTCCCAAATGAATTAGTACCTTGAAATAAAGGAGTATATCTGGATGTAGATGAAAAATTTGGTTGTCTATTTACAGGGAAATTAGAGTTTATCAATTCATTTACAGCTAAATTTTTAGACCTTGACGATTGAATAGAATATATGTCAGAAGAATATTTTAATAAAGATTCAGGAGTATTATCCTCTGGATAATATAGTTCAGAAGCTACCTCAACTTTAGGACGTTGTCTGTTCTGATAGTTACTCGTTGCAGTCGATCTAGTATATGGCTTTTTACCCCTTGATTCTCTCTTTCTTTGAGTGAATGGTTTTCTAGAGGAATGAGTCTTTGTCTTATCTTGATCTTGAATAATATCGATAAAATCAATAGATTCGGACCCAGCGTTTTTCTTATCAGCAAATTGAGGTTGTTGCAAAGTAATATCACTCTTTGCATTTGAATTTGTCATTACTTCACCCTTATGACTGCGGTTATCGAATTCTTGTCTGTCATATCTATTGAATTTCCTATTGTTAAATGATCTCTCTTTATTTTGACCATTTTGAGCAATTTTATAACTTCCATTATTCCCTGTTCTAGGACCACGATTATTATTATAATTAGAGGTATTATTTCTGTTGTTAGTTCTTTTATTTTGTGTTTGTTGGTTCTTTGCAGTAACTGAATGTGTAGTAGCCTCTTTGGCTCTCACTAACAGATCGTTAATGAAATCCTGAGTGATATTTGTACTGTAACAAGCACGACCTACACTTCTGGACAGCATTCCTGATAAATACTTGGTTGATTTCTGTTGTTGTATCGAGTTACCAAAGGTTCCTTTTCTATTTATTCTTTAAAATATTTCTATTTGACCTTTTAAATTAATGTTTGTCTACCTATTTCTCCCTTCGACAACGTTAAATTTGTTTTACATTTTTCGGTCTTGAGAAATTGAAGAACCAGAAAATTTCGGGTTACCCTTACTAGTTGCAGGACACGTGCTTCGGAGTTTATTAATTCCGTTATTTACATATATTATTAATGCATTTATATATGCGTATATTAGTATAGAAAATGGACAATATTGGATGAGTATCTATGATATTCGTAGATTCATTACCAGTATACATATTGTTTTCTCGTATCCGTCTCTCTTTTATCTTTTCATTTATTTACATGAGGTTTAAAGAACATTCAAAAGATGTGTAATTAATCGGTTAGCAATGTTATTAGTGAGCTTTGCCACTACCTCCACAACAACCCCCACCCGATGTAGCGCCCGATGTCAGTGTGTTTCTTTTACTAATGTTCTTGATCTCATCATTATCTCCTAGTTCAGTATCTTTATGCAAATTCAAATGATATGTAGGTTTTTCATTACTTGAAGTCGTCTCCACTCGTTTCCCTTGAACGATATTCTTTCTTAGGAACTGAGCCACATCTTCCATTAGTTTAATCTGTTTTTCAATAGGTATATCTGGATTCTCTGGTGCTAGCATTCCTTGTCTCATTTTCTGTCTAGCTGCAAGAAGTAATCTTGTGTCTTCATTAAATGCCACTCTTGTAGCCCTCAGGCCATGTCTGTACGCCGTCAAGGCTTGTCTAGTTAAATTGGTGCTCATAGTCAACCTATAATTTTTACTGTACCTCTTGAGTGTACTTTGTTTTATCCGTTCTTGATGACTTCTTACATCTGAATTATATATTCCAAAGGGTGTCTCTCTCTCCCATTCTCGTATTCTTTCTTCCTTTAAATAAATTCAGCCGATCGAACCTCTAGCGGGGCAGTTGGATAAGCACATTTTCTGGTCTGTACCTCGTTGAAAATGACGGTATTATAACTTATAACTGTGACACATACTAAAATGACCTCAAGTGTATATATATATATATATTTCAAATAGGAAGAGTAAGAATAAAGTTAGTTATATCTATAAAAATTGTGTTGGCAGTAGTTGATGCTATTGTATTTCATCCTGTTGAGCTTTTCTATTTCTTGAAGTTGGAGTGAACTAATCTATAGGATTCGATGACAGCTTTTAAATGGCATACAGAACCTGCAACGACCAAACAATGGAAAACTTGATGAGAACTACCAACAAGATCGAATTTTCCTGGTAAAATACTCTCTGGGATTCTTAAACCATATAATGTTGCTCCGACAATATAAAATAATGCTTCCCACAAGACAAAAGTAAGGTTAATTCTTTGTAAAACACCATGGAATCCAAATATATAAAACCCTGTAGCTAATGGGATAATACCTGAAAGACCAAATGTAGCGAAAAATCCAGCTCTTAATGGTCTATATTTAGCCACATTAAATTTTTCATGCATTACTACCATAGAACATAGGATTGCTAATACACATGTTAAACCCACAAAAAATTTAAAATATGCTAGATGATCAAAATAACCAAAATAGACTAAAGATATCATTGAACAAGCAATTAATATGATGATACCTAAATAGTCTAATTTACTCCAAAAATTACTATATTTTTCGGAATGTTGTTTTAAACAATGGAAACAACCACTACAAAGCATACAAAAGAATGCACCCATTAAAAAGACATTAATAAAAACGTAATCTGAAGTTGAAGTAGTTGGGAAACTGGGAATCAAAAAAGTATCTATCAAAAATAAAGATAAACATAGGTATGCAATTGAAGGGATCAAATGAGAATAAATATTTACAGATTCATTATTAAAATAAAATAATGATCGAATACATTTAGAGAATGAATTAGTTTCTCTCACGTAACCTGTTAAAATTTTATCATTATCTTGTTGCCAAAATGGTAAATCCTGGAATGAATATAATCTTCTGCTGAATATACTACTACTACGGCTACGTGTCTGACTAGCAGAACGACTTGTTCCATTACTACTAGTGACGGTATTTGTACGAGTACGACTCAAATTTATAGTACGTTTTGTAACAGTAGAACCTTTGGTACTAGTAATAGTGGATGTACTGGTAACCTTTGTTAAACTAGTCATACTTGTAATCGAATTCTTTCTAGATCTCATAGTGATAGTATCTTCTGGTATCATTGCTAATGTCAAACTCAACTCAAATATATATATTTGTAACTATCAATTATAATTTGTCCTATTCGTTTGAATTACTACGTACTTTGCCAAATTCAGATCAAACCAGAGAAGAAATCGCAATTTATTTATTTATTATAATAATAATAATAATAATAATAATAATAAGGGTAAAGAATAGTATTAAAATGTTANCAACTCATTCTAATCTACATAAATCTATCTATCTAAATGGGAATCAGCAGACAGATAATGAAAGAATATTGGTTATTCCGTTCGCACATTAAAGAGAGACAGACAGATGGGACTCCTTTGCTTCTCTCTGTGTGACAAAACCGAAAAAACGAAAAATTTTGAAATTTCATTTTTGCGATGAGCAACGATAATTACCAACAATTGCAATAATTGCAATAACAACAACATTCACAACACAGAGACTGCTGTAAACGACTGGATTCGGTTGACCAATTACGTGGGACCGTGCGTGAGTCCGGCGTTAGTCGTTAGACCTCCGACTTGTTGTGACACCAGTGTTTATTCAGTGGTAAGTGAGGGAAAGATATGATGTAAAAGGAAGCCCACAAGAGCATTACAGATCGTGATATGCAATCGATAAATGATGAGACATGGTTAACTTGTGAAGGTGACCTGAGTGGGTTTGAGTGAAGGTTGGAATTCTGTTTGGGATCTTAAATAGTTTAGAAACAATAACCCTGCTGTAGTTCCCGGTATTACAGCAGCTGTGTTACGAAGAAACCCCTTATATAGCCATCGGACAAATTGTAAATGATGGCCACCATGTACTTGTCTTAAATGAGTGAAAGTTTCACGATATGCATTACGATATAGATGCATATGTCTATTTCGCCAATTATTTCTTGATTCGTTCAAAAATGTTTGAGGTTTTGTAGCTGCAATGGTTATATCGATAGCTTCAAGTCGTTTAAAATGTAATTTCTCTATTTTACTAATAGGATATTGAATCATTTGTAAAAATATAGCTGCTGTAACACCAGATACAAATATAATAGACTGATTTATATATTGAGAATCCCTAAAATCATCTTTGTAATGCTCCTTAATATATTCAAATGACCAAAAATATGTACCAAATCCAAATGATTCCTTAAATAAAGTCAATAAAAATCCACCATAACAACCAACAAGTCCGATTTGTTTCCATTTCTTCCAACCATATTTCCATAGATTGTCATGTTTATTCATTTGTTTAACAAGTTCATCCATACTTTGTCTAGCAAATATTGCATCAATAGGTGAAGATACCAGAGCCTGCACAACACCAGCACACCAGCCAGCTTTATAAACATTGGTATAATAACTCAAAGAACTCTTTGGTGTATCTTTGTTTGAATAAGAAACGGTTTGTAAATAGGTAGTATATAATACAATCCCAGTAACAGAATTTAGTAACAAAGGAGGTAGAATTCTTTCAGGTATCACTTTCCAACCGTATTTGTTTAATGCATGATTAAGTAAATGGATTGGTGACCTTTGATAAAATTTTGTATCTTGCGAAAGATTATCCTTAGCGTATACCACTCTAAGATAATGTAAATAATCAAATCGAGGTGGACGGAATAATTTCAATGGTATTCTTAAATAAAAAGTCGTGAGTCTGTATATTATTGTTCTACCTGCTGCACTAAGGATTCCAATAAATGAATTGGTCTTGCGCTGTTCACGATTACTATCGTTTCTATCTATATTCATTCCTCATAAAAATTCAACTCGTAGCATATACGATAGAATATAGAAAAATACAGTATGTGTAATTATTTCAATAATAAGTTAAGTAACATCCATCGAAGACTACCATCTAATGTATAATATTATTTCGATTTTGATTCTTTATCTGTTGATCTACAAATCCAAAAAGACTTCAGGGCATCGCTTTGTTATTGACCTTAATTTTGTCTCGAAGTGAGTTCGTGTACAGATAACAACGATTTGCAAAAGAGTTTTTATACATATATGTGTTTTGAAAGAATTACAATAGTTATAAATGTGGCATCGTTTATTTAATCCAACATATGAGGTGTTCAGCTCTGAAAGTAAGTATGGGTTAACATATCTACTTTAGCAACGACTCCAAAATGCATATAGGCATTTCGTTAGGTGATAATTTGCATACTGTATTCATAAGCATGATATGATATCCTGCAAATATATATTCCTGTTGTGGAAATCAATCATCAAAATCTTCCCCTTCTCTTTGAAAGTTTATATATCTTTCATGATACATCGCATTATGTGTTTTTTATGTTAAACTAATTATTTTGGTCATCATTAGGGGTATTTTGACAGAGGTGGAAGGATAGAACCCCTATAATATTACATATTTTAGTCCGTTCATTAATTGAATATTATTAAAATTGTTTGAGGATATTTTGTCGACAAGCACTGTTTCTGCTGAGTTTTTAAATATTTGAAGCAGATTTTACTGAAGTGTTAGATAAATTATTTACTTTTATTTGAATGTTCTCTAACATATTTTGATAATAAAGACTTATTTAACTGAATTTTACTATCCAAATGTGGTACTCTTTTGGATATACCCTTTAAAGTATTAGATGAGAGATGTCTTATTTTCTTTAAAAGAGTTAATTATATGATGCAGTTGTCTATGTATTTTCAATTAGTTGCGCCAATTGTTTATATTGTTGAACTAAATACAACAGCGATATTTAATGTTTAAGTAAATGTAGAAACCAGTTGACCAACTCCCTAAATCATGAAGAAATTATGAGATAAAAGAGTAATACATAGTGAAAAATTAAGTAAATGAGTTTAATTCAAATAAACTCTAAGCCAATGTAGAAATCAGAAGAACTTCTGAAAGTAATATGTTGTAGGTCTAACCTTTGTATAAGATTGGCTATCTTTACATTTTCTTTGAAGGGTAGATTGTTGTTCAAATATAGGTGGTACTAAAAGCACATTTATTATGCTGCGTCATCAATAAGTTATTATCACAATAAAAGATGATGTTGTAGAGAACCTGAGATAGAGTGTTTGCCTTTATTAGTCTCTGCAAACTTTGATTGTTTCAATTCGGACATTTTATAATACGATAATCGATGGGTCTCTTTTATTATATATATATTTTACGTATTGTAGAATATTTGATATCTTTATATATTATATTAAGAGCTTCCTTTTATATCACTTTCTTTAAATATTTTATTTCTTCAATCACACCTTTCATCTCTGTTTAATTTGATTCTTATCAATGGTTGGCTCTTATATTGTTGACTGCTATCTATTGTTGACTGTTATCTATAATTGTGCTTAATGATGGGAAAATTGAATATTAGACATCTTCTATTTAACTGAACAAATTTTATTATATTACAAAATCAACTTATAGTAGTCTGATCTTTTTATATCTTATATAAAAATATATAAAGTAAATTATGGAAACAATTATATTCATAAATGAAATATTGTTCCATTTATATATGTTTGATTTTTCTTTGTCGTGATTATAAACTCACTCGATAGTGGCGTAAGCAATCTATTATTAAGTTGTTGCGGGATGAACTTATCAATAGATCATTGCGGGATGAATATATCAATAGATCATAACCTTGGTCATTATCCCTCTTATAATATAGTTCCGACACTTAAAGGTTATTCTTTACCTATTGAAATTAAGTGTGGTGTATAGTACTCTTAATTTCTTACAATCTTGCCAATCTGGGTTCGCAGAAACTAATTTTTCCAAATAAACGTTTAATTAAAACCAAACATTTTAATTCTGTTAAATTGACAATCTTTTTTAAAAACTATTATAAATTAATAGCGCAAGTGGTTTAGTGGTAAAATCCAACGTTGCCATCGTTGGGCCCCCGGTTCGATTCCGGGCTTGCGCATATTTTTTAAAACCCCCATATCATTATCGTACAAAGTGATTTAAGTTTTATGAATAATATATTTATATATTTATTTAAAATAAGTTATCATCATAAAATTACGTTATTCTAATATTTAACATTATCGCCAAAGAAAAAACCCTTTAATCTTGGCTTTAATATCCTGTTGCATTAGAATCTCGTAAAGCAGCTGGATTATTCAATGACTCTATCTTATGTTTTTATTGATTATGTATATGTATATTTCATATTAGAATTACTTTCCCGTCCAATAATAAATTTTTTATGACACTATACCTCATGACATAAATACTACCGATAAATAATTCTACATCTTCTTCTAATTCTGGTATAATAACTTCATAAAAATATTTACCATTTGAACCGTTTCTTAACAAGGGATCATTATTAAAAGATTTATCTGTAGGTCCTGTTACTTTTATAAATACAAATTTATTCCAATCTGGTTCATCAATCATGGAAATTGTTCCTGTCGTATCATTAATTGCTTGTAATTCTGGTGGTAAATGTTTTAAAGTTGTCTCATTAAACAATTTCAAAATCATTTCTGAATGTCGTTGATAATATACCATTTCATCCTTAGACAATATATGTTCCAAAGGCATCAGTGAATCATTATCTTGGTCGTCGTGGTCTTCTTCTCTTTGTTCATTTATTTGTCTTAAATAAAGACTAAATTTATCAATTTTCGATAATCTACAACGAATGTAACTTCTAATTACAAATTTTATTCTTTCTAATTCTGCTTCCATACATAGTAAAGGTAGCATATTATTATTATTAACCGGTTTATTCGTTGTGGTGGTGGTGGTGGTAGAGGATTGACCCATAAAATCCATTGAGATAATTTCCAATCTTTCTAATTGATCTTGAATTCTCATAATCATCCTAGTCATCAAATGATGAGGGTAAGGTAATAATTCAGGAGCACAACGTTCATTTCTCCAAAGCGTTATGAAACTTGAATAATCGTGTTCTGCGGAGATTGAAGGTGACGTATTTGATCGTATGTGATTTAATTTATCAGAGGGTGTCGCATGTTTACCGTCTGCTATAGGAAATGAAGATGAAGTGTTATTATATAGAGTGGATGCGTTAGTACTAATACCGTCACTTAAGGGATTACCTGAATAGTCTACCGCAGTAGAGTCTGTATTCAATTCTGCTAAAATATCTTCAATATCCACGTCCATAATGCAAAAAACAAAAAACTTCCCTTTTTGGTGTGTGTTTTTAATTGATTGATTAAAGAATATAAAGTAATTATGAAAGTGTCTGATAGCTTATATAGATGAAACTTTCAGTATTCAATTTCTTACAGTTTCGAGTGAAAGAGTTACGGTCTATATATTTTACGCGATAGAAATGGTATAATGTATATAAAAATTTTACGCGTCTAACAATTTTGTATGGCAAACAGTACCAAATACCAAATACCAAATGCCATATAGGCATACTGTGACGAGACAGGGACAGGCATTTGGTATCTGTCTACTTTCATTAGATCACTTCACTTCACATATATACGTACATACATACATCCGCTACGAGAGAAACCGATTTCCGTTCCGTGCCACTTTCCATAACAACGTAATTACACAAATGCCAAACCCGTCAATCAATTTCTTGAAACCTCAAACAAAATCTCATTGACTAATTGCTTAATAATACAACTGCTGAACTCAATAAACTGTATTACACTTCCGCTTACATAGCAACCGACGATATATCCATTTCAGTTCACAGCCCACCTCTCCTTCCAGATGACTAAGCAACGGCAACGGCAACGACCGGGAAATTTATTTTTCAGCACTGAAAGACACGCAGCAGCGGACGGATAAGTGCTCGTAGATATTATTAATATTACATAACTCAGTTGGTATTCACTGGGGTGACACCCCGTTCGTATTCAGAAAGTGGTGATGGTGATGGTGATGATGATGGTGATGATGATCGTCATAAAGTTATTGGATTTTGCTGTTCTTCTTCCAGTAGTGGCATCCCTCTCTCCCTTCCCCTTCCCTGCCACCCCCAGCCTCTTCTGCGACGAGAAAGCAGAAAAACGAAAACTGAAAAGTTTCACTTCTTGCTGGGGGGAGAGAAGAGAGAAGCCAAACAATTTCAGCTCATTCGTTCGATTTGGTAATTATATATAAAGGGTCAGGTGGATTCGTATTATTGCTTTCGACGGTGTTTGCCACTCTTAGTACTCAGTCACAGACATATACACAGCCGTATATACATACATACATACATACATACATACACAAACAAACAAACAAACAAACTACTCTAACCCTACACAATGTCTTTTATGCCAATTGATCAAGCTATAGAACACTTTAAACAAAATAAATTCGTTATTGTAATGGACGATGAAAGTCGTGAAAATGAAGGGGATTTGATTTGTGCTGCTGAAAACGTTACTACAGAACATTTGGCATTCCTAGTACGTCATTCTTCAGGTTACGTTTGTACCCCTATGAGTAATAAATTTGCCGATAGGTTAGATTTACCTTTATTAAGAACTGGAATGAATTATGTTTCGAACGCAGACGATAGACATGGTACTGCTTACACTATTACTGTCGACGTTGCTGAAGGAACAACTACAGGGATTTCTGCTCATGATAGAGCTTTGACTTGCAAAACTTTGGCTAAACCAGATGCTAAACCTACAGATTTCTTGAAACCAGGTCATATTTGTCCTCTAAGAGCAGTTGATGGCGGTGTCTTAAATAGAAGAGGTCATACTGAAGCAGCCGTTGATTTATGTCAATTGAGTGGATTACAACCTGTCGGTGTCATTTGTGAGCTGGTTAACGATCGTGACGGTTCAATGATGAGATTAGATGATTGTAAAGAATTCGGTAAAAAATATGATGTTCCTTTAATTACAATTGATGCTCTGGCTGATTACATTAAAGCTCAAAAATAAATAAATAATTTAAAATTTTATTAACATAACGACTTGTATTATGATTGGAAAAAGAAAATAGGAAAACTCTCTACTTTTTTTAGAAATATTGTATATAGTTTTACATAATTATTAAAGTATCTTTGAAAGATGGATGTTTCTCAATAAAAATGTTTATTTTTTTGTCTGTCACTTATGAAGTTTTGTTTACTGAATCATATGTTTAATTATATATCAGAATAAGTACCAAACTTGTATTTTTTATTAATAAACGTTAAAAAAAAATCAAAACCAAAAATTTATAAAATGAAAATAATTTTAGGAAAAATACAGATATTACATTAATACTTTTAACATGAACTATTTTAACCATGCAATAGACATACTTTATATTGGAGTACCCATCATTACAATAAAAATCAATACTACACTGTCATACTTTTTGCTATTTTAAAGAACTGATTATTGATTTCATTTAGTGTTACATATTAAAAAGAAAGGAGTTTTTTCATAAAAAGAAAGGTATCACCCACCCCTTATACACAACAATAAACATATCTATATAAGCACTCATAGCCTGATGAACAGAATATTTGGTTACGGTAATAAGAAGAGCCATGAACAACTCATGAAGGAGTCTAACCAAGCAATGACTCAGGCTCAACAGGGGCTTCAATCAAAAATATCACAATTAGATACTCAAATCTCTCAAATAAATATACAACTACAAACTATTCAAAAAAGATTAAGTAACGTCCGTTCTCCAGCGGGACAGAAACCTTTGAGAGCACAAGCATTGAAATTATTAAATAAAAGAAAGAAATTAGAACAAATGAGGGAATCCTTAGATAATCAAGATTGGTCAATGACTCAATCTAAAATGATGAGTGATACATTAGCAAATACAATGGTTAGCGTAAACGCTTTGAAACAAAGCAATAAGGCATTGAAATCCCAATATGGTAAGATCGACATAGATAAATTAGAAGACATGCAAGATGAAATGGTAGATTTAATTGAAAAGGGTGAAGAATTACAAAATGCTTTAAATATGAATACAAATTCTTTAGACGTTGACGATATAGATGAGGACGAATTAGACGCTGAATTAGACGCACTAGCAGAGGATGACCTAATGGGATTCAATACAGAAGGGAATGATCTGTTGGATACAGGTGCAACGGCGGATGGTGTCCCATCATATTTAAGTAGCGCCATCCCTCAATTCATCGATGAAGAACCATCCAGTTCCTTAACTAATGACAAAGAACTTGAACACGCCTAATTAAAGGTAAGACTGACGCAGAGTTATAATGATATGCCATATGAACTTCCTTCTAGTGTTCATTCTTATACTTCCAAATTATGGGGTTCTAAGTTCTTTACGTCTATAATACATATATAAGAATAAATTATATAAAAATCGGAAAACTAAAAAAAATAACAACAACAAGAAGCGAAGCGTCAAGAAAACGTAACCGCCAAATTACAATTGTAACGCTAATCCAAGAGCTTTGATTAAAAGAACATACATACCAACACAATACGTATTACATTTATAGTATATATTTATACATCAACAGGGAGTGGAAAGAACACTTCATAAAACTACAACACTACCCCACATAGCAATGTCTGAACTGGTTTCGCTATCTAGCTCGGATTCCGAGGCGAGTGAACCTGAGTACCTTATGAATACCAGGGAAAGAAGATCAAATGCTGGGAATAAAATGAAAGCATTGTTGGAACAAGAACTAGATGAAATGCAAAAGAGAACGGAACACTTTGATCAGGATGAATTAGATTTACTTTTCAAAGAAGATGAGGATGATGAAGATTTTGATGCACAACCCACTTCTCATAGGAAATCCAAATCAGTGGATGAATCAGAAACGGAGGCAAACCAAGATGAAGATATGGTATTTAGTAGTGATTCTGATAATAACAATGAGATAGTAGAGGAGTCTGATGAAGAAGCTGCAATTCTTAGAGAGGAAAAATTACAACAAAGAAAGAGACAAAAAAGAAAACGTACTACCAATATAATAAAAAAAAAGAGCATTGTAAAGGATGATACTACATCCAAACAACCTGTAAAACGGAGAAGACATGATTCTGTTCAATTGAACCCTGAAAGTCTATTACAAGCGGAGAGACGTACCTCTAAGAGATCATCTGTTGTGGCTAACAAACTGAAAGTTTATGAAAACTTGTCACACGCAGAAGAAAAACGTAAAATTATTCAAGAAAGATTAAGAAAGACAAGAGAGAAGGCTATTGAACATATACTTACTCAAGAAGATAGAATGAGAGTTGCTCTAGAAACTGAGAAATTTAATTTATTAAGTTTAAACAAATATAAAGAATTGGAATTATCAAAAAAAAAATCAAGATTAGCATTACAACAAAGACAGAAACTTAAATTCAAACCCCAAGAAATTGTAGAAACATTGCTTTCTACTGCTTGGAATGTCTCTCCAGCTGTAGAAATTGAAGATGAAAGATATTGGTCTGAAGAACTAAAGAAAAGAGAAAAAAAGAAGAGAAAATATGTAAGAAAAGCTAAAAAGAAAGATACAGAGGATAGTATTGATGTAAAAAATACAAACCAATCAAATACAGCCAATCATGACGAGTATGAAGAGGTTAAACTGGGGCTTCCCTTAAAAAGTGACGGTATCGATGAAAACAATACAAAAACCCATGATAGAAATGTGAAACTGGATTCAGAAGGTTTGCATATTAACCCTGATGACACTAAAAATATTCATGAATCTAAGGAGATCCCCTTGGTGAAAACTTCCAGTACAGAGATGCCAAAAAAATCTCGTCACTCTTCGACGCAAGATAAAAATATAACTGGAACACATGAAATTACAAATCTGGCAACGTCTTTGGAGGGAGATTCAGAGGATACAACTCCACCGAACAAAAGTTCCACCACATTTGGTCTAAACCTTGACGTTAAAAGTAATCCTCCGGAACTAACAAATCATGAGAATAGAAAGAAGCGGGTAAGTTTCGATACGAAACCAAGTATTGCGATCATCGGGACTGATACGAACCTTTCGCCGTCTACAAATGAGATGCAACTCTCACCAGGTTCACCTACATCATCAAAAGAGGGTTCACCACAATCAATAACCTCTACAGAAGCTGACGATATGGAAAAACTTAAACTGATTTACGAAGGCCCAGTTCAACAGGTATCAAAAAATTTTATTACTCAATTCTCAATAACTCCAAATCTAACATTTTCAACTGAATTTGATAGCCCTAACTTTTTTGATTATTTAAACCCTGATAGGAATCATCACTCGTCAGACGCATTCAAACCATTAGTTCAGTCAAGAATATCAGATGCTGACTTATTATTTGAAGCAGACGGCATAGAAAAAGAGGAAATTGAACTTGTTCCTAATCTAGATATATTGACCACATTTCGTATGTTTGGTGAATTCGATAGAAAATTTGAGAAAGTTCTGAAGACCACTGAAGTTAAAAATGAAGACTTAAAAATTTCTACACCTGCACCTATGGGTATATATACCAGTAATAATAATGTCAAAAAGTCATGTCTCATTAATAACAGAAGCTGTAAATATTTTGATCCTAACTTGGGGGTTCCGTATTCTGATTTAACGAGTTATAAAATTATTCAGGATCTTCAAAATAGCGGAGATACGAGGGAGTATCAATGGTTTGGTTTTAAAAATGGAGGGATATACATTAAAGTTAAAGAAAGACATGCAAAGGGTGTTCCTGAGGGATTCTAGCGCAGAAAACAATATGCATGTCGCCTAGTATTTATACGTATATAGATGTGTATTACAGACAATCAAAAGATAAACTTACGAATTAATTATTTAAGTTTTATTAAATGCCTCTACTAATGTCTTGTAGTGAAATGCTGTGTCTTTGAGAATAGGGTTATCATTTTCCATCTGGCCAATTTCATTTGCTTCCAATAACAATAGATTTTGCTGTTCTAACATATTGTAAAGGTGCATATAATTAATTGAAAGAAATTTTTCTGGAGAATCTAACGTTTTACTGAATTTTGTCATCACCATCTCAAATACGTTTCTTATCCTTATTATGGAATTATATAATGGCTCTGATGTATCGTCCACAGCTTGATCATCAGTATTCATATTTATAGTGGAGTCATTACCTTCAATGGTAGATAAACTCTCATGACTCGAATTAGCATTATCAGGTACCGCAGATGTTGTGAGTATCAATAAACTTTTAAGAAAATAAGCGAAACTAATTGTCAAATCATTTGGCGATGAATACACCGTCTCCTTTTTTAATATAAGTTGACTAACATCAATTGAATTCAACGACTCAGCTTGCCAATCAATTAATTGTTGGAATTTTGGCCACAGTGACATCAATTGATCTTCCATGTAATCTTCAATTGCTCCAATTGACCTCTTCCTACTCTCAATGATAAGCTGATTTGCGACCCTAATACTAATCAGTACACCAAATATGTCATAAACATACTGAGTAATCAATACATTTTCTGTATAAACCATAGCTTCATCAAAAGTTGGTTTAAATATCTGTTCCAATAAACCATGAATTTCTGCGACATTAGTGGAAATTTGAAAGAAGCTCTTCATAAAATTAAATTCGACAGTGAAATTATCCAGGATAGCTAAGTTTAGGTTTTTAAAACCTATTTCAATATAATTTACGTTATTGTTATGTTCAGCTATCTGCGATACCATTACTGTATTATCTTCTTGTGTCAAAATTGTCAACCTTTTTAAGATTTGGAAATATTCATTTATCATATCATTTGTAACAGTAGTTGTAAAACTAGATCCAAGATAATTACCGAAAAGTGTTGAAGCGAAACTACCTCCACCGTTGGCATTGTTGCTGTTGACCAATATATTCCCTAAGGAATACTGAGTGTCAACATTCTTAAATTGCAAAATAGTTAAAGATCTAATATAACGGCTAAAATACTCCTTATAGTACCATTTCATTGTGTATGCATATGCTTGGCGAATTTCTAGAGCTAAAGAATAGTTATTTTCAATAATAAATGAGTATATCTGCCTCACATGCAACATTTGTTGTTGTACTCTCTGGGATGGGATCGGACGTCCACTTCTAAGAATTTTAATTCTTGATATTATAAATTTCTTTGATCTCTCGAGAATGATCGTTTTCAATATTTCTAGTAATTGACATAGGTTATCGAAGTCCTTAGGCAAAATAATCATGCCACTTTGGGTGTTATTGTTTGATTCGGAATTGCTTCTTTCCTTCTTGTATTTTGAATATATTTCTTCTTTATCCTTGATGAATAATATATTATCCTGCCATGACGATGTTATCTTATCGTGTATTATGGATTTTATAATTTTTGGAGGTATTATTAAGTCATTCACTAATGGACTGATTTTTGAAAGTTTTCTAGAATTATTTTCTAATAAGTTCTTTAATTCTGCAGATTTATGTCTTATAAATCTTAATTCGGTAGTGAAGTCAGAGAGTTGTGAATTAAAATTCCTTAAGTATGTTTGGAGTTCGGGAATAATATTTTCAATAGATTCGTTGACTTGCTTTTCTTTATGTTGCGAAACAGTAAGATCCTTTGACAAGCTGACCCCATTGTTCAGCGATGGATGAGACTTCGTAAAATCATTGGTATTTTTAATAAAGGAAGTATATATGTCTTGTTCGATTTCAGAAACCTCTACGCTAATATCTTCAACATTTTCGACATTTAGTAGCTTGTTCAGAACATCCATACCGAAGGTTATCTATAACGTTAAAAACCACTAATAATTGCACCGTTATACTTTAGCAAAATATACCAAATAATGATCAAACTAGAAACAGATTCTATAATATTTAATTGGATAAATCACCACAAATGTAATTCAATTGCATTGAATTATTTTCTTTTCTCTTGGATGAGAATAGATAAGAAGATGTCCATTATTATCAACTTTAACTTTATAACTGTAAACACTTGACACACCCATACACCCAGAACTAAACAATTAAAATAAAAAGAAAGGTCGTACCCGGATTCGAACCGGGGTTGGTCGGATCAAAACCGACAGTGATAACCACTACACTATACAACCTAATAATGTATAATTGTCAATGACTGACATATTATTTTGAGAAAAACCAATTTCAACCTGTTCTGAAACCACTAATGCCTGAGACAATATTATTGACAAAAAATATATGAAATCAAGAGAGCTAGAATATCCCAAGAAGCATGCAAGATTACCTAATATGTGTTAAATATAGCAACAGCCCTAAAAAGGCCAACATTAGTTTAGAGAACCTGAGATAGAGTGTTTGCCTTTATTAGTCTCTGCAAACTTTGATTGTTTCAATTCGGACATTTTATAATACGATAATCGATGGGTCTCTTTTATTATATATATATTTTACGTATTGTAGAATATTTGATATCTTTATATATTATATTAAGAGCTTCCTTTTATATCACTTTCTTTAAATATTTTATTTCCTCAATCACACCTTTCATCTCTGTTTAATTTGATTCTTATCAATGGTTGGCTCTTATATTGTTGACTGCTATCTATTGTTGACTGTTATCTATAATTGTGCTTAAAGGTATTTCTTTACCTATTGAAGTTAAGTGTGGTGTATATTACTCTTAATTTCTGACATAGATATATCAACGAATTTAACGAATGCAGTTATTTAACAAGACCGAAGACATTATTCAATCAGGTTGTCGATACACAATTTGTACAGTATTGCTATGGTAAACAAACAAGAGAGTCGAAGCATTAAAATATATTATTATATTAACTCAGTTAATGTAAACTAATATCTGAGCTGAAGCAGACATACTGTGGTTAGACTTATATTCGTTCATATTATATAGTGGCAGGTAGAGAGATATAGGTATTAGCTTGATAACGTGTGTTAAGAAAGCAAAGTGTATATGTTATACTTTTCTTTTATATTTGTAAGTGATTTTTTATATTATATATAATTTATAGAACGAACATAATCTAACTTAGAATGTAAGTTCAGAATTCTCTGTCTTTATATATTATGTATTTTTCTCGACAATCGGTTTCTCATATTATCTAATCATTACGTAATATTTGTTTCATACTATAACGCGTTTCGTAACACATTCGAGATATATTGATCCCACATAATTTCTGTCAATATCGACTTTTCTGTTCCAATTATTATATGCACCACTGAATTATCAAGTGATTCAACAAGACTGACTGTTGACCCTAATATCCCAAGTAACTAAATTAAACACACTAATCCATGATAGTTTTAGTTTTAATCGATCCTTAAAATTTGTAGTATGTCTACTTTCACCAATATATATTGTTTTTTCAGTCCATGGATTCCACTACATCGACAAGAAAAATAACCATACTATCTAAATCATATTTATTATTAAACATGAATCGTTGATATTACAACAGATAACCTATATAACATACCTCATTCAATATCTAAATCATGTTTTAATTTCAATACGTCTGTATCTATATAAATTTTTGCTGCTTACGATCTTACCAATGCCTGGAAAATCAGATTCGTGACAATAACTCCAAGTAATCCTAATAACGTTTCAATGACATCCTTAGATGAACCTATCTTATTTCAAATGACAGAGAAACCATTGCTAAATCTCCTCAACGCCTATTCTCAGCAAATTGCGAAATTAAAATCGGCAATCCGAAATCAACAGAGCGAAGTCACTCCAACTTTAAGGGTCATTGGGATCAAAACCATGATATAAGAAAAAGAGACTGTGACAAGGGGAACAGATGAGACGAAGATACAAATATATAAACTGAACTAAGTGACTGTTATAAATACTACGAGTTATATATCAAACACATATACAAACACTCATGACTTGGATGTCTGATCTTTCCGTTATTGAGTGGACGAAACCAATAATTAGTGAGCTCACGGGGACACTATCGATATCATGTTGGATTATCGTTTTCATTCCTCAGATATATGAAATATACAAGACAAAATCTACTAGAGGACTATCTTTACATTTTTTGGTACTATGGCTTATTGGTGATATATTTAACCTGTTAGGATCACTCATACAAGGGTTGTTATTAACTGTGATTCTATTAGCCGCATATTACACTTTGGCAGATTTAATATTAATATTACAATATCTTTGTTACAGGCAAAGAGAAGAACAAACAAATAATGTAGGTATAAGAAATTTATCTAGTAGCGAAAATTTAGTTGATATGGAGCCTATATTACTCTCACCAACAACGTCACATATTGATGAATTAGAACCACTACTATCCGATTGTGATCCTCACAAAAAGCACACTAAAAACAATTTGTTATATAATATATTTGCTGTAATTACCGTCCTTGGTGCAGGCTTTTTGTCATGGTACGTATCATTTATAAGAGAATCCCGTAATGGCATCGAGAAAAAACCAATCTCACAACCACCGCAATTGACCGTTAATATATGGGGTCAAATATTTGGGTATATCAGTGCAATACTATATTTAAGTTCACGTATCCCTCAAATTCATTTAAATTATAAGAGAAAGTCATGCATTGGAATATCATTATTATTTTTCCTTTTTGCCTGTCTAGGGAATATACTTTTCATTATATCATTATTAGTAGTTTCAATGGAGTACCAATATTTAATTATAAACTTTTCCTGGTTATTAGGGAGTTCAGGTACTTTATTAATGGATATGACAATATTCATTCAATTTTTCCTATATGATGATCATGATAGTCATTTAAGAAAACCAAACTCAGGTTATTCAAGTACATCACTTAACAAGAAATTGGGACCATCCTCTGAAGTATATGATGAGATTGATGATCTAGACGATTCAGTTGTATGACATCTCATATGTTTTAATATCCTCCATCCCATCCCCTTTTGCATTTAATGAATATTTATCTATACGTATATTTTCTATAATAATAATTTTAAATTTTAATACCTTAATTTTTTTTTCCACTCTTTTTTTTCTTTCATTTTCGAGGAATTGAAAAGCAGAACGACACAAAATCAAGAATTAGATAAATCAATATTTTTTTTCCTGAATTAAAATATATAAATTTATAATTGTACATATTTATGTAAAAAAACAAACATTACTTTATTTTCTTTTACTTTCTGTAGTTTACACATTTCTCTGTTTTTTTCCAATTACCAGGCCTAAGAGAATTGGAATAAGATCACCACAGTCTTTGGTTAATATGCATCAATTTAATAAACTTTCTGCATTGGATAGTCTCTTCGATGAAAATGACAACATTTCAAACTTAAAATTATCACCATCAACATCTTTACTTTCCAAAGAAAACAATCTTGGAGCCGACAATAACAAGCTGCATGTAGCTAATGGTTTAACCTCATATGTCAATAAGAAGAAAAAATTATCTTTTTTTAATTTTGATAGAAATGAAAAGAAAAAAGTTAAGGAAGATGTTATGAGAACTCTTACAAAGAGAAATACAGAGACCAAAAAGAAGTGGTTGGGTTTGATTGAACAAACCTCAATAAGAAAGGCATTAACAAATGGTAGCCATTCATCAAAGAAACACATCGATATTCCATATAGAACAAATTCAACCAGAGATTCATTTCGGCAATTTTTTGATAATTTCAAAGACACCTCAACAAAAAGTTCTTTAACTTCAAAGGGTACACATATTATGCCAATTGGTGCTAATACCCCAAATAATTTAGAGAATTTAGATGGTGACGAGACAACGGATAATACATTTAGAGATGCATTAGATTATAAATTGCAAGTTTCGCCACAATTAGCAAACATTAGAGATACGGAACATGGCTTATTCCATATCAATAATGAGCAATATATAAGTAGTACTGACAGTGAAGAAAGAAGAGTCGAAAACAGAGGTAAATTAGATTTAACTTTTGGAATGAGAAATAAAATCTCTGACCCAAAAGAAGACCCCCATTTTAACGATGCAAATAAAGCAGACAACGAAGATACAGAACAATTTCAAGAGTCTTTACTCAGAAGTTCTATAATCTCAAACTCTCCGTTAAAAAGTCAATTGATTGAGATGGATACCAGAGATCCATATAAGTTTGTTTTTGAGACTCCGAATAAATATTGTCCAGATTCTGATTTTATTGATAGAGAACAAATAATGAATAATTTAAAAGCGGTTTGGAGTTTATTATCAATCGAAAATGATAGAGAAAGTTGTACTTTAATTTCTGCAATTGATATCCAAGAATTAAGTGAGTTATTAATAAATTCAGCAATAACAAAACTAGATTATCAAGAGAAAAAAATTAACGATCTAAAGGCAGAAATCATTAAAAAAGAAAGTAAACAAAAAAATAAAGTCATTCCAGAAGAGACATTCAACGAATTAAAAGAAAGAATGTCTAAAGAAGAAGCCAAAACTCAAAGGTTAGAGCTTGAAAGACAACTAGACAAAAATAAAATAGATCAATTAACATCGAATTTGCGTAGGTTAAAACTTCAAGAACAAGCTAAAAGTGAAGCGATGAATCATATAACTGCTACAAGAAACCAAAAAACGAAACTAAATGAAGAAAAAATAAGAGAACTTAAGAAGCTTTTGAAAACTTTATCATTTTTCAAAGATATATCTATACAATTTATGAAGAATTTATCGCAAAGATCGAAGAATGTATTACCATATCAAACAAATAAAATATTTGACGATAAACTTGAATTAATGAATTACAATATTTCTTTTGACCACGAACTTGTAAATGATTTCCATCATGATAAAGATTTTGAAAAATCAAAGTCATTGATAAGTCAATTTTTTTCAGAAAATACAAATATACATTTGTCTAATGTACTTCTCGTTAGATACGGTCAATTATTTAGATCAAATAAGTTTTTAACCCAACAACTTGCAGAGTTCAGAAACCAAGCTCAGTTGAAATTCTTACCTCAGGGTTTAGTTGAGAATGATGAACTACAGGATCACAAACAGTTTAAAACCCAGAGGCGAAGCATCTCAACACTTCATGAACAAAATAATATCTTCGGAAACCAGCAGATTGTAGCAAGGTATTAAGAAGTGTGACTCCAGTTAACAAAATTAGCTATCAAATTAGACCAACAAGGAATGAAGAATCTGCCCTTTAGGTATATATTTTAAATAAATTCGAAAAAGTTATATAGAGAATAGATTGATTATTTAAATAGAAGTAAAGGATATTACTATCTCCGCCCGGAATTAATAACCAACCTTTCAATGAAGGTCTGAGCAGGCACTTCAGTCAATCATTTTTTTATCTCCGCCCGTAGTCAGTCTTTTTTTATCAAAAGGTCCGACAGGCAATGTGAAAAATAAGAGTTTGAGCTTATATAAGGGTGACATATTAAATTATTAACTACGACTTATACATTCAATCAATCTTAATTATTATTCAACTACCACGAAATCACATATTTTAAATACGAACAGTGCTTGAATTAAGTTTAAATTATGCTACATCCTGAATCCACAGAAATTTCCTTCAAATTAAACAACGGTGTTAGTGTACCGGCCTTAGGGTTAGGTACTGCATCCCCAGCCGACAGATTTGTTGATACCAAGGAGGCTGTTAAAGCTGCTATCAAAGCCGGTTATAGACATATTGATACAGCTTGGTGTTATGGTACAGAACCATACATAGGTGAGGCACTAAGGGAATTATTTCAGGAAGGAGAAATCAAGAGAAGTGACGTCTTTATCACTACTAAGGTTTGGCCTGTCTATTGGGACAAAGTGAGCCAATCGTTAGACGAGTCACTCGAAAGACTAGGAATTGATTATGTTGATATGTTTTTACATCATTGGCCTTTATGCTATGCCAAGGTCGAAGATTTGGTCAGTGGTATCAGTGATTTGTCCAGGAATCCAGTGGATGCTTTAGGTAAACCAATTTATGATCCAAAGGGTGATTGGTTACAAACATATAAGGATATGGAGAAAATATATTTAGATCCATCAGACCACAGAGTTAGATCCATCGGTGTTTCTAATTATCCAATCGAGTACCTTCAAATTGTGCTGGACCAATGCACTGTTAAGCCGGTGGTCAATCAAGTGGAAATGCATCCTCGTTTACCTCAATTGGAAATGAACAAGTTTTGTCATGACAATGATATTTTGCTAACCGCTTATTCACCATTGGGTTCCAATGGTGCTCCAAACCTCAAAATTCCATTAGTTCAGGAATTATCTAAGAAATATAACGTTTCTGCTAATGATATTTTGATATCTTACCATATTAGAAAAGGTAACATCGTTATTCCAAGATCACTGAACCCTCAAAGATTAGCTAATAATGTTGGCTTTGTTTGTTTAAATGAAGGTGATCTCCAAGCTTTGGATAACGTCGGTAAGATCAACCCTTACAGATACATAGATGAAGATTTTGCCGCTATTGTTCCTGGTTTTACTGGAAGAGATAAAGTTGTCGGTTAGATCAATTTTCGTTAGTATCCTATACAGTTTATCTATTTAATCGTCTATATATAACTTAACTTTTAAATAACGAATTTTAATGAGAAATATGAATGTATATCTAGATACATACAGTTGGAAGATTTTTTACATATTCATCTCTCCTAGAGTCTTATCAAAAGAGAAATTTCGATCGTAAAAAAATTCACTGTACGGGAAATGATTGAAAAACCCATCATCATTATCGAATAAACTCTCACGTAACTCTGGTCCATCCAGATCGGGTTGCACTGGAGAATCGATATCCCATTTGAATGGATGCATCGAAACTACATCATATAGATCCTTAAGGTTTGGTATAGGCTTCCTAGTTAAGTGGCTGCTGCTCAAGAGGTATTCATCAGATTCAAGGAGCTCTAAAAACTCTTTTGTAATATCTGTTAATATCTTATTAGAACCATTACGGATAGTACTAGTAATACATGATTTAAAGATAGACAATTCGTTCTCCTTGATTTTCTTCATTAACTCTGTTAATCTTCGAATTATTTCGTTATAATCTTCCGGATGAAAATTGTACGAACCCGCAAGACTATTCTTATTGTTGAAGGAAAGTATAGCCGATTTCATTAAAAATGCAAAAATAAATAAATCCGCCACAAATTTGACACTATCAGATACAAAGTCCTCTTCAATAAATCTGGACATATAGTTAAAAGTCTTTTAGAGACCCTTGATTACCAAAGCGTTCGCAATAAATTTATCTTTATCTCCTTGGTTATCTATAACATAGAGAATAAGTGTAAAAATTGCAGACATAACATACTCTCGAATTTCCAGATACCTGATAGATACATTAGAAAAATTACGAAAAATAATCAATATTTGTTCAGCTGAATCTAAATATTGGGTTTCAAATGCTATCATAAGCTTTTTAGTATCCTTCTTAGATCGCATACTTGCTTCAAAGTTATCACGAATCATAGAGAGAGCGAACTGTGCAACGGTCAAAGACAATGAATAGAAATGGAGATGCGATGTAAGTACCCTGGTGCAGAGACCCTCATATTCGTGATCAAGACCCTCATCCTTTTTCTTTAATTTCAATAAAATAAAATATTCCTCATAAGAATCTAATCTCATTGCTGGACTTAACGATTCTAACCAAATACGTAAACGATCATTTATATCTACCACTTCATCGAATTTCTCCTCAAACGAGACATTGTTTGTAGTATTCACATAAAAACACGCTTCATAAACAACTCCGTCCAGCTCAAAAAGATGAAACCCATGATAATTAAGGACAAATGGAATATATTCAGGATATGAGACCAAAATGTCAATGCGCTCTCTTGTATCGCTGCATTTCATTATTTTTTGCAAATCTGCCTCTGTTATGCTGCTTTTTTTACCATTTATCAAACTTGACGTTGAATGGAAAGAGATGATCTTATCGAATATAGCGGTATTCGCATTACTAGAACTAAAATCAAGATAGGTATTTTTCACTAGGAATGGCTTTGATAAATCGGAAGCCAGGGTTCTGTCTCTACAGATTAGATATGCCCAAATACCCATTTTAGTGATTGCCATGTTTGGAGCCATATTATGGTATGTTTCATCCCTATTCAACCCTAATGCTAGCGCTACACGTCTGGCTTGCTCTAATATCTCGTAAGCAATTTGACTATTTAACATTAGGTGACATAACTTTGATAATACCAAAAGGCCCTTAAGATATAATAAATCAGAAGATCCTTCAGTTGATATATTATAGAACAACATCAGATTACAAAACATCTGTGTTCCCACATTTTTAAGAACTTCAATATCCGGTAAAAACGTCCTATTTACCCCTTGAAATACGGCAAATTTTACACCACCAAATATGCAAATGCTCACAAAGAATCTTTCAGAGAAGCTTAATGTTGACGGTCCACTAACATAATATTTTTGGGAAAGTTGGAAAATTTCTATTGAAGAAATATGATCGATTAATGATGTGTGAATAACCGACTCGTAGAAACATCTTAATAATATATCAGTAGTGTCTCTATCCGGTAATGGATATATATTCATCCCATTATTTCTGTTTAAGAATGATGAAAAATTGACAATTCTTTTCTTTTGAATTGTATACCATTTTATTGAATGATCAAACATATCCTCCAAAGGTTTAATGTATTCTTCTGGTGTTTCCTCTGTCGGAGTTTCTCGTAGGATCCATTTCATTACCAGAGGTGTTATTAAGCTTTGAGTATATTTCCTTGGTACCATCCTGGTTACAAATTGATATTCGTTAAAAATTGTACCATCTGTTGCGACCAATTTATCTAACATTGGTTTCATATTTTTGGAAATATCTTCGGTTACTTTAACTTTTCTATCTATTTTCTTAATTCTGTTGTTCATTATTTTCATAAATTTTGTAATCTTGGGATCACTGGAGTTGGTCAACTCTGTAATTAGCAAAATATCATCTTCTATAATGTCATCATCATTAACTGAATTAGAGGCAACATTATTATCATTTTCTACAGCAGGAGTCAGTTCTTTCAAATGAGCATCTCTTTTCTTTCTTTCTAATTCTTCATGAAAGAAAAAAGTACATTCAAAATCATTTTTGAAACAATTATTACATTTTTGTGTGTCAGGATTAACAGGATCACATCTAATTTTCCTTTTTCTACAATAATCACAAGCTCTCGTTACTCTTCTTTTCGCTATGGGCTGTTGATGTTGTAATTGTTGTAATTGTTGTAATTGATGCTGCTGCTGTAACTGTTGGTGTTCTAACTGTTGTTGTAACTGCTGGTTTGGGTGCTGGTTTGGGTGCTGCTGTAATTGTTGTACAGGATACTGTACTTGCATCTGCATCCCTTGTAATTGTGGATTAGGACCATAAAGATTTGGCAGGTGCATATGATCAGGTGTCTCTTGTGAACGGAATAAATATGGATCATGTACCATTGTGGGTTCACTAGGTTGATATGGTTGATACTCTCGACCCATTGCACTTCTAACTGTAGAATTCATCATTGCCCCAGCAAATGATGTTGGATTCATTATATTGGTAGAATTATTAATTAATCTTCTTGGTAAATAGTAAGACGAAGACGAGGATGACGGTGTTGTTCCTATTATTGCCCCAGTGGATTGATTATTTTCTGGAGCATTTGGCTGATATATACCACTTGGATACATATTTCCTGGTTTAATAACATTTGGTGGTAAATTCGCGTGCATATTACCACCGACTCTAGTAGATATTGTTCCTATATTTATAATATCATTACTGATGCCATTATTATAGTTCAATTCAACATTCATATGAGAATTATGTCCTAGTTGACGAAGATCGTTACCATTGTTATTATTACTTTTGTAGTGACCTATATTATTATTTGATAAAGGATTGATCAAAATACCACTGTTATTAGTATTATCATTATTATCAATATTGATTCTATTATTATAATCCGAATCTCCTAATCTCATTATTACTATAATTGTTTAAAGTTAATAATCTTAAGTTCTGATTTATTCAAATATATAAAATATTTCGAACACATATAATCTGTCAATTGAAAAATGAAAAGAAATAACTACCTACCACTGGGAATTAATCATTAACCAAAAATAAAATAAAAAGAAGGGACAGTAGGTGGGTATGAAATAACAGCAACAGTGGTATCCTATATGTTTAATATATGTGTGTGTGCTTTCTGTAAATAAATAAAAAAACACTCTCGATATCTTCAGATCTTCCAAATAAAAAGTATCCGAAGTAAAATAAAGTGCAAAAACTTCTTTGTCGTTAATAGCAATCGATAAAGAATATACAATTCCAGTTCTAAATAATCTTTTACTCAACAAAACAAAATTATAGTAGACTATTTTCCCAATTAGGGAACTCCATTTATTGTATTGTCTTATATTACTTCTAAGTATCATTTCCAATATCGTCATTAGTCTTAACATTTCATTCCCCATATTTTTTCGCTGTTCGACAGAGAATATAACGCAAGAACTGCTGGCACCCGCACGATTTTTAAACAAGATCGTGGTTTATCGATGGGGCGAAAGAATGCACCCAGCAATATTATTACAATAAAGAGAGATAGAGAAGCTGGAATATAAGATTTTGATATTGATATGACGAGCTGTTCGTTAGGTTTCTTTCAGAATAATATGTTTCAAAACGGTGTCTCCAACTTTGGAAAGTCTGTTGCAGTGACAAGAATAGAAGAAAGGTGTATTTTAAAGTATGGGTATCACGGATTTCATTAAAGGTGATCGTCCTCTTGTCAGTAAAGCTGAGGCCGACCAAGTGAATGCTGTTGCGTTAGCTGAGATTCAGAAGGAAATCCAAGTGTGTAATAATGAGAAGGACGATGATGAGACAGGGTCTGAATGTTCGGGTGGTTGTGATAGTGAGGACATGGAGAAAGGTGAGGCTGTGTTCTCTAAATTACAGATCGACTATGATACTCCGCTATTGAATTCATCGAAGAGTCCCAAATTACATTTTATAGTTCCTACTTCCAAGATAGATTGGGCTCATGATGCATGCATGCAGGATGTGGATTCTATAGAGTATAAGATCAGTAAATGGTGTGAATCTCATATGGAACAATACGAGAAAATCGGTGAGGGGCAAACTTTGACTTGTAGTGTCACTTCTCAACCTATCAATATCATGGATATTGATGTGATGAGACATAAGAAAAATAACGTTCTAATCTTACCATATTTCATTTGGATCAATGATTTGAAGTCAGATCAAGTCGATAAAACGTTGGATAAATTGGTTCCTATAATATTAAACAAAGAATTAACTAAAAAACAAGTTATTGAAAGATTCCCAAATGTTTCTTTAGCTACAGACAAATCGTTTGTGTTTATTTGTTCACATACTACAAGAGATAAAAGATGTGGTGTTACAGCTCCATATATGAAGAAAGTAATGGATAAACTGTTGCAAACTCATGGTCTTTATCGTGATAATTCGGATTTTAGACCGGATGGTTGTAGGGTATCCTTTATTAATCATGTCGGTGGCCATAAATTTGCTGGGAATGTACAAATTTACTTGAGAGACACTCAGACTTTAATATGGTTGGGTCGTGTTACTCCAAAATTCTTACCTACAATCTTTGAACATTTGATATTACCTGAGAATCCAACTTTACCATTACCTGAAAAAGTTAGGTGTGTTAGAAAATATGAGAAATGGTAGCATGCTCATCGAATATAAGCAACACATTTTGTTGACGTTGTTGACTCTATAGATTTATAAACATATAAATGTATAAATACATAATATTCAAGTTCGTATATCTGTATATCCACTGTTCCAATAGAGATTGATCGGGATACTGTGTCTTTCTGCCTGTCACTTAGAATAAGAAATGATGAGTTCTTTTTTGCCAAAGCGATGATTGAATGGCACATTTTTCAACTTTCACGAAAAAACAAATCTAAATTTAATCATCGAATAGGAATTTGTTCTATTGAGGCAGGGGTGATGAGATGTAATATTATCGAGGTAAAGCGATCATACCGTTTTGGAAGAAAAGTGTATATATATGTATTTCTTTGTAAGTTCGTTTCTTTCATAATAAACTAGTTCAGCAGTTGTTTTCAGAGGCAACAACTGCAATATCGGTATATCATACTCAAGAGAAGCATGTCTAACAGTGAAGACGTCTCTTCAAACGATTACAATTCATCTGATGATTTAGACTCGAGCTCTGACGAGGAAATTGTTTTACATAAACCTATATTCTTAAAACGTAAAGGAAAGGATATCAAACTAGACGATTCTAGAAAGGATTCAAAATTAGTTAAAGTTCAAAAACTTGATAATTCTCAAGATCAATTAATGAACAGAATTCATTTTGAAAATGATCAAGCAAATAAAAGAGATGAACTTAATTCACAAATCACCAATGATTATACTACGGACAAAGATATACTTCGTCGTACAATGCTACTAAATGATGATGATACAATTGATCCAGAATACGAAAGACAAGAATGGTTGAAAAGAGAAAAAATGAGAGAAAACCGTCATAGAGATAAACTTGTGAAAAAACAATTAGAGTTCGAGAATAAAGAAGCAAATAAATTAAAATCGAATGAAAAAGGTAACAAGGATCTAGAATCCCAAAGTACTGACTTGAATATCACAAAATCAGACCTTCTTTCAAAAACTGTGAAGAAATCAGATCTGGATCTCTCAAAAAAGTACAAACCCCAAGTTGCTCGAGACCAAAACTTTGGAACATCTAATGGATTAAATGAAGATTCAAAGACTGAGAACGAATATTCTATATTATAAACCTAATAATGATTTCGAACAGTTTCGTATCTCCGTAATCATACTTTCATTATAAATTTCGTAGTTTGTTTGTTTTTTCTCGCTGAGGGAAGAAACTCTTTGTGTTCCAAGAGGACAAATCACTGAACTATTTATATTTTTCTAAACCAGATCCATTGAAGGACATTCTGATAACAATGATGACACGCCAGAAGACTAACGTCGAGTTTAAGTTTTTACAATGTCTTTAGATCCTATCAGGCAAGATTTGATCCCCTTCCTCGCATCTTATTTGCCCCCTGAACAACACAATATTGAGAATAAGCCATTCGTTACACTAACATACGCACAATCTATCGATGCGCGTATATCACTGGGACCTGGAATCCGAACCAGTATATCTGATGTAGAGACAAAAGTAATGACACATTATCTACGATACCATCACGATGGTATTCTAATTGGCTCTGGAACAGTACTTGCGGATGATCCTGGTCTAAACTGTAAATGGCATCCAGATGTTGCGGAGTCTAAATTATCTGAATATTCACCAAGACCTATAATATTGGATCCTTCTCAGAAATGGAGATTTATTGGCTCAAAGATGTATGATTTATTTAAAAATGGTGAAGGTAAATCGCCAATCATTGTCGTTAGTGAGAAACCCCAAGTAGAAGAAGAATATATCGACTATTTAATAATAGACGGCCACCAAGGGAGAATTGATTGGAAAACATTGGTTGATAGACTCTCTAATGAATTTGGGATTAAATCAATTATGGTTGAAGGTGGTGCATTTGTTATTAATGAGTTATTACTTCGAGATGATATTGTCGATTCCTTGATCGTTACTGTTGGATCTACATATTTAGGCGAAGATGGTGTACAAGTAAGTCCCAAGAAAGCAATTTCATTAATCGATGCCGATTGGTGGAAGGGTAAAAAGGATTCAATTATGGCAGCAAGATTAGTGCCAAGAACTAATTGAAGTTATATAAATTAGTTTCAATCCTTTTTCATCTAGTTTTGACTATATGGAAAATGGAAAAAAAAATATAATCGAAATGTAATACAAAAAAAGTTAATTTAATGATTCTAATGATAATAATATACTAATAATATATGCCTACATACAAATTCTGTAACTTGCGTAACGACCGGATGTTTCACTCTTTCTGATAATCTTGACGACTTCACCTCTCTTTAGACCCAAATATAATGCTACTGGATCAGCCCTTTGAATTCTTGGTAGTTGAGATTCCTTTAATCTATATCTCTTCAATAATTCAACCTTTTCTTCCTCGCTTAATCTGATGTGTTTTGGAACCAATTCGTGGTGTGTAATATTAACAATCAAAGAATCTTCGTTGAAAGTTTCAATTGTAGCTGGTGGTATAGATGGAACCAACTTCATAGCACTTGGAGTGATGTTGTTTTGGTAAACAAAGATACCTGTTTGGTAGTTCTTTTCTTGAATATGTATGACAAAAGTCTTCATGGTCTTGACACCAACACCAACCTCATCACAGAACTCCACCCACATAGTACCCATTTCTGGGAACTTTGCAATGGTTTCCTCTATTGGGTTTGCTTGGAAGGACATCTTTTTACGTTCTGGTCTACCCATTGGGTTTGTATAATTAGCCTTGAAATCTTCTAGGGACAAATCAATTTCCTCTTGTGTGATGAAATAACCTCTATCTCTGACCATTTCCTTCACAGTTCTAAAGGTTCTCCATAACCTACTGATACTTCTTTCGTTTTCTTGATCCATTGTGTGTTGTGTATTTTTGTTGAAGTGAGGAACTATGCAATGCTTAGATTATGACCCTTTCTTTTGACTAGTACAAGGAAGAGTGTCAAATAAGTGTTGTAAAAAATCTATAAAACTTTAGTAGTTCACTATTTGGAGCTTCTATATGGTTTTTAAAATAATGAAAACACTTTAATAAACGCAGTTAATTAGGATGGTGATGACCTTTCTAGAAATATTCTCTATGTAAGTTACCTGAAAAAAAAATTTGAAATTCAGGATGAAGAAGAAAAAAATCGAGAAAAATTTCAGGCAGTCGGAGAAGCACAATCTCATAACGTATAAAGTGATAATAATCACAGATTAGACTCCTACTCTCATTAAGTATATCATCTAATGTCGTTGAACGAAACGACGCTTTAATGGACGTGTAATTGATGTTATTGTATTTACATGTTACGAATGTATATATATTTTTCTTTTATGGTGATAAATTTACAAGGTGAGATCCTCGAGACGTGAAAAGAAATAGCTGTACGACTATCTCTTGACCCATGTTGGTGACTTTCTGGCTTTTAACTTACCTGGTTTCTTTCTCTCCACACGTCTGTAGTCTGTAGTTAGACAACCGGCTCTGTGTAATCTTGTCTTCAGCAATGGGTTGAAAGCGATCATTGCTTTACCGATTGCTAGGCCAGCGGCATCTGCTTGACCAGTTGGGCCACCTCCGGAAGTAGTTACAAAAACATTGTAATTTCTGATAGCATTTATGACTTGCAATGGGTACATCACAGCTTCTCTATCCTTTAATTTCACAAAATAGTCATTTAATTGTCTGTTATTAACCAAGACTTTCCCTTCACCCCTAACTACAAACACTTTTGCTGTAGCAGATTTTCTTCTACCTATACCAACACTTCTACCAAACTCGTCCAGCTTAGGGATTTTAACTTTGTCAAACTCAGCAGAGGAATGCTTGTAATAACGAGCTAGTTCTGCTTTGATGTCATCATTTATTAATTGTGGATCGATATTATGCAATTTGTTCAATAGGAATACCAATTCAGTATATTGAGTTGGTTTCAAACGAGAACCACCACCAATGATGGTATAATCCTTGAAAGACATCCACAATGGACGACTTCCATTTTGTGATTGTAATAGGGTGTTAATATCAGCTCTTGCATTTGGATCTCCGTGAGTCTTCAATAGGGCACTTTGACTTGGTAACTTAATGTATTTACGTAATAAACTTTCCAAACGGTTAATGTTATTGTCATGCATTGGGTTTGCTGAATAAAACGTTTGTAATTTAGGTATGATTCTTAGTCGACCAGAAACTGCTTTCATGGAAGAGGATGTCTGTTGTAATTGATTACTACATCTGGAGAAGGACCTTACTCCGAGCAAACGATTCAGTAACATCTTCTTAGTTCGTAGTAGTATACTTATTGTATGATCAATAAGGCAACTCCAAGCTATCAAAAATGGGTATATCTAGGACGAAAGCTGTCTCTATTTTGTATACTCTTTTATTTATTGTTGAACTATAACAGAATGAGTTCTGTAGTTTCACTTTCTCTGTTAGTTCGCCCTTCGGGCGATTTCCAATTATACCGTTAAATATATATATATGTTTTTTTAATTCGTGGAACAAGACATTATTCAAACCGTAGAAGATTCGAATGGGAGCACCACCATTACATAACAATTCGTAAAACATACATAAATATATAAAGAAACAAAAGATTGTAATAAAAAAACAACACAATGTGAATAAAATCATTATAGAATTCGTTAACGAGTTTAATGTTTAAAAGCGTATATAAGTTTATTATCACCAAAATAGCGAGTGATTTAAATAAGAAAAGATAAAAAGGATGTAAAGTTTATAATTCTTAAATAATCGCTTATTTGGAAGTGTCGACAACGTATCTACCGACGATTTGACCCTTCTCCATCTTTTCGAAAATTTCTGGTAGGTCAGATAGAGGAGCAATCTTGATTGGAGACTTGACTAGACCTCTGGCGAAGAAGTCTAGAGCTTCTCTGGTGTCAGCTCTGTTACCGACGTAAGAACCGACAATAGAGATGGATCTGACAACGTGATCGAAGACATCAGATCTACAGACGGCACCAGCTGGCATACCGACTAGAACGGAAGTACCGTTAGCTCTGACGTACTTGGTAGAAGCTTCAATAGCAGCTTCAGAGACGGAGACGTTGATAACACCGTGAGCACCACCGTTGGTAGCCTTGATGATGGTACCAATGATGTCCTTTTCCTTAGTGAAATCGACGAAGAATTCACCACCAATAGACTTGAATAGCTTTTCCTTTTCGTCACCACCGTCAATACCGACGACTCTGTAACCCATAGCCTTAGCGTATTGGACGGCTAGAGAACCTAGACCACCAGCAGCACCGGAAATGGCAACCCATTCACCGGCTCTTAGGTTAGCAGACTTTAGAGCCTTGTAGACGGTAACACCGGCACATAGAATTGGAGCGACTTCAGCCAAGTCAGTACCGACTGGGATCTTAGCGGCTTGAATGGCATCAGCGGTAGCGTATTGTTGGAAAGAACCATCGTGAGTGTAACCGGACAAGTCAGCTTCTGGACAGTTAGATTCGTTACCTTGTTCACAGTATTCACAGTTCATACAAGAACCGTTTAACCATTTAATACCGGCGTAGTCACCGATCTTCCATCCCTTAACGGATTCACCAATGGCAACAACGACACCGGCACCTTCGTGACCACCAACTAATGGTAGCTTAACTGGCAAAGGCCAGTCACCGTGCCAAGCGTGTAGATCGGTGTGACAGACACCGGAGTACTTAACGTTGATCAACAATTCGTTGGCCTTTGGAGTTGGGACTGGAATGTCCTTGTATTCTAGCTTACCTCTAGATTCGTAGAAGATAACACCCTTTTGAGTAGTTGGAATAGACATTTTTTTATTGTTGTAATATATGTGGATATATGTGTACGGTGAGTTGTGAATAAGAAAGAAAAGAAATAAAAATATTAATAGTTAAAAAGAAGTACAAAGAAACAAGAATAAAGTTAACTAAGGGAGAAAACAAAAATAATTGTGACAAGAAGTAGCATCGTTTGCATTGCTTATATATTAAATAATTTTAGTAATTTTTCCAATTTCCAACACAGCATCCAAAAAATTCGAAAATTCGAAAAATAATAAAATTAGTTAACTAAAGTTCCTTTGATATTCTGTGAAATTCTCTTGATTTGAAGTAGAAAAAGACCTACGAGATTAACGAAAGATAACCAGAAGAACATTACTTGATAAAGAAAATCGAGAATATATTTTAATTGAAGTTGTGCTTGATGGTGTGCTGTTTATTTCCAAAAACTAGAAATCTAGAAAGCAAACGAATTATCATCTATATCAACAACAATAGCAGTAATGGGAAGGTTTATTGCCAATACCATACCATACAAAAAACAACAACTAAGAAACTAACCTGATGCAAAACTGGTCTTTCGTTAACTTCACCCAAATTTTTCATACTGAGCAGTTGTCTATTGCCAGCTATTCTAACCATCACCAATATACAAACAGGCTCTATTGCATATTTTGCAGTGACTTGAGTGGTATGGTGCCAAAATAACAAATAAGCTTGGTTGAATACCAGCTGTTCACCGTCTGATATCAGCACCGTTTCTTTGAGGAAGGGGGGAATTTAGTGTCTGTAAATTAGGGGAGGGTGTGGGACGTGGGACGTGGGGGGATGCAGAGAGAAAATCGTCAAGAAAATGGCTGCCCGAGAGAGGAAGCCGACCAGGATCGCTAGAATTTTCTAGCGAAAAGGAAAATAGGAACCCCCTCCCGTCCTATCCAATTCTAACCCGTCTACTCGTCTCGTTGCGGGTAGTCCAGCCAGCAGGAAAAACAGAGCGGGTGCAGCGCGTTCTGTGTGGTCGCCGAGATAGAATTTGTGCATACCGGATTATTGTCTGGTTTTTGGTGGCTTGCGCAGTTCTAGCTCGTTGCGCGGAGAGACTCTGGAAATGAAACATATTATATAATAATAATAATAATAATAATAATAATAATAATAAGTTGAGCTAATTCAATAATACTGGTACAGGCGATTGAGAACAAACCCCGGTTTTGTTGTTGGAAAAGCATTTGCACCGTTTTCTTGCGTGGTACGAGAAAATTTTACTATTAAAATTAAGATATTCCAAATTAGGAACAATTCCCGCACATTGACCCGAGTGGGTATGCGGGTTTGGGCCCAGCTTCTTGTAATGTGGCTTACCATATTTTGTTCCGTTGCTGTTTTCTTGATCTCTTCTTGGGTGATTGGGTGTAGGTAGCCCAAGTTCTCATGAACAGCAAATTAGAATAAAAATGTTCTGGGAAACGAGGTCGTGTCGAGTGACGTGCTCTGTTAATAGAAGTCACGTGGAGATGATATTTTTTGCTTAGACCTAATTTACATCTCTTCAATAGAACTCTAGTTAATTGTCACGTAACAATAACGTTTATATACTATAATATTACACTTCAAGTATATTATATATTCGCATATATTAATACTAATAATCTATCTCAACAAATGCTCCCTTTTATACCCTATATATATATATATATATATATGTAAGTATACTTGAAGTGTAATGTTCTTCAATTCTCAATTATAACTATAATACACTGTAGATCTCAGTAAGTTACATATATAAACTGAACAAAATAATAAATAAAGGTCATAAAGACTCCGACCACTCTTACTAATCAGCCATAACCTTTATCACCCCGTCCTCACTAAATCCAATTTATGTGTAGGTAAACTTTCATCCATTTCAATGAATTGAACTGACAGACCCGCGACCGACGCCTTTGAAACCTTTTTCGCATACGTAATTATTCTATATTCCTAGAGTTTTTACCCATGGGTGCGGTGCAAGGGTGTATCTGAAAAATATACATGTATACTTGCAATGTTCGTAGAAAATGAGGGATGAGTTTGACTGAAAATTTTATTGAATAATATTTCGTCCTCTACAGTTGTTTTCGGGTGTTAGCCCCAAAGGTCACTGTAAGATTGCAAAACTATGAGGAATCAAACTAGTTTCAACTCTAGTGTTTAGACTATGGGTGTGAAGCGTTGGATGTTGTAGTAACTACTTTCTTTGAAAAAAAATTTGTAAAATTGATTTATAAAAACTGCTATTTATTATCTACTTTCTGATAATTTGTTGTTTGAATTACGATCTTCTTTCTTAGCTGATATAAAAAGAACATATCACAGTATTAAATAAATAAAAACATGGATTTGGAAACTGACGCCGAGAAGAACATCGAAATCTGGAAGATTAAGAAATTGATCCAATCTCTACAGAAGGCTAGAGGTAATGGTACCTCTATGATTTCTTTGGTATTACCACCAAAATCTCAAATTGCTATGACACAAAAGATGTTGACTGATGAATATGGTACTGCTTCTAATATTAAATCCAGAGTCAATAGATTATCTGTGTTATCTGCCATTACTTCCACTCAACAAAAATTGAAATTATACTCTAGATTACCAGAAAATGGGTTAGTTCTGTACTGTGGTGATATGATTACTGAAGATGGTAAAGAAAAGAAGGTTACCTTTGATATCGAACCTTATAAGCCAATCAATACCTCCTTGTATATGTGTGACAATAAGTTCCATACTGAAGTGTTGTCAGAATTACTGGAAGCAGATGATAAATTTGGTTTCATTGTCATGGATGGTCAAGGTACGCTGTTCGGTTTGTTATCTGGTAACAGTAGAACCGTCTTACATAAATTTACTGTTGATTTACCAAAGAAGCATGGTAGAGGTGGTCAATCCGCTTTACGTTTTGCCCGTTTAAGAGATGAAAAGAGACATAACTACGTGAGGAAAGTCGCTGAAGTGGCTGTTCAAAATTTCATTACTAATGATAAGGTTAACGTCAAAGGTTTAGTTCTTGCTGGTTCCGCCGATTTCAAGACCGATTTGAATAAATCCGAATTGTTCGATCCAAGATTAGCCGCTAAGGTCATTAAGATCGTCGATGTTTCCTATGGTGGTGAAAATGGTTTCAATCAAGCTATCGAATTATCTGCAGAAACTCTATCTAACGTTAAGTTCGTTCAAGAAAAGAAATTGTTAGACACTTACTTCGACGAAATTTCTCAAGATACTGGTAAGTTCTGTTACGGTGTTGATGATACTTTGAAAGCTCTGGATCTTGGTGCTGTTGAAATTTTGATTGTTTTTGAAAACTTAAATATTATCAGATACGTATACAGAGACGCTGAAGATAAAGAAATCATTAAATATATCAACCCAGAGACGAAAGATAAATCTTACGCCATTGATAAAGCCACTGGTAAAGAGATGGATGTTGTATCTGATCAATTATTAGTTGAATGGTTAGCTGAACATTACAAGGACTACGGTGCTACATTGGAATTTATCACTGATAAATCCTCTGAAGGTGCTCAATTCGTCACAGGTTTCGGTGGTATCGGTTCTTTGCTACGTTACAAGGTTAACTTCGAACAATTGGCTGATGAATCAGACGATGATGAGTACTATGACGATGATGGTGAATCTGATTACGACTTTATTTAATCGCATTTCTGACCATACTTATATATATAATGTAATATATTGTAGTTTTTCAACTTCCCCCCTTTTAGTCATTACTAGAATTCCTCAAAACAAAGTTCTGTCTTTTATTGTGTGCTCTTCATTGCTTTAAAAACAGGTATATAAATTAAATTAGATAAATTTTGAAAAAATGTGTTAATATTAGAAGTTTCCAGTATTTAACATGATTTATAGTAACATTCATCTTTTTGTTGTTGAAGTGTTTTGATAATATTCTCAAATAGTCAGTACAAAAAATTCTTAATGCGATAGTTGATATACAGTATAGTTTATTTGGTCAGCTATAGTGAATGGCAATCATGTTTTTGTATCAATAATTACGAAATTGTCCTTAAGAAAATTCGACATATTTTTTCTAGGATTTTTATTTTTAATATTTTGTTGAATATATTGAATTTATATATTTTTTTGAAATTGATGCGAAGTGAAGGACAAAAAATACCATTGCTCATGTAAACAAATTTCATAGCAGTGATATAGTCCGCCTCAAAGAAGTTAAATTATGAAACATATCATAGGATCCATATTTTCTTTAGTAGAAAAGTATACCCTGTATATAAATTTAATACATGTTAATAGAATGACTTATATAATTACTTTCTTCTCTTTTTATTTTTTAATAGTTCCAAAGCACCAACTTTTTCGTGACCAATAATATCATTATGTCCTCTTTTCTTAACCAAATGATCCGCCAAGTTTACTAGACCACCGGTCAAGTATTTTTGTCTTCTGTCTTTACGTAGTGGAATGGCTAACAATTCAGTCAATTTCATTCTATCGAATTTAGCTTGATCTTTACTGATAGTTTTATTCATTTTCTTAGTTTTATTTTTGGCCAAATATGTATCCTTGTTTTCATCATCTGAATCTACATCAATACCTAGCTCTTCAGCAGCCTTGGCTAACCAATTATCGTCTTTATGCAACGAATTAGATGCAATCTCATTAGCAGCTAATTCAGAAGCCAACGTACTACGGTCCTTCAACTGTGCAAGAATGTCTGATTCAATCGGTAGTTGTGGAATGGTTTTTTGCCATTTCATTTTCTTGCCTCTGCTCTTAACTCTAACATCATCTGACGCCAACATTTTTCTCAATCTTCTTAATGGCCCAACAGACTCTTGTGGGGAACATAATACAACAGCAACACCCTCATTAGATGCACGAGCAGTTCTACCAGATCTATGGATGTATACATCAGCTGTACGAGGTAAATGATAATGAATAACATGTTCAATCTGTGGAATATCTAAACCTCTTGCTGCAACATCACTTGCAATTAATACAGTAGCCTTATTAATCTTCGCATTAAAGTTGGCCTTTTCCTTAAATCTCTCCAAATTCTTTAAACGATTCTTTTGTGTCATTGAAGAATGGATTTGATATGTGTTTATCTTTAATTGGTTTAAAAATGCATTCAATTTCTTCACAGATTCAATAGCGTTACAAAAGACCAAAGTTGTACCTGGATACATTGTAATGAAATAATATACAAATAAGTCACGTTCTAGTGGAGCACACTCAATCAAAGCTTCTTTAATTTGTGAACTGATCCTCGATTCTGGATTGGTGTCGATAATAATTGGTTTGGATTTAAAATGTATCTTTGTCATCAAATGTTTCAAGACTAATTGTAATTCATCTTCTTTTTCATTTTTCTTGTTCTTGTAATGATTTGTTGAACCTAATTTATTAAACAAATCAATAGAAAATGTGGCAGAAAAGATCATTGTTTGCCAAAATTGAGATTTATTACTCTTCTTACGGTAAGATCTCAATAATTTAATAATTTTTTCAAATTCATCAAAATGACCATCCTGTAGTAATCTATCAGCTTCATCAAGAACCAAAGTATCGATTTTAGAAAATCTTTCTAGTAAGGGCGTATTTTTTTCTAACAATTCCAAAAATCTACCCGGTGTTGCAATGATAATCTTACCACTACCGTCATACTTTAACAATCTTTCTTGCTTTTGAATGGATAAACCACCAGTTAGGGACAAAATAGAATACTTGTTATGGTCGTTCAAAATCAGTTCTGTAATTTTTTGTAAATGTTGAGAGACCTGTTGGGCCAATTCCCTTGTTGGGGTAAAAATAAGGCCAATCGGATCATTGTTCTTTGTTCTTTGTGATTGAACCAACTTTTCCAGGATTGGAATACCATATGCTAATGTCTTACCAGAACCGGTGGAGGCTTTACCCATTATATCATGGCCTTCTAAACCTAATGGGATAGTCTTTGCTTGAATTTCAGTTGGTTTCACAAATCCCAATTTTGACAGACCTTGTAAAACAGTCATAGACAAATTTCCAACTTTCTCCCACTCAGGCATTTCAGAAGAAGAAACTACATTATCTAAATCTAGATCAGCGTTAAACACATTTGACTTCAATTCATCTTGTTCTTCCTTATCGTTATCATCTTCACTTCCAACTTTATTACCTAGAATAGCCTTTTCTTCTTCATCAAAATCTGATCCAAATTCATCATCGGATCCATCTGCTGTACTTAATTCACCTTCATTTATATCATCTAGATTCTTGAATGCTATTAAATCTTCTTCATTATATGGAACTTCGTCTTCGTCTTCAATTGTTTCCTCTGTATTCAGTTCAGCAGTTAACTTTTCAGTCTCATCGGAAGCCTCCTTTTTGATATGCTTATCTACAGTGAAAAACTGGGCCTGACCGTTTACAATTTTAACGTCAACACCATCTATTTCTTCTAAACCATAAAATCCACCAAAATCATCTAATGTGTCTGCGATTGGAACTGTCTTCCATTCCAATTCGTTTAATTTTACTTGAACTTTCTCCTTACCGTTGGCTGACATTGTTACTCTCGTGGTTATATTCTTCTTATAGTTAATTAAAAGAGAGACTAAATAAATCAAGTCTAATTTAAGAGATATCTTTTATTTTTATTTACCTTAACCACATACACATAAATACTACCTCATCTCATCTCAAATTTTTTTATTAAATTTTTGAAATTTTTCAAAATTTTTCACTATTCGATTTGACGATAAGAAAATGCGCAGGACAATATATCAATCACCTTAACGAAAATTGAAATATTTATCAAATGATGAAAGTTGATGAGCATCTCAAAGTATTTCAAACCAAACTACATTTTTTTTTATAGATTGGATTGTTAATGTGTCTTAATATCTATTAAAGCCAGAACTAAATCAAGTATGCTTCGTCGCGGGAAATCCATTACGGGGGCCAGAATTGGTCCCAATAAAACCAATCATAAGACCATTAAACCCTCCAAGACCAGAAAGATTATCCGTCGGTACCATTTCTTGAATCAATCAAAACAAAAACTTTTGAAATTGTTAAAATTAGAGGATACAAACAATCTGTTGTTTGATACGTTGAGGACCGGAAATGCTGATTTTCAACAAGGTTGTGATGTAAAGCGTGGTGATGAGGTCATAGAGAAACAACTTGTGAAAGTACATCAACATTCCGCTGAACAAAGTTTACTTTATAGAATGTTGGGGTATGTATATACCGAGCTGGCTGACGAGAAAGGTCTATCTAATTATCAGATGGCCAGTAGAATGGGCCAAGATGTGAAACGTGGTGGTGATTCTTCCAAGATTCTTATCCAATGGATGAAAGAATTGATGAATTCTCACGAACAAGACAGTTCACATGCGATGAACGCATTAGAGATTGGATCTCTCAGTAAAGATAATAAAATTAGTACTAGTGGGATCTTTAACCCGGTGGTAAGAATTGATCTAAATAACTCCAATGATAATGAAGGTATCATACGACAAGATTTCATGGAACGACCAATACCTAGGATCGAAGAAGATAAATTTGATCTTATCTCATGTTCATTGGTATTAAATTTTGTACCGACACCTGTAGAGAGAGGTCAAATGTGTCACAGATTCCAGTTGTTCTTAAAAAATGATGTCATATCATCTAATAAACGTGGTAGTTATGTATTTATCGTATTACCATTACCGTGTCTTTCCAATTCTCGATACATGAGTGAGAGTCGATTCCATGATATGATGAAATCGTTAGGGTATGAAAATATAAGGTATCAAGAGGCTAAGAAAGTATGTTATGCGTTATATCGAAGAGATCAACGCATGGAGAATATTGAGTCACAAACGCGGTTTATGAAGAAGAAACAATGTCGAGATGGTTCAAAGATGAACAATTTCAATATACTTTTAAGTAAATAACAGAAAGAAAAGTGTGTAAAAAAGACCCACAGTTCCTCTATATATTTAAATGAACAGTGTCTTGTGGCTTCAAAAGTCCGGTTTCTCACTCTTCCTTACATATATATAATATACTATAGTACAATATGATCTATAGTATTAAACAATTCAGAGTCAAAAAAAAAAAAATAATAATAAGAGGATAACCTCACCGGTATAATGGATGTATACCATATAATATTATATAACCTGTTGATTATGACGTGAAAGAACAATGCAACTACTACGTATAATCGTATTTTGTCGCTAACTATGCAGTAAATGATTACTCTTTAACTATATCTACAAGTTCTCTACCTAAAAGTATGAAACAGTAAAAACCAAAAAAGTTGCCTTTATACCGTTAATAAAAATATACAAATTGCTGGAATGATAAGAACACACAGATACCATCTGATGAAATGCAAATTACCATGGAAATGAGTTTTCTCGTTTTCAATGTGTGTGACCCCAAATAGGAACAAGATTACTGGTCTTCCTCTCTGTCTTCTCTCTCTGTATGCAATTTGACATACATTAACAAGAAATAGTTGCACCCAGGTAATACATACATATCTCTATAGTGGGGCAAAACAGGAATATATATCGTTCAAATAAAATATCGAGTCAACACCGTTAGCGTCTACGTTATGCAGTTTCTGTCTTATGTCCGGTTGCAACTACCTCTTAAATAAGGAAGTGTATACATGAAAAATTGTCATCATTATGCGTAAAAGTTAAAATAACTAGCGGAATATACACCCCCTGTTTACATAAATGGCTGTACAACCCCACTAAATATACAGATTTGTATGTAATTTGGCAGCGTTTTAGCTCGGTTTTCTCTTCCTTCTGTGTGGATGGGCCTTTTTTTGTCCGAGCCACAGAGACGGAGAGAGATGGGACGGAAGGGGACGGGAAGGGGAGAAAGCTACAGGACTTTTGTCTCCCTTGACGACATTTCTGAGATTATGCGGTTCTCAATAATAATAATAATAATAATAATAATAATAATAATAATAATAATCTTCACAATAAATAATTTGTAAGAACAATAGTGATTGATAATAATAGGCAAGTTTAAGCAGTTGTAACAGAACTACAATCTATAATTCTCTATAGATTAATAGTTATAGAAGACTAAAATATACTCTTTGCAATCTTCAGTTCTATTAATACACTAGATTTTATTTTTTTATTACTTCTCTTTGTTTTCGCAACTCAGATTAATAATATTAATATATATATATATTCAAGTATCACAAGGTTTTACCCTCTATAATTGGTTATACTTAAGGTTAACAACAAGAACATAACTGTTAAAAGTTCAAATAAGAAAAATATAGGGATACATTATCAAGTAATTATATTTTTTTTATTTTGAAATTAAAAGAGATTCACTACATTTTTATCATATAGGCATACACAAATACACTTCACGTAGTGATAAATAGACACTTAGGTCTCATACTTCCCTTATATATATATATTATTGTTTGTTCGTTAAAGAAAACAGTTTATAATAATGAGTAATGAAACACGATCTGCTAATCAGGATCGATTAGCTACACAAAGATCTACAGATATGATAGATAGAACAATGAGCAATGCAACATCAAACCATTTTATGACAAATACATTAGCCAGGCATCTTTTCTTTGATAGAATCTTTCCGTTATTACCAATTAAATCAAATACTTCATCATATCAAGAGGTTGAATTAAACGAATTTTTTTTATCATGTAGAGCCGTTATATTAAATGTTGCAATAGCCAGAGATATTAATTCAGTAATACATAACAATTTGGATTTAATTGAATTGATTGCACAAAATGAAAAATTGACAGAAAATAATAACATCAATGAAGATTCATTAAATTCATTATTAATTTTAGTAAGATTATTATCTGATACATTAGAATATTATTGGGAATCTTGCGGAAATTCAATCCCACCTATACTTAACGATCGTTCAGAAAATGCATTTGAAAAACAAAGAGCTTATTTTAAAAGTTTTGTAGTTGGGTTTTCAACACATAGAGCAAGTCTTCATTTGAAACGACCAACAAAATTAAGACCAGAGATCGCAGATAGATTAATTAAAATTTGTATTAAATTGAAATGTAATACAGGAACTTTAAAATTACTGAAAAATATGTCATCGAATTTACATGCCAGTAGAACAATTACAGTGGCTCATATTTTACCGGAATATCAAAAACTTATATCAGAATTAGAATCTCCAATACTACTAGAAAAGACAGATTTAACTATTGATTACATATTAAGATTTACCGCAGCATCCAATAGGGATCAATTTGATTCAATATTAAAGACTAAAATATTGGAACCATTGGCAATTAGACATTCTGTAACAGAATTAACAATTGTCGAATATTTAGAATTGTTTGGGTGCCTGTTTTTAACAAATAGAAATTTACCACACTATTTGAAATTGATTAGAAAGATTACATTCGTAATGAAAAGAACGGTATTTTATTCTTTATTATTATATTATTTCTCAAAATCTTTCATATTTTGGATAATGGCAAGACCAAAAGAATACATTTCACTTTATGAAAAATTATTGAAGATTGATGAAACAGATTCAAATGATCCAATAAGGGAAATTCCAACTCTAGTAAATACTCTCTTTGACGACGTACATTCAACATTTAACGTATCAAATATTCTCACTTCATCATCATCAAACCATCATCATCTAGACAAGAAAAATACTACTTTAACTACTACTACTACTTCCAATAGTAATAACAACAATAATAGCACCAATAAACCTACAAAAATACCACAATCACCTGCTCAATCCTTATCAATAAATGATCAGTTACATCTTTATACTCATCATCACACATTTTCATCTACAAATTCTACTACAACATCAGGACGAGAAGCTTCCACAGGATCTGAAAATAAACATAATATTTCATTAGGAAATTCAAATATCACTTCTACAACGAAACCAATTAAAACACATCCTTTATCTCAACCATCCATTAAAATTAATACAAAATATCCAAACCCTGCCATTGGACAACATCTGGAACATTTATCTAGTGGTGATATATCAAGGTCAGCATTATCCTCATCATCCTCCATATTCCCAAATCCTTACTCCGAAAGAGGTACCCCAAGTGGTAACGACCCAATGGATAGTAGTAACCTTAGCAGGAAATCAAGCAAGAATGGTGAATCGAAATTTGAAAGATTGACAAGAACAACTTCGAAAAACTCGACTTATAGAAATAGTAATTCTTTTGCCAAACAAAATACTATAAATGAAACAAGATTATCTATGGAAGACCCAATGAGAGGTAGCTTTATAGATGTTGAAAGTACAACTGATAGTGCTGATCTTGAAAATGAAATCGATAACAAGATTGAGTATGATTCTAAAATTAATGCTTATTATTTGGAAAATGTATTGGAATTATACTCTACATTTAATAATTCTGAACTGTCATCAAATATGGCTGTTTTGAGATTTTTGGTTATTTTAACTTTCTTAGATACTGAAAGTATCCCTGAAATGAATGGATTATCGTTTAGTGGTCTGGTGGAAGTTGATGATATTTCCTCAGAGAATGATGAAGATGAAGAGGATGAAGATCAACAAAAAGCAAGAGAAAAAAACACCAAGATTCTATTTGCAAATAGAAGAAGAACAATGTCAGGTTCAAGCGAAAAGGAAAGATTACAAAGTATTAAACATTTAGCGCAAGGTTTAAAGAAAATTACATCACTACCGACTTCTTCAAGAAAGAGCCGTCCAGGAAAATTCCTAATTCAATTATTAGCCATTGTAAATGGAGCCCAACAAGTCTCAAACATGGTTCTAATAGATGCCATTAGGTGTTTGCTTTCCTTTATGACTGTTTCATCATCCATATCGATATATGATCATGAATTACCTTGCATTATATTAACCAAAAGATTTTATAACCTATTAGGAAACAACTTGGATATCGGTAAAAATTGGAATTCCTCGACAAACAAACATATTACACATTGTAGGAATAAATATCCAATGATCTCAAGACGTTTGAAGCTAGAATTTTTTGCTGCAGCAGTTCAACTGAATCCTGTTGAATTTTTAGAACATTTACAACTAGAAGATGAGTTGAAACATTTAAGTTTGAAGAAGTTATGTATTTATACGGAAGGTTTTAGGGTCAGTTTACATCTATTGAACAAAGATGAATCAAGAAGGAAAAATGTTAGAGACCTTTCAAAATTTTTTCAATCTCTATTCTCGGTCACATCAGATATCTTACTGAAGGCTTATCCTTACTTTGACCCAAAGGTAACAAAAATCATTTTATCCGTACTTAATGGGGGTATACTGGATGTATTTGAAAGTAAAAGGCTCTCCTTACTCAAGTTAGAAAAAGGGGAAAGTACAACAAGAGAAGAATCTAGAAAAGAGGCTCATAACATGCAAACATCAGATGAACGTGGGAATTATTGGAATATTGGTGAACTTCTTCCAAGAATAAGCGACAATCCAACTGTCAATGAATTTTTATCATCCGAAAGTTCCTTGGATCATGCAGCTATTATACGAACCCAAAATGGTCTTAATATCCCAAGTGAAGAGAGTTTTCATATTTTAATGCCTAAGGCAGAGCATATATCTTCACATTCCAGAATATCTTCAGAAATTCAATTTTCTACTCCAAGTGTCGTTTCAGTTGACTCAAAACTTAACACTTCTACTCCTAGAAGAGATGAGATGGAAATTCCAAACACTGCACCAGTTACGGCTACTCCAGAATTAGATGCTACTTCTACACCGAACAGATCCGTAACAAGTACCCAATTAAATATAAGATCAGAATCTAATGGTGAAAAGTCCATGTTTTCTCCATTAATGAAAGCAACATTAAACCTTCAAAGATATCCCAGTAATAAACCAACCCCAACTTTTGAACCTTCAAATGGCAATAATGATATTACAGTATACAACAATGATGCTAGAAAAATTATGATGAATATTTTTAGCATTTTCAAAAGGGTTAGTAATTACTTTATTTCCCCTGTAGATGAAACCTTGGATGCTATATGGGACTCCGGTAATTTTAGAACTGTGATCAAACCTATTTTTGTCGCTATGTTGGATGCCAATATACTTTTACAAAATAGTGCAGAATCGTTTATGGATATATTAATTCTTTATATCTCTGATTATACAGATTTTACAGACTCTTCGTTATTTGGAAGACACTTTCTACTCTGTTCGTACACAATCACCCTATTTTCCATAGGTTTATCTGATATGTCACTTTCCAATAAGAAAAAGAAACTACTCTTAAATGTGGTTATTAAAGTTCTAGACGCAAGAGCCTGTTTGGTAAAGACAGCACGAAAGTTAAACCTTCTTGATCAAGTGGTTTTTATTGATGAAACTACTGCCCCGCTTCTTATTACCTCATTAGGCTCTGCCCTTATTATGTCTATGTCATGTAGTGAAGAGAAAATTCCCAAATTGCTAAAAATTGGATTCAGAGAATTAGACCATATAATGTCTTTCTATGAAGAAAATTTAGGTCCTATTGATAAAACATGCATATTTAATACCAAATTTATTAAAGAAACAGCTGCCTCTAACTATGCTTCTGCAGGTTCGGTTGCATTCCTAAGAAAATTAAAAAATAATATTGTCAAATATGTGACTCACCCAGATATTTTAGTCTTAGAGTCATTTAATGGAATATATGACAGATGGTACTATTACTCGGTATCACGATATCTTGACCAACAAGAATTAAGTGATTTCAGAAGCTTAGCTGGTATAATTGCATCTCTATCGGGTGTCTTATTTACTATAGGTGATGATGAAGATGTAGGTTTCAAGGAATTTAGTTATTTAACAGACGTTAAGGAAATTCTTATTGATAAATTGAGGTATTTTATTGGAAAGCAATGTGAATGGTTGAATTATCCAGATCTCCTAACTCGCGAAAATTCGAGAGATATTATTAGTGTTGAACTTCACCCGTTAGCTTACAGTCTTCTTTTCGATGATCTTAGTATGAAAATTAGTGATTTAAAAAATACTCAATTTGATGAAAATACTGATAATTTGACTTACATTCTATTGGAGCAAATAATTATTATTATGAGAACCATTTTGAAAAGAGATGACGAAGATAGAAGGCTTTTACTATTTTCTAACGGTATTGTTGATACAATTCAAGATTTGATCCATATAATAGAAAAAATGCCTCATGAATCTGTATTGTATTTCAAAGCTATTATCCAAATCTCAAAAATGTTTATATCTATCGAATTTTCAGAAGATAGCTTAGCAATCAAAAATCACTTCCTGTTAAAGAACAAGTGGATTAACGTTGTAATTAACTGGTTTAAATTTACAATAACGAAGAACTATGATCTTCAGAACCTCGCAAAACCTCATCGCGAAATGGACCTAGAGAAGCGTGATTTAGATTTCTTATATATTGATACATCTATTGAATCGGCCAAAGCCTTAGCATATCTAACCAAAGGTATACCTCTAAATACAAATTATTCCAATACTTCTGGTGAATTTGGTAGGTCTGAATTAGTTACTTTTGGAAATTATTTTACAATACTATTGAAAGGTTTAGAAAGAAGTACAAACTCCGAGAGATTTCCAGTTTCATTGAAACATAAAATAAATATACTAAATGAGAATATTATTGTCTCTTTAACGAACCTTTCGAACTCAAATGTGGATGCAAGTTTGAACTATAGTTTACCTATGGGATATTCGGATAATAAAAATATTAGAATAGCCTTCTTGAAGGTTTTTATTGAGATCGTAACAAATTATCCATTATTGAAAAGTAACGACGACACTAAGAAAATAATTATAATGGACAAATTATTACTCCACTTAATGAAATATCCTCGCCTAACATACAAAGGAAGTATTGTATGCGCTTCAAATGACACTGATGAATATGCGGCAGGTTTGATAAGAGCTTTTGAGACAAGGAATGCCTCCCATATCGTTATTGATGAACTAATTATGGATGAAATCGCTGATGCAGGACGATATGCCGATGTCCTAAGAAGAAATAGTTGTGCTACTCGAGCTCTGTCCATCTATGCAAAGTCCAGAGGTGGTGACTATTTGATCAAAACATTAAGGGAGCCATTACTTGAATTAGACCAGAAAATGGGATGGTTCGAAATTGAAAAGCTTACAACTGGATCTGAAAATATAAATACACAGGTAAGCCTTTTCCTGAACTACCTGGTAATAATTGTTGACAAAATATCATCTTCCATTGACTACTTTCCAAAGGAGTTAATCCACATTTGTCAAACAATATATAAATCCGTAAAGGCCAAATTTCCTAATTATTCTTACATTTCTGTTGGTTCCTTCGTATTCTTACGATTCATTGGTCCAGCGTTAGTTACTCCTGATTCAGAAGATATTTTAACATACTGTGACTCAAGAAGTCGAAGGTCCTATATTACAATTGCGAAAGTTATCCAAGCTATGGCAAACAATACCGAAGGGTATTTGAAGTGGCCTGCACTCCACGATCATTTAGATATTTTATCGCTGTGCAAAACGAAGATAGATGATTTTTTGACATCTATTTGCAACTATAATAAACCAATTGACATTAAAGTGAGAATGGACGATACACCACGAAAGTATGATTATAATTACTTACATAGATTCATTTATTTGTATGACTACGAACTAAGGAATGAAACATTACGCGACATTCATTCCATCAGTGAATTGAAAGTAGCCAAAAGAACGTTTACACTATTTGACGATATATTAGGAGTAATGGGACAACCTGAAATGGAAATTAAGAATGAAATACCTAAATATATTAAAGAGAATATAGACCGCTACCCTCAATTATATGAATTTATGAATAGACATGGTTACAGAGTTTCCCAGGAGGAGCAAAACAAGAGCGTTGATTATATTCACGAATCCATGTCAAACGATGGGTGTCCAATAATGACAGTCACATTTAACTTATTTGGTTCAGACATAAATGAAATGGAATTACTTATTTACAGAGTCATCCAACTTTATGCAAGAATATGGACCAACAAATATTATTTAGTATTTGACTGTACCGAATTTTTTTTGATACCTACCGAATTTAATAAACTGTGCAACATGTTATGTTCGTTACTTCCAAATATAGCTTTACAAAATTGTATTATGATGTACTACGTCAATACAACGGAAGAATTTATGGATGGATGGATGCAAGTCCAAGAAATGGGACATCCACTTTCTTTTTATCAAATCCCACAACAATTCGTTAATACAAATACTGATGTACACATTATTAAATCATTACAATTATGCAGTAAGAACTGTGAAGTTTACCAAAGTGTACGGGTATCTTTACATGATATCCAATTATACAACGAAATGTTGCAACAATATGTCCCTGTTAAATTAAAACTTGGTGATCGATATTTCCAAATACTGTTTGAAAATCCGAAACTATATACCCTCGAAGATGTGGATAAAGTATTTGAAGTGAGATTTAACAATGTATATGAGATAACAGACATTGAAACAGTGCATGTCACAACACATACAGACTCCTCCACAGAATTTACTATTGAATTTTATGATGGAGAGAGATTAATATTGTCAACGAGCAAATACTTAGAGATAGTTAAAATGTTTTACTATGCCCAAAGTAAATTACAGTCCGAAAACTATAATCAACTAGACCTTGTGTCTTCCTCAAATTCTACCAATACTGCAGAAAAAGATAATAGAGAGATAAATGAAATCATCAGTCATTTATGTCTTATAATCTTGGTAGGGTTATTCAACGAGGATGATACAGTGAAACATATTTCATACAACCTTATGGTGGCCACGCAAAATGCTTTTGGATTAAATTTTGGGACCAAATTTTACGATTGCTCAGAAATATATGTTCCTGAGGATACTACCAGCTTTTTAACTATTGTAACAAAATCACTATGCTCTTCATCTCCAGAATTAACACCATTTATTTGGAAATATATTGTGGACGGATTAGAGAGTGATGTTATCAAACATGACTCCGTCCCAACTATAATATGTTGTCTTTCATTATGGGTTCCTACAATGTACGACTACGTGTATCTAATGGATGTTGGCGATGGTCCAGAACAAGTCGCAAAAATTATTAGAACGTTGATTCGATTAACTGTAAGTGACTCTAACTTTACAACTCTTTATTTACAACAGATCTGGTATAGATTTGCACTAGATGGTAGACTTACAAGAATAATTGTTGATGAAATTGTAAACCATGCTTTAGAAAGAGATTCAGAAAATAAAGACTGGAAGAAGGCTACTGTTCTGCTAACTTGTTTTCCAACAATTGAGATAGCTTCCCAAATAGTCAAAAGATTTATACGCATCATTAGATCATTTTTGCCATCATTGAAACTAGAATCATCGACAAGAGGCTGGTCTGAAATCACAATTTTAGCAAAACTATCTGTTGCATTATTCTTTGAATCACCATTACTTTGCCAGATGTATCTTTCTGAAATTTTATTTATAATTTCGTTACTGATTGATATTGGACCTGCGGATTTACGCTTGTCGTTACATAAACTTCTGATGAATATCTGCCACTCTCTAACATTAAACAAATCCCTGTCTGATGAACAGAGAAAAAAAATACAGAAACTAAGCAATAACTTTTCTCGTCAAAAGATAACATTGATGTCTGGGTCATCTGGAGATAAATCTCTTTCGGTCATTAATTTTAGTTCCCCATCGTTATCAAGCAAATTTGGAACATTAGAGCACTTTGTAGATAATATACTGGAGTTGATGGAATGTAACTCACCAACTGAAGCAGCTCAGTGGAAAACCAAGTACAAAAAGTACTTAATGAACTCTATATTTACTCATCACTCCTTTTTATCTGCAAGAGCTATGATGATATTAGGTATTCTAGGAAAAAAGGACATTTCTGAAATTCTATGCAAAGATCTACTTGTGGAATCAATGAAAGTATTTGCCACTCCAATTCTGACTGACGAAACTTTAACGTTAACCGTGGCACATTCCTTTACTTATAGCAAGATTGTAGAGGGATTAGAACCTTCTCTAGATCTGGTTAAGCAATTATTTTGGTTTTCTACAACTATATTAGAATCCCCATATCAAGTCCAATTTGAAAGTGGAATGTTTTTTATGATTAATTGTTTAACAAAATTGTACAATTGTCACTTTTCTAATGATAGTAGTACGAAGAGACTCCCCGAGATACTTATGGATTCGAGAATATTTGCATCAAACTTTCTGGCTGAACTAGAAAGTATTGCTGGTGTAACGTGGACAAATAGCAATTTCCCACATATTTTAATCGGCTTCATTTTGAGAGGACTATCTATCCCAGTATTAAAAGCTGCTTCCATGGATTGTCTCAAATCCTTATTTAGAAACTCATACTTAGAGATGGAAAAAGATTCTACTACTAAGACATTCTTCTGCTACCTTTTCACTATATACTTATTATTCAGCCCAGAACAGTTTATGTCTGCTGTAAATGATGCCAATCTATCGGATGATTTGATTAAACTGGATGATAACAATCAAATACCAAAACAATTAGCAGAATGGTTAACATCGGATCATATGTGCTCTAACGTTGCATTATACCAAGGTGCACTGCTTTTCAGCAGCTCTATTTCAGATGACGGTTGTAAATTAAGATTTGCGCTTATCATGAGATACCTTCTGAAGGCAAACCCTGTTTGTTTGTTCAGATTCTACATAATTACTAGGGCTGAATTAAGAAGAATATCAGGATTGGAACAAAATTATCAGACAGTTATTGTGGCGTTTGATATCATCGGAATGCTTGTGACCTTCGAGGAATATACTGAATTAGAAAGATATCACGATGAATCTTTAGACGCATTAGCCCGCAGAGGTTTAACCATGATTTCAAAGATTGATATTTTCGATAGTGTAACAGGTGATTCTCGTTATATGGTCCATAATAACTATGCAAATGTAATCTACGAGAGAAAAAGATTATTAACCATGATACTGGCAAGAATGACATGTTATTTATAAATGTATAGATATTCTAAACTCAATATTTTCATTATTTTTTCATTTATTTTTTGAACTAAAGATAATATATAAAATAATTAAGTTTACGAATTGATAAACAACTCATAATTGTTTTTTAGAAACAAAAATATAATTCTTATTTAATAATATATAAGATTTTGGTAAAAAAAATATTAGTCTGAACGAAGGTGTAGATTTGAAATCCATTGGTTTACCATTTCTAGACTTGCTTCAGGTTGATCATAGGGAACCATATGGCCTGCGTCGTAAATTCTGGCAAAAGTTAATGCACCAAAACTCTTCACTTGACCTGCAGTTCTTAATGTATCAGAAAGGACCCATTCATTCATTGGTTCGATCTCATATGAGGCATGATCCTTCCATTCAAGGTTATCAGTCCAAGCATTGTTACCTAACCAATTGCAAATATAGTCCTTATCACCGGCATAAATTAATACTGGAATATCTCTATCCAGAAGTTCAGCGATAAATTGTTGGAAAGGTTTAGCTTCATCACCCGTTAGAATAAAGCCTGCAAATACTTGGTCATTACAACCTGTATAGTTATGAACATCAGAACCCAATGCATCCTGAACATAACGTTGGTTCATATATTCTTCAACGTTTTGTAAACCGTTATAACACAAACCATCTTGGTTTTCACACGGACCTCTAATGTCGTACACGTTTAAACCTGTAGTTTCATAAGGAGACAAAAGGGCTTCATTACATACCGTAAGAGCTAAGAAGCAAGGAATACTTCTTTGACTGAAATAACAGGCCTTATTCAACAATTGACATCTCCTGGCATCCTTACTCATCTTTTCACATTGTTCATTAGATAGAACTGCCTTATAACCACCTTTCCCACATGCCATTGGTTGATAATAATCAGACTGAATCAACGAATCGGTGATACCATTACCAATTAATACGGATGTTAAATTGAAAGATCGTTGAGGATTTTCTACTACTATCTCATGAGCAATTTGTGGAATATAATGACCAGCATATGATTCACCAGCAATGTGGAAATCATTATTTCTTAAATGTGGAAATCTTTTAAAGAATAATTCTAAAAACACATATGCATCCTGTGCGGCTAATTTCGAAGTGGTGACTTTATCGTCACCATATGAGAAACCGACACCTAAAGGTTGTTCAAGAAATATGACTGATGCGTTGTTATTCCAGGAATAAGGATTGTGAATAGGTTTCAAATCTGGTCCAATGGAGGAAGGACCAAGCTCAAACAAAAGACCAGTGAAGGATGAACAACCAGGACCACCATTTAACCATAGAATAATTGGGTCGTTTTTTGGGTCATTTCTACTTTCAAAAAACCAATAGAAGAAATGTTTTGAGTCTTCGTAATCTAAATAACCTGACCATTGCTTGACAGTATCAATACCCAATTTTGAAGGGTCAACTTCTCTCATACGCATGGAATAAGCTGGATTCTCATCATAAGAAAGGACTTCAATATCATTAGAACCCAAATAATCTTTAGATTTTGTTCTAATAGATTGAATAATATTCTTAGGAGTTTGAGTATAATCTAAATTTGGGAACCCTAGGACATCTTGAAAGACAGAAAATGAGTCGACTAGTGTAACAGAAGAAAGCGCTATCGTAGCAGTTAATAAGTTATTAACTTTCATTGTAGTTATTTATTTTTATCGTTATTCAACAAGTCTGAATGTATATAAGTTGTTAATAAATGAGATCTTTATTTCCATATATATATATACATATATATAACCTAGAAATAATGTTCTACGGTCCCCCCCTTGAATGCTCATCGCTACCTTATCTCATTTTCTATAATAGAGGTAAAAAACGAAAGAAAAGAAAAGAGAGAGCATTCCATCAAAACTAAGAAAACTTTAGATTGGCGTTGACACAATTGTTTCTTATCGGTGGAAACGTGGAATGGGACATATGTTTATTCTGCATTTTCCTCTCTATCATAAATAAGAGGGTCAACAATGACAGGTGTGCCATACAATATCTGTCTTTACTAGGAGACACGCTGTCGAGGGGAGTTCCCATCCGGAGTAAAATCACGTCTTCAGAACAATGTGAGACTTTTTTTTTGAATGAATGGAACCAAATGTAATAGATTACTCTTGAGGGAGTTTTCTCTCTCTCTATTATGTAATGTACAATTATAAGATAATATATCCATATATACACTTATATATTTATATATCTATTGATGATGAAAGTAATCCAGGTTTTGTGGAAAGACAAAAAACAAACAAACGAAGAAATGCTCAAAAATATTATTTATAATCTTGTTCTTGTCTTGTGAATGCGTTAGATTATTTATTTGAAAACAACATCATTACTCAATGGGTCAGCAGCCAAAACGTTTTCTCTTCTTCTTATCTTTCTTTCAACAGCAGCTTCAGATCTAGATTTAGCTTCTTCAGCAGCTTGTTGTTTCTGTTGTGCTCTCACGACATTTGGTGACACATACTGTTTGTTTTCATAAATCTTTGGACCACCAAATGAACCTTCTAGGATCAGGATTGTAGTCATAACGAATCTGGGGCCAATTTCAACTAGTGATAATTCTTCTTGTTCTTCTTCTTCGTACTCAGTTTTGTTTCTAGCAGCATTTGAGATTTCATAAGTTCTAACCCAAATCTTATCATCAACAATACTAAAGGACATAACATGATCCACAAATGGTTTGGATTTTCTTGCATTAGGTGGGACACCGAAATTTTGAATTAAAAGTTCTTTAATTAATTTGTATTGTGGAGAAGTATCAAATCTATGATCGAAGGATAATACAGGACGAGAACCCTTTAGACAATTACCTGTGAAATTTAGTTCATCCATAGTATGTAAATTCTGAACATAGAACTTGATGGTTGGACCATTAGGAGGTTTAGATAACCATAAGTATAAATCTTGATGTTTTCTTGCTTCAAAAAATAGAATATTATTACAGTTATACAATTCTGCAATTTCGTTCAATTGTCCTAGATCCTTCTTGGTATCCAATTTTGGTTCCTTTCTGGAGTGTGGCAACAGACTGTTTAAATCCTGGATCAAATGACGATGTCTAAAGTTGACACCCCTACTGGAGATAAGTAATGTACGTTGCTTGTTCATGAATTGTTTCTCATTGTTCTTTTCTGTCTTGTCACTGGTCTTACCAGCTAGAGCTTTATAAATGGAGGACATTCTTTTCAGTTCGTATATATATCTATATCTATGTCTATCTATATATCGCACGATCTTCAGATGATATATATGAACAGGTTAAACAACATACCCACTCATATAGACCTGAACCAACCTCAAATATACGATCACAAAAGTTCTTCCAAAGGTGAAACTGAAAATTCGAGATGGGCATCGGAAACGCATCGAAAATTTTCCAATAAAATTTTCAGTGGATGAAAGAGAGAGGAAAAGCAGAAGTGGTGCGGTGTGTGGGTGTGTTGAACACTAATATAAGAGAGCCAAAGCCTATGGAGGAACTATTTAATGAGACAGCAAGACGTACTCCACCAGAATTGGGAGTGTGCTGGTATGAAGGCAGTGGAGTTAAGTATGTGTGTGTATATACAGTGTCTGTGAGGGTGTCTACCAGTTCATCTACTTTTGGTTTTGGGAAACACACGCCAAACGACGGTAGTATTGTAACGTGAAGCACCCTCTCTACTTGCTTTGAATATATATACAACATTCGTAATTTTTAGAGATAGTTTAACAAGGTGCCACCCATATATATAGCATTGAACCGCCTTTCAACGACTTACATCCATCGAAGGAAGAGTAGAGATGGCCTCATTACTCTTTTTATTGTCAATTGTCTCATTAAAGGACCAAATAGACACTCTAAAAGTTGAAAAATTCACAGCGAAAACGAATTTTACGCGATGAGGATTTCACTCATTTTTGGTGTTCTCTGAAAGATCAAAACGAACCGAAACAGAACAAGATGACAATGATTAAGGTAGAGAGATACAAACACTTTTTAGGGGTTTCTGAACTTATTCTACTGTCTAATTTGCACATATATACATAAAAGTTTACCAGAGAAGACGTGAGAATTCGAGTAGTTTTATTTTATTTTATTTTGTTGCTTGGTTGATTAAATAACGTCATTGATGGATCAAGATTATAGCGAAGTAACGTTTAGAGTCAAAACGCAAAATATTATCCTTAAATCATACGAGGATGAATTTAGTTTTCCATTGCGTCGATGGCAAGTAGAGCTTATATTACTTGATAAGGATAATAAGGAAACAGACATAAATATACTGTCGACTTGCACGTTCGTTCTACATGATTCCTTCAAGGATAATAAACGTTCAATTCGAAAACCTCCATTTGTAATTCAAGAGACCGGATGGGGTGAATTCGATATTAAAATAGTTTGTACATTAGCACATAATGCGGGTAGTTTTAAAATAATTCATGATTTGGTGTTTGAAGATGAGGCATATAATGTAGATTATTCCGTTCAAGTACCAAATTATATCGTTGATTTAAGGAATGATTTAATTCCTTTTTATGACATACCTGAAATAGATGATAGTTATCCCGATTATCCATCTGATATCTATAGAACTAAGAATATTCTAAGTCTAGATGAAGACGAAATAACAAATTTTGTTCAAATTATTCTTGATGATAAAGCTGTACAAAGTGAAATTGATAAATTTGATAGAACAAAACCTTTTTATACATACTTAGGTCAATTTCCAAAAGAATTACTAAATGCTTTAGATTCATATCTACAGGATAAAAAAAACAAAAGAAATCAAATTCCAAATTATTTGAAGAGCATCGATGAAAAGAGAACTATCTAAATCACCCATTTGCATTTTATTCATTCAACATTCGTACTACATATCATCTCTATATAAGCTTTTTTTAAGTCATAAAATAAAAACAGGGACTCTCTACCACTTCAGAAAACACCAATAATAACCGAAATATTTAAACACATACAAAATAAATTATTCATTCCTTTTATACACATATACATATAAAGCGTAAATTTTTTCTTTTTTGTTTCATTCCTTGTATATATTATTGTCATATCATTTTGGCGACCATATCCTTAAAGTAGTATCCCATGAACCAGTACATACACCCATCCCGTCGTAACTCGACCTTACTCTTGTTACTCTGTCACGGTGCCCTTCTAATTTACCAACAACATTAGCCTTCAAAATATCCCAAACTACACATCCCAAATCTGTATAAGTGACGTACATTAGTCTACCTGAAGAACTAAAATCAATCGAGGTAACACCTTGATTGTCAAAAAAACTGGAACTAACAGCTGTCGATATAGGTGATGTCGTACTTTTACCATATTCCATAGTACTTGCAGTATATGTTGGTTGTTCCTTTATTGTAGTTAATGATTCTTGTAAGGAATATGATGCAATAGGACAATCAGATCTTAAATCAAAAATATTAATTGTACCATCGTCACTTCCAGTAACAATAGAATTTCCATCTTTAAAAAATTGTATTGTACTAACATCACAATCGCTAACAAAATAATGTTGTGTCGCACCAGGAATCCTTGTATCCCATATATAGGCATAACCATCAGAGCCACAACTACTGAATATATTTTGATTACCGTTTTTTGGAGATATAGATAAACCTAATACATCCCCCAAGTGATCAGTAAATTCTCGTACTCTTTTAGCCTTTGGAATATTCCATAACGAACAAGTCATGTCCCCACTAGCGGTCAGAACGTTTGAGTTATCCATAAAGTCAACATCAGAAATGTAACATGTATGACCTTTAAAAATCGTCTGGACATTCTGTTGTATCATTGTGTCACCAGAAACCCCATATATGGTACAATTATTATTCAATCCTGCACTAGCAACTAGTTTACCATTTGGCGAAATAGCACAGGATAATACCCATTGCGAATCTAGTGGTATGGCTTTCTTCTTCAAACCGGTGGCACTATCCCAAAGCAATAAAAACCCATCCTGACTTGCACTAAGAATAGAATTAGAATCTCTACTCCATCTAAAATCTGCAATTTTATTATTATGCCCTTTCAATGTTATTGTTGGACTTAAATTTATTGTGCCACTATTTAAAGGTTCTACACTATTTGCCATTTCAAAAAGGTTTGCATCTTGAAGATTGTGTTTCACTTTATCAACTTGGGAATAAAGGTTTTTAGTTTCATTTCTGGCAATATTAACCTTTTGTTGTAATTCTTCACCTAGATTAACCACATTTAAACCTTCATTTGAATCTTCCCTATTAAGATATTGGGGAATAATAGGTTGTGTCGGTTGTACATTAAATGTATCAAGTTCATAAGATTGATACATAATGCCTTACTGTTTTGTTTCGAAATTTTCCTTGAGGGTCTGACTAATATTGAATGTTTTTAGTTATTATATATGTTACTCACAACACAGAAACGAAGATAAAATCAACAATTGTCTTATCGTTAATTTTTGTTAAGATTAAAGCAAAGAAATAGGCAAAGTATTGAAATATTCATATCAGAAAAAATAAAATGCTGGAATATTTTGAACTTCCCCAAGGTAACTGCAACAATTAGTTATATCTAGGATAATTGAGAAAAGCATACTGACAACAATGTATACTGTTCTCAGCCAGTAAACGGTCAAAGATAGAAAATCAGAATAATGTCATAAAATAAACCTCAAAACTGTCGTTCTTTTATTCTTAAAATTTAATTCGAGTGGTTCGCCTTTAAAAACCCTGTAGAAACAATTTCCGTGTAAAAAGTTGCATCAACGTGCATTCAATCCAATTTTGATTTTGAAGACCAAAAAGGATAACAACAACATCTAACTGGCAACAGAAGGAACCTTTGTAGTTCTATTCAACGGCTTACCTTATAATCTAACCAAAATGTGTCATTTTTGGCAGGGTTGTATCTTGGTTTATCAGTATTGAAATAATTGAGCGTCAACTTGTTAGGCTTTATGTGAGTATTATAACATACAATTGGAAATGAAAAGAGTATCCAGTACTTATGGCTGGTCAATATAAGTGTTAGGTATAGGTAATGATATCGTAGTAATAATGGCGGACATTATCGGAATGATAAGCCTAGAAATGTTTGAATATATCGTGAATTTTGAAGATAATTTATTCATTTGTAGCGAATGAACGAACCGTCTCAGTATAAACGTACAAGTTACACATCAGAACCATTTCCTCGGAACATGCTCGTTATCATTAGAATCATTTGATTGACTATCACAATTCAATGAACCTTCCTAGTACATACAATCGTTCAATCCTCTTAGTATATTTCTTGAAGCATATCAACCATCTTCAATAGATCGTCTCTCGCGATGACCTGAGCCAATGAACCACTAATTTCCGAGCGTTACTTAGTTCACCGAGCAATGAAACAAAACAAAACAAATAGAGAAACCAGTGTCAGACACATACACATTAATCATCTCTCCCTTAGTAAAAAAGAAAACGAATATATATCTACATAGGACTGGCATTAGCAAGCCTGAAAAGCATATGTCTACGAAAAACCACCCTACATTTGTTCTATAATCTTTAATTCAACATTTAAAGGCAGATATCTGGTTGAAGAAAGTTTTCTGATATATCGGTTGCTTTATCAAAGATACCACCTAAGGTACACATATACTTCAACTTATCCGTTGCTTATAAAATATGTTTCCTATCCAATCCAGTATTGGTAGACTAGGGACCCATCCCTCCCAAATTGCTATTAGATCTGTATTACTGAGGAGTTCTACCAGATCAAATTTGCTAGTAAGGAATAGATTGCATTACCATTCGTTCATAATGCCTTTACTCCCCTCCCAATTTATACAATTCATACACTTAAGTTCCACGCGACAGTTGAACAAATTAACTATCCTAAGTTCTAAAAGATTAATATCTATGTTTCCAAAGATGATTGGGAAAATAATTAAAGCACCAGCTTATCTTGGTGGTGCAATGGCAGCTACAGGTAGTTATATTGCCTATAAAGTTGAACAGACCACCAATTATACAATGGACAAATTTGGACAGCTACACGATCTATCAAACTCAATGAAAGACAAGATAAACCAATGGCTACCCGACACCAATGTAACACAGCAACAATCCAATAACAATGGCAATAATGGTGGTGGTAGCAATCCGGATGGTTCTGTACCTGGTGCAGCAGTATTAGGTGCCTTGGCAGACGATGAAAAAAATAGCGACAGAGGAATGGGGGAAGAAGATGAAGAAGAAGAAGAAGACGCTGACGACATAGAGAAGGAAGATAATACACAAGATGAAATGCTAAATTTAACGAAACAGATGATTGAAATAAGATCTATTTTGAACAAAGTCGACTCATCTTCAGCTCATCTTACATTACCATCTATAGTTGTGATAGGTTCTCAATCTTCAGGTAAATCTTCTGTTCTTGAGTCTATTGTTGGAAAAGAATTTTTACCAAAGGGATCAAATATGGTGACAAGAAGACCTATTGAATTAACTTTAGTTAATACTCCAAACTCCAAAGAAATCACGGCTGATTTTCCATCTCAAAGACTGTACAATATCAAAGACTTTAATGATGTCAAGAGATTATTGATGGAATTGAACATGGCCGTGCCATCAACGGAAGCTGTGTCAGAAGATCCCATCCAACTTACAATCAAATCATCGAGAGTCCCTGATTTGTCATTAGTCGATCTGCCAGGTTACATACAAATTGAGGCGGCAGATCAGCCTCTAGAATTAAAATCAAAAATTCAACAATTATGTGAGAAATATTTAAAAGCTCCAAATATCATTTTGGCAATTTCTGCTGCAGATGTTGATTTGGCAAATAGTTCAGCCTTAAGAGCTGCAAAGACAGCTGACCCGGCGGGACTGCGAACCATAGGTGTGATTACGAAGTTGGATCTGGTAACCCCAAATGTCGCGAGTACTCTATTGAACAATAAAAAGTACCCATTGAAAATGGGATATGTCGGTGTTATTACAAAGGCACCAAGAAATTTCAACAAAGGTAGCTATATGAATCCGTTTGATGATTCAAACCATAGGCCTGGTGCTTCCCCGCTCGGTAATATATTTGGCAAGAAATCTAATTCTACAGGCATTGAATCTGATTTAGATTCTAACTCCCAATTAGGTTTACAACAGATACACTCCCATCAATTTGAAAAACAATATTTTAAGGAAAATAAGAAAATTTTCTCAAATTGCCAAGTATCGACAAAGAGATTACGTGAAAAACTAATCAATATCTTAGAAATGTCTATGTCGAATGCTTTAGAACCTACATCCAGTATCATTCAACAAGAACTTGACGATACATCTTATCTATTTAAAGTTGAGTTTAATGACAGGCAATTAACACCAAAATCATATTTGTTGAACAACATTGATGTCTTAAAATTATCAATCAAAGAATTCCAAGAGAAATTTACAAGGAATGAACTAAAGTCGATTTTAAAAGCTGATCTTGATCAGAAAGTTTTAGATATATTGGCTCAAAGATACTGGAAAGATAATAATCTTCTAGAGCTATCTTCTCAATTGAACAACGAAAGAGAGATGTTATATTGGCATAAGAAATTGGAGTTGGCATCTTCTGGTCTTACGAAGATTGGTATTGGTAGACTATCTACTGTACTAGTTACTAACTCCATATTAAAGGAACTTCAAAATATTTTGGATGAAACTCAGTTGAGAAATCACGATCTTATAAAAGATTTAGTAAATAATACAGCCATCAATGTTCTGAATGCTAAATATTACTCTACAGCCGATCAAGTCGAAAATTGTATCAAGCCATTCAAATACGAAATTGATTTAGAGGACCGTGATTGGAGTATGGCTAGAACTCATTCAATCAAACTAATCAAAGAAGAGCTAGCACAATGTAACGAACAATTCAATACCATTAAAAATTCGGTTGGTGCGAAGAAATTAAATCGTGTTATGACATACCTTGAAAATGATGGTTCCTCTCAAAAGGAGACTTTAGGAATGTCAAAAATTTTGTTGGAAAGAGGCGGTGAAGCCACCTTTTTACAAAAAAGAACAGAAGTATTAAACTTTAGATTAAAAATGTTAAAAAACAAATGCTATAGTTCCAGTGAGAAAGATCGTTGTCCAGAGGTGTTTTTGAACGCCGTCAATGAGAAATTGACGGCCACTGCTGTTTTATTTTTGAATGTAGAACTACTAAGTGATTTCTTCTACAACTTCCCAATTGAACTAGACAAAAAGTTAGGTACTTTAAATAATGAACAGATTGAAATGTTTGCAAAGGAAGATCCTAAGGTTGCCAGACATATTGAACTACAAAAGAGAAAGGAATTATTAGAATTGGCTCTACAAAAAATCGATTCTATCCTTGTGTTCAAGAGGAGTTACAGGAATTTGGGAAAGAACTGACATTAAAAAATATCATTTACAATATATTTCTTTACGTAATTTAGTACTCATATAATCAATGAGACTCTCCATATTCTTTTTATTTGTGCTTTCAAGACATTCTCTATGAACAAATATATACCCTGTACTTGAAGTTCTATAACATATAAATGAAACACCCATACATCCATGGACCTGAAATTTTTTTCCAGGTTTCGCTTCTTGGGATGATCTTTGAGATATTCTTATGTAATACAGATGAGAAAATAAATACGAATCAGAATCTCATCGCTGTTCTATAGACATAAAAAGTAACTAATATTCTTTAACAACTTTTGAAGGTCTAAGTGAAACGATTGCGATACCTAAGATATTTAACCCTCTAAAGTAATTAAACCGTACACCGTTTGGTTATGTTGAAAAGTGCTATCAAGAAGAGAAAAACTACTTCAGGTGTGGAACACACACATGGTAAGGATGAAAACTTTGAAGCATTACTGAAGCCAGTTTTTAAAGGTAAGAAATTAACTGATGAAATAAATACGGCCGAAGATAAATGGAACTTGCTACCAGCATTTCTAAAGGTGAAGGGTTTAGTTAAACAACATTTGGACTCTTTCAATTATTTTGTCGATGATGATCTGAAAAAAATTATTCAGGCCAATCAATTGATCCTATCTGATGTTGATCCTGAATTTTATCTGAAATATGTTGATATCAGAATTGGTAAGAAATCTTCTTCCTCAGCTAGAGATTATTTAACGCCACCTCATGAATGTAGATTAAGAGATATGACTTACTCTGCGCCAATTTATGTCGATATTGAATATACTAGAGGTAGAAATATTATTATGCATAAGGATGTTGAGATAGGTAGAATGCCTATTATGTTGAGATCCAACAAATGTATTCTTTACGATGCAGATGAAAAGACTATGGCCAAATTAAATGAATGCCCATTGGATCCAGGTGGTTATTTTATTGTAAATGGTACTGAGAAGGTTATTCTAGTTCAAGAGCAATTATCAAAGAATCGTATTATTGTGGAAGCTGATTCAAAGAAAGACATTGTTCAAGCCTCTGTTACCTCGTCTACTCATGAAAGAAAATCCAAGACATATGTCGTTACTAAGAATGGGAAAATCTACTTGAAACATAATTCTATTGCTGAAGAAATTCCAATTGTTGTTGTTTTGAAAGCTTGCGGTATTATCTCCGAGTTGGAAGTTATGCAATTGGTTTGTGGTAATGATAGTAGTTATCAGGATATTTTTGCCGTTAATTTAGAAGAAGCTTCCAAACTTAACATCTATACACAACAACAAGCGCTAGAATATATCGGTGCAAAGGTTAAAACGATGAGAAGACAAAAGTTGTCCACTCTACAAGAAGGTATCGAGGCTATCGCTACTACTGTTGTAGCTCATTTAACCGTCGAAGCTCTAGATTTTAGAGAAAAGGCCTTATATATGGCTATGATGACACGTAGAGTCGTTATGGCAATCCATAATCCAAAAATGGTTGATGACAGAGATTATGTAGGTAATAAACGTTTAGAACTTGCGGGCCAACTGATCTCTCTATTATTTGAAGATTTGTTTAAGAAATTTAACAGTGATTTCAAAGCTAGTATTGACAAGGTATTGAAAAAACCGAATAGAGCAATGGAGTATGATGCATTATTGTCCATTAATGTCCATTCAAATAATATAACAAGTGGGCTAAATAGAGCCATCTCTACGGGTAACTGGTCTTTAAAGAGATTTAAAATGGAAAGAGCTGGTGTCACTCATGTTTTATCAAGATTATCATACATTTCTGCGTTGGGTATGATGACAAGAATTTCATCTCAATTCGAAAAATCTAGAAAGGTGTCGGGTCCAAGAGCTTTACAACCTTCTCAATTTGGTATGTTATGTACAGCAGATACCCCAGAAGGTGAAGCATGTGGTCTTGTAAAAAATTTAGCGTTAATGACACATATCACTACTGACTATGACGAGGAACCAATCAAGAAATTATGCTATGTTATTGGTGTTGAAGATATTACTATGATTGACAGTTCATCCCTTCATATGAACTATGGTGTCTACCTCAACGGTACCCTGATTGGTGTAACAAGATATGCTAATAAATTTGTTACACAATTTAGAAACCTGAGAAGAAGTGGGAAGATCTCAGAATTTATTTCGATTCACACGAACACACATCAGAAAGCTGTCCAGATCGCTACTGATGGTGGTAGAATTTGTAGACCATTGATAATCGTTAGTGAAGGTAAATCTCGTGTTACTGCAGAACATTTAGCTCCATTGATGAATGGTGAACTTGTATTCGATGACTTTTTGAAACTTGGTTTGGTTGAATATTTAGATGTTAATGAGGAAAATGATTCTTTTATTGCACTATATGAGAAAGATATAACACCTGCATCTACACATTTAGAGATCGAACCATTCACTGTTCTAGGTGCAGTCGCTGGTTTGATTCCTTATCCCCACCATAACCAATCCCCACGTAACACATACCAATGTGCGATGGGTAAACAAGCTATTGGAGCGATTGCATACAACCAATTCAAGAGAATTGATACTCTGTTATATTTGATGATTTATCCTCAACAACCGATGGTTAAAACCAAAACTATTGAACTTATTGACTATGATAAACTTCCTGCAGGCCAAAACGCGACGGTTGCTGTCATGTCATATTCCGGTTATGATATCGAAGATGCCTTAGTTTTAAATAAGGCTTCTATTGATAGAGGGTTCGGTAGATGTGAAACCCGTAGAAAGACTACAACTATTTTAAAAAGATATCCAAATCATACACAAGATATCATTGGTGGTATGCGTGTAGACGAAAAAGGTGAACCAATATGGCAACATAAATCGTTAGGACCTGATGGTTTAGGTGAAGTTGGTATGAAAGTCGAGAGTGGCCAGATATATGTGAATAAATCTATCCCATTAAACTCCACCGAACCATTTTCTGGTGACGCAAGTTCGCAATTCAAAGAGACACCAGTTATATACAGAGCTCCAGAAGCTTCGCATATTGATCAAGTTATGATGTCTGTGTCAGATAATGACCAGGCATTAATCAAGGTTCTATTGAGGCAAAACAGAAGACCAGAACTCGGAGATAAGTTTTCTTCCAGACATGGTCAGAAGGGTGTTTGTGGTATCATCGTTAAACAAGAAGATTTACCATTTAATGATGATGGTATTTCTCCAGATATTATCATGAATCCTCACGGTTTTCCATCTCGTATGACTGTTGGAAAAATGATAGAGTTAATTTCAGGTAAGGCAGGTGTTTTGAATGGGTCCCTAGAATATGGTACTTGTTTTGGTGGTTCTAAACTGGAGGATATGTCTAAAATTCTTGTAGACCAAGGTTTCAACTACTCTGGGAAGGATATGTTGTATTCTGGTATTACTGGTGAATGTCTACAGGCTTATATTTTCTTTGGTCCTATTTATTATCAGAAGTTGAAGCATATGGTTCTTGACAAAATGCATGCTAGAGCAAGGGGCCCTAGAGCTGTCTTGACTCGTCAACCTACCGAAGGTAGATCAAGAGATGGTGGTTTGAGATTAGGTGAAATGGAAAGAGATTGTGTTATTGCGTATGGTGCTTCTCAATTATTACTAGAAAGACTGATGATCAGTTCAGATGCATTTGAAGTTGATGTCTGTAATTCATGCGGTTTGATGGGTTACAGTGGCTGGTGCACGACTTGTAAGAGTGCCGAAAATGTCATTAAGATGAGTATTCCTTATGCTGCTAAACTACTATTCCAAGAGTTACTATCTATGAATATCGCACCAAGATTAAAATTAGATGACATGTTCCAAGAATAGGATGTATCTTTTACTTTATATTTATTATCAGTTTATTCCATATGCATGACCAATAAAAGGTCGAAACCATAATTTAGTATTACATATATATTTTTCTATTTATTCAGAAAAATCTATTATTTTCCTTCGAATATAGTATGATATAGTAAATGTTTAATTTATTTTAAACTATAAAATTGCTATGAAATAATTTACAAAAACAAGAAATGCTCAGTATATGTTGCTCCTATATGGACATTTAATCAGACATTTCGACATCTTCCTCTTCCTCTGATTCCTCTTCCTCCGTCTTTTTAGCTCTCTCCTTCTCTCTATCATCTTCTTCTACAGATTCTCTTAGAATCTTGGCCTTTTCGTCTCTGACTTCACGTTGAACAACAACATAAGCACCCAATGGAGTTTTTCCCCAAGGAATGTCATTTAGGAATCTGTTTGCCTCACTTCTATTTTTTGGACTGAAATCAATTTCAGATCTCTTTTCTTCAATAAATTTAGAATTTTGTTGTAGCTTGTCGACGATATTTGATAATTGTTTGTTAAATTTAATATTCTTAGAATTCTTGATATAACGACGGAGAACAATAATTGGTGGTGTTACTAATTCTGGGAATGACACACTTTTACAGTAGAGAGTAAAAAATTCACCAAGTAGATCTACAAATTGACTAGCTAAACCTTCTTGGTAAACTCTTGTTCCCAAATAGGCTTGAGTACATTTGATGTTGTGGTCAAAGTCAAAAGCTTCCAAATTTTCTTTCTTTTTTGGGACTTTTGTGAAGGCAGTTGATGAAAGAATCTCAGATAGAATTGGAAAAATTGGAATGTATACACCAGTATTTTGGGATAATCTAATTAAGGATTTAACCAAATAGAATCTTAATGGGAAAAATTGAGCGGTTGGAATCAATCTGGTAACACCGATAGTTACTTGGACCAATGGGAAAATCATTTCTCTTAATGGTGAAATATGACCTTGCTCTTTTTCTGGATTACAAGAGAAAGACAGAACACGAGACCAGAAATCTAAGGAGTGGCAGAATTGCCAGTTGTAAACAATCTTGTATGCTTCAGCAGGGTTAGCTTTGCTAGTTTTCTTAGTGGTTGCATTCATGGTATTTCTTAGATGAATAGCCAATTGTCTGATAAATTCAAATCCGACTTGATAACTCAATAATTCATCAATAGCAAATAATTCTGCAGCAGAATTTTTTTGAAAGTTAATCAATGGCATAGTACGAATATTTGTTTTACGACTGTTTTTAACAAAAGTCGAATATGTAGACTTTAAAACAGTTTCAAGCATGGCCTTCTTGAATTCCTTGGAGGCATTATGTAAGAATGCAAACGATGCAATTTGGGTTTCAACTTCTCTGCTAGTTGCCCATATTTCGACAACACTTTTAATGATTTCTTTCAGGATTCTTCTGTAGGAAATAATGTATGGTAAGAACTGGTTAACAGAATGTAGAACCATTGCAGCAGTTTCGGTGTTAGTGATATCATTTAATAATACCAATAGAGAAGCACAGTGGGCCTTAATAATAGAAGAAATTTTGGAAACATTTTTGTTAGATGGCAGAGTTCTGGAATCCTTTATGATCTTGTATGGAACCATCTTTTGAACAGCAGTTGGTAAGTCCTTTAGCGCAACAAACATTAGCTCTTGGAATGCTTTTTCCTCTGAGATAGTATATTTGTATTCCTCTAAATGTTCGTCATTATTCATGTTAACGGCACCTTTGAAAGCCACAGAAACATTTCTTAATAACTTTAGAGTTGGTTTTTCACGAAGGGTTTTCTTCCATTGTCTAACTAGGGTGAGTGTTAGTTCGATCTTTTGGAGAGGTTGATCACCTGTAGTCTTCTCGACTTCCTTGTCATTCTCATCATCACTAATTCCATCCAATGGATTAGAAGCACCGAAGTCTAATAAACCTTTATCATTATTTTGTAAATACTTGAAGAATTCTGGATCATTCTTAGACAATGTAGCCATAGAGGTAGCCATATCTTCCTCTTCAGAAGATGAACCATCATCTTCCCCTGCAGACTTAGCTTTTCTTGCAGCCTTTGATTTTTTGTTTTCCTTTGGAAGTTCGATTCCTTTGTCGAAATATTCTTCAACAGACATATCTTTGAAGACTTCTTCCTTAGCAGATTGCTTCAATTTTTGTTCATCTCTCGTTAAAGCACCCTTGATCTTTTCTTCTTCAGTCTTGTTACCACGACGACCTTTAATCTTTTGTTTTTGAAGCTTTTCTTTCTTTCTGTGTTCCAAAGTATGATTCAAATGTTTACTCTGAAACTTCTTAGTAGCCTTTGATGTTTTACCCATTTTGCCTAACTTATTCTTTTCTTTGAATTGGTCACGATCTTAAATCTCTCGATACAATGGTAAACAGAAGAGTGATAGGTTTGTTGGTATAAATTTATGTACTTCTTATAAACAAACTGTATTAAAACGTCCTGTAATGTATCTTTTTATTACTGTCCAAAAAGAAGCTCATCTCATCTCATCTCAAAAAAAAATATAAAAAATTTCAGTCTTCGAATTTCTCTGCTCTGAAAGTAAGAAAAATGTAAAAATTTTCAGTTCGTCGACAGTGACTAAAATTTAAGGCGCTAAACTGGTGCTCGAGAAACGTTTTACCTTAAAAGGTTAGGTTGGTCTAGCATATTGAACAACTTTTACATTCAAGGTACACGAACGTGACGAGGTATTAAGGTGATGTTGATGAGATGTTCAACTAGGAAGATATCCCTGATATCGGGATCCATTTGGAAACGGTTCATCAATTGTAATTCATGTGGTGTGGAGCTACAAAATAAAGATTCACACAAGAAAGGTTACTTTACCAAGAAATCGGAAGCTGAAGAAATACAGAAACCATCGGTTGACAGGATAAAATATTTGCTATTTAGTCAGAATATTCAGAAACTAAACGATGGTAGTGAACGAGATAGAGTTAAAAAAGTAGAGTCTCCGCCGATTTGTAAAAGGTGTAATGATGCTTTACATCAAAATAAATACAATATTGAAGATTTCGAAAAATACACGTTTAATGAAATTATGTCTAATATTCCGGATCAAAGTAATATTCTTCATCTAGTATCGTTTCCTGAATTTCCTTTAGGCTTAAATAGTCGATTACTTCAAGATAAGAAACATAATGTCGAGTTAGTTTTAACTAAAGCAGATCAAGTTATACCAACAAAATCTATACTACAGAAAAATGCCTCATTATTTTTAAAAGATTTTCTGAAATATCATTTAAATATTATCTCTAATAAAGGTGTGATCATATCGTCCTTGAAAAAGTGGAATATTGAAACTTTGTACTCTATGTTAAAATCTAAGACATACCTTATGGGTAACGCTAATGCTGGGAAATCTTCATTAATTAACGCATTGATTATGAAATATGTTGGAAAAAAGATAATATTCGACAAGAAGGGAAATATTGTGACGAATAATGACTATACGGTGGAGAATATCCAACATCATATGAAGAACAACAGTGCTGGTGTATATCATGTTCCAAATATGACTCGAAATTTACAAGCCTTTGACATTAATGGGAAAGAAATATATGATTTGCCGGGGTACTCAGAAGATATTAATAATATATATTTAGAAAATACCATATCTAAGAGTTGGTTACAGCAAATAAGAAAAACCGAACTATTTGATAACAAAAAGATAAAAATGAAGCATTATACAAGTTTCAAAGGAACAGAAAATGGTGCTTGTTATACAGTTGGTGGTATTTTTTATTTAGTACCCCCAAAGGGAACTATCAACCAGATTGTCAAATATATTCCTGGTAAATCTAGTGAATTTAAAAACATTGATAAAGCTTTGGAAGTTTTTCATGAATGCACGTTGCCAGATTCAAAGCATCCTTTAAAGAATTATTGTGGCATAAAAAATATTGCATGTAATAAAAAGGATTTGGTTAGATATATATTGCCACCATTTCAGGGCAGTGTTGAAATAGTCATGAAGGATATGGGTTACATTTTATTGAGGTCCACTGGCTCATATCAATATCGAGGGTTATATGAGGTGTGGTTACCAAAGGGGATTGAAATATGTATAAGAGAACCATTGGAAAAATTGATAACAGAAAATTACAAGAGATATATTGATACAAAGGGTTCATTACCCGTTTTCCCTACAGACAGACCTATCATCAGTTCCTGTTATCCAATGGATCCAGATGAAACAAATACTTTGGCCAAGATGAAAGACATATATATGGAAAGAACAAGCAATGACTTGTCGGCACGTAGATATAAAGATGTCGACCCCATTGATTTATTGAGTACGAAATCAGAAGAGCATCATAATATTTACTGGTACTATAAATGGTGAGTATTATAATTAAAATTCCTGTATATACATATTCATATATTTTTTATAATAGAACACTCTGCAAATTACATATTAATAACAATCTTAATGATTTAATGATGGCATTTTTTGCTGGAAAAATAATATATAGAACAGAGCATTGAACTAGTTACTATTAGACTCCTAGGATTACGATCGTTACTTCCACTCAGCATGATTGTCTCTAAATCAATCATGCTACACTACTCCTAATCCAAAATATCATTAGTACTTGCCTTAATCATATGAAACTAAATATATATGCGTATAAATAATTGACATAAAATTGTAAGTTATACCCAAACTTACCAGATAATAATAATATAATTATTTTTTAAATATAACAAAAATAGTAATAATAGTTTAGTATACAATAAATATAAATGCACCATAATTAAAGAAACTTTTAAGTTAGAAAGTCTCTTCAACCTTTTTAACCCTAAATATAATGGAAAATATGAATTTTAAGGCTAATAAAAATTAAGTATGCTAGACTTGTTTTGAATATTATAGGAAATAAGAAAAAATCGTTGAGCAAATGTTTTTATGGATGCTCTATTTTTTTCTTCATTGGTATTAAGCTTCGTTAATGTAAGAGAAATAAAAATGCGTGACCTTAATCAAAATAAATTTATTTAGTTTTAGTTTTAGTCTTATTCGTTTTTGTTTTTTTAGCGATGTTTATCAGAATAAATTTTGATTAATGTGTATTGTTATTCATAATAATCCTAGAAAATTCTATAATGGTTTTATTAACCTAAAATAATAAAAAAAGAGTGGATATACAGGAAAAAGAAAATAGAAAAAGTTCCACAAGTAATGAATAGTGCACTGGATACTGGTATGCTTTACTAAACAACGACAAAATAGGAAGGTAAAAAAAGCAACAGAATAAAGTGTGAAAGAAAAGTAAGAAAATAAAAAATGTTTCATTAAAAATTATTCCCAAAGATACAGCAACGAATGCCTACAAGGAGAATATGAAATATTTTTTAAAAGTAAAATGTAATAAAAATAAAATATTTCTTCAACGCATAAACGTGTAACAAAAGAAGGAGAATTACCACCATGATTGGTTATTGTTTGATGAAGAACCACTGCTACCCCAGCCACCATTGTTGGATCTACCAGCGTTGCCACCAGCATTGCCACCAGCGTTTCCACCAGCGTTACCCCAGCCAGAGTTGCCAGAGTTGCCAGAGTTACCCCAACTGGAGCCACCTCTGGAACCGCCCCAAGAGCTATCTCTGCCCTTGTTACCACCGAAACTACTACCACCGCCTTGTTTACGGTAATCTCTAGTACTACTGTTACGAGATCCGAAACCTCTGTTGGATCTGCTTCTACCAGAATCTCTGACGGCATCGGACAAAAATTGAGGAACTTCTTGGTTAGCTTCAGTTAAAATTTCAAATAGACCCTTAGCGACGTTACTATTGTTTCTGTTAAAGAAGGCAATAGCAGTACCAGTGTTACCAGCACGACCAGTTCTACCGATTCTGTGAACGTAATCATCAATATCGGTTGGTAAATCGTAGTTAACAACTTGAGTAACGTTTGGAATATCCAAACCTCTTGCAGCGACAGCGGTAGCAACTAATAAACTGGCTCTACCAGATCTGAAAGCAGCCAAAGCACGTTCTCTTTCTTGTTGGGTACGGTCACCATGAATAGCAGTAGCACTGAAGTTTTGCATGATTAAGAAATCAGTCAAGTTATCAGCTTCTCTCTTAGTTTCGACGAAAATAAGAGTTAAACCGTCATTTTGAGCAGATAAGATATCCAATAGAGCGGATTTCTTATCCATGTCATCAACGTACATGATCTTTTGAGTAATATTTTCAGAAGTGGAACCGACTCTACCGACAGACAAGAAAATGTAGTCGGATAAGAAATCACGAGCCAAATGTTGGATATCATCTGGGAAAGTAGCAGAGAACATCAGAGTTTGTCTTTCACCAACTGGAGTCATGTCACAATCTTCGACGATATGTCTAATTTGAGGTTCGAAACCCATATCCAACATTCTATCAGCTTCATCTAGAACCAAGTACTTAACGTTAGATAGAGAGATCTTACCACGTTCCAATAAATCGTTTAGACGACCTGGAGTAGCGACCAAAAGATCACAACCTTGATCCATTTGTCTCATTTGGTTACCAATTGGAGAACCACCGTAGACGACACAAGGTCTAACCCAGGATCTGTAACAGAACTTCTTAGCTTCGTCGAAGATTTGGGTAGCCAATTCTCTTGTTGGAGCCATGATGACAGCAGTTGGATAAGCCTTTCTTTGGTAAGAGTAACCCCCGTTGTTAGCCACTGAGGATGGACCGTTCTTAAAGGATTCGGACAAAACTGGGAAAAGGAAACCACCAGTCTTACCAGAACCAGTTTGTGCACAAGCCATTAAATCTCTGCCAGCTGCAATAATTGGAATAGAGTATTTTTGAACTGGAGTTGGTTTAGTGAAACGAGCCAATTGGACATTTTCAAACAAAAGTTCGTCCAAAGGTGGAGATGTAAACTCAGTGATTGGTTCTGGAACGTTTTCACCAGAAGCTTCAACTGGGATATCATCATAATGGTCGAAGTTAATACCAGAGGATTGGAAACCTGGATCTTCTGGGACACCAAATAGTTCGGCTTCAACTCTTTCATTCTTCTTACCTGGGACGTGCTTGTCATCGACCCATCTACCAAAGTTGGAGTTTCTTGAACCACCGTTGTTATTTCCACCGAAACCACCACGTCTGTTGTTATTTCCGAAGAAACTGTTTCCACCTTCATGTCTTTCGTTGTTACCGAAGAAACTGTTACCACCGCCACGTCTGTCGTTGTTACCACGGTAGTTGTTGTTAGATCTTTGAGGTCTGTTACCACCAGAGTTTCTTAAATGAGGAGGGACATAACCATCTTTGTCATTTTTGTCATTGATGGATAAGTTTTGTACTTGTTCAGATAAATCAGCCATAATATGGATGTATATGTATATGTATATATATAACTTGCTGTATTGATTCTACTAAAGATATAGATAAATATCTAAAATGAGCTTGTGGTTCTCTTAAAATAAAAAGAATATAATCCTGTCAATATATACTTTAGTAAGATTCTTCTTTCTTTCTTATAATTAAAGAAGTGAAATACTTTTACCACCAAAAGGGCAGAACTTCCATCTCCCATTGAAACGGTCGACGAAGAGAAAAAAAAGAATGAAAAAAAAAATTAGTAGCGATGGTTATCGTGTTGCACGGAAATACCGTTATTATCATTAAATACGATGCGGTCCAATATCATTATAACTACATATCTACATATCGATATCTGTATCCTACATCAATACACCTTTGGTTGATGGGACGTCGTTAGTACCGTTGGATGAGATTGCTTCCTTGATAGCGACGGCCAAAGCCTTGAAAGCACTTTCGCTTCTGTGATGGTCGTTGAATCCTCGTAAACAATCGACATGCATAGTCACTCTAGCGGCATCTGCAAAACTTTCCAAGAAATGTGGAATCATTTCACATGAAAGGTCGCCTATCTTTTCTCTTTTCAATCCTAACTCGATCACGGCGTAAGGTCTGTTAGAGATGTCTATCACGGCTCTAGACAAAGCTTCATCCAATGGTGCAAACCCGTTTCCGAATCTACGGATACCACGCACAGCACCCAACGACTCTTTAAAGGCTTCCCCCAAGGCAAGCCCACAATCCTCAGTGGTGTGGTGGTCATCGATGTGCAAATCTCCAATACATTCCAGGATCAAGGACCAGCCTGCATGTTTTGCCAAAGCGTGAATCATGTGGTCAAGAAACCCTACACCTGTGTGAACATCGATGATTTGGAACGACGTGTTCTGTGTAGCTGCATCTGCGTCCTTTGCTAGTTCTTTATCCGATAGTAACGACGGTGTGATTCTTTCGATGTGTCCACCATCCAGTGATAGCGACACTTGGATCTTAGTCTCGTTAGTGATACGTGTAACCTGTGCAGTTCTCCCAGTCATCCGTGTCAGTGTTGTTGTGTTGTGTTGTGTTTCTGATCTAGCTAACATCCAAAACCAAACTGCAGTGCACTTCTCATTCTTACATATAGTTGTTCTCTATATATATATATATAATGGCATAGAATTGTTACATAATCTGAAAGAGAGAAAAGGAGTCTTCTCGGGGTGTGTTGTGCGGGGAGTTCAGAGCAGGATCTCGAGAAAGGGTGTTTGTGTGACTCTTTTTCAGTGTAATTTAGTATTAAATTACATCGATCTCACCCATGGAAGGACGACAAGATCGATGGGACAGAGCCATCTATCCATATACATACCGTTATATCTGTATATATACGTTGTTGAATAGATGGACGAGTTGGAGGGGTGGCACACGGCATACATACTGTAATTCAGATATGCTTTCCAGGCCTAGGAGGCACTATTTATGTCCCAGTACCAAACTGGAAGAGGAGCGTGTGTGTAGACGTATAGAATGTATATCTCTATACGTCTACACACACGTTCGAATAAGGGACCTCAACATATCTACTATTGACCCTCTCATTCGACTCTTAGACCTCTCTGTCTCTGTCTCTGTCTCTTGCTCTGTCTTGGTAGAATGCTGATAAATTACGCGGTGCAGTCGGTGGCTAACAAACTATAAAATTTCAGTAGCAGAGGCATATATAACCTGCCATATACTAGCTAAATAACCAGGTAGATACAGCTTGACCAGAGACAGGATACACCCAGCTGAGCCTACGTAAGTCATGTGGAAGAGATCGTTTACTACTAGCAGGTCGCTGTTATGGAAGAATGCTGGTAATGGCAACAACAAGAGAAGTTCTTTTGATAAATATTTAGCAGTGGAGACTCCCAAAAAGTCATGGCAATCTAATAAGAATGGGTCACGATTCTCTAAGAATAGTAGTAGTAATAAAGAAGAATGGTTTAAATCTAAGTATGCCCATGTACATGCCAGACAGAAACGGGAACCTATTAGAGACCCCTATGGAAAGAAAGCTGCTCATGAGGCCAAACTAAGTAAGATTAAAGAAGATTCAAAACTGCAAAGAACTGAACATCGCCAAAGCTTTTCATATAATGGTAGAACCATGGACAAGTTACAAATGAACCCTTTGTTAGAGTATGTGTTTGGTACAAATAGTGTCATGGCTGCATTGACTAATCCAAGAAGACATTCGTTCAATAAATTGTATTATTACGGTAATGATTCATTAGAATTAATAACTAATAAATTGAAAGAACTTAAATTAGATGTACCATTACAAGAATCCAATAAACATGAATTGAATCAATTGAGTAAATTCAATCTCCATAATAATATTGTTCTTGAGACCAAACCGTTACAAAATACTGAGATCAAACATCTAGGACCCGTCATACAACAAGAAGAAACCGAATCCTCAACTTTCCAAGTGAGTTTAGTGAATCAAAATGAAGTTCCAATATTTGCAGATGAAGTAGTCACTGAGAAACAAAACCAAAATGCAAACGATATACTGAAACAAGTTCCTTTCGATACAAAACTTAGCCAGGGGAAACGGTTCCCTGTTGGGATATTCCTAGATGAGGTGATGGACCCACATAACGTCGGTGCCATTATAAGAAGTGCATATTTCCTTGGGGTCGATTTCATAGTGATGACCAAGAAAAATAGTTCTTCGTTGACTCCAGTGGTATCGAAAGCAAGTAGTGGATCGATGGAATGGGTACCCATATACCATGTCGATGACCCTGTCCAGTTTTTCAAAGAATCACAACTAGATACAAATGGTAGTTGGACATTTATTACAAGTCATTGCACAAGTGGATCCACAGAAAAACCTGTGACACAGTTCATCAAGGATAAGACTTTAGCAATTGTGGACCTCGATGGAATGCTACAAAGATCACCAACGATGCTCGTAATGGGGAACGAAGGCTCTGGAGTACGCTCCAGTCTAATCCAAATAACTGACTACTTAGTAGAGATCCCTTTCAACGGCCCACAGAGTCCAACCATCGCAAGCACTGTAGACTCCCTCAACGTAAGTGTTGCAACTGCAATCCTCATCAACCATCTCCTACCTTGTCCATAGCTACCCCACCCTTTCAAATAGGATTCATCTATCTATATATATAACTATATAACTACATCTATAGCTCCCACGTAACGTGGACCCTTACTGGCATATTCTTCATGTATATAACAATAACAAACAGACATCTCTCAACCAAGCAAGCCCTATATTAGGGCATACATCGTTCTAAACGACCACCAGCACAGCAATGGACACGTCGTCAGCAGTGAAAAATTCCACGCGAAACTTTCAATAAATGTTTGACAGGATAATCGCAAACAACATTGGAGGTCAATTGATGGATCGGGAAGGAACAAGTTGCCAGTCTACGTTTGCTGGCCTGTTTTGGAGTTTCTCTCTCTTATATATATATATATGTGGTGTTTGTGTATTTTAGTAGATAATGATTCGAAGTGTAATAGCGAATCCTTATTACGTTTCGCTAGTGTATTCTTCATTTTTATTTCTTGACTACATTTTACTTTACTAGATTGAACAACTGATTTCAAGGTCTCGTTACAAAATGTCCTCTAACAACAACAATACCAACAACAAGAACCAACATAAGTTCAAGCGTCCTGATGTCTCTGTCAGAGACAAGAAGCTAGACACATTGAATGTTCAATTGAAGAAAGTTGACCAAGAAGTTTCTTTATTAAGAAAACAAATTGATCAATTCCAAGTTAATGATAAGACTTCTGATGAAAGAAAGAATCTACAAAATAAAAACAAAGAAATCATTAAGACTCAAGCTGATTTGAAGAATCGTAGAAACACTATCCACGATACTATTAAGCAATTAGATGCTCAAATTAGAAGAAAGAACAATGACATTGCTGATAAGATTGGTAAAAAAAATAAATACAATACCATTGCTGACGCTAAGTTAAGAATTAACGAAATCGATGAATTGATTGGTACTGGTGATTTATCTATCGTTCAAGAAAAATTGATGGTTAAAGAAATTCAATCTTTGAACAAGTTGATGAAGGATCTGACTGTTGTTGATCCAATTAAGAAATCCTTAGATAACGATAAGAATAAGATTACTCAATTGAAGGAAGAATTGACTTCTTTGAACTCTAAGGAATTGTCTAACACTTTTGAAACTAACCAAAAGAAATTGGATGACATGCATGCTTCTTCTCAATCTGTTTACGATAAGAGACAAGTTCTATTCAATAAACGTTCTGCTCTATACAAGAAGCGTGATGAGATCTATGGTCAAATTAGACAAATTAGAAATGATTTCGATAATGAATTCAAGGCTTTCAGAGCTAAGATTGAAAATGAAAAACAAAAACGTGAAGAAGATGAACTTTTATCTAAGTTGATTGAAGAAAAAGATGGTAAGATTGGTAAGTTACAAGAAAAATTGAACCATGTTAAAGTTCCAGCTTTCACCTATGAAATTGAAGCCATTGAAAATGCTCTATTGGTTCTAGATCCAACTTATGAAAAGCCAAAGAGAACTACTACTACTACAATTGACAACAAAGTCGATTCTAGTTTAGATACCCACACTGCTGTTACCAAGGTAGAAAACAACGATTTAGTTAAAGTTGAAAAAGTTGAAAAAGTTGGTTACATGAATACCGCACCATCAAAGTCTAAGAAGCACAAGAAGAAGCAACAAAAACAAGAAAAGGTAGCTGAACAAGGTGCCTTCAACAAGGTTGATGGTAAGTTCTCCCTAGAACCAACTTTAATTGCTACTTTGGCAGAATTGGATGTCACTGTTCCAATCAGTGCCGATGATGTTGATAAGAGTATTGAAGAACTAAAGGCCAAACATGAAGATTTCCTAATTAGACAAGACGAACAAACCAAGATCAACATCGAGACTGTTGAACTCGAAATCCAACAAGTCAAGAAGGCTTATGATGACAAAGAAGTACAAATCAAAGAAGAATTAGAAGCTAAGAGAGCTAAGGAACAAGCTGAAGCTACTGAAGAAAATTAATCTAGATGTTTTAAGATTCAATCATCTTTATTTTCTTTTTCAAAGCATTTTTCAAACGAACTAAGAAGTCATTGAACATTTTTTTTTTATTATATTAAATGAACTTTCTTCTCCTTAGTTATTATGGCATATCATTTGCATCTTTTGAGTGTCCTATTAGTAACGAAAATTCATATAAATAATACCAAATTTTATAAATTGTGTATATCATTAAAAAAACATAAAAAAATAAATTATATATTATCCGTAGTAAAATACAGGGTGTAGTTTTGATCCTAAGTAGAATTAGAAAGATAATGGAATGCTATTCATGTTAATATTCCATTTTAACGAATGATTTCCCGTTTCTCTTTAAAAGACAAACTTCCAATGTTATAATAATATTTCTCAAAAATTACAAATAATATTACTTAATATAATCTAATATGTAGATGCGAATTTAATAAAAATAACATATCGATATTTACATTATAAATTGTAACTGAACATCCATAGGATGAGATGCTGACAATTGCGGTTTTTGGGTATATTTACTACTCAACTCTTGTCTCATATTTTGAAGAAGGGATAAATATGATTGTAAAGGTTGTAAGGTTAAACATTTAATAAAGGAATAAGACATTGCACCTGTATTTTGACCATCTTCAATGGCATCTGCTGAAGTTTGATTATCCTTCGAACCGGAAAACATTACCACATCAGCTGCTGAAAACTTAATTTGTCTTACTTTCTCTCTGTCGACATTGTTACCCATACCTTTCTTTACAGTATTAAACATTGACCCTAAAGAACTCACTAAAGCCATTCTATTACCCGTAGCATAAGCCATAGCAGCCTGTAAACCATCACCTCCAACGTCTTTCCACATATTAGGTTCTTTCACTACACCTTTAGTAGAATAAACATAAGGTAAATCCAAAGCAGTACCGGAATGACATGAATCGAATAAGGCAGTTAGTCTAACACCTGGTAATAAAGGTTTCACCATTATATCATGCATTTCATCATCGATTATGTGGCTGGTAGATTGGAAATCCACAGGATAAATAGTACTATCATATCCACTTTCTTCATCCCCGTCTAAATCTTCAGTTTGACCACCATGGCCTGAATAATGGAAAAATAATGAGTCGTTTGGTTGTGCATCTTTAACTAACCATTGCATTGCACGAATTATATTAGCTCTAGTTGGTACTCTAACCAAATCAGTTTGATCATCTGTCAGAATGACAATATCATCTGGAGAATAACCATGATATTGAGTTAAGAAGTTAAAGATATTATGAGCGTCATTAATACAACCTCTCAAAGCATTCTGTGTACCAATATAATTAATCCCAATGATTAATGCTTTACGGCGACCTGTACACTGAGAATATTGATATTGTTCATTAGTGAAATTACCATTAAACGATTGTGGTACCGTTGGAGGTGCCTGGAAATTTGAAGGTTGTGAATAATTCGATGGGGCACCTGAATAACTTGGATTATTTAATGATTGTGGTGGGGCACCCGTTGGTCTTTGATACCCATTATAATTATTCTGATCGTTATTACCCCGAGACCCATTAGAATTATTATTACTGTTATAGTTACTATAACTCGGTGGAGGACCAGATGGTCTATTATAATCCATTTGGGTACTGTTATTATAGTTCATAGATGGAGGTGGCATTGCAGGCCTACCATAGTTACCATTACCATTTCCATTATAATTGTTATTATTATTATTGTTGTTGTTGCTGTTGTTGTAGGTATACCTACCGTTTCCCGGATACATTGCTGCAATCTGTCTTTCTCACCTTCACTCTCGTCAACCCAAACCTGTCTTCCACTGCCTTCCCAACATTCCTGATCCTGTTGTTCTTTATATGATTGGTAGGCAACAATTCAGCCAAACCTGAACCAAAAAGAATTTCAGCCCTCCCTTCGCCTTCCCTCCTCAAAAACAAAGACGCTCCCACCGAGAGTCGAAGAGCGGCCGGTCAGAATCACAAAACGAAAAAATGCGCTGCGATCGGCGCGACTTCTTTTTTCTTCCTTTTATGCTGATAAAGGAAGATAAGGTATTCTCGTCTACTGATTGGGTTTATATTTAATTGCAAGCATCGGTTATAAATGAGGAGAACTGTAAAGGGTCGACACAGCATTAAAAACGTATATTTGAGATCAGGAAAGAACTACGATATATAAAGGTAAGGGAGGTTCGAGATATTATTATTTTGGGGTTGAAACTAATATCGTACACGAATAAGTAAAAAGAAGAAAGGCTATACAGACATACACGGAGAATACGGCAAATACAAATATGCTGAAACAGTCAAGTGAAACTATGACAAGACGTCTCTTATCGACAACTGCTTTGAAAAGTGCTACTACTACAAAGACTAATCAGAAAGGTACCAGGAGACGGATGACTGAGTTCAGAGACGCTATGAATGTTGGTCCCTCATTCCAGGATTTTGTTAGTGGGAAAGCTGCTGATTATGTTTATGACCCATTAGAAAAGACTCGTTTAGCTAATAGTAATAATCAAGAGAAATTACCACATTGGTTAAAAGTTCCTATTCCAAAGGGTAAAAATTTCAATAAATTATATAACGATGTTAGTACACTTAAATTAAGTACAGTGTGTCAAGAGGCTAGATGTCCTAATATTGGTGAATGCTGGGGTGGTAAAGATAAATCAAAGGCTACTGCAACTATCATGTTATTAGGTGATACCTGTACTAGAGGTTGTAGATTCTGTTCTGTAAAGACGAATAGAACTCCCGCTAAACCTGATCCAATGGAACCTGAAAATACCGCAGAGGCTATAAAGAAATGGGGTTTAGGTTATGTGGTACTAACTACGGTAGATAGAGACGATTTAATCGACGGTGGTGCTCATCATTTAGCTAAGACTGTACGTATGATTAAAGAAAAGACTAATAATAAAATTCTGGTAGAGACTTTGTCAGGTGATTTTAGAGGAGATATGGAAATGGTGGATGTAATGGCTAAGAGTGGATTGGATGTATATGCTCATAATTTAGAGACTGTAGAAGATTTGACGCCCTTTGTTCGTGATAGAAGAGCAACTTATAGACAATCATTAGCTGTATTGAAGAGAGCTAAGGAGACTGTTCCAACCCTTTTGACTAAGACTTCATTAATGCTAGGTTTAGGGGAGACTGACGAACAAGTTATGCAAACTTTAAAAGATTTAAGAGAAATCGATTGTGATATTGTCACATTCGGGCAATATATGAGACCAACAAAAAGACATATGAAAGTAGTAGAATACGTTCATCCAGATAAATTTTTATATTGGAAAAATGTAGCAGAGAAGGAATTAGGTTTCAAATATTGTGCATCTGGTCCATTGGTTAGATCATCATATAAAGCAGGTGAATCATTTATTGAAAATATTTTAAAGAAACGTGACGCTAATTAAATTGCTTTATTCATTTTATAAATTGTAAATTTGATGACAATGGAGGCAAACAAACAAACAGTAATATGTCCACCTTTATAATCATTATATAATTTTAAAGAACATCATGTAATTAATCTATTTATTTATTAAAAAAAAAGCAAAAAAAAAGAGTTTAACTAAGCTCCAATTGTCATGATTTCTCTCTGGTTTGTTGTGTATCGTTAAAGTATGTATAGTTATATTTATTTTTGTTACTTAATTAGCTTCATTCTCCATTGTTCTTAATAATTCTCTTTTCTCCTCTCTTTCTGAATGCAACAGTTTATTTATTCTATCAATTTCTTCCTTCAATGCTTGATTATCCATTGCCAATTTTTCGATTTGGGTCTCATATTTCTTTTCATATGACTTCTTTAAGCTCTTGACTTTTTGCTCATGTTTCGAGGAATATTGATGGTACAAATCTTCAGCAAGTAATCTTAATCTCTTATTTGTATCTTTCTCTTTTTCTTCCATTTTCAATTTCCAATTGTCGATTTGATGTCTCAATTCTTCTACATCGTTCTTTTCTGTACCTTGATCTATTTGCGTAGTGGTAGCAGTAGCAATTTCCAACTGCTTTTTTAATTCAGAAATTTGTTTATTAAGATCATCTATATTATTTTCGGAAGTTGTAGCCTCTTTCGAAAACAGAATATTCTTCTGTTCTTCAATTTTTTCCTTCAATTTCTTATTCTCTTCTTCAGATTGTTCAGTTTGTTTTTGTGCACTCTCTAGAGAATCACCAACAGTAGCTAAAGTGTTTTGCAATTCTCCAATTTCTTTTAGATATTGCGATTCAACGTTATTATTTTTCAATTGTACACTTTCAAGTTCAATAGATGCTTTCTTATAAATTTCAATTTCGTCCTTGGAACTAAGATTTTTTTTATTCAATTCTTCTTTGAGTATAGTATTACTTTCTTCTAAATGAATTTTAGATTCTTTCAGAGATTCAATTTCAATATTTAATTCAGTGACTTCAGCAACACGGACCTCACATTCATCGTTTGCAGAATCGAGTTGTTTCTTAATTGTATTGATTTCTTGATCCTTACGCTCCATATTCTCTTTGATTGTCTCTAGGTCAGAAGTATATGCATAAATTTTACTTTGAAGCTCTTTATTAGTCGATTCAAATGTTTCTACTTTATCCTTCATTTCCTTCATTTCCTTATCGTTATTCTTCTCAATGTTGCCTAATTTGGAAAGTAACTCTTCCTTTTCTTCAGTTAAAAGTTTAATATTCTGTAATAGATCAGCAGAGTTACTTTTCTCTGAATCTACTGTCTTATTTAAAGTTTGCTGAGTTTCAAGTAAGTTTAGATTTTTTATTTCAAGTTCACTTTTATAGCTCTCAGCATCAAGTTCTGCATGCTCTTTCTGTTGTTGTAATTCTTCAATGTCAATTATATATTTGTCCATCTTCGATTGTAATTCATCCTTTTCAGTTGTCATAACTTTGATAATTGTATCATTCTCTTTAATCTTTCCTTGATGAGTTACTATCTTTTGTTCTAACTCCTCTTGTACCTTTTTAAATATTTCATTTTCTGAACAAATATTATCATATTTTGTTTGTAATAAGTTCTGATTAGAGTTCATCATTTTAATTTCGTTGACAAATTCTTGAAGTTTAGTTTTTAATGGGTCAATCATTTTCTTTTGACTATTACTCTCCACCTGTAATTCTCCATTTTTCATCTTCGAAACTTTTAAATCTTCTTGTAATTCATTAACCATTGAATGATAGTTCAAATATCTCTTATTTAATTTTTGATAATCAACAGCTAAATTATTCATCTTAATATTAACTTGGTGTATGTCATTACTCAGTTCTGTATTTCTCTTCGATATCATATTATTAAATTCTGAATCATCGTTATCATCATCATCTTTATCATCATCCTCAGTAATGCCAATCTTGCTGTCATAAGAATGTCCTTCTTCACGTTGTATAATTGGTGATAGCATATGATTACTAGATATAGGACTAGAGTTTTGGTAGTCAAAGACATTTGGAGTCTCGGCAGAATTAGTCATAATAACTCCTGCCTCTAATTCTGGTGTTGAATCGGTGTTATTATTAATCATCTCAATTACTGCTGGAGGCTCAATATTTTCATTATCACTTGATTTCTCACTTTTTTCATCACTGCTTATTGGTGAGTCTAATTTTTGTTTCTTTGTTGTGATCTTCTCACCTTCTCCCAGTCCTTCTTCTACACTATTCAAGCGCTTAATATTACGTTTTTCAGGTGATGTTACATTAAAATTTTGTTGGGATTGTTTCGTCATTTTAGCGTCTATCTTCGATAGTAATGGCTTATTCACATCAAGTTGTTCTAATGTTTTCCCTACTGTCTGTTCTAATGATGTTACTTCCGATTGTTTCATGGGAGAATTCAGAGGATTAGAACTAGCCTGATTATTTTCACACCTACCAACTTCTAAAGACATATCAGATACGGTTTCCATATTTTCTTTGAAAAGTTTTTGCCGATCGCATGGAGCCATTCTAGTCATGCTCTTTTCAACGAATAGAATGGTTGGTGTAGTGTCCTTCATTGAGTTAAAATTTACTAAATTTTGATCTGCCTTTTTCTTAGACGATAAACCATGATTATAGCCTCTCATTGGATACTCTTCATTGTTGAGATTATCATCTGAGTATTCTGGTGATAAAACCAGGGAAGAATTGTCATCTACAATATCATTCTCAGGGGAGTCTCTAGTAGGTGTTGTGGGTATATCTTCCTGCATCATTGTATCTTTATAGTATATTAGATGACCTATGAAAATGAGTAGATAATATTCAATAGATCAAAATGATGTACGATCACTTTTGAAAATATATTGCACTAGTTTTATTGATGTGTTCGTTATCTTCTTCAGACTCTCAATCGAGCATCATTCAAATATATGTAAGTTCTTTGTTTATTTTTCTTTATTTTTCTTTATTGGCGTTACGCGTTTCTACATATAATACTAATTTTGGATCTTAAAAACCAAAGGTCATTATCATTTATAAGAGAAAGCCAAAAACTAAATTGATTGAAATGGTTAGCTGTGAAGTAATATATATATATATATATGTATGTAATGTTATTTGGTTGTGACTGTTTAATTAAATTGGTGGAATCTATTGCACATATTGAATCTTCTTTCATTTTCTGACCAAATTTAATTAAAGATGTTTACGATCATCAGACAATTTGCTTCTCCTGGATAATATCCTGTTTAGCTTGTTTCCACAACTTTATAAGACTCATAATACCTGATCCTATTGATAATACTGGATATACGATTGGATGAGTCTTAATATTAAATAAATCTAGTGAATTAGCACATCCGTCAAAGGATAATTTCATTATATCTAGATGTACTAAACGTTTCTGTAATTTTACTTGTTGCAACTTTCTCTTGATAATTATATTTTCATTGTCTACATCATTTAAATTTTTCAAATCATGTAATAGTTTCTGTCTTAATGGAGAAATGTTGTGATTATTATTATTAGTGAAATTATTGGAATATAATTGTGAAGCACGTTGTTTTACTTGTAATTGAATAGTATATTCCAATTCTTTATCATGTAAATCTGACAATTTGATAAATAGATCTTTCAAAGTAAATAAAATATCCGATTGCCACGTCCAACATTCATGTCTTGATATCGTATCATATAATTTTGGATTTGACCATAATTTGAATTTGTGTAATAATATCAATTCATCACATATCGTATAATATAGAGTTGTAGTATCTCTGAATGAAGTTTCATTACCGAATAAATTGATAAAATTTTCTTGAAATGTTATTAATTTGTTATCATATGACCATATTTTTTTAATTCTTTTCATCATATTATAAATTAAGAATGGACTATTTCCAAATCTTAAAATGTATCTATAAGTTCCTAATTGTTCTATTATAAATCCTAAATTATTATTGATTTTAGAGAATATCACATATAAGCAAAAATTTGGTTGTAATAATAAGTTTTTCAAATTTTTAAAATTATAACGAATAATAATATCATTGACATTCGTATATTTTGTTTGATATTGTCTTAAGAAATTAGTTATAAATAGTTTAATAATTTGAAGCACATATTTTAATAATTTAGCCAATTTATCCTTCCCGCCTAATGAATTTATTAAATATTGCAAAATTTCCATATTTTCTACAACAATTTTCTTATCATTCTTATGTTTCTTTCCTAATTTCATTATATTATCATTGTCATTATCATTATTAACATTACTTGGAATAGGGTTTACTTCCAATATTTGTGTAATGGGTTTAGTCATTGGTTCGTTAAATATATTCGGTACTATGTTATTTATAGGGTAATGATTCTGAAGTAATTCTTCTTTTGATAAATATGAAGAATTCATAGTTAGTTTGTCTTTTAGAAAGTGAAATGACGAATGAAGGGGGAGAGATGAGATATTATATTTATAATGAAAAATTTTAAAGAATTAACTCCACAAGCTTAATACCAAATCAAAATGTATCACCACCTAATCTAACTTCGTTCAACTTACACCATTTTCTTACCTTTAAGTGTAACGATGGATGACCCAGATGAAATATTTCACTATTTACCTTTTAATAGAGTGTGTGCACAACATATCATTCATACACGGTAATCTCTATTTCCCATAGGAAGAATATTTTTTGCTCTCCAAATAGAGCATCCACAGCACGGAACAATTGACGGTCGGCCGCGCTGCTAGTGAAGTTTACGCTGCGAGTCTCAATTGAGGCAGTCCCATCGGTTGTTGGATCGGGTTTAATGACATGGCGACATTTCCATTGAGAGGTGAAAGTGTGACACTCTGCTTGTTGATTTGTTGTTGTTGGGAAGTGTGATTGGGAAGAGGTTAAAAAAGTAACTAAATTAGGACGGACTTGACCAGGGTAGAAGGTATTGCCATATGAAAATGGGAACAAACAGCAAAAAATAATAGCGCCGCTCGGTTTCGATCCGAGGACATCAGGGTTATGAGCCCTGCGCGCTTCCACTGCGCCACGGCGCTGCTATTAATGAAAAAAATTTAAAAGGCTTTCAGTATATGTCCCATTTAGGACTTTTAATAGTATGAGGAACAAGATTGACCTGTCGGTCCTTTTAAGGATGATGTTATAATATAGAAAGTAGCAATACTTGGTTATTACAATTTTATGTTTAGTAAGAAATTATTACTAACTGTTCAATATGATTCTAGAACATTCTTTAAGAATGATTAGTAAGCAAGTATTACTAATTGTTTCATAAGTGTCTAGAACATGTTTCTAGAATGTTTAGTAAGAATACTATCAATATTTGGTAGACTGTTTTCCTTTTCCAAAAGTATAAAAGGACCACATATTCTAA